TCGAATTTTAATTAGCAAATGTACGCGATGCATGTGTATGAGACAGCTCTTGTCCTATATGTTGTAGATAGGTGTGTGTGTGTGTGTGTGTGTGTGTGTGTGTGTGTGTGTGTGTGTGTGTGGTGTGTGTGTGTGTGTGTGTGTGTGTGTGAGGGGGTGGGTGGGATATGCCTTTATTCCTCTTTCCTGTCTCTAGTGCAGATTTTCTTATTAATTTTTTTATTCCTTTATTCTTTCGTTTCGCCATTTCTTCAACCCCAAATGCACAGACACGCACGCACGCACTCGCGCACACATCTGTTTTCCCTTATCCATCGCGCAGAGAGGATCACACAATGGTACTTCAGAGACGAAAAGTAATAATATGAGGAGAGAGGATTTGAGGGACTTTGAGCTGATTTTCGTTGATGCGGATCATGACATTTTAGAAGCATTTGTCATCGATTGTAGGAATTGTTATCTTGTACACAATTGGTTAGTATATAGACCAAAGTAGATTAAAACTGCCGAGCAGTCAAGCGTAAGCTATTAGACACTAAACAGCTTTTACCATTAACTTTCCTTAGTCATGTCTGTTTTCTGAGTCATCATATTAATATAACAAGACCTAAATGGTTGTCCATATTGTTCCGTTATTGCAAGTATAATGTCTCACTCTCCACGTTGCATGTTCCTTTCTTGTTACCTATATTTTAACTGAGCCATATTCGATGGTTACTCCATAGTAATAAGAAGATAAAACTTCGTTTATTTGAAGAAAATCGTAACGTCCATCAAAACTCATTTGTGTGTATATATCAGGCGGGAATACTGACAAACATTTGCAAGGCTTGATGTTTACACTTTATCCATTGCAAAATGTCAAATAAAGTACCACATTAATCAATCTTGCAATTGAATATGCGTGAATAAAACGCAAAATAACTTGATACATTTTTTACGATTTCATGACTTCTTTGTGTCCATTATAATCAATAAATTATCATCGAAGCTGCTCAAAGCTTGTATAATTCATATTTCCTTTTCACCAACTCATAATCACCTTTGAAATCTGTCGTTTTCTTAGGGGATCAAATTGATTATTGGTCCCTTTACTCTTGTGAGGTAATTAATAACAATAATAATACAATTGTAAGACGGAATATTTTCCATCGTAAATTCGTAGGATCAGAATAATTCCCATCATTTCAAAAGCTATCTGATTTATATAAAAAAAGAAGCAAAACTGCAGATGCGTTTCTTATAGTCTCTTCCTTTTTTAGTTTATATAATTGGTTTTTACCAAACAGAATGAAACAAGATAGTGCATAAAAGCGAGGGGTTTGAGCAGATTAGTTGAAGATTAATTATCATTAGTCGATCTTTTAGCCGCTCTTATCCGTTTTGATGGCCGATTAGATGAAGGCGGGAAGAGACCAGGAGTGTCAGCATGAGGTGCTTTAATTGCCCCCATCGATTTCCTAATATTGGTGTTCTTCCGACTTGTCATCTCTCCATTCTTACAACTCGAGTGCAGGGATAGGAATAAGTCAGCCATCCTTTCGTTAAAACGCTAGCGTTTTTCAAGCTTTAAAAAGCTATTGTCCATTCAGTCGATTCGTTCTAATTCCTACAGATTATCATGTTTAATTGCATTCTGTCCTACAACTTCTTTGTTCGCTTGGTTGCATTTGTTCCCTTAACTATCCCTCTTCCCGGGGCAGAGTACTCTCGACACAGAGGATGCGATCAATACCTGAGGCTTTTTAGAAAGTTAAACCTGACCGACATGTCTTTGTGTCGCGGTGTGTTTTTCACACTTGGCGCTCTATTGAAGTTCCTCAAAATATCTATTTTGAAAGAACCAAATTGATTAAGTGAAGTGACAGGCATTTTTTCATATCGATCACGGTATGATTAGATACAAAAACTAAAAACATCCCTCGTACTTACGAGTCCCCTAATCCCTATCGACAAATTTTCCTCCTAATGATAGGATTCTGCTAACTCTATTGGGGTTTTCGCATCTTGGGACCGTTATATCCACTTATCCATGTGATGCTCGCAAAAGAAATTCTGCACTTCTTAACAGGATAAGCGGAGAAATTGTCACACATCGCAGGAGCTACAAAGACTATCGATTTTGCCAAGAGCGGAGGCTATTGAGGAGTCCTCCCATCATGCTATAACGGTCCCATTGACAAAACCCTGTAATTATGAGCAGTTTAAAGCTGTGCTTTCATGAGGACCATATAGATTTTTTTTTGCGAAGCTCTCAAAATGAAATGATTGTTGTGGTATCCCGGGATAGTTACCGATGACGCACATGTCTCGAACTCGTTTCCCGTGCTCGTCCCTTAACGATGGCATCATGATAGATAGGATGCCTAATTCCGGCTGTTAAACAACAAGAATCTTGAAAACAACCATCATTTATTCAAACGGTTCCGATGTCTGCCTCATCAACCTTGCCTCAATATGGATTGAAGAAGGCCTATTTATTCGAGAGAAAAAAAATATTATCGTTTGGTCAATGGGGGGGGGGGGGGGATAAAATGAGAAAATTTTGTTCAAAAATAGATGTCAGATTACCAGGTTGTCGCCATGATGATGCTCTATCGGCACTCACCCTTGCATTGAATCTAAATCTCTATTTACTATCAAAGTATCATTTAAAAAAATGTCATATCGTAGATTGTGTAGAAATAGTTAGCAGGCTCTGGGTCTTTATAACAGAGTGAAATTAAAAGTGAATTTATTCCTGCCCAGTTAAATCTTGACATGTGTTCAGTCAGTCCACGACCCCCCCCCCCCTCATACTGTTCTCGACTGTCGGCGCGGTCATTTAGTTACCAATTTTGCTAATGTTACTGCTTATTTTACTTCAAGCTGTACTTCATGCCAGATTATTTTGATACTACTAATACTAATACTACTAATAGTACTTTGACTTCTTGACTTGACTTCTTGACTCTACTACTACAACTACTACTACATATGATAATAATAACAAAGGTATTAATAGTAATAAAAATAGTAATAACAATAAGAATAAGAATAACAATAATATTGATAGAAGTGAACATTTGTAATTCGCCATGTCTTTCAAAACAGACACATCTTCCGCAATTACATGTACGAGAAAATTGTGTAATTGTGAGCACATATCAGTAATTCAAGGAAAGAAAGGAGGAAAAGAATGTTAACATACTTCAGAACATCATTTTCAATATAAAATCAAGGTTACATCTCCTTAGAAAACAGGTTTGAAATTAAAAACGAATGGGAGATACAGTTCATAGTTCATACAATGTATATATCAGTTATAGCTGTATTAAAAGGGTGGTACAAAGTAAGACATGATTAAACGAGCGAAGACGTAGAGAACAGAAACGTTTTAAATCGAGATTTGAACTGTGAAGGTGTTCTCAATTCTTTTTCCAGAAGAAAAAATTCTCTCTTTTTGTAATCGTTTTTTGCTTTTGTCTGTTTCATAAACCACAATATAATATGTAGCTTGACGTATAAAGTGGCGTATTCAGAACTGATTATTACGGGAAGTTGCAGCATCCTCCCTAGAAGGGGAGGGTGTACCTTGCGAGTTCTGTACACCGTCTGAAACCCTTTTCCTTCAAGCGGGGGGGGGGGGGGTATGCAAACTTTACCTACGATGGATGTGCCATGAGTATACAGTGCGTCCCAGAAAAAACGACTTTATTATGCCTGCCGTAGCAACAAACAACAAACTCCGTTTCGTTGACAATTAGCCTTGCATGACGTCTTTCGTCTTCTTTGTTGTTAGGTCAGACAACCAATGGAACGGATTCGTTTAATAAGATTATGGAAATGCAAGCATTACTTTAGAAAAACAGAACTTTGTCATTTCTGGGTCATTTTTCCTGATTGAGGTGTCACATAAAAGGGCAGAAAATGAACTTTTTAGAATATGATTTTCTCTGTGAAACTCAGATACCGTTCGCCAAATGACTTTTTGGTACACTTTCTTCAATTTTTGTGTTGATCACTCATGCGTGAAATTTGCATCATATGAGTTGCATCAAATAAAAGAGGAGGATCTAAGCTTTAAAAATGTGAGTCATTTATTAATAATAATTGTGATTAAGTTATGATAAAACATCGATAATTCTCGGTTTCGTTTTTTCTAGGACGCACTATTAATATAACAAAAAGGGGGTTAAAAAAGACAAGGTCTCGGCATCGACCAGCGGATCCTAGGTCGATTGGCCTCGACACCCTTGCATGTGGTAAGATCAGAACCAACTCGAAGACAGAAAGTATCAAAGGATACCAATTACCTGTACAACAGACTTCTTCATGGGTGTCACTAGACAACAGGAACCATAAAGAATTTTTTCTTAAAGCATTTTTTTCTCTTAAAGGTAAACAATTGAAGGACATTTTTTGTTGCTATCGCGTGTGTGGAAATTTCTTGCAACATAATGGCGGCTTTATTACTTATCTTATGTTGGCTGGGTATTTTACAGGTAGTTTGCGTGAAACATATTTATACGAGAGCCGCCCCCCCCCCCGCCCGCCCTTAAAAATATTTTAACGTTGTCATAATTGTTCTCATTGAATGAAAGTGATTCTTTTTTCTTACTTCAAAACATACCCTAGGATTAATGTATTGAAAATGGCAGCAATAAGTGTAGTCTGTCAATACACACCTCTAATTGTCACGAAAGGCTATAGCTGAAAATAAAAAAAACGTCAGATGCTTTTTATTTGCTTTCGATTATTCTACTTGTTTTGTTTAGAACCTTGTTTGTTATACATTCCAAACACAACTTCGCCTCTTTTAAAAACCAGATATCGACCCTCCACTTGAGGTGCGAAGTTAGGATCAGGCGGTGGAGTGGTACCGCGTTGGTTGTCAAGAGAACCCTGACTGGCAGTGGACCAACTTGCTCCAAGGGGCGGGGACAAGCTAAAACGATTTGGGTCCTCGTGCTGACCACTGGATTAGACACGGTTGAATTGCTCGGCTAGCGGACCGACCTCTAAGTGTTTCACGCCTCAGCTGACCGGTGTGACGCACACAACCGAACAGCAGTGGTGGATGGAGGACACAACTAGACTAGGAACTCATCTGGATCGGCCCATGTCGAAGGCACGGTTCTGGAACAAAGAATCAAGTGTCGGAGAAGGAGCCCCATTTTGATGTTTGGTGTTGGACCGTGGAGGACGAACTGAGGACTTCGAAACAGGATCGCATATCAACATCATCCTTGGGTTAACTAGGTTGTGCTGAAGCCATCTCACTGGCAGCCAAAACATAGACCAAACATAAAAGCTGATTTCAACCTAAGATCTGTGACATTTCTTGAAGCAAGGGCATTTCTCCTGGATTTTTATATTATCTCAAAGAAAAGAATATTTTTCCCTTCGTCTTGGAAGCAATCCTCGATCGGACGAAAACTAAAACAGCGAAATGACGCATAAAGGTAAGAATTGTTGTAAATTTGGGGTAATTGCACTATTGTTTTCAATAGTTTTGATTACAAATGCACGTTTTTTTATATTTGCTTTCAAGAAGGAAGTCCACTCAAAATGTTTTCTCCATTGTGTGATTTAGCATTCTTCTTTTTATTTACTCTCAGTTGCGTATCCAGCAGTTAAAAAGCACCGGATGAAATATGTAAATACACACAACGGGTAATAAACTAAAAAAAACACTACTAATGCTCCAGTATTTTGCATTCTCAAAATAGAAACTTATTGTCATAAAGGAAATAATAAATTGTTCAAAAAGATCGAAGAACAGATGTGGAAATTGACGTACGTTTATACAGGTAATTTATTATGATTCTATTTAAATGAATAGTTCTAGTCGGTGCTTCAATCTCAGAGTGGGACTAAAATTCATTACAAAATTGTCAAGAAAAAGATCAAATCTTCAAAATTAAGCTCTTGTCTGATAAAGTTTACGGTCACGTAGATCAGTAAGCTGCTAAATCGCCTACGGTATTTCCATAAATTGCACGGCCAAAGTTGGGCATCGAACAGACTATCTATCTACACTATATACTTTTAAAAGGAATGTACAGGTTTATTGAGTAAATCTATTGAAATGAAGAATTTAAACTGTTTTCACTCTTGGTGTGGTTATAAATCTTGGTTAACGTTAATGTATACAAATGTGCCTCAAATTTCAGTATTCTTATCACTCTTAGAAACATTACCTGAATGTGGCATGTGACAGTAACCCGCATGAACCCTGAATCTTATTAGAGTAATAAGGTTCAATCATTGTATAAATTGAATAAAATCTTTGACGACCACCAAGTTATGTCCCCATGGTAATTCTTGATCTCGCTATGATAACAACAACATCATTTCAACAGTGATTTTTACAAAACAATGTCACAACCTTTGTGGACCTTTTTAGACATAAAATTGTGACCTTTCAGGTTAGGTCGGATATAAAGCAAAATCTATTGAGCAATAATGATAGTCACATTTATATAGCGCTTAATACTAGGTTTCTAAGTTCTTTGCATTACAATTATTACTATCGCGGTCATTGGATTCAATTATTGTTCATCCGCACACGATAACGCATACACCCCGCTCTCTGAGGAGTATTTCGGCCTGGCGCCATTTTACAAAAGCGGACATATTCCAATCAAATTACATCAACGTTCGCATCCTACAGGGTTATCATTAAGCACCTGGGTGGAAAGTGGCAAATGTAGATTTGTGTCTTGCAAAGGGACATTAGCGCCAAGGTGGTACTTGAACCGCCAACCAAGCGATCCACAGCCCGGTGACACATCCACTAGACCACGACACCTCTACATGTTATCAGCCATCATCTTTCCCATCATATTTAGGCTACATGTGCTGTAACAGCTTAGATACGTTGCAGGTTTTTGTTTAGCGTTCGGTAGTGTTTGCAAATTCATTTTGCGAAAGGGCGTCTAAACTCATTTGACCCAGCATTTATGGAATCGCTCCCTAATCTGACAGTAATTTGTTGTGCCGGGGGGTAAGATATATATACAATTTACTTGAAACAGTTTACTTCACTTAGGGAAAAAAGAGAAGTGGAACAAAATTAAATTCATGGGTTATACATATCTGTATTCAGGGAATACTACTCTTCCATTAGTTATCCATCCCCTGTATTTATATTGGCATAATCTTCAGAATATGGGCATTTTCCACGCTAGCGCCATAACTGGATCACATTGTAAATCACTTGGTTGGAATTGTACGTATACTTCCGTCTAGGACTAGCTTGTCATCACTGTTCATGCAACATTCACAATATATTAGGCGATTTACTTGTTCTCATACGAATACAACTACTACTTATTAATCCTTAAAAGAATGAAGAATGAAAGGAACATTGGTAACTGAATAACACCAGAGAGTTTCTAATTTATCACTTAATATCGCAATAATAAAATGTTGTGCATGAATAACAAAATAAAAGATATTCTGGGCACAGCATTGTCTCTTTTGGCTAATGCATTTTTCTTCCTCTTGCACATCTACACCTACTATACTGATATAAAGCGTCCGCCTCACAACCGGGAGGTCGTGGGTTCGAACCCCGGCCGCGTCATACCAAAAGACGTTAAAAGATGGGAGTTGTTGCTACCTTGTTTGGCGTTCAACAATAAGGGATAGAGCAACGTCGATCTGGCGCTGCTCAGTGGCTGCCGGGCTCACGATCAATTGGGCAAAAAGAATTTCCGTTTCGGTTTAATAACATTTGGAGTGGACTATTATAGGCTATTATTATTATTATTATTATTATATATAGGCCTACTATCCAAACGATCGCAAAGACTAAATTCAATTTCAACAGTCTTGCATGTGCATCACCCGAGTAAATTGTGCGAACATTACGATTACATGCTATAATTCGAACATGATTTTCATAGGCAATACAATGTACTTATTGCATTTGCATTTGAGATCATAATTATCAAACTAGTTTTCATATACGAGAATTGGCATTATATTAATTCTGCTGCTCGTATGTTTGATTAAGAAACTCCCGTCTTATATTTATTAGAGGATTTTCACTTTTTCAGTGAACACTGTCGTACATGACGTGAAGCCTTTTGATTGTCTGTGTCCTAATATTCAATTCCCTCGTCAATATACCCGGAAATAAACAACACAAAATAGACACAAACGCATTCAACGTGGTAAATAATCCTTATTTAGGACCCCCCCCCCCCAAGTAGCTTACAACACATATGACTCAAGGAATATAAGGGTTCAAAATTCAAGTACGGCATTGTGCTTTCAAATTGTTGAAAGCCGTTTGCTTCATATTGTTTACTTTTGTACGGATAAGTCTTATACGCGCTGAACTGAATACCTAGAGAGCGTAAGCATTTTTTTTGGGAAAAAGAGTATGTCTATAAAACGATATACATACATGTACGTACGCAACAACTGCACAAGGTGCAATTTGTTAGTAGGCCAATCTATCAAAGCAGTAATAATGTGTAAATTCCAGTCTTATATTTTAGAATATATATCTCAGTAGTATGTTTCTTACGGACTTACGATTTCCAATTTGAGATGAGTTCCTTTACATAACCAGTGTTTGCATATTATTGGAGTAACCTTGCCGTTAGCTGCCGTCCAATGTTCACTTGTCATTTTCTAAATATAATCAACCATTCCAGGAGCCCTCCTCATTTGGTCCCATTGAATTACTGCGCAAGGCGTGTCGATGTTTGTGATGAAGTCAAAAAACCATGCCCCGCAGGATGTATTTTCTGCATTGTTCGAAAAAAAAAAGTGTAAAAAGGGAAAGTCAGTCGTCTATGCTTGCCATACGCAAGAAGATCACAAAAGACACTAGACATGTTCAAAACAAACAATTATTCCACTGCTAAATAGAAGACGTGGAATTTCTTTCACGCCTTCTAACTCGTCTGCTAGCCGTAAGGAAAATGGAATCAATTATAAATGCACATGAAAACATACCAGAAGTAATGAAATGAAAATGTACCTGTATATTTTTTAAAGCGTTAACAAGAATTTTTCAAACATTATTCAAATTAAGAATTCTATTAAGATGAAACAAATCCGTTACGTTAATTCTCGTTTTGTGCCATCGTGTCTCGGTTATAGAAATCCTCTTTTTCTTAAAAAGAATGCATCATCAATATCATTTCGATAAGCAATGGGATATTGAAAATGTTATCCTCAATCAAAATCTAAAATTGTAATTACATTCCACCTGTTTTTCAAAGGATTACAATGAGTGCCTTTCAATATGAATTGCGTATTTTGATATGAAGTTAGGGATTATTCCAGGATGACTATGTTGACAACCAAATGAGAAGGAGATCGGTGTGAATCTATTTTAGCTTAAAGAATATGGTCGCATCTTAATAACAGAATGAATATTTGCAAGTATAGTTCACTTGTGTTGTCATGCAGTTTCTCTCCGTTTCCTAGATACAATTTATTTTTTAACTGATTTTGTTTGTTTGTTTGAACGTTTTCCATCTTCATTTCATAAAAAGTGTGCTTGCGTATCTACACGGGAGGATGTAGCGTCGTTGTTGTTAGTAGTCCAAGGAGTAGTGAATGCAATGGTAGTTCTACATGTTGTAGTTGTGCTTGTGGGAGTATAGATTATAATAACAACGTATTGTGTAATAGTAATGATAATAGAAGCAGTAGCAGTAATAATAGCAGTTATAGTAGCAGTAATAGTAATAATTAGTAATAATAATAATAACAGCGCTAGTAATAGTTTCTGTAGTAAATACAAATCCGGTGATGGCAGGAGTAGAGAAACTAGTAAAGTAGTAGAATAAGTATAATTATAAGGGCAGTAGTAGTAGTGGCAGTAGTAGTACAGAAATTAGCAGAAGTAGTACAATAATTGTACCAGAAGTACAAGAAGTAAAGGTAGCAAAATAATGACTGTAAGCAGTGAGCGACATCGTATATTCCATACCGTAGTTAAGGCTATTACGACTTATTATAAATCAATAAGACATCGTGGTCCAGATCTATGGAATGCACTCCCAGATTAAATAAAATCATGCAAACCTTAAATTCATTTAAATCCAATACTTTATAACTCCTTTTATAACTCCTGTATACTATAAAATGTCTGTGTCAGCCATATTTACATCAATATTTTTCATTTTAATTCTCATCATCATCATCATCATTATCATCAACATCATCACCATCATCATCATCATCATCATCATCATCATAATTTTTTAAACATTATTTTAATCGTCCACCCAGCCCCGGGATATCATGCTATTAAGCAAACGCTTACTATGACTGCCCTTCTTCTTCTGCAGATTTATTAATTTATAAATTCGTGATAGTGTGTATTCGGTTTACTTTTGTTTTAAAGTCAACGTTTCTATTTTATTATCATATTCTGTATAAGTTCAACAAAATTGTTTTGTTTTGTATAATGTTGTATCGTTAAAATGTAATTAGATTTGTATGTTTTGCAGAAGAAAATGAATTCAATTCAATTCAATTAAAAAAAATAACGTACGAAAACCATGGCATTTAAAAAAAAATCTGTCTATTAACTCTCCAGGCCACGGTGGTATAAATCAACTTGGGGGCATTTTCGCCAACGGTAGGCCACTCCCCATCCACATACGTCATCGAATCCTTGAGCTGGCTCACCTGGGACTCCGCCCCTGTGACATCTCCAGACAGCTTCTCGTATCACATGGATGCGTCAGCAAGATACTTAGCAGGTAAGAGACTGCATTTGCTTTTTTTTTTATCGTGGGCGTATCTCAATGGGGGTGACCCCCATTCTTTTTTAAATATTCTTTTTCTTTTCAGAATGGCAAATACGCGACTCTTTCTCAAATTATGCAAATGAAACAAAACAACCAAAACAACCCTATGGCAAACACTTAAAATGTCTTATTTTAGAATGATCGTCGATACTTTGATCTGATAATATGATAAATTTATGGAGACCTACCGGCAATAAGCTTTGTCACACGTTTCGGCACATTTCAGATTATCAGATCAGACCCATCCATAATTTAACTTTCCAGTTGTCCTTCACTCCAATATACGTGATGTGATTGTTTCGTTCACCCGAATTTTACGAGGGAGTAAAAAATAACGAGTGGGAGAAATAAAGGTACATCCTCAGGCTGATTAAAATTTTCCTGTTTATTTTTGGATTTTCCAATTATTTGGAATTATTATTCATAATGCATTCTTTCGAGGCGGTGAGAAAAATATTGATGTTAATCGGGCCCACGTCATTGTGACTTACATATCTAATCTCTCATACTCGATTACAAATTCCCGTGAAATTATAAGAATTTAAAACATTTTATCAATTCGAATCCCTATAACGACATGCGACTCAAGATGACTTTGAAAATGCATTTATATATTTATTGACAGATGAACTAGCCCGGTGAATCTTGGGTCAGTTTAAATAAGGAATAAAGGAATAGATCATACGTTCGTTTCTGATTAACTACAGCCTACATCGATTTGGAGTTGGAACTATGTCAGCCAACAAAACTCAACAGACAGTCAGCTAACGATGATTTCTATGCAAGTGGAGGAGAATATTCTTTTAAATGCTAATGCTAATACAGTGTTTACTAATTTTGATCAGAATATAAAGAAAATGAACAATGCTTGCTCTTCCCTCGAATAGTCCTTAAGTTTATAAATGATTTTTTTTTTAATTCTTCTTTTAAATAAATCAAACAATCAAATCAACAACATTTGGCTCACAACGTTGCACATTAGAGAGATTTAAACTTTAACATTCAAACTGGTATATTTAAGTTACTTTTCTTTCCATGTTTTACCCAGGTTTGCGGAAACGGGCTCCATCCTACCGGGAGCCATCGGCGGGAGCAAACCCCGTGTGTCCACCCCCGCTGTGGTGAATCGCATCGCACAGTACAAGCAGGAGAACTCCTCCATGTTCGCTTGGGAGATCCGAGAACGACTGCTCCTGGATGGGATCTGCAGTAAGGAGACCCTGCCCAGTGTTAGCTCCATCAACAGGATCCTCCGAAACTGCTCTTCCGAACCAGAGGAGAGAACAGGTAAGTGACGTCATCCGAATCTAGGGACTTCAGATTTTGACCTGGTGAAAATATAATTAAATTGAAATGGATGCTATATATATATATATATATATATATATGAATTATGTACATTGTTTGATCAGTTTTGTCTAGACTCCAGCGGAAACCAGTCAAGTAATTTCACGGGAGTAAATTGTTTGGGTTTTTGATCGTGCATACAACTGATCAAGTAAAATTTGATTTCAACTAACTTGTAGGGCGTTGGATGGAACACAGAAATGTGATAGAATATTGGTTGTTAACAAACCATCAAACCGGGAAATACTTTACGAAAAGGTGTAAATCATTTATTCGAATTGAGTGACTGCATATTTAATTGATTCATTGATTAATTGATATGTTGGTTGAATCATAACTTATATGATTGAGTGTGCGACTGACGATTAATGGACTTGTAAATATACATGTAGACCTACATGATAGATACATGTACGACAAGTAAATTCCTTCACAGACTGTGAAAGACAGAAAATCGAAAAATGGATTTCGACACAAAAAGAATGTCAATAAATCCATTGGATGCTCACCTTTGTTTCTTCTCGACAGTCAAGTCATGTTATATTGACAACTTTTTGCATAATGTTTAACCATCGGTGCTTTCTTCTGCTAATAATTATCTTCATTTCTCTTTTTGATTAAGACAATGTGAATGATGATCCAATGCGACACACCAAAGATGCTGATAGTCTGCACATGCCAGGAAGCCTATCTCCAACATCACTCGGACGGTACCACGAAGACAGAAGGTCCACGCCGACGTCACCGTCCGAAGTCTCAACGACGACTACACCTCCACCCCGACGCTCGTCCTTTGCCGTGGACGATATTTTAGGTCTTCGAGACTCTCAGCCGATGAAGAGACCGAGACTGGAGATCGACAGAGACGAGAAGGGTAGTCCGGATGAACCAGGTAATGAAGATTTGCGACAGACCAACATTTCATCTGTTGCAAAGATAGTGGATTAGTGCTAGACACAATAATGCCGCTCCGAAGTGGGTTTTACGGCACATACTCCAGCGACAATAATTATTGTTCCACTGTCAATTCCTTACTCTGACCGTGACGCTCGACGAAACACTATACCTAACCTTAATCCTTTAACATAACCTAAATACCATCAGCAACCAGGGGCAGACTTTGCATGGATAATCTTTACAGTTTTTGTCATGGCCTGCTCCATACTTTGGTTTGAGGGTAATTTGCTTTGTGGCCTAATCGAGGGCTAGTTACCAGGATTAAAGTGGACAGGTGTCATCAAAATTCCCCATCCAATTCTCAGTCCTTGTCAGCCCCCTAAACATAACCCTAAACATTCGCCCTATATGTTTGAAAAATGAAACCCGGAGCAAATCATCCAGTATTGCGTTCTCTATAGAGGTCGTGTATTTTTGTTTTTGGGCCAAAACTGCAACAATTTCAATTTCAATTTCAATTTATTTATTCAACCATAAAAAAATACATATAAAATAATAATTCATGAAAATATAAAAACATGGGTTAGGAGCCCCTGAAGAAGTTTGAAACCAAACTTGTGATTGGGGCACCAACCATGACACATATATCGAGAAAATTAACAAAAACAACAACGATGTGATATTTCGTACTTGTGTATGCACCTTAAGCGTTCTTAGCGAAAAGTTAAATTCTACTCACAACTCCCAACCCATTTCTCAATTTCATTTTAAATTGATTTTTATGTCATAACGTTGACCCGAAAATCATCCAATGACGATGGAAACGCCATTAATCTCAACAACAACAACAATTGTAGCTTAGAAGAAATGTGAATAGACTTTTGCTATAAAGTAATGTCAATAACATGATGTCCCGCTTGGAAGTATTTCATGATTTGGATGGCCTTACTCCAAATTTTCAAATTCGATATCATAAATAATACTTTTGTTTCTCGTTGTGATATGCAGTCTAAATGTTTTCCCCGGGAGATTAATGTATACTTACTGGCGTAATCCATGTTCGTATCATTAAGTCGGTAGATGAAAGGCTAAAGTGTAATTGCATTTTGATGGAATCGTATACATGCTTGCGGACATGAATCGAATATAATCAATATTATGCCAGCCTTCCGACAAATAAATATAGGCCATTCACAATGAGAGGGACAATCCACTGAAGGTAACATTTTACTCAGCGCAGGGACATAATCCCCTACCGGTCTCATCTCAGTATTCATTAAGGAATCATCACCTTTTCCCTAGCAATGGATCGCAATCAACAAACATTGACCAACGCTGTCAATACTTCATAAAGATGCCGCTAATTAAGGCCAAAATCTGTCAGAATCCAATATTTCACCAGACACTACCCCGCAGGGCAACCGTCTGTGTAATTCGAACATACTATTTTAGAATCAATACGACACGATTATAGGTCACTTTGAACCGATTAGTCGTACCAAATGGTTAGTATTTAAAATTAAAGTATTACGCGCTGACTTGTGGGAGCGCTGTGGAAGAGTGCTTCAAGATAGACTGTGAATCAAGAATTCGAGTCCTTCCCAGGGCATGTATCCGTATTGTCACGTTAATCTATCATTACCTTTCTCGACCCAGATGTTATTAACTGGTTTGTGGTACATGTAGATCGTTTTTTAAAGAAATTGAAAGCACTATAGGACCTATGTGAATGCGCAGCTGTATAGAAATTGTGAAAGTAAAAATTAAGCTTCCTATCGATCCATGAAAAGGAGAATTGTTATCATTATAACCCCCATTTTTCGACGAAATGAATTTTCCCGGTAGACGGAATAACTTCGGACTTATACCCCCAAAAAGGGGGGAATATAAACCGTTAACCTGAACATAAATGGAATTTTCATTCTCTTGTTAGTTTGCTTTATTTGGATATAGTTCTACACTTTATCTGATATCGCGTATCATTATTCTTCAAATCATGAGAAATAAGATAAATAACCTAGATAAACATTTGTGTATAGATTCTCCGCACCCAATCTTGTGAATAACTATGGCTCGGCTACATTTTTACAGGCGTTTGTCATGAGGACAAAAAAAAATATATGGTCATATCTTTCTAAAACGTTCCCGCGTAGTAATGATTTAAAATTGTGCTTGTTCAGCGCTGAATATGATGTATCGTGAAACATTTAAAATTGCCTTTATAACTTTGAGAAGTCAACATCTGTAATCGCATCTATCATCTAGGTATTATAATGTAGAGAAAAGCTTATCTACAAATCGAAATGAGAGGGCGAAATATCGATATTGGAGAAGCCTTTAAAATCATATAATTGGAAGGGAAAACCCAATTAGATAGAGAACGAAATCATTAGAATTAATCTTCGGAAGTCGTTACGAGTAATCCAATGACTTTATACTGTAAATGGAGTCGAGATGCATTAAAAGTCCCATTAAAAACCCGGGATGTAATTGTGCCAGTTGTTCATTTGCATGAATAAATGTTCCGTTGCGCCATTCCCGAGTGATATCTGGCGATCGATTGCAATCAATCGGTTAAAAGGACGGCGCTCACTTTGTGTTGTATTGATCGCTGGCAAAATTAGTCCTTGCATAATATTTACGTTTTCGTTTGGCAACCCGACAAAGGGAAAGATTTTTGAAGCTGGACAATTTAGAATTTGTGATCAGCTCAGTCCCTCCCATCCAGCGTGAAACTGATTTTTCAATCCCCTTTTGTTTGGAAATGACTTCGATTTTACAAGATATGGAAACAGCGGGAAATGAGTTGGCGGTCCTGTTCATCTGTTTTTTGCCCAAATGCTGTCATTATTAAGAGTAATTACAACTGTGACGGCATTCATACAAACGGTCACAGTGGACGGTCACATATCGACCTTATATCACCGAAAGTGGAACGTATTAGGACGGCGTTTTATACGAAGAAAGCATCTAACAAAACGATTTTCTTTCGAGGTCGCTTTTATCCTTCATTAAGCGAAATCCATAGCCCATTATCTCCTTATGATATGGGTTTGTAATCGCTCCATTGGCTAACATCATCATTGGAAGAAAACCCGAACAGAAGAAGTTTTGTTTCGATGTCCTTGAAATAAATCCATGTCGATAAGCTTTACTAAGTTTTTTCATTTGTCCTTTCATTATCATTTTTCTAATTTCCCAGATCAAAAGAAAGCCCGCCGAGAATGGAGAGACGTTGGAGATGTTGATGTGAGGAAAAACGTAGAGCGCCCTCCACATATTGCCTTACCTCACGCTGAAAAGTGGCTGGACAACAAGGTAAACACTCGAAATCTGCATGGGCAATCGCTAGAATGGGAGGGGGGGGGGAGGGGGGAGGGGACTGATTCCCTCAATATCAATTTGTTGGTAAAGTATCACAAATAGTCACCGTTCTCAGCAAATATATTTGTCGTCGATAATCACTTGGCATGAAAAAATGATATTGGCAGGAAGAAAACAATTAATTTCACATACACTGTAAAAAAATAATAGTCGAAATAACTCAATAAAATTAAGGAAAAGAATTGCCTTATTATTATTAAGTAAATATTACCTACGGCATCTTAAGTAGAATTTACTTATTTTGCTGAATAAATTTTTACTCAGTTAAATCGAGTTACATTAACGTAAATAATTTAAGTATTGTAATCATTTTAGATAATTAAAAAAAAGCTATGATAGGATTACATATTGCACGATTTGGTACCCATCTAATCTAACAAGTAACATCCACTAATCATTCACTACTTCTATTTAAGATTTAACCGTATATTTATATCTACCACCATCACAAACTATTACATACGCTTCAATTCGACACATATTGAAAGGCTCCAAATTTTATATATACTTGATCGTAGCATCTTAAAAGGAAAATTGGTTGACAATTTCCTGAAATATCAAGTTTTGATTTGTTTTGAACTGGGTAACAATTAAAAATTGTCTTGTCTTTGCTTAGCCATGTTAAATGAATTGGTAAAAAATATAAATATAAATATTTCTATTACGCACTGCATCGGTCCTTACTTTAAAAAGATAAGAATAATCAACATAAATTGCTTGAGTAATACGTACAATTTCTGATTTTGAGTTAAAATTACTAAATTAATACAAGCTGAAATTACTTAAAGTTCTTATGTATTTGATTTTACTTAAATATTCCACGTATGTTCTACTAAATTGAAAGTTTGAGTTAGCAAGACTTAAATTTAGTGCGTAAGTGGCAAAACTAATGTTTTCAAGTAAATTCTACATGGAAAAAATACGTAAAAATTACCAATGAACAAATTTTTTTTACAGTGTATACACATAAAGACAAACTGAACTGGTAACTGGTTTAAAATTAATTACAAGGAAACGGGGAGTCCTTTATCTTGGGTGTAGGGGCAGTGGTCAAAGAATGTATCCCGTTTCCAGGGGACTGACATAAATAATCAATTTTACAGTTGAATTACAGTATAACAATACTATCTTCTGGTTTAAGTTTACATTACTTTTATCCAATAAGTGCGACACTGAATAATATTATTGCATCTCTTTTCGGCGAAAGCACGAGTTTATCAATCATAATCATTGCTCTCTCTCTCTCTCTCTCTCTCTCTCTTTCCACCTCTTTCTACCTCTCTATACATAATAGTAATGAGAGACATGCCATTTAGATAGATCCAGGTAAACTAAATCTTATAATAAAATGTTAAAGACACATTCTTTCAACACAATAATCACGGTTTGTGCCACATTAAGTGTAACAAATCCAACAAGCAAGTTACATCATGTAATTTACTCCCAATACCATACCAATTTAAGGATTAGCAACAGTTCAAACCTTCAAGAAAGCGCATTTTCTCTTTAAAACATCATATTTGACAGCTATTCAATAAAAACATCACACTAATTTACCCCAAACATGAATCTATGAGAAAAAAGATTATGTAGGTTTTCTGCATTTTGTTCATCTTATATGATAATAGTTTCAAATTATGCCCGTAAATGATTTTGTCCTCGTCTTTGAGGTATTAAATTGGTTATTAATAGATTAACTCTGTGTGTGCAAAGCTTAAAATTGGTTTATACCACATGAACTAACATAAAACGAATTCGTGAAAAGTCGATAGTCAATTGCGGATTACAATGACTATAGCTTAACGAAAATACCTTTGAAAATACCAAGAACAGTTTAAAAGAAGACATAGGAATGAAACATTCGAACTCACATGGGAGGTATTTTTTTCGGATTGGCACATATTCAAAGCTCATCCGTTGCAGGTGCTGTCACTGATTACCGATCTCTAACTGTGTGGTCTAATTGATGCGTGCCTGTCCTGGGGGTGTTTCACAAAGATTTTAAGTAGAACTTAACTCTAAGTTGGACTTTAAAAATATGGAGAGCCATTTGTAGCCTTAAAATAATATATATTAAAAAGCAAAAATTCAAGTATTTTAGACTTTTCATAAATTCCACATCAAGATTATGAAATCTCCCACGATAATAGAAAATATAAATGATTTGAATCAACATTTTATGCCTTCTAAAATAACTTTTACAAAACATGTTCAAAGAAACTAACGGCTTTCCATAATTGTTAAGTCCGACTTAGAGATAAGTTCAACTTAGGATCTTTGTGAAACACCCCCATGGACGTTTATGCGAAGACGGGGGCGGCGTACAGGGGCACTTGCCCCCGACAATTATTTGTGAATCACCTCTTTGACATATAACGCGATTGATTATTGCATTTGCTCTCCAAGTACAGGTACTTTGTTGTGATGTCTTTATTTGAATATTTTACATTATTTTACGGACCCCAAATTATCATTTAAACATCCTGAAATTATCAATTAAGTGCAATCCTGAAATATTCCCCCCACACCCACACACACGAATTGCCTTTAAAAAAACGCGTGCTCCAAACGAATTCAATGTAAATGTATAGTTCAATCAAATTCAATTCAATTCAATACAATGTGTTACATCAAGAGAAAGTTTCAAGCTACAAAATGTACAATAATTACAGTAAATCATAATCCTCGTTTAAAAACTAGACATAGGACCGTAAGCATGATAAACTAGGGATTTATTTCACGAGATTTCTTTTTTTTACAATTAAGAACAGCACAAGTTTTCAAATATCTCCATTTTTAAATTGCTACCCTATAGAAGTCGATGGAAGATAGTAGATTGACAAGGCGAAAATAAAGCAAACAGCGGTAGTTTTGAAAACGATATATTAAAAAAAAAAACACTTATCAAATTTCTTTTCTAACTCTATAAAATAATTTTTCTGGAGCGAGAAAATACTTGAAACATTAAACTGAGCGGTTCATTGATATAACAAATTGATACCACGGTACCCATTTGTGCGTCATCCCATTATCAAACTCGTTGGTAGATTATCTCCCCAGATAATTATCGTTCATTCTTAGCTAAAAAAAATAAGATAATCCATGTTATTCACTGCACTGTTATCATAAAATGTTTTCTTCTACACGAATATAACCTTTCTGATTTAACATTGCAAGTATTTTGTCAAAAAGTTTCATGGCTAATGCCATTTTGTTGTCTTTGTCATTTAAACCAAATTCGATTTTCCCACATTAGCATTACGGTATAGATTTTAGCATCATTCATTCACCAATCTGGCGTTACATTTCGCGGTTTCCAGTCAGAAAATCATGCACTAATCCATATGGACACCGCAAAATGACATATCGAATTGAACAGCGGTATCATGCAATAACGTTTCCCGGAACCACAAAAAAAAAAAAATAGAGAAGTTATTCTAGTTTTAGAAGCGCTGTGTGGTGAAGATGACGTATCACGTGACAGTATGTTTAAGAATGGAATGCAGGTGATCGGATTTCATTTATTAAAAAGATTAAGAGATTATGTTATGACATGGCTGAAACCACCGTTGCCAGAGGAGCAAAGAAAACAATTATAGAGAACGGAAACACATTTCGAAACGAGACAAGACAATGCATGGCAATAAATATTGATTAATTGAATGTGTTCAACGATTCCTTGAAAACCTATCTTTAGAATATCTAGAGATCCACCTTGAAGGCCAGTGATTAAGAATATCGATACAGCTTTTATCGGGGATAGGCAACATTCCACCCCCTCCAAAAAAAATCACCCCACACCCATTGGTCTTTATCTGAGTTGAATGAAGAATATGTTAATATATCTTGCATGTCCGCTTCTGTTTCCTTTTCAAACTTGTTCTATCTTTCTCTCTTGTCACCCTCCCAGGTCTCCTCCTTTTCTCGTTATCCCTTAATTTCTCTCTTCTTTCTCGCTCTCACACTATCCTTTTGTCTAACTACCTATCCATTTCCTCTCCAGAATACACTTTTTTATTCTAAAAATAGTCATCTCTTGCTTCCCAGTCTTAGAAATGTCCAAACAAATAATACAAAATTGGTTCCCCAGCTTTTCTTTCTTGATAAAAATGGACCCATCGATTTCTCCAACCTGTGGATCATAAGTTGAAATCAATGACTGAAGTGTTCGTGACATGTATTAAGAAAAACCTCTTCGTGTTCTTGAATTCTAAAGTAGTGTGTTATTCGATGACCACTTCATCGTTGCCTTATCCACTGTACCAAAAAGGTCACGCCACTCAGGATTTAACTAAAGCAAGATGAATAGCTTTGTGGAGATTGCAAAAACAGGCTGTCACGTTCGTCTCAGTTTCTTCTCCTTAAATCATCATTCATCAAAAGACGAAGACTCGTTAGATTAGGTGAAATATGCATCATATAATGAGTTGCATCAAATGAAAGAGGAGGATCTAAGCTTTACAAATAATATGTGTCAATTATTATAATTGTGATTGAGTTATGATAAAACATTGATAATTCTCGGTTTCGTTTTTTTCTGGGACGCACTGTATATATATATATATATATTTTGTAAATATATATATATATAACTTTGTTTCTTACTCTCATCCCATTGCCTTGGGACTAGATATCGACTTCGTCTAGATATCAAAGTAGCCGCGAACAATTTGAAGGACAATAGAGTGAAACCATGCGCACCCACCCGTTTGTCAAATCTCCTGAATTAAAAGATGACCAAATCGATGAAGAATCGTCATACTTAAGCTATTCTCCATCTCTATACTGACATCAAGGCTACTTGGTAATTGGATAAGCAGGTTGTCGTCATCTATTTTCAATTTGTGAGAAATAAAAATACACTAATGGAAGTACCAAAGGAATAAAATGACCGGTGGGACAGGCCGCCACGTTGCAGCGAAGTAGTTGAAAGGAGTTTATTTATTTATTTTTAAATCAAAGTTTACAGCATATTCAGTGATAGTTGTACAAATCCCCACCCTCTCGTTATGATTCAAATAATAGTTTCGTTAACGTTTATAACTTTTTAGCTACAGATTTGCAACAAGGGGATGCTTCTCATTTAGTGAACGTTTCTTTCGATTCACGCATGTATAGCCATCCAGGCACCGTATATGGTCCATTCTCAGACATTTCTTCCTGTCTATATCCGTTTTCCCCAATGCTCTACATTCCAAATAAAATGCTCTAAGGCCAAGAGTTACTTCTTAGTACATGTATGAACAGCGCCCTGTCGATATTAAACTGTTCGATAGTATTTTTAGATGAAGGCAACTGAATAATACACATACTTTTTTGATTAAAAAACAACTATTTATTGTGCTTCCATTCAACAAATTCATAGAAAACAAAATTACATTTTATAAATAATACAAAAACAAGCTCATACGTTTCGAATGATATGACCAAAAAAAAATGCAAGAATAGAACAATATAACATAAAATACCTTAAACTCCCTCTCCCCCTCAGTCTCCCTCTCCCCCTAAAACCCCCAACCCCCCTAAAACACACACACACACACACACACACACACACATAACGCACACTCACAAATAACCCACTTTCGCGCACCCACAAACTGTTATCAATATATTTTCCCTTCATTTGATAATCTTTGAAACAACACTTTCGTTTGTTGATTGATTAGAGATTTTCTGTGAAGAAGAAGTATTTTAAGTCTAGCACCGAGGCTGCATGTCAGCATATTACACAGTAGACTCTTTTCTGTATGTATTTTTTCGTTTGCTTTCATCTGACATATCTTCTTTGTTTTGTGGGCTCTTTTACTTACCATTATCATATTCTTTACTTCTCGGTAGTTTGTTATGAATACAAATTTAAAAGACCTTTTTCAAAAAGGAAAGACATAATACCCTCACAACATGTGCATTGGGTTGCTTTTAACGCTTTTCTACCATCACTTTCGCTGTTTCCTGGTACACAAAACATTTCTGGCAAAGTACAAATCACTTTGTTTAAAAAAAAAAATCGCATCATGAATGGCTACATTCAAATGTTTATCATGTGTATTTATCGGTCAACTGATGCATTCCAGGCTGTAACACACCAGCCTTCTCCCACGAACACACACACACATTTTTCACCGTTTCAAATGAAACGGTGGGACGTACACGACCACAAACAATAATCCTGCAACTGACAATCAATACCCAACAATCACTCGATCGATACCATTGGTCCACTTGATAGTACTTCAGTCACGCTATTCGATCGAGTTGTCATTCTTCCCATTACACCTGCACGCCTATTAGGGCGATACCAGGTGTTTACCATGGGTGTAATCGAGAACCAATAGTCTTTGAAACAATCGTTAATTACATACCCTACATCGCCGTGTCATTGTCAATTTGTTTTACACAGCGTTCAACTAAATAAAGTAAAACGTCATTGTTTCAAATTAGAAAATAGGAAGAGTTAAGTATAATGTTATACCCAGTCATCGCAGAATTAGTAAATTATACAGAATGACAAGTGTATTAAAGAGGAGGAGGTGGATACACTTTCCAAATTCCAACCCAGAATATAATCATTTAATCTCTCCGTGGATACGTTGTTTGCATTTTGTATGTAAATCAATAAAGTGAAAAGCGATCAGAATTGTTAGACAGAACGACTCAATGAGCAATTTTCTTACGCTCAAATGTCATTTTGTTGGATTGCAGTTTGACAATAACGTCTTATCTTATATGAGACAAGGTCAGAAAGGGCCTCTGTCCAAAAATTCACAAAATCGATTCTTCCAAATGAGCGGCTACAAATAGATCCAACCGTGTTGACAGAAGTAACATATCTAATTGTTTACCGTCATGTGCTTAAAACTGTCACAACGACTTTGTGACATCACTGTTTGCAGATGTTATTAAAAGTGTTCCAGATGTTACCACCTGACATACTTAATTGATTTCCCCTCATTTTTATGGTGAATTGTTTGATCTTTCTATGTGTCTTTCTACTTCACACGTCTTGACGTTTTCCTATCATCTTCATCAAGTACCTGGAACTCTCTCATCCGTACTGCAAATACATTTGATCACATTCTCCCATTCTCACTAGTTGCATAGCTACAAAGAAATGTCGTATGATGGGGGAGGGGGGGGGGGTAAACAAAAAGAAAGGGAGAGGGAATGAAATGTGAGAAGATGATACCATCCCACCACATCTTTCCCTCTATAACTTTATTTGCTCATATTTCATCATTCTAAGAAGTCGGTGCCCCACTCCTTCCCTCCCATAATGATACAGGTCCTTCCTTCAAAACTTTGACCCACGAAACGCCTCTGACACGTTGGATTCTTAACGATTAAAAAAAAATGTTCATGGCCAAAAATAATGGACTCTATTGTTTGCGCGTAGGACATTTTAGTTTTACGTTTTTGCCTATAAATCGCATTCGTTTTTATCAAGAAAATTCTTAACCGATCTTTTTCCCATTATTCTATCATTCACAGGCACTGAGATTATTACAGCAACATTCTCGACCCGAAGCGGCCAAACCAGTCGTCGAATTGCCGCCCTCACCGACGTTTCTTCCAGCTCGTCATCAATCCATTCCTCCTCATCTTCCACTGGCGAACACCAACCTCCCGCTGGCACGATGGGCGTTACCCTTCCTCACCCTCCGAGGGGGGCAACATTTCCCCCAGCACCAGAGGCCACCCCTTCCTCTTCACCCATCTATCATACCTCATCACCCCCATCACCACGGTCACACCCAATCCACGATGCAGCTTCCGCACCTAATGCCACACCAATCGCTCTTACCTCACCCTGCGATCCCACATCCCGCCATGGTGCATCCAAGATTCGTTCTTCCAATCAGGGATCGAGATGAACTCGCTCTTCCTCCTGGAAAAAGAAATGGTATCAAACCCACCTTTATCCGGAATGACATAAAGTCCCGCATTCTACAGTATTGTATTCCCGCTGCCGTTCCAAGTAAAATGATTACATCACAATGAAAATGCACTATTTCATACTGTAATATTGATAATCATTATTTCCAGATTTCGATAGCATTATGCGTTTGAGTGATTTAATTCATAATCATGATAACGATGTTTTTTCATTGCGTATTGACAATCGTATCTTATAATGAGATTCAGGCTAGAACAATAATTGTTTTCACTTGTGTACCTACATGTGTCTTCCTTTTCATCAGGCCTTAATTAATTTATTTATTCGATATGGCTCTGATAATAATAATAATAATAAATAAGCCTTATGCCTTTGCAATTATCCCCCTTTTCTTTCGTCAACGATCGTATAGCGTGCAACCTACTTCTATTTAATCAGGCATTTCAATCAACATGCTATGCTGCACTTTATCACTTGTAAATTCAAAGTAATCATGATCAGCGATTAAATAACTTTGATGTTTTGTTTCATTAAGCGCCTATACAGCGCATGCATGTAATAATGCTCTTCCGAAGAGCTTGATGAACCATTACCCTGACTTTTGTGTACATTTATAGTAATAATCATTACTGGTACTAAAGTTCTCTAGGTTTTTCTTTATTTAATCAACGATTCTGATACATTTTTTTATTATCGATATGTAATAATGGGAGTGGCGTGGTCGGGTGGTTTAAGGCGCTTGACTGGAGATGCGAAGGTCGAGGGTTCGAATCCCGACACGGCACTAATATCCTCTGGCAAGATAATAACCTGTACGTGCTAATCTCCACCCAGGTGTTAAATGGGTACCCGGTAGGATGCGACCGTCATTGTCGGGTCAAACAGTTTTTGAGCGTCAAGAAACGCCTGGCTGGAAATAGTATATCTGTAAAGCGCTTAGAGACATATTTTGTATTAAGCGCTTTATAAAAGCTAAATATTATTTATTATTATCATTATTGTATTTGATACAGTGGAAATTTGGTTCAATCTTCAAAGTTATGTTTTGTTCCCTTTGCCGATAATGAATCCAGGGTGCATAAATTATGTCTGACCAGAATGAATATGATAGACTTCAAACGCACACGTATTGCTCTAGATTGAAAATAACATTTTTTAAAAAAGATATTCATTATGCAAATGAAATAGGCACGTTTGACCCAACAATGCAACAAACAATGAACAGCAATGTTCAAAGTTATTGTTGGTAGAAATGAAACAAAATTATTTAAAGCAATAATCGGATAAAAGGCCTAGTAAAATATATAAAAAGTTCTTATGCAATAAAATATGCAATGATTTATCGTAAAGAACTATTCATGTGATTTTCAGTCAAATAAAATGTCTGCATTTATTATCTTCTTTAAATATATTCTCACAATAATTATTTCTGAGTTTGTTTTACGTATTCGCCTACCTGAAACATTCAAACTATATGAAAACTTAATTCTGCGATATTGTCTTTCTGTTATACCAAAGCGTCTTCTATTAAAAGGTCTAGCTAACTTTGAGGGGGAAGAGTGAGTTGTTCAGTATTATACCCATCTTGCTTGGAAAAAGCATATTGGAATGTTTCAGGAAAAATGTCTATATTTACGGTGTACTTTCAAATTTGCCTCTACTTGTTTTTGAGTGCATGAGAATCGTTCACGGAAATGTGAACAATTTTGAATTAGATTTTCGAGGAAAATATTTAATACATGTCTTCCACACATTTCGAACATGTGTCGTTACAACCCCCCAAACTTGGATAGTATATTTTCATATTACCATAAGTGCTTCATAATTCTGTATACATAAATGCATTATGTTGTTCTTCCTCAAATCCAATGAATGGTATTTGTATATTTCTATATTGATGCAAGACGAATACATATCAGTATTATGAAACGTTGTATATGCAATATTGTAATCAAGAGATTTGTAAATACAGAATAGTGTAAATAAAAACCTTAATGATATGGCAATTCTGTCTGGTGTCGTCCTGTATTATGCTGTGATGAAGTATTCATAATGATTATCATAGATGTGATATTTACATTGGGATAGAGAGAGAGGGAGAGAGAGAGAACGAGAGAAACGGGGGAAGAGAGAGAGAGAGAGAGAGAGAGAAAGAGAGAGAGAGGGAGAGAGAGAAAGAGAGAGATGGAGGGATGGGAGGGGAGAGCGAGAGATAGCGACAGAGAGAGAAAGAGAGAGAGAGAGAGAGAGAGAGAAACATGGAGAGAGACAGAGAGAGAGAGAGAGAGAGAGAGAGAGAGAGAGAGATCGAGGGAGAGAGAGAGAATCGGGGACAAGAGCGAATATGGAATCGTTAGGCACGTGTCAAAATAGTTTTTTTCTGTAGGTTTCATTTATTATGCTTGACAATGCTCGACAATGCCGCATATATATATTTTCGATGTAACGTCAATCAATATATTAATTAACTCTTCCACTAAAAATACAAATTTAAATCAGAGTCCCTACACGAATCATTTTTCTTCAAAAGACCTTTCGATGTCAATGCAATATTTTTTAAATAGCTGGTGAGGTTGCATTATTTCTACTTCATTCAATCCCCGGCCCCCCCCCCCCACTCAGTATTATTTAGGGTACGCATATGCTCGTTCCCTCTTTTTGAAAGCATCTGAGGACTGCCAACATTTCCGAACCCCCCTTTCGCGGGCTTTTCCTGCCTTGGAGACCACCCTAAATCATGAAAAATGCTCAATGTACCCTCCTAAATTCGGAATAATTTCTCAGGAGTCCAAAGAGACGAGAGAGAACAAAAGAGAGAAAAAACACCCCCTTTTTAAAGAAATCTCCGGGTGAAAAGTTATTACACCCCTTTTTTTACAATTCTCGGGCCGGACTTTGTCGCACGAAAAGTACCTCTTTACCGGACATTTTGGTAACACGCATGGGGTCATTCCGACCCCGGAGTGGGGGGGGGGGGGGGGGGGGGCGGGATTCAATCCCATTCATAGAAAATCCCTAGTTGATTTAAAGATAAAGTTGAGCTCTGGTCATGCGATTGCATTGTGAAAGAAAAGGTGTGGAATGGATCAGAAAAAATTGATCATGTAGCATATAAATATTGGTTCTGGAGTCATCAAAATCATAATAAATTTGGCCCAGTCCGTTGGTAAAGTAATTAACATACCGAGAGCTTCTCATCTTTTGCTCTTTTCCCCATTTTTTGTATACTATATTTCGCTCTTGAATTAGGGAAAGAATATCTTCAGGCACCCAAGTTTCTGATCTTTGTTTTATATTTTAATCCGTTTCAGAGGCGCCATCATATTTTCTACCAAAATTGTTTGGAAAGTGACATTTATTTGTAATCTTGAATATTCAGTGTTAGTTTCGTTTGATTCTGTGAGAATTCATTTTCCTTTTTTACCAGAACTCAAGTTTATCTTTAATTTCACTTTCACCATCGATTATAAAGTATTTTTTCTAAGAAATAAACCTTCATCAATGTACATAGACCCTATGTCCGTCCAAACGAATAAACGTATTGTTAAAAATAATTTCATTCCTTTTTACATGCAGGTAGGCTTTTTAAGCAAAACTTCTTTCATAGCGACCCAATTCTTCCAGCATATTCCTATAAAAGCTTGGCAAAGACAATTTACTCATGCTCAATAAAAACACTACTAACACATTTACAGATTTCCCTCAAGATCATGTCTATTAAAAAAAATTGTTTCCATCCATAGAGCTATATATCTCTTTGTTTCCATCGCAACTTCTCTTCGATGCATGGCGCTGGCCCATGCCCCAATCTGTGCCACAGAAAAAAAAATAATGCGGGCGGGCGGCGTAGAAGGCTCTCAATCAATCGTATGTTATCGTTAGGGCTAGCTACTTCCGGTTAATTCAAATTTTCGTGTCCCTGATTCCGAACTGCTGTTTCCGATGATTTTTCCAGACCCTTGACGATTATTGCATTAAAATGAATAAAAATCCAAAGGTAAGAATAGTTTTTCCTATTTTCGTAGCATATGAACTACAAGAAACTAAATGCAGCGTACATAAAATACTTTTAGTTGGTGGCGTCAAGCGTCAGGTTGCCAGGTTACGCTAATTTCAGTCCCACGTACTCAAATTTGTGTATCAAGATGTGACATGAATGATGAAGCAGTAAGTCTAGACTAGGTTTATGAGTAGACCTCTGTGGATGTATTGAATGAAGATTGGAATGCGTGTTCACTGATTACACAAAATTATTCCATTTTTATTTTAGCTACGAGGAAGCAAGGTTGCACAGACAATGGGGACAGGGTTTCTGATCGCGCACCCGATGTTGTGTGCTAAAATCCTGCATGGCGCTAATTGTTCAGAAACCTATCCAAAATTTGACCCGTAACTCCAGCGTGGAGATACCCTACTAAAACATACCTAAAATGAAGTAAATATTCATTAAATCTCCAAATAGAGATCATGAGTTAAAGGTCGTTATGTTTATTAGACTCTAGGCCTACCTGATTCGTGTCAATTTTCTTGTTATTTTTGGAGTATTTTTCAGAAAAACATTGATAGATCTAGATCTAGTAATTAGACAATTAGTATACAATTTTTCACAGGTTTCATGGCAAACCGCTGCACAATACAAGTGCATACCGATGGTGGGTTGAGGGCGGGCGCGCGCCTGTGTGAAGTTATCTACCGTAATTACGGTAGATAACTTCACACTCGCACTCGATTGCAAATTTGCAATTAATCGGAAAACTTACGCTTGATTTTGGGGATTTGCAATTGATTGCAACCTACTTGTAATGCCTCACCAGTCTTATTGTACTCTAAACTTTAGAAGACTAAGTATCACCAGTCTTTTTTAATTTTTTTCTTCAAATATTCTATTTTCAGGTTAATCAGTCGTACAGGTATACGGCCCAGCGAACACGAGGTATAGGGTAAGAATGGACATATTTTCCCTTATTTGTATCCAGGTACCGGTAGACCAAGTTTATTAGTGAACTGTACTCAAGAGTTTATAGAAATCATGAATATGAGGGCACCTTCTGTTTTACTAATATATATTACAACATTTTCTTCAGGTGCTTTGTTGCTTAAAGGGATAGTTGAGTTTTGTTGCAGAGGGCACAAAACAATACTTTGTGAGATAATGAAAAACTGTGTGTCAAATTTGAAAGAACATACAATTTAAATCCCAAAATCATCTTTATTTGATCAAAATTGGTTCAGAGATGGCTGAAATATACATAAATATAACGACTTCTAATATTGGTGGTGCCCCACAAATATTTGATAATTTGAACCAACTATTGAAAAAAACAGAGACAGCGCCTTATACATTTATTTCCAATCAATGCCGATGTTGGCTTTTTGTTGTTGGTTATAATATGCACAACCAGTCGGCCCGTGTATTTTTTAAATTAATTAATTCATTAATTAACGGTCACCATATTTTTTTGAAAGTGGAGCTGAATTGGGATTAACGTAATGGATATATTTCACACATTTTGGGGTCTAAAATTACCTTCATAGCAATTTAAGGTCCTAAAAGAGTACTAAAAATGTATTAATAAGAATAAGAGCAATGACCATACACTTTGAAGGCATTTGCGGTCTGAAGCAAGAACACAGCTATCCCTAGTTTGATGCGTGGAAAATATTCAAATTCTACAAACATAATTTGAAATCACAGAGATCAAAGCTGAAGGTAATTTGACTTTTAAAAATTTCTTTTTGATAATGGCCCATATGTCTGGTTGTTTTGAAGTATATCACAATTAGTCAATCAACAGTTGAACATTCATAATTCCTCTCTATTTCATTGTCAATTTGCAGAGACAGACCTATTCGCTTCAAATGTTCTCTACAAAATACCATCATAGATGTGTTGCGATCTAAAGGATGGGCAGAGGTTCGAGAGTAAGTATAATCCCTGAGAGAGCCATAGTGTAGGTCCAGTCATTGTGCGGGCACTTGCGTCATTTAGGGTACCAGGGGGCTGTTGCACAAAGACTAAGATCGACTTTAAGTTGGACTTAACTATGGTAGGCTATTCATACCACTGGTTGCTCTCACCATTATGATCTTTAGATAATATTTTTTCCTTCAATAATGAAATATCAAAAATGTTAATTCTGTAGAATTGTGACCATGATTTGTACGTCCCTTCAGAGAACAGTGGCATGAATGGCCTGCCATAAGTCCAACTTAAAGTCCATCTTAGTCTTTGTAAAACACTCCTCAGTGACATGACCCCAATTAAGAGCCATTAAGATGGTGAGAGAACAAGTCATAAAGTGTAGGAGGGTGTAGAGGAATTGAATTAACTTCTTTTCATGTTTCCTTGTGTTAACAAGTGCAAATTTTAGATGACTGGATTTTCATGAAAGACTCTTCAGTGCAATATTATGATGGAAATGGATTTTGCAATTGATTACAATTTTGCTAAAAACTGAAAATTTCATACAAATGGGAACTACAAGTTCTCTTGCTATTTGACTCGCTATTTTGTATTGTGTACTCCTAGAATGCAATAAAAATAAACTTCTTGTTCATAAATTATGATATATATGAAAATGATAACAATTGATGCCTCTTATTTTGGGTCATGGTTTCTTTCATGATTTGCCTTGCCACTCCCAAGGGGCTTCATAGTTGTCATCAGAAATTATTGCTGTTTGCAATGAAGTAGTCAAGAATGCACTCTCATCAAGTATTGATGATCACTTTGCATTCTTTCTCTCTCTTTCTACTGCACTTTCAGAGTCTGCACCTAGCTTTTTGTTTAAAAGGAAACCTCATCCCAATAAATAACTTTAATTATTCTGAGAGATTTATTGTATTCTTGCCTGTTAAACTACAAGATTCCCCACCTAAGTGTATTATATATTTTTCTCCAAATATTATTTTTACCTTCTCAGCTATGATTTTCCCTCATTGAAGGTTTTGTTATTGAATTATAAAGACCTTTCCAACTAAAGCTTGGTGCATGATAAATGTACAAGTTCATCTGGTACGTCAAATTATCAAGATAATGGTCAATTTATGAAAAAGATATAAAAGATATTACTTCATGCCAGAAATATCTTCATTTATATATTTCTTGTACTTTTTGGTGAGGAATATTCAATAGACATGAATAAAAACTAATTTTTCAGCATATACACACTGGTACACTTTTTTGTTGGGGTGAGGTTCCCTTTAATTCTTGCATCTGCATGCTGCTGCCTGTTTGTGTGTAAATACTTGCCATCATGCATATAGTTATTATAAATATTCCAACCTACCGGTATATAACTGGGAAGATGCTATTTAATTCTGGATAGGAGCAAGTGGATGGGTTGCAGTCTGGAAATTTCCTTCCCTCTTTATTGGGCAATGGGCTTCCTGGATTTTGGTACATTAAATAATTTTGGTTGCAGGACTTGCTCAATCATTTGCACTGTGAATTTTATTCTTCTGTCACCAACATTTCCATCTGTGCGTTTTTTGATCTTGCATGTCTCCTCAATCTTTCCCCTCTTTTGAGCCTCTTTCTTGTTTTTGTGTTACTGTAAAACCAGACACTTTTACCCCAAAAATTCTCTTTTTCAGCATGAAATTTGTTGGAACTCACAAAATCCACATATAAGTTCTTGATCGTAAAAGCATCTGGTTTTTATAGTACGCCTCACCCTCTTTCAAAACAACTCCATCTTTTTTTTTTACCATCTGTTCCTTCAGTGCCTGTCTTATCGAGAGTTACATTTAGTTTGAATCCTTCGCAGCCAGAAAACAATTGCAACTGTGTACTAGAAAGAAAGGATATTTTAAATTTACAATTGATTGGAAGACTTAATTGTGATGGATTTGCAACTCTCTATAAGACATGGCCTTGCCTGGTAATGCACCCATCTGTGATTGCTCTCTCTATCATTGCAGTGAGGGTGAGGTTGATTTCAATTGGGTTGATGTGGGCTGGATGAAGGAACACTTTGACCGCAACTACTTCAAGGAGCACATCAGGATAAACCACTTTAGAAATCACTTTGAGGTTAGAAAGTTGTCCTTTGGACGTTGAAAAATTAAAACAGAATATATGGCGAAAAGGAGCATAAATTTCACTTTAAAAGTTGATGTGTTGGCACTTAATTAAAACAATCAAGTCAACCTACTTTGAAAGATGATGGTGAGAAGCCTTTGGAATTTCTTGTGTGATTTTACTCATGCTGTTTTGAAATTTAAATCAACCCACCCTCTACCTGCATAATGAGTTTATATCCAAATTAGGCACAGTTTTTACAGCGACCTCCTTCCCTTCCATATGTTCCCCCCCCCCCACCCTCTCCCTTTCCTTTAGAAAAAAGGGGGGGAAATGATCCGCTAGCATTGCCTGCACATATATGTTTCCGGTGAAGGCAGCTCTAACAATATTTCTTTCACAAATTGTTTACTGTGTGTATTGTAGGACTCTATTGGTTTTTACTTGCACATTGCATTGGTCATTCATGGGTGAAACTAAAACCAAGTATTCTTTGAAGAATACTACCCTAGAAGACATTCTGATAAACCAGAAATTTGTTTTCAAATAACTTTGGAAATTGTGTGAACAATTTTTATCATATTTTAAATGTAAAATTTATGCTCTTTTCTGCCATTTACTTTTGAGTGCATTGAACCTCTTCTGTGTCATGGGCGTAAAAGTCTTCCCAAGAAGGTTGTTCATGATAACAAACAAAAAACAAAAAACAAACAAACTTGGTGACACAGAAGAGGTTAAATATATATGTATGTGTATGTTTGCATAGAGAAGACAATGAATTTGATTTCTTCTGGGCGGATCGAGGTTGGATGAAGGAGTACTTTGATCAGTGCTTCATGGAGGACCATGTCCGAATCAACCATTTCCGTAACCATTATGAGGTGAGAAAATATACCAATGTTGACTTCCAGTGGATATGTCATCAAATATGATATGTTTTGAAATAATTGATTTTATATTATAATGAAATAGCTCAAATTGATATGAAATAAAGAGACTTGGTGAAACACGAGGGAGATATCTGCTTCCTTACATTTGAAGAAAAATGTTATGATTATAACAAGTATCCCCCAGAGAATCATACTTATATTTTTGTTTATAGTTGTGGCCACCAACAGGATTTTAAATGTGATCTTCAGTTTAGCCATAATTTTGTATAATATTCAGAAAGGGAGTTGATGTAACTTAATTGTCTCTGCAAGCTCGTAACATTCTATTTGGAAATAAACATATTTGACTGTCAAGGTTAAAGCCGTCTAAAGCAGGTCTACCCCAATACATCAATCCTATTGAAGAAGATGATTATCATTATGTCAGGTATGGTATATACTGTTTACGAGTTCAATGCTCATTTGCGAAAACCCAACCATTTGCTCAATTTTAACAATGAGTGTGACTAGAAATCTCAAGCAGATGCTAGTGATCTATAAAGATCAAATCAACATGACAGCTAGCTAGGTCACATTATGTCAGGCCATTGCACAACTTAATAAACAACAATCTGCATAGATCTTCTTTCGTTTAATACCTCTCTAACTCCCCCACTCCCCTTCTATTTCTATTCCCTCTCTCTCATCCTCTCTCTCTCATCCTCTCTCTCATCCTCTCTCTCCTCTCTCCTCTTTCTCTCATCCTCTCTCCTCTACCCTCTCTCTCTCTCTCTCTCTCTCTCTCATTCTCTCTCTCCTCTCTCCTCTCTCTCTCATCCTCTCTCCTCATTCTCATCCTCTCTCCTCTCTCTCATCCTCTCTCTCTCATCCTCTCTCTCTCCTCTCTCTCTCTATCTCCTCTCTCTCATCCTCTCTCTCACCCTCTCTCCTCATTCTCATCCTCTCTCCTCTCTCTCATCCTCCTCATTCTCATCTTCTCTCCTCTCTCTCTCATCCTCTCTCTCCTTTCTCTCTCATCCTCTCTCCTCTCTCTCTCTTCTCTCTCTCTCTCTCTCTCTCTCTCTCTCTCTCTCTCTCATCCTCTCTCTCTCTCATCCTCTCTCTCTAAACTACAGCTAACGAGAAAGAACTTGATGGTGAAGAACCTGAAGAGACATCGTAAGATGCTGGAGAGAGAAGCTGGCAAAATAGAGGCTTCAAAATGTGACTTCTTCCCTATGACCTATGAACTCCCTGTAAGTTTCCATTAAGTTACCTTTAAATTGAGAAGAAAATAGAAGATAAGTTATGCGCGTTACTTTTATTCCAGATTAAACCATTTGCAAATAGTTAATTGGATCACAAGTACGTTAGGTTCAGCATGGCTGTATTTAAATTTTTTGTGGTCATAGAATTAGCCTGCTAAAACAGTTCTAATACATTTTTCTTTAAGTAAATACTGTTTAAGAATGTATAATGATATGGAAAGTCTATATTGCCTATCTTGCATTAAAAAGATTTAGACAATATAAACAATTGTTATGTTAAATTTTATTCAATGGATGAAAATTTTTGTTCATTATGCATTTATATACTTCAAATGTTTCTTCATCATCTTTCTCTCATACACTTTTTTGTCCTCACATCATCTTTACCGGTAATAATTCCAATAACAATTTTTTTAAATTCTTGTATAGTGTATATCACATTATGATTACAATTTAAGTCTTCTACCTTGATATGAATTGTATGATTCTTACCCTTTGCTTGCAGTCCGAGTATCACATGTTTGTGGATGAGTTCAAGAAGTATCCTGGTTCTATCTGGATCATGAAACCTGTGGCTAAATCTCAGGGTAAAGGCATCTTCCTCTTCAGGAAACTCAAGGACATAACAGACTGGAAGAAGGTACCATCTCTAAAATATACCAATGTTGCCAGTGGATATGTCATCAAATATGATATGTTTTGAAATAATTGATTTTATATTATAATGAAATAGATCAAATTGATATGAAATAAAGAGACTTGGTGAATCATGAGGGAGATCTCCTTCCATACATTTGAAGAAAAATGTTATAATTATAACAAGTATCCCCCAGAGAACCGTACTTATATTTTTGTTTGTAGTTATGGCCACCAACAGGATTTAAAATGTGATCTTTAGTTTAGGCCATAATTTTATGGTCATAGAAATAGCCTGCTTAAACAGTTCTAATACATTTTTCTTTTCCATCTCTATTGTCTATCATTTCATTGAATCTCCTAGACACGTGTGGATTCGGGGGAAGGTATGGTGGGGGGGGGGGGGCCTCTCTTTTTGACCCACTCATTTGTCCTCCTGTCCTTCAAGCTGACCTTGAGGAAGTCTTCTCCAAATCCACATTTCAAGGGCATAATTGGCATCATATGCCTTTAAAGTCCAACTTTCACATCCATATAGCAGAGCTGCCAACTAGTACGGATTTCCCGTAATTGGTACGGAAATTAACGACCATTACGGAATGTTGTCTCAAATTACGGATTTAAAAAAAAAAAAAAAAAAAAAAGTTTTTTTTTTTTTTTTTATATTTTTTTTAATGAATTAAATATGATTTATCGTAGCGAGTGCTGTGAATAGGAGCCATTTTTCATGATAAACTGTGTTGTGATGACCTGAAATTCAATACTTAACATCTTTGTGTGAGTAAAATCACCAAAAATTTCAGATAATCATGCGTCCGCGCAGTGTTGGCGTGTCGTTTTTTTAGATTCATAGCGCCGCATAAGAAATTACTGATTTATACCCCAAATTACTGATTTTGAGCCTTGTGATTACTGATTTTCTGTTCTGGAGGTTGGCAGCTCTGATATAGTGTTATATGCTCCACATGACTAGGTTTGGGTTATTCAAGCCTATTGATTACAATGTGCATACTGGTAGACGGGGCAATTTTTGGGATATATTTCCCCTTTGTCCTGTATTTGTATATACTGACTAATACTAATACTAATACACTGTTTGCACACACAAAGCAATCATAGTTGCCACTATCACTAACAGAACAAAACTAATAAATTGATACATCAAGTATAATGGGATCTTTATTGGTTGTTTTTAAGTGAGCATAGTGTACTGGGCATATTGTAAGACATTATCAAGAGCTCCCATATGTGCTGGCTTTTACTACCCTTCTGATTTTTCCCTTGATATTAAGGCTAGCTTGAACAAAAACATCATAAAATGTCCCTCTTTTTTCTATTTTTATCTTCAGAGTGACACCTATCGTCCTAAAGAGGAGAAGAATGATGACAAAGAACCTGTAGAGACATACATTGTATCCAAGTACATTGAGAAACCTTACCTTATAGGTGGAAGAAAGTTTGATCTCAGGATCTACGTTCTTGTAAATTCAGTAAGTATAGGATGAAATATGACAGAAAATGTTCATAGCAGATTATAAGTATTTCTCCAGCTTTTCTATGATGTCTGGATGTCAGTCCTATATACACAAACATGTCTTTTTTAAATTTAATTGTGTACATTATTTGTACATCATTTGCTATGGGATATCTATAATGTATAATGGAGTAGGGAAATACTAGGATGGTATATAATCTCAAATAGTGATGTCATGAAAATCAGAATGAAAATAAATTCCTTTTTTTTAATGGACCTGCATGAAACATAAACTCACCACTGCAGAATATGATTGACATCACATTCACTTGGTCCAGGTAAAGTAAATGGGTACTTGGTAGGATTATTTCTTGAATGGTACTATTTGCTGATAATGGTTGCCAAAGCTAATTTAACTACTGGTAAAGAGTACTAATTTGAAGCTTCTTAGGGACATACCCTAATGTCATGTGTTATATACAAGAACAGGATATTGTTATTTATTAGTATTCCATCATTTAATAATTTTGTTCTCTTTTGTTTCACAGTACATCCCTCTGAAGGCTTGGTTGTATCGGAGTGGCTTTGCAAGGTTTTCCAACGCTCGCTTCTCCCTCGATTCCATTGATGATTCCTGTATCCTTTCTCAGCTAGGCCAGGAGCTCTAGTGTAGCTGGTCCATGCAATTAAACGTAACATGACTACTACTACTACTACTACTACTACTACTACTACTATGTTACGCCATAGCCCATCTGGCCATTGGCTTCACTCCCACTACCCTAATTCCACCTTCGAAATTCTTGATGTTGTTTATCCATTCCACAGAATGCCTATGTTTACCAACTCAGTACTGCCCTTCAACTTCGAATTCAATAGTTGCTAGTTCAACTCTCTTCTCTTCTTTTCTAGTGCCCATACTTGATGTCCTATATATGCCTTTAAAGTCCAACTGTCATATCCAGTATAGCGCAATGCTCCACATGACTAGGTTTGGGCTATTCAAGCTTATTGGTACAAAATACATTAATGGGGCAATTCGCGGGATATATTTCCTTTCTTTCCTATATTTGTACGTACCTACCAAGAAATCTCACTCATGCCACTTGTTTATACTCACACAATTAAAGCAAAGATATTTGCCATCACTAACAGAACAAAACTAATGAATGGATGGCTCTACATCAAGTGGTTATTTTTAAGTTATTATCTTATACTGGTGATATTATAAGACATGTATAGAGAGGAAAAGCAGACACTGGATTATTCATACTTGTACGTGCTATAAGGCAACAATCAACTTCATCACTACACTTGTACACATCGTGCTGATGTACATATTTTTTTGTTGTAATTTTGCTGTGTTTTCACTTGTAATGCTGGCAGAATGACTATGCCCTTAACCTTGAGACTGGTATTAGATGTTCATTTGACCAACGTAGCCATCCAGAAGACCGCACCAGACTATGATGCAGAGAAGGGCTGTAAGTGGTCCATGCCTCAGATCAAGAGATACTTCACAGCCAAACATGGCATCGAAAATGTAGGTGTTCCAGCTTTTATACTTGCACATGTATTTGTTTTCTTCATACTCTTTTGCTTACCTTCTTAAAAAAAGAATAAAATGATATTGTAATTCAGTCTGTAACTCTTCTTTTCCTAAAACATATTTAGTACTCATGAGTAATTCTAAATCTTTAGATTCACAGACTGATTTTCAAGCTTTTACTTTTAGTGGTCACTTTTTTAAATGTGGTAGTTTATCCTATTATGTTGTAATAAAACCCACAATTTGTTTGTCTAATAAGTAGCTCTCCTGCCCTCCAGTTTCCCATACCCAAGCTTGAAGTTGATGAGTCGGTTATATACATGTATGTCATATTGTTTGTTGCAATAAAGCTCTATATCCTACTATTTTTACACTGTCTTGTTTAGTTATAAAATGCTTTTTGAAACATTTCAGTAAAAATAGGTAAAATGTGCTCTTTTGCCTTGCAGGTGGAGCAGATGTTTCGGAGTATTAATGATATCTTCATCAAGAGCCTTCAGAGTGTTCAGAAAATCATGATCAATGACAAGCACTGCTTTGAGCTCTATGGTTATGACATCCTTATAGATCAAGACCTGAAGCCGTGAGTCATTAATGCCCTAATTCATTGTCACATTTTAATTACTATGCTCTTCATGTTTGATGTACAGGCCAGAAGTTTTAAACTAGTTGGTTATGAATTGATAGCCTATATACTGCTTGTGTTTTCACAGAGGATAGTGATGCTTTTGCTGTTTTGCTGCTCTCCTTCCCCCACAACCATCATTGCTATTATACTCTGTCTTGATCTTTACCATGCAGGTGGCTGATAGAAGTGAATGCGTCTCCGTCATTGACTGCCAGCAGTGAAGAAGATTACATCCTTAAGTTTGGTCTTCTGGAAGATCTCTTACACATCATTGATATGGAAGGAAGGTATGTTGCATGAAGACAGTCAAAGTTTGACAAAACAGACAAATGAAATTGGAAATGGTTAACACATGCCGATGGATGAGGAAGGAGGAAGGATTTTCTATCATTTTTGTTTACTTTGAGCATTTCAGAGATTTGCATTTGAGTTGAGAAGAGACATATGATCTGATACAAGGAAAATGTAGAATGACTGTTTCTTTGTCTTCTTTAACTCCAATCTAGTTTCATCCCTTCCATCACACCTTACTCTTCACCATTTTACTATAATAATAATTCCGCTTTTATATAGCGCTTTATACATCTACAACATGTATGATGTCTCTATAAGCGCTTTACAGATATATTATTACCCCGGTCGTTTCTTGTCAGTATGGCTGTCATCATATTATGAACTGTCTGTTTAACTTTTTATACAGTAAAAGCATGAGCAGAAAGGATAGCAATTAAGGAAATGCTAGATTGTGAAAGAATGGAAATACCATGGAATATTATAATATTTCTAAACTTTACTTATTTATTTGATTTGAGTCGTACAGTCAGTTTGAGGTCTTTGCATTCAATACAAATTTCAATTGCATTTGATCAGAGGATTGTTTCACAAAGACTAAGATCAACTTTAAGTTGGACTTAAGTACTTAACTATGGCAGGCTGTTCATGCCACCGTTTGCTCTCACCATTTACTGGTGTTGGTCTCTCAAGGGATGTACAAATCGTGTTCACAAATCTACAGAATTTACCTTTTTTGATAGTTCATTGTTGAAGGAAAAAATATTATCTAAAGATCATAATTGAGAGACCAATGGTGAGAGCAACCAGTGGCTTGAACGGCCTGCCATAGTTAAGTCCAACTTAAAGTCGATCTTAGTCTTTGTGAAACACCCCCAGGTCTTCCCAAAAACTTAAAAGCAGAAACTATCCCAGGAATGAGAAGTACCTGTATAAAACATTATATATATTTTTTTGTTTTTTCTTTCTTCCTTTCTCTCTCTCTCTCTCTCTCTCTCATTGTAGAATGACAGGTAAGGAGAAGAGGATAGGAGGTTTTGATCTGATGTGGGATGATGGACCCGTAATGGCTGAAGAAGGTGGTGTAGACTGTATCAGTCCTCCCTCATACTCAACAAACACATTTCTAGGTAAGTCAGAGCTCTCCCCTCTTAATTTGCTCATTCACACAGGACCCAGGAAATTATTTATTTATTTATTTATTTATTTATTTATTTATTTATTTATTTATTTATTTATTTATTTATTTTATTTTGTTATTATTTTAAAATGTATTTATTTATTTATTTTCTATTTATTTGTTTATTTATTTAATTATGATTATTATATATATATATATATATAGGACACAAGGTAGATAAATAAAAATACCGGAGAAGTGAATATTCCACTGACGTTTCGGGCATAGCCCTTTATATATATATATATATATATATTTTATTTTTTTTAACTTTTTTTTTGTTGGGGGGGGGGGTGGTGATTTTTGTTGATTTTTTTTGTATATGTGACAATGAAGGACTAGTGGGGATAAAGAAAGTAGCTGCATGCAACAAAAGTCATACTCCCTATATGTTTGTTATCAGAAACAGAAATCTGAAGGTCATTGCATTTATGTCATTAAAAAAATGTCGCCGTTGAGCGCATCATATGTGAACTGGCCTTTACTGAGTACTTCCACAACAAAGGGCATAGAACCTGACAATAGATGCAACAGATGATCACAACATATTATACACAACTCCCGTACAATGTTAGATGCAGAAAGAATTTGTTGGTAAGGGTTTTTCTGTCCATTACTGATACATGGACTGCATCAGTCCTACCTTCTACTAAACAAACCTAACCTTAACCTCTTAAATTTCTCATTGTAAAATCACAGATGAAAAAGGTTATGAGACTATTAAAGTCATGTTGTAGCACTCATGGCATATAATGTTACTTACAATAGCCATCTTTTGATCACCCCTATTTAAATCTTATTGATAATAAGTGAATTAATGCTTACCTATACAGTTAAGCAAGAGCTATATTTCATTTCATAAACATCACAACAGCGCTTCTCCCTAGTTAACAAACTTTTAGTAATTGAATTTGTAACTTATTTACTCCTATGTCTTTATATTTATGTAATACACTGTAGAAATTAAAATAAAATTAAAATTAGAAAGTCTTACTGAATTTAAACACACATTTAACTTTATTTGTTGTTCAACTGTATAGGCTGCCATAATGACAGGAAGAGGCAACTGAGGCAACTCTTCAAGCAACTAGCTGCTCAACGAAAGACGTGACATCTATCTCGCTCACCTCTGTCATAAACTGTTGTTGCAAACTACCTAATGTGTGCTATTTGATGAAGTCAGCTAGATGCTGTATGTTTGATACAACTCAAAGACTTTGAGAGCAGTACAGTCACAGGCTGCGATATGGCACCTGAAGCTTCGAGGGGAACATTCCACAATGAAGATACTAGTGTCAAGCTACAACCCTCAGAGCTTGGATGTGTTACATCTTCCCAGCTCTCTGTTCTTAGCAGAGAAGTCGTTGAGCTGATTAAACTGCCATGAGATGTTATCGTTTCCTTTGAAAGTTTTGTACAGACTGCCTGACCCCAGCGAGACAAGAAATGTCTTTATTAGCAGGTGGTCTTATGCCATAGGCCAAGTTAATAGTAAAAGTGAAGAAATGTGTAGTTTCACATATTTCAAACAGTACATATAAATTGAAATAATACTGATCTGCAAAAAGCATTTTAAAAGGGATAGAGTGGAGCCAAACATTTGACTTGTTGTTGCTGTTTCTTGATGCCTCTACCTGTCTGGACTATTTTTTTTTGTCAGGAGGGAATTTTATTTTTTCTTCATCATTTCTCTTTTGTACCAGAATATCAAATTATACATATATAGGAAATGCATTTGGTATAAGCGTGATGTTATGAGTACATTTAATATACCTGTAAGGAATTGCAAATTGGCATTGCAATGTATGTTGATCAAAGCATTCTTTACAGGTCAATTGTTAATGTGTTCATTACTAATGTTGGTATTCAAAATTCATAAAAATCCATCCATAATATTGCTATTTCTGAAGTTCTCCAACACTATGTATAATTACCAAATATATAAGTTGGCTAGACCTACAGATACTATTTCATTAAGCCCCCCCCCCCCTCAAAAAGACGCCTTCTGTCCTGAATCGTGTCCAGAAAACAAAATGATTGGGGGGGGGGGGGTTTGGAGAGTATTAGGGACATTTTAAGCTTCATTTTTATCTAGTCTTTTGATGATGTGAACCTATGATGAAAAACATTACATAATCAAAATGAAAAGAAACCCATTTTCTTTTATTATACTTAACTAAACAGCTTTGACCATTTTAACTAAATGAAATGATATTCCCCAGATTTGATGGTATTCAATAAGTCTTCTAGAGTTATTTTCTGGTATTCCATTAAAATGCTAGGTAACAGAAAATAAAATAAAATGTTGATATCACACAAGAATTGTATTGTTATTATATTCATTTTTCTTGTCAGTGGCTACATTGTATGTAATATCTTAGTTCTGCCAGAAGGAAAGTCACAGGTGCCCTTGCATGGATCTTAAAATGTTGGCATTAGCTGATTATGCGTATAATATATATCAAGTTATTCAAGATGTGAAACATTTTAGGAACAATGTCCAAAATATATGTACTATCAATACTATGAGTCTATACACTTTTTTTGTTGATGGATGAGAGGGATTTATTTTGAACAGAATTTCAAAAGTTCTACTTACATATGCAGACTCAAAGATGCTAGTTTCCTAGCTATATCCCATCTCTCTCAGTGTGTGTGTGTAATTGGATTTTTACAGATGTGTATCAATCAGATTTTGTTGTTGGGTTTTAAAGAGAAGGTCGAGTTCTGGGAAGAGGAAAAATAAGTTGGGAGCATTATCATTGTTATTATGGAAGTGTGGAAGAACATTAGAGAAAAAATATTCCATCTTCAAATGCCTTAATATTCTAAATATGGCATGTAACAGCATAAAAATCGGGACAGATTTTTATGCCACATGTTTGTGTTGTCCCATATACATATTTCTGTGTACAGTGCTTGTATCTTTACCAAGACTGGGCCAAATTCCTTATCATTTTGATTATTCCAGAACCTTACACTACAGTACACACCAATACTTATATGCTAGATGATCAACCTTTTCTGATCGATTCCACACCCTTTCTTTCACAATGCAATCGCATGACCAGAACTCAACTTTATCTTTAAGGCTGTCTGAAAAGATTATTTATGACGTCTGTGTAAAAGCAAATATGGGTATGATTTTTATTTGTTAAATCAAATCACAGGATGTGAAAAATTCAGGGCTTTTGGGGGCTATTTTTTGTATTCTAACAATAATTTTCATTTTTATATTGATGTCAAATAATACTTTGAATTAAATGATTAGAGTTATTGTCTGGACTGTAATATTAGTCTCAACCAAAAAATACACTGAGAAAATATTTCAAAGTTTTGTTACGTGGCTTCATATAGGAAGATCCTTCTAAAGGTTTCCTTTTTATTTCACATCAATTACAAAAGTACTGGTGACGTGGTCACTATATATCATTTAAACAACTTCTTTATAATGTACAAATAGTCACTGCATTATCCTTGCAGAAAAAGGCAAATGTACAGAATTTACATATGCAGAGAAAGGCAATTATTTCGAATTTACATGTGAGAGATGAGCAATTTCACAGAATTTACATTCATAATTTTGAAAGAAAATGCAACATATTTACAGCTGTGCAAACAATTTTTTTCTCATCATCACAAAACAATGAAGGAATAAATAATCATGAATTCTTTGATGATGCACCAATATTTCATGAAAATAGTATTTAAAGTGTACCAATCACCTGGAATAATTGGTGTAAAGCTAGAAAGTAAACAAAAAACTTTACCTGGCATTCTATAGGTAAAACAGTTAAAGGTAATACAAAGTTTTGGTATGGGGTCATGAACATATTGGAAGCAAATGCAATTTTACAACATTCAATGATGGTTGTCGCGGTTGAAATCGAGTCTAAAATGATGATATTGTAAATAATAAACTCTTTATGTTGTATAGCTCCCTCTCAAGACTGATATTGCTTTGGCTTTAAAACAATGTTTTTTTTACTATAATCGACAGATGTGCTATTCCCGTTTAGAAATTATATATCAGAACCGCATATTCTGAGATTTTCATGGTCGCAGCTACCATGGAATGGCCTTAAGCGATATTTGAAATATTAGAAATTTACCGGGAGCACTTGTAAATTTTTATTATTCAATTTTCTCATAAGCATAAGTGATTTTAAAAGGGGCAAATTTTCTAGTGCTTATAATACATCTACAAAGGCATCCAAATGAATCAAAATTTTAAAGAATTGCCATCCATCCAATTTCTAAAACTTTGCATGAATAAAATATAAGATAACATGAAACCCAGCGTATAGCGCTTGCATGGAACCCAAGTCGGACTTGAGGATAACAAATCTCTTGCTACCAAATATGACATTTCAACCATAAGTGAAAATATAAATAATTGATGGCTGACAATTCTGAACTTATTGGCTTATAGTTGTAAAATAACATGGGATCATTCATAAAAAAGATACTAAATATGCCGATTACTATAAATTTCACTCACTTCGCAACAGAAGTCTAAGGAAGGAGAGGGAGATTGGGGGATGTAATTTCTTTGAATTCTGTTGCAGGTGAAAAGTCCAATTTAAGGTAACGAATGGTAGAGAGTACATTCATTCACCACACACTGCATTCAATTTAGTATGATACATGGATCTGGGAAGAATTTTTTGAAAAATCATGGCAATTGTTATGTTTGGAACCATTGCTGCATCCAAAGTGTGTTAACTGTCCAAAAACTGACAAAATTCCAAATCGTGGTCCAAGAAGTGTGGAGGGGTGTGCAGAATTTCTGTGAAATTTGTTGCATTTGAACTGCATGAAGTAACATATAGTATATTGTATACCAATTCATCACAACCTGCATTGACTGATGTATTATACACAAATCACAAGATTAATATGCTCTCTTCAACAATACTTCCCAGCAGCTGACTTTGACACTAGTGCTGCATCCAAAACAATAACCATTCAAAAAGCAACTGTTTGCATCTGATAAGTATGTTTTATCATCCAGTTTCAGTTGATCTTTCCAAGTAATTTTGGGGTAGAAATATTAATAGTTTACATACACTTTAGATACTGGAAGTATTTTGCAATGAGATATGTGCATGATCATTGATAACTTGCTTGTTATACTTTTCACTTTGGGTTAAATTTCAAATATGTCTTCACTTTAAAAACAAGACCGCTTATGTTTGTGAAAAAAGAGATGGATCATATGAACACCACAGTGGTAAAAATCCCCAAACTTATCACAAACTGTAAGACCAGAAACATGACACAGTTTCACAACAGCCATTTTTAAATATCGACTGTTGTGTCAGTCGATATTAAATCACCGTTCATCATGTAACTTTCCAAATTTAAACCACTCACAAGTTTTGCAAACGTTTCTGGTTTAACAGTTTACAGGCACAAGACCATGGTACAAGGCCATATTCTCCATAAATTTCAATACCACTTCATCTTGCTTCTGCCCAGTCCACACCCATCATCTCTGTGAGCTACCATACCCCCTCTTGGCAGCTAGCTTCTCGATTTTGACTGTGGATCCTTTTTAAGTCAACATTCTCATCACATATTCAATGTCCATACCACACTATCTTCCTACTGCCTTGCCCAAATCCAAAAGATGTTATTCTCCATGCGAAGCCGTCACCCTAGTTTCAGCCCCACCAAAATCCATCAAGTCTTTGTCTCTCTCTGAGCTACAATACCCCTCTCAGCAGCCAGTTTCTTCATTCTGATAACCAGGGACCCGTTTCACAGAGCTTTTTTTCAATGACAAATGTCAAAAATCAGTGACAAGTCTGCTGATAACCAATCAGAAGCAAGGATTTCACTAGCTGATAACAAAAACTGGCATTTGTCACTGATGACAAGTTTTGTGAAATGGGGCCCTGGTATGTGGGTTCTATTAACCCTTTGCCTTTGGGAGCCAGGTGGACCCTGTATTAAGTCTATGGGACTGAGACAATTCAGCCGTCAATGGGTTTATACATTCAACATCCTGGGGGCTGTTTCACAAAGATCTTAAGTTGGACTTAATAATTATGGAAAGCCATTAGCATCTTGAAAATACTTTGTAAAAATTATTTTAAAAGGCATAAAATGTTGATTTAAATCATTCATATTTTCTAGAATCAAGAATATTTTCATGTTCTTGATGTGGAATTTATGAAAAGTCTGAAATACTTTTGTTTTGTTCTCCATACAAATGGCTCTCCATAATGTTAAGTCCAACCTAGAGTTAAGTTTGATTTAGAATCTTTGTGAAACAGCCCCCAGATCATGTAACCTGTATTTCTATCTTGCTTCGGCCCCGCCCACATCCATCAAGTCTTCGTCTCTATGGGCCGCCATGCTCCTGTCTGCAGCCAGCTTCTCAAGCCTGACGGTATAGAATCCATTGAAATCCAACCTGTGGATAATGTTCATCATGTTGTGCTCACAGTTGGCTGTGCTGAACAGACTCAGCTTGTCCAGGAGCGAGATGAGAAGCGAGGAGAAGTTGGAGTCAAAGTTGTGGACGGTGTTGGTGAAGTCGTCGCTGGCATTCAGCTGTTCAATGTGCTCACTTACAACCTACGGAAAGAGGGAAGGATACAAAACGTGAAATATGATATGTTCTCGTTTATTCCAAATTTCATGCACAAAATAGGGCAAGGATGTAAAGACACATGCTCAAGCAACAATTATTCTGCAGTCAATAAGCCAGTTCATAGGCTGCAGTCTGAGCATGAGCAGATAAAGGTCATTGCAGAACAAATTTTTGAAATACACGGTGAAGCAATACCGGATACGTCCTCGTGAAAGTTATGTAATCGTTATTCATTCATGCACATTCAGTGCACTCCATGATACACAAGTAGCAGTATTCTTTGAAAAGGGGAAGCAAAGGCTATTTATATAGCACCTCCATCGCTGTAGGAGTGATTATTTCAAAAATGTACAAAGTGAGACCTCTTCATGTTTTGAAGATCTGTGGATATTTGGGGTCATTGCAGTAATGTGCTAACCGTGAACTCGTCTATTCACTACAGTAATGAAAGTCCTGACTTCAACCTTGAACCTCAATATAAATCAAACCCTAACCTAAAATCTAACCTAAAACCCAACCCAACTTTACCTTAATCCTATTTCAGATCCTAATCCTACATTTGACAAAATAAATCTTGGAGCAATTGTTGGTTAACAGCCAGGGACATCTGACCTAATATCCAAATAATGCACAAAAATATTATTTTACCTAAGCAATGGTTAGGTGAAGCTGAATGAAATGACTATACCAGCCTATATGATAACAAATGGGAAACATTCATTTAAACAAATTGAGCAGGTAAGTTAAATATTCAATATCCAACCAGTGTGCCATTCAAAGATAACTACATACCTACATATCTATTTATTTGACAATGACTGATCAAAAGTTTCCTACAGCCATTACATGACCAACATTCAATTTGAATAAAAATATTAATACAAGCTGTAGGGTTGTGAAAATTGTGATAATGCATGTAACTAAATTTTTCATAAATGTGAAGGTTAACTTGAACTAACTGCCTAAATTATGTAAATTGGAAGCTGATTTCAACTGATGAATTGAATAGTATACATTCTCCTCTCTCCATCCTTTTCTCTAGCTATTCTCTCATTTTATTACGGGCCCTCTCCCATCGGTTGCCAACTCTCATTTTCTTTATATAGTACTTTCTTTTCATTAAAAATAAAAACCCAAACCAAAAAAATGGGAATTGTTTCACATAACCGTCATAAGTACAAGTTTTCTGACATCTAATCAATATTAACACATATTTCAATGGGATATCCGTGAAATCATGACAGTTTCGTGAAACGTTGCCTTGGTTACCAACGTCAAGTAAGCTACCTTTGTGGTTGTTCTTCTCCTCTCAGAATCCTGTTTATCTTTGTCCTTGTCACTCTTTGGTGGGGTACCAGTATCTATAAGCCGGCTTACCTCTGCTTCCACATTCATCGTCTGGGTTACTCTCTGGATCAATGAAACAGGAGAATGCAACTCAACTACAAATTCATTCTCATTTTCAAATTTCATTTCATTTCCATATCCATATTCATTTTCAAATTAACTTAAAGATCAGATTTCAAAGCGGATCGGATACAAATGTCCACAGGCATAGATAACGAGTAGGGTATATCAGGAGGTATTGCCTTTAAAAGTCAAACTATCGTCCATGTATGAAATGAATACCGGTAAAACTTTCAGATTGCAGTGAAATATATAATTTTAAAGCATATCTTAACTCTAAAAAGTAAAAAAGTCAAATTGAATTTTCAACTTACTCAGGTAAAGCATCAGTAGCAGATAATAAAATTAAAGGTAGTAAACTAGGACCTTCATTTCCTAGTCTCATAGAATTATGTGCTTGTACTTGGTTTCATTCAAATTTGCCATGTAGCATAAAAATTATATCTTAATAATGCTGTCCATCGTGGATATCAATCAAAAGCTATGTCCACTGTATCCCCCTTCTCCTCCCCCGACTGTGCAGCAATTCAGAATTCAGAAAAGAGTATGTAAAATCATTTTAGGGAAAAGTTATGATAATTATGTAGACGCTTGAAACGATGCCAGCTTGAACGATTACAAATAAGACGTGTTTTTGCTGAATCTCTTATTAATAACCCACAGTGCAAAGGCTGGATTCCTGAACAAAATTTTTTGGGCATGTCATTTACGAAATAAACACAAGTATAGTCAATATAAATGCAGAACCTCTCGTTTTAAACAAAGTGCAATACCATATTTTATTGATCTTCTTAATAATTGCTGATTGTTTTAAGTTTTTCTTTTCAAACCCAATCTTTTTTATTTGTATATTTGAACAGTTGTCTTTTTAACAAAACCAGTATTTTATCTGTCATGGTTTCATTTCTTTTCTATTTTAAATGTACCTTGATCATTGTAAACACATACATTTCAGCTTTTTAGCTGCAGCATGTGCATCATTGTACTCTATGTTTTTCGAAATAAAACCTTGAATTGAATTGAATTGAATTGAAAAACAAAAGTAGTTGATGAAACGACTACGGTAGAAGTAAAATGCCTTTGACCTACCTGTATGCAATTAGCAAAGGTGACACAGACGAGCATGAGTTTACTGACATTCTTGATAATGTCTGGATTGGTGAGCATACAATCCTTGAGGCACTGATCTAGGAAGTCTGTGTGATGGGACAGGACATCATCAATGTTTGACACCTAGGCAAAAGAGAATTGCAAACAAAGGTGAAATATATGGAATGAATTCAATTTCTCACATTGTTTTTGACAAAATTTGACAAATTGCCCTGGTGAGAGCCATCAAGGCAATTCTATGATATGTGTCCCATAAGGCATTAATCTATATCTATTTATTTCATCCAATAAAGAACTAGATGGAACTTCGACTGCGCGCAGTCGGAAGTGATGCTTCCATCAAAGAGCAATTTTACAAACCAAAACGGAAGAAATTTTTCAAATTCAAGTTCGGTTGTAATCCATTAACAGGTTCTCAGAATATCGTGATTACAAGCTATTTCTCATATACATGTATGACCCTTTGATCTTTGACCTCATGACCCCAAATGCAAGATACATACATGTCTTGAGTTTGATGGTAATCCATCCATCGGTTCTATTTATAATGCAATCACAAGCTATTTTTGCATACATAATGAGCCCCATGACCTTTGACCTCATGACCCCAAAATCTAATCAGTTCATTGCCTCAGCAAGATACATACATGTCCTGAGTTTCATGGTTATCTGTCCATCTGTTGTAATGATAATGTGATCACAAGCTATTTTTGCATACATAATGAGCCCTGTGACCTTTGACCTATGACCTCATGACCCCAAAATTTAATCAATTCATTGGCTCTGCAAGATACATACATGACTTAAGTTTGGCAGGAATCCATCAATCGGTTCTTGAGAACGCGATCACAAGCTATTTTTGCATACATAATGAGCCCTGTGACCTTTGACCTCGTGACCCCCTAATCTAATCAATTCATTGGCTCTGCAAGTTACATACATGACCAAAGTTTGGTAGGAATTCATCAGTCGGTTCTTGAGATAACGTGATCACGAGAACGGGACGTGCGTACGTGCAGACGTACGGACAGACGGACAACCCAAAAACATAATGCCTACGGCTACTTCGTAACGGAGGCATAAAATCTCTTGGTATGACCACTGCCTTTTGATAGTGATATCAGAAAAAACCATTAGTCGATGGTCATATCAAGGGATTTCTAAATTTTGAATGAAAGAAAAGGACAAAAAACTATGTTATACCGGACCATTTATCAAATTATCTACCACAGAGTAAACACCCTTTTGGCTCAAATACAATGATACATTTAAACTGGCTTTGCAGGATAATCCCATAATTCACTGTATTATTTTTTCAAAGAAAATTATTAGAGGTGTATTTCCGAATAGTCATGTACACTCATTATTATTATTATATTTATTATTTATTCGACCATTCATATAAAAAGCACAAATACAATACAGCATGGCAAGAGACAAGTACAGAATAAGAATGAACAAACACATGCGATGAGATAAGGGAGCAGCAAGTGGGTCAGGGTGCACAAAAGTGAAGTTCATCACTTGACCCTCTCAGATAGCATTTGATACCATAAGAAATGAAATACACTGAGCTGTTGATTTACTAATAATAGTCACTTAAGAAGCACTAAGAATGAATAATCAAATCTAAAATACCTTTCTGAGGTTGTCTTGCAGTATATGCCAGTGGGGCTCCACGACTTCAAACATCATATAGTACTGGAGATTCTGCACCAAGTGAAGCATGCGCTGACGAAGAGCAAATGCTGCAGCATACCAACGTGATGAATAGAGGGTGAACCGCTTGGCCTCCTTGTTCAACAGCCAGATACTTGGGAGAGGGAGAGAACCGATTCAAAATATGTAATGACCGCATATAAAATTGTCCCTTTTCTACATATAATTATGTAACATTTAATGTTTGCAAATGTCAATAATTGCTGATGTACATATAATTTGTATGTAATACAACGTTGCAAGCATATTTTTTAAAGCTATTATGGGGATTTCGAGTAATTACGTCAGCAGCTCTCTGGTTGCGGAAGAGACTCCCAAAATCAGTGATCATAAGACTATAGATGACTTTAATAGAAAACTGAAAATACACCTACGGTAGTGACAAATGTCTTCTCCTAACTATATGTCTTGTTATGTTTCACTGCAAGCACTTTTCAAAGTTAACCCACAATGCATTTCTGTTATTACATAGTTTAAAAGACTTAAGAAGATACAAATCCCTATGCCTTTAAATAAACTAATATCTTATAATTTTATTTCACGGACCCAACTCCCTCTTTATACTAAGTAGTACTTTATACCTATTTTTTTTTTAATAACTTGAAACAGCAGCTCTTCGTTTGATCTGTATGAAGTTTATTCTATTTCAACTATTCTATTTTAACTTACATGCTATAGCTACAACGTATTTCTCTTTAATTATGTATAAGTCTTAATGTAAATTCCTCTCAATTCAAATGTTGAGCTGCCATGTCACGTGGTTTTTAATAAATACCTTTTCAAATCAAATCAAATCAAAAGTTTTTCGTCATTTGTGCATTTATTTTAAGCACCATCTGGGTGGCAATGTTGCGCAATATGAATGTCTGCACCTTTATCATCATTACCTCATCAATCTAAATAAACCAAAGTTCTTGACAAGGTCCAACATTAACCTTTGAAAACAAGCTCAAATTGTCATGTCATAACACTTACTTGCAAAGTGTTCTCTCAACATGCTTGCAGTAGAATAGATGCCTGAACAGCATCTGATATTTGGTCAAAGCCTGTGAAAATAATTCAATAGAACAAGAAGTAATATGCAGCAGTCACAAGACCACCCTGCAACAAATCAACCACTAGTAAAGCAGTGGGCAACTGCATATGTACCCATCCCAAACAACTACGCATAGCATGTCTACTCCAGGACTATTGCCTCCAGACAACTAACTCCTCATTGATGAACCATTTAACCCCAGGGGTGATAGTGAGCACTAAAAAAAAACAAAGGTTTTTTTTTTTCCCCTCAACACCCCCCCCTTGAGTAAAAAAAAGAAAGAAGAGGATTCGGGGGAAAAAATGGCATCTAACAAAATTCCTCCCTTTTGAGTAAGAAAATCGGGAAGATAGGGATAAAATCTGGAAAAAAAAAAAAATTGGGTTTTAAAAAAAAATTGGAAAGAAAACAAAAATCAGGAAACCGATTTAAATCAGGTAATTATTAGGCCTGTAACCCCTATGATCAGGATAACACACTTTTGTGCGTCATATGCCGCGAACAGTATCCGTGAAATGTTCTAGTTTACATGGATTGTGATATCAGATGTCACCGCTGATTTACAATTTGCACAAGGCCAATGGGAAATGTATTACATCACACAAATTGCTATATAGACTAATGGTTTGATGGTCTGTTTTAACCCGACTGCTAAGAAAGCATGTGTGTGCTAGTAAGTAAGTAACCAAGGGACAGATGGCTTTAAGTCCTCTCCGAGGGACTTGGTAAGGAGAATTAATGCCAAAGGGCACTAGTGCATTGACTGGGTTCTGAACCCGGGACCTCCCGGATACGAGACCACTGCTCTACCAGACTACCACTGAGCCATAGCATCTCCTCTCTCTCATCAAATGCACAAATTCCATTTATTATATTAGGCATCTGTAGAATATATTTAACAGGATGCAAACTGCCACCCTACTACTTGGGGTAGTAAACAAAAGTTAGTATAATAACATTGATTTTTACAGTGCTAAGAGAAAGTTTTAAAGAGACTCGTAAGGAAAAGATGCTGGATTACAAGTAAGATTCTGTGAGTATTGTACGACATACATACCTTCCTGCTGAGAATGAGTGATTCTGGCCACCTCACCACATAGTCAAATGAGAACGCTTCTAAACCTGAGATGTTGAGCTCCGTAGGGTCCATTTCATGAAGCATGGCTGTTAAAAGAAAAGGCAGTCAAACTAACACATATCTACTCTAGTATAACATATTCATGTGCCAGAAATAAGAATACAAACTGCTATGGTATTTGTGTTCCTTTTTAAAATTTTTTTTTTTCCTCTTAATGGTTTTTGTTTTATTCTGCCAAAACTCTTTTTCAAAAATATGAAATTTCCTGTTATTGTAATACATGTACAGACAAGTACACAAACAGAAAAGTAATGTAAAACTTATTCATTCATTCAAAAAATAGTCTTAGAGAAGAGAAAATGTGCTTCAATATTAAGCCTAAAGGTGCCATTAAATGTACAAGCTTGTTTACATTTCTGTCAAATAATTTTACAATTGCTAGGCCCTTTCAATTCTTTCTCTAACTCCAAACATTGTTCCAAATTTTACATTGTCCAATAATATCCAATATATTAAAATCTGACTGACATGAGCGCTATACAAGAACCCACTATTATTATTATTATTATTATTATTATTATTATTATTATCAAATCTGAGCAATTGAAATGGCAACAGCAATGAAACAGAAAAGCACTATGCAATGATGTTGCACACGCAACATGAGGGCAAAGTGTCTGTGTCCACACATCAGTGTGGCATGTCAGAATGATAAATGCTGGTAGCAATGATCATAATTTGATTTATTCCTACCTTTTTCTTGCCTGGATTCAATTGACAGGATTCTGAGGAGCTGGGTGTTGAGGTCATAGGGCAAGAGGTCAACTCTGGAAGGGCATATATATATCAAAGAGAATGACAAATAATAGCAAAAAAAAAACAAGGAAAAAAAATAAAATAAAGGCAAGGTGAAATAACTATTCTTTTCTACTGAATAATGGACAGATTCGTGTTATCAAGATATTATAAAAAAGAACATTGAATGCATTTCAAATTTCAAGACTTTCAAAGGAGGTGAAGTTAAAATCTCTCACATACATTAACCTTTTAAAGCATCTTGCACATAGATTTTTTAGCTACAAAGAAAGAAATGTGAGATCGTACAACTCACAAGATTCATTCTGTTTCCTTTACATTACCAGAACTAAACATGGTCTTTATTATCATGTGTAAAGCTCAGTTGTATAAGGTACATGTATGATATATCATTTTAATGATGTAGTCGACAATACCTAAATATGTATATAAAAAAGTGAAGCTGAATTCATGTGCACAGAAAGAATGATACAGTTACCAGGTCATGTTAGTACCGGTAGATTGAATTTGGCATAGAATGTAAGAACAACTTCCTTTAAAATGTCATGAAATATTTCAGTTCAATTTCAGCTTCTTCTTCAACAAGTTTTTTTTCTTCTAAAGTTCCAAAGTACCTTGAATCATTACTTCACTAATTACCTAAGATCATCTTTGAATGGATCTGAGTTAGCCTGGCTGGTCCTAACAGCTAGCTCCAGAAGAGATTCCAGTCTGCTTGGTATGATATCATCTACTCTCTTCTTCATCTCCTCCTCTGTGATGTCCATCAGATGCACAAAGAAGTCTCCTTGCTCCATTAAGAAATATCGCTTGATAGACCTATTTAACACAATTTTAAAACAGTGTACTATATACATACGCTCCAGAGATTAGACAACCAAACAACATCTAACCCTATACCTAAATCAACCCTTAAACCCAAATGATTTGCTTTACAACATGCTTTACCAACACTTCTACCTGCAACTGAAATGGTATTATATCAAAACAAAGGTCAAATATCGCTCTGAAATCACATATCATTTCAAACTTTAAATATTTTCTTGCGATCTCCAAAAGACTCCAGCATTACCAAATCAGGATCTGCCTTTAACTCGCTGAATACCCCCAAGGAATCTCATAATAGAAACATCAGGAAATTCATGCAGGTATTGAGTGAAAATCAACATGTCACAAAATGGATAAACAAGTCATGAAAGACACATATGACCAACTCTTGACTGGCTATTTCATCAAATATGCCATTTCCAAATTGCTTCTTTTTATTTGCAGCAAACAGTAGCAGACAGTCAGTGTCATTTACCCCAAGTCTCTGGACCAATTCTCTCTCCTGGCTGTAGGCGCAGCTTGCTGGCATACTGATATGTCTTGTATATCTGCTTCTCAATACAAGTGTCAAACAAACAGAGTATACTGTCTATCTCAGTGAAAAAAATACATGGGGGCTTGGGGCGAATAGCCTCCGAAATGCCCAGAAGAGCCCCCTGAAAATCAGAAAAGAGCCCCCATTTTATACCAAATTTACACAGAGTTCAATGCAAAACAAATTTTAGAATGTTATTTTTTAGGCAGGCAAGCTTGAAATGTAGCCCCCGAAACATAAATATTAATTTTTTCCCTGGTCTATCTATTTCACTTACCCAAGTCTCTGGACCAATTCTCTCTCGTCCATGAGTAGCTGTAGAAGCAGCTTGCTGGCATACTGGTAAGCCTTATCTATCTGATCCACATACTGTCTCTCTTTCAGTGTGTACAGGATCTCTTCAGCATTGGGACATCTTGGATCATGGCCTGTTGGAAAGAGAGGAAAATGTTTGGATTAATGAAAACTATCAGTCCCACGAGTTTCATTCGCATGGTATAAAATATGTAACCTGCATTTATTTCAGCACATTTATCTCTTGGCAGTTTATGGTTACCAAAAAGAATCCTCCAAAGGTAAAAATCTTGATATCTATCTTCCTTATCAGGGGGACATGATTTAATGTATCATGTACATTAGACAACGTAGAGAAGATAAAGTGAGAATACATCCATTAGTAGTTTAATACCCAAGTTGTTGTTCACTTTTATTCAGTAAAACATCGTCATTTCAGGAAGGGCTATAAGAAGTGAACTAACCATAAGAAATAGATAATATTAGGTCATCTTTTGGTCAAATTTATTCTCTTCAAGTTTGTATGCTGACAAACTGAACGATCATAATAATGGGTAGAATCAGACTACTATAATAGTTTCCTTACTAATAAGGTTAAGAAGTCCTAAACACAAAGAAACCCTACTAGAAGTGATGATCTGACATTTGCCCTAGCCTGAATTTCATCTACGATATAGAGTTATGGCTTGGGTTGTAATCTTTTATTTTCTTAGCATTAGGATTATGATATGGTTTACCATTGGTCCAGGCTGCAGAGTTAACCTTGAGAAATCTTGTTAGAAATTGATCACAATGTAACTGTAGCCGAAGCACATGTCATACACTTAGTGGAGGCCGGCCACACTTGACTTACCACACTGTCTGACGACGTTGAGGTATTTGCCAGTCCTGAGGATCTTATCAGCGATGGTCTCCAGGAAGATTGGGCTCCTTTCTCGGCAGTTGGTGTAGCGCTGCTCCCAGTAAGCATCATTGTATTCCTGCTGAAGCTTCTCTTTTTGTAGGGCTTCATTCTCTTCAATCATAAACTTGAGAGAAAACAAGAAAATTTGATTGGTATGGCTGGCACTCTTAAAAACATTCTAGAAATTCTGATTTCACAAATTGATAATAGATCTAGATTTAACGAGTTGATTTGTATCGTTAGCAACTTATTATAGCAGAGGATCCCAAAACCTTGATTTTCAACCAGATTTGAAAGAGATTCACCGTTAATTTATAATGATTAATAATGTGATCATATTTGCCCAAGGTGCCACATTATTCCTCCAGCATTGCCAGGTTAGGTAACAATTTAAAACCTGGTTGAAGCACCTTGTCCAAGAACATAAGCACCAGGGATTGGGACCTCTTGTATGAAAGTCAAGAGCCTCCATCAACTGACCAGATTTTTATTAAATTCCTTTCTAATAAACACATTTAATTATTTGTTTATATCTTTTCTTTCTTTAAATTAATACTTCCCTCTTTTCCAGTCCTCTAGTTAATCAACATTCATCCTCCAGCCTGTCTATCTGACTGTCCACCATCCCTCCCTCCCGTGCTCCAGCTCTCTCTCTCTCTCTCTCTCTCCAACTCTTCTTGCTAATGCTTACCTCACAGTATGGGTCTTTGATGATTCCCTTGTAGATCCACTTCTCCAGGATCTCAAAGTAAGGGGCACAGGCCGACTGGGTAAGGAACAGACACAGCTCCTGTGCTCGCATATCACTGTGCATGCAATAGAAAGTCATATCTCACCTATGTCAGTGCATTGAAAAAAACTTCATCGTGTACAAAGATCATCTTTCTCTGCAATGCTAATGCATCACCTCCTGCTTCTGTCTTCTAAACTCCTCAGTTATTACAGGTGTAGTTGAGGGATTTGGATGACTTCCAATAACACCAACACCAGATGCTAACACCCAACATGCATGTCTACTCTAGACTCCTCAGTTATTACAGGTGTAGTTGAGGGATTTGGATGACTTCCAATAACACCAACACCAGATGCTAACACCTAACATGAAATTGATAAAAGCCTACTATTTGCCCAAGGTGATATCAATAGACTCAGTTTACTCTTCTGTTACCTAAGGTGTTACAGACAGAATTGTTTTAGCAAACACAATCATTGGACACTACACCAGAACATGAAAGTTGCAAATGTCCTTATAATTGGTGTTATTTGTCACAGCTTTGCATTTACTTTAATATGTTCACTGAATCAAACAGGTATGAAGCTAGAAGTGACACTATACCAAATACAAGATCACCAGTAGGCTCAAAAGTTGTGATTTGGCATTTACTCTGGTGATTGATATCTCCAGGCTTTATTTTGTCAATATATAATGTTTGGTATTGGGTGTTAGGGTTTATCATTGGATATAGCGTTGGATATAGAAGGAACTCTCCTTCCTTTTCCTGTTCCTCTTCTTGCCACCGCTGGGCCGAGGGGCCTTGACTGCCTTCTTGGAGCCTTTCTTAGCAACTTGAGCTGTTGGAACTTGGAGCTTAGCAACTTCGAGCGAATTGCCGGCGAATCTTCCCGCCTCGCTCAGTACAACAAAAAGTCAACCATCAGCCAACCATCCAGGGTTATCAGTTTCACAGGAATTCCATTGGTGTACGGAATTGACCGCAGAGCAGTTTTCACAGAAACTTGGCGTAACAGCCTGAAAAGCAGCAGGAACATGAAATTCTTCCTTACCCAATCATGGTGACAGTCTTCTCATGCAGCAGGCTAAGCACCGAGCCTCCAGCGCAGGCTCCCCTGTCCACTGATGATGAGATAGATGCTAGTATCTCCATGGTCTGCATGCAGGGCTGCATATAGAACCAGAACCTCTGTAACGGTAGCTGGCCTTGCTTGAATTGATGCTCCAGCTGGGCTATTAAAATGTTGTACTCCTGCAGGGAAACAGCCATACATTTTCAAATATCAGCTGAAACAAGTGGAGTTTTTTGTTCTTTGTCATGCAATATCATATCAAAGAGTATCAATAAGCCGAGAGGCCAATCCTAAAATAAAGCATGCAAGCATACTGTAGGAAAGATATCAAGACCTTAATCAAGAAGTTTATCTATTTTTTCTTCTTTCTTTGCTTGTTGTGTTTTCATAAAGAGCATTATTGTGATGTGGTCTAATACTAACTTATGTCCCAGTACCAGTGCCAAGGAGAAAGGATAGATGGGGTTGAAAAACAGACTTGAAAAAATACCAAAGTTTTCACAAAACCTATGGCTTCTGCAACTTTTCGACCCTCTTTGTCTAAGTTACACAATGCATCTTCCTCAATGTGCATAATTGTTATTAGGATAAATGGTACTACAGCTCGATGGTATTGAAACAAACAAGTGCAACATTCAAATCCAAATATATGTGCAAGTGCACTTGGGTGGGGCAATCATCCTCAATTATCTAGTCCCTCAGATAGGACTTCATGAGCTGTAGATCCCCGGTTTCTTTATCTGAAATTACGTTTAAAGCATACCTATGCCTAATAATAAACCAATGATTGAAAGCTGCACCTACCTTGACTAATGTCCTCATGGCCCCACAGAGAGCGTGGTTGACAACACCAAACTCAAAGGATGACTTGTCCTCGATAAAGTGCATGACCGTGGAGTAGTTATTACATATGGGAAGGATTCGATTGACCAGCTCTTGGAGGGACGTGTCCAGAGAACGGTCAACTTGGAATGTGTAAGGTGTGACTGATCCGTCTGAAGACTGCCGTACCAGGATGTATTTCCCTTCCGTGCCCTGCGTACAAAAAAGAAAAAGAGTAAGGTACATGTACTTTGTAAGCATGGATTAATTTTAACTGAGATTGACGTTTAATAAATAGAGCATTCAAAATTTGCAACTAAATCCCCAAACTCATCAAAATGGACAAAATAACTTCTTGTTCTCCCACTCCCTAATCATACTTTGATAAAAAATTCATTTCAACTTCTAGATCATCAAGGTATCATGTACAAGTAAGATTTGAAATGGGCACACACAAAAAACACGAAGATTGAGAAAGAATTGCAAGGAATCAGGGGAATTAATCAGGATGGAGGTTGAAGAGGGCAGCATACAAATATATCTTAATTAAAGCATAGATGCATCAAGACTGGCTGCAGACAAACATACTTGGCATACCATCACCATACAGAAGCCATCACGAGGCCCCTGGCCTGCGTGGACGGCATAAGTCAAGTCAAGTCAAAGCACAGAGTGATATCTTCCATCAATATCTTGATGTATCTACAATATACTATAAAACCATAAACAAATAACAAGTGGTCTATTTTCACAAACATACCATGAAAAAGACCTATCTGTCACAACAATTTTGCAATTTGCTACAGATATATATATATATATATATATATGTTTTTTTTAAAGGTGCAAACACAGATAATTGATTAATTGTACCTTACCAGTTTCATGCTATGAAAAATCCAAATTCAAACTACACAAGAAATTCCATACCTTTATCCCACTCCCTAAATTCAGTCGATAATTCTCTTACCATCATAACAGTGAGCAGATCATGGACTATGGTCATCTCCTGCATTCCCAGAGGGAGTGTGCCCAGAGGAATACCTGGCTCTATGGTAGGCCTTGAGACCTTGACAAAATCACCTGTCAGGAATGGTCTCTCAAAGACCCAGGGTGATAGGACGGGAAGGCTCAGAGATGCTAAGAGAGATGACAGAGGCATTAAAGATAATATTTAACAGTGACATAAAAGTAGATCATGGACTATGTTCATCTCCTGCACGTCCCAACAGGCGTCGCAGGTCAGAGTTGGTCTCTCGTATACCCATGGAGATAGGATGGGAAGGCTCAGAGACGCTGGAGGAGATGAAACTTAAAGGGAGTCACTCGTCAGTTTCCATGTGCAGAAGGCCATAATTCGCTGACACCAGAGTTGGTGGCTACAAATCATTAACGTGTGTACAGGCACTAGGTCTGCACACAGCAAACCTGTAGGCCAATCAAAAAATACCGTCGTCTCTCGGAGAGTGTCTTCGGGTGACTGGGTGAGGGAAAAGTGAGATTATAACTTTACAATGTGGGGGAATGGGTGGAAACCGCAGTACGTTACACAAGGCCTGCTTGTCATAAAACTGAAGGCTAATCCTGGTCATTGACAGCACCTCTTAATGGGTAAACACCCAAACAGTGTTGAATTCCCCATGTGAGCTAACTACTGAGTGTATTTAAGCATAGACGTAATACAATGGACTATCGACGAAGCAGTTTCTTTGATCCTATGAGTTCCACCGGCAAGGTTTAAATTTCGCGCCGATGCAAAAACCCAGCGGTGGTCCCACCGCAACCCGACAGCTGGATGCGATCACTTGCGCAATCTTTCATAATCGCAACAGCAAGCTCGCGATTTGGGGTTGTTCGCTGCTCCTTCAAATCGTTGAGAACCTAGTGTTAAATAGTATGAGCGCTCTCCGCCATGCGGTCGTAGCGAACATGTTTTCGTCTTTGTGCCTGACGATATTATTGTTATTGTTTTCAGCGTTGTATTTATACTAACAATTATTATTTATTTCGATGTGTGTATTGTTCCATAATACATATTTTTCTCGTACTCATGAGCCATGTGTTGTTTATAAAGTAATTAGAAGGGCAGGATTATCATTAGATGACATAAATAAGGAAGAACTTTATGATTGTGATGGGCAGTCCATATATCGACATAGCAGACGACGGAAATGTTGAATATTTTGCAATGGTCAATTCCCAAATTTACGGACACAGATATTTATCCCAATTCCTAGATTCTCAAAAAAAACGTACACATATAGTAGGCCTAGAATCTACATCAAGATAAAATAAGATAAAATCTGAGGGAAGAAAAAAAAAGCAGTCACTCTCGGATTAACAAGTCCAAAATATAACTTGAAAAAAACATGCACCCGCCGATCTCTATCAATGGGACTACGTGTGCAATTTGGATTAGACAAAGGCACGGCAATTTAGTGGTCATGATGCGAAGAAGTCACGCATTACCACAGATTTTCTGAGCACACACGAAAACAACCCCATTCTTCCAATGCCTATAAAAAAAACGCACGCAAACGCAACAAATAACGAATGATTGTATTCGACAAACGAAGGATTTGTGATCACCACACCGTCGTTGGTTTCACAGAGAAATTAACGGAAACAGGAGAAAAAAACACTTTTTAAACTGTATTTTGTAAGCTCTTGTGGTGACTTTCCTTGCTTATATGATGAGTTTGCTACACACCAACACAAATTCGTAAAAAATCGAAGAAATCACCGATTTCAACGGCTTTTTTTACAGATTGGCGAGCATGAACAGGACGTAAACCTCATGTTTACATCCGGGGCACTATTGACGTAGTATTTAGCTGCGCATGGGCAGAAGGCTCTCCTGTCACGATTCATTCATGAAATGAGAAGCGCAAATCGTGGGAAGCATTGGTCAGTGCGAAGCGACTTGGCCGATAGAGGTCGGCAAAATCCCGGTGGATCTCATAGGACCAAAGGACCCTTATCGGAGCTTATCAAAACATGCCCGCAGCGTTGCGGTCAGACTTAAAACATAGAAGAAAGTAAGACATAAGAACAGGTGGTAGCTATCATTACTTTTACTACTCTTGCCGTCAAAAGTCCATTTCTATTACGTCTATGATTTAAGAGACATTGAAGGTATTATGTAACAGTGAGAAAAAAGAAGATCTTGGACTGTGGTCTTCTCCTGCATGCCCAGAGGGAGGGAGTGTGCTCAAAGGAACACCTGACGCTATGGTAGAACTTGAGATTTTGATGAAATCACCTGTGAGGAATGGTCTCTGGTAGACCGAGGGGGGAAAGAATGGGAAGGCTCAAAATGTAGAAAGAAATGACAAATAGGTTGAATTGTTCACATACCAGCTACAATTGGGCATCAACCTGCATGAAACAAATTGTTTGTGAATGTATATGACAGACACTAGTCTATTATACTCCCTTATGTAAGATAATTTTTTCCTACATAAACCATACATGAGACTTGTTTCAATCATTTCATAATTCGACCTGTCTTCACAAAATGCATGCATATTTCAGATATCTACACATTGGCATGAATAAGAATCTACCAGTATGTAAACAACAGGGATTCAAATTTCGAACTTCATATCATACTCTTTCATAATATTGTCTTCAACAATCTATCCAACAAACTGGGATTGTGAAATTGGTTGGGATAGGCTATTCCTTGCAGTCTTTCTGATTTGTGCAGTGTGTATTAAAGAAAGAGGTATTTCACCCCATAAAATAATAAATATTGTCTGCTGACAGCCATAAGGACATTAACTCATTTACTTTTAATGTCGTTTGGGCTCTCAAGAGATCATAGTCTATAAGGACCTACTGTTTTTCTTTGCTTGTTTCTCTCTCATCATCTTTCTGAAGACTTCTGAAGCTTGGCTAGATGCAACAGAGGATGCGGCAAGTAGCTGGTTACGCAGCTGTAATGGAAACAGACAATAGTTTAATTCACACACTGACACACAAGCTTCCTGCTACACAATGAATGTTTGTCTGCAACCATTATCAAACAAACTTGACAACATCGAAGGAAACCCCTACCGGGTTAGGGTTACAAAACATTTTCTTTCCTCAAAAAGTATGAAATTACATGTATGTGTATATAAAATAAATTTCTTTTAATTACCAATACTGCATTATCAAAAATATTCCAAATTGCTGGAATAAGTCAAAAGCAAGCAGTGAAAATAAATTCCCATTATCAGTGATTTGCCAGGTCTTTATTGAATATCCCATTAGGAGCAGTTTTGTTGATACCGAACACAGCAGACATCTAGCAAAGGTTACAATACTTTTATACATTGTACCATCATTAACCACACAGAAGTGAGAGGACTAAGACTGAGGAAACCAAACTTGAGATACCTCTAATACATCTTCCTCTGACATCTTGGTGCCTGAAGCTGGAAGACTGATCTTGTCCATCGGCATGAGTAGCTTGTCAGAGTTGTCCTTGAGCGTTGATACCACATCTTTGTCCTCTGACAGCTTGGAGAGCAGGTACACCAGAGCATCTAAATCTCTCACACTGCCGGCCGGACAAAGCATTAAAAGGCATCGTTTAACAGTGTTAAATCTGAGATGCACGGCCCTACATGTTATCAGTGTCTGTGATATGGTGTAATATTGAAGCCCTAAAAAATTGTGCTTCAAAATGATCAAGAAGTGCCTCAAAAAAGTAAAAATCTTTGAGTGACCGGTTTTACCATACTCGTTTTCCCCAATAGACTGTAGTGTTATGAAAACCGTTAGGCGAAACGCAATATTTGGTTTCGATTTCCAATCATAAATATCTTGATAATCAGACAGGTGATCGGCTTGTAAAAGTCATGGGGTTCCTGACTGACCTAAGGTTTATAATTATCATTGCAGCATGAGCTAAATCAAGGATTTTGTTTCAGAATCTGAGACAAAGTTACCGGATCCCTTAACATCCATGTATTACCAGAATTTCTGATTTACCTTTGACCACTTATGAAAAAATGTTGGGCAAGCACATGGTATGTGTATCATCCATGTATGCAAGGCAATAGATATTTTATTCACAAAGGTTTTTTGAGAGGTTTTCATTGCCCTCCGGGGTTTGGAGTGGCAAATGTGGAGGAGTATCTTGCCAGAGTACAGTAGTGCCAGGCAGGCTCAAGATTTGAACGGTGAATTGGTTAAAGGACACGATTTGTCATCAAACCATTAGCCGGACTCAGTGGACTTAAACTGACAATTGATATAACTTATACATATGAAGACATGAAATATATTGTCCAACATCTTTAGAAACGAATGTCTATTAATCATAAATGGTCATTAGGTGACTGCTTAAATATGATATGGTGGTGGCTGCCAAGAGATTAACTATTATCAATCACTTGGTCAGTTTATGTATTGAACCAAGATTTGACACTGCCATTGTTGCTGTTGGAAAAGCAGCATCTATGTCTCTGTCCCACACGAGACAGGAACATCAGTTCAAGAATCATAAGTTTATTCAAAATAATTTTGGGAAATGTTATATTCATGAACTAATTTCATCGTCGAGTCTTACTTCTTTGATTTGAGTTCATCATATTTGTTGAGGAATTCAGCTGGGGATTTGGTGAACTCTGCAATCTTCCTCTTGGCAGAATGGGACGAGACTTGTGTGGTGATGTAGGGAGTGACATTCTTCAACAGGAGATCTGTGTAGACTTCAGGACCCTCCTTCCCTTGTGTCCTGACAAGAATAGAGAAGAACAGAGATGGTTGTGCATATGCATGATACTCCCTTAACAAAGATAATAATTCAACTTGAGCAAGTATGACTTTATTTGATGGATTTATCAGAATCTACCAATAGTCTTCAAAAGAAATAGATAAGAAACTTGTACATCAGTAAGTAACTTGTTAAAAAAAAAACTAGAGGAGAAGCTGGGAATCTACTTCAATTCATCAGGGCATTGTTTCATGAATATGTTTAAAGTACAGGGTCACAGACATACAATCGGTAACTGTGTTGATTTACTACACGCATTTCAGTGGGATGTCTGCAATCCTACTATTTAAAAAAAAAATTTGTTGTTTTTACAATGTGAATGTAAGAATATTTATAAAGATTATTACATGTACTTGTAATTAGGCTGGGCTTGGGCTTGGGCGATTCTCTCGAGAACCGACTCCAGTTGCGACAAACGGCTTCGATTCCAAATGGAATAGACTCCCACTGGATGCCAAATAAATGAGGCTAGGACGGGAGTCGGTTAGAACCAATTCCTCGACTCTGGCTTAAAATCAATATCAATTACATCTATATGGTAGGCCAATTCCTTGGGAAAATCAAATAGTTTTCCATCAAAGAAAATCAATATTTTCTTAATTATATTAATTACTACCCTGCAAGTACTATATGCAAGTAGAGAAATTTGACTGTACAACACATGGTCTGGCAACAATGGCTCCACAGTCAATTTCCTACATCTACACTGAATTCTAAAACTTAAACCCTTGACCAAACAAAATAACTTATCTTAACACTTACCCTAAACCTAGCCATGAACAATTTTGTAACCCAAACCTAACCTTATACCTTTGACGAGACTTACCCCAAGACTTTCATCAGCTCACTGACCAGATGGTGTATCCTAAATTCACTCATTGTGAATTGATCAGGATCTCGATTCAATCATCAGGTAAAGCTGAAAGATGACAAACAATCAGGAGTCAATAGATCAATGGTCAAATGCAGCCTAGCTTTAATAGCATACCTTTAAAAAAAAAGTGTTAAAAAATGAAATGCAGATTAATCAAGATTTTCAACGTCGAAAACAGCCATCGCTAGCTGATTCTGATAATTGTTGGTATATTGATAGCTGCCAATGCCTCACTCACATGACGTTAGAGTCTAGACTAGATAGCTTGAAATCTATTTGACATAAAACTAAATATGTTAACTGTGAAACAAACAAAATAAAAAAGTACATTTTGCAAAATAGGATTTTAATTCCTGAATTCAATTTGCTGCTTGTTTTAAATGACATTTGCAGGTTTATTTGACATGAAGTATGATGAATAACAGTTGTTTGGGGCTTTACGAATCGTTTACTGCCGATTATTACAAAAAGCGATCAATCAAAAATAAGTTAGTATAAGATAACAGCATATTTTGCAAGGCAAAATATCATACAATAATCAGTTGGTACCACTTTTGAATTACAATTTTGATGGAGGAAGAAACAAAGGATAACATAAGGAAAGGCAGAAAGAGAAAGTGATAAAAATAGAAGAAAATGGATAGATAGAAGAGAAGATGAATGATAAAAACAGAGAATAAGAAAAGGTGATAGAAGGAAGAAACAAAGGATAACATTAGGAGAGACAGAAAGAGAAAGTGATAATATGATAAAAACAAAGAATACTGTAACATAAGAAAAGGTGATAGAAGGAAGAAACAAAGGATAACATTAGGAGAGACAGAAAGATTAAGTGATAGAATGATAAAATAGAGGAACAACATAAGAAAAGACAGAAAGAGAAGGTGAAAGAAGGAAAAACAAAGAATAACATTAGGAAATACAGAAAGTCAAAGTGATAGAGTGATAAAAACAAAGAATAACATAAGAGAAGATTAAAGAAGGAAGAAACAAAGAATAACATAAGGAAAGACAGAAAGAGAAGGTTATAGAATGAAGAAAAAAAGAATAACATAAAGGAAAGACAGAAAGAAATAGTGACAGAATGATAAAAAACAAAGAATAACATAAGAGATGATGACAGAAGGAAGAAACAAAAAATAACATAAGGAAAGACAGAAGGAGAAAATTATAAAAATAGAAGAAAATGGATAGATAGAAGAGAAGATGAATGATAAAAACAAAGAATAAGAAAAGGTGATAGAAGGAAGAAACAAAGGATAACATTAGGAGAGACAGAAAGAGAAAATGATAAAGACAATGGAAAGATAGAAGTGAAGATGAAGAAGGAAAAACAAAGAATAACATAAGGAAAATAGAGAGAGAAAATAATAGAATAAACGAAAAATAACATAATAAGTGAAAGAAGGAGAAATTGAATAAGCACGTGCAGGGGCAATTACATCATCGTGAAGAGAGGGCGTCGACTAAAAACGAAAAGGATTATAAGGTAGTGAACAGGTTTACAGGACGGGTGTCTGACGCCAATTCATATCGTTAGAGGACGGGAACGCCATCCTCGTCCACACAAACGAAAAACCCCTATTATTGGATTCAAATACTTCAAAATCTGCAAGATCGTCAACAAATGGTGAAGACCGTTACAGATCCGTGATTACCTATGTTGTGGAGTGTATAATTGTATTTTTTTTTTTTTTTTTTATTCAATAAAAGAAAATAGACCTAGTCTAGACTCTAGTCTAGATGTCGAGATCTAGACTAGATCTAGACTCTAGATATTTTTATTTTGTTTTTTTCTTTCTGGCAATTTTCTGAACTGGACGACGAGTGCACAAATCGTAGGTGTATTCTAGAAGCCTTACGCCCTGGTATTGGACTCCCTAAAAAAAGGGTTCCTTTCACTTTTCAGCTTCAGGTTCACACAATTCACAATCATCACACTTTCACACAAATCAGGTTTCGACGGTTTCTTTAAAAAAGGGTCATTTCAGAAAAGGTGCGATACGCCTTTAGGATTTAGGGTCCATTTCAATCAGAGGTTGATGGCCACGGGTGGGTAGCATTTGTGTATGAGAGTGACCCCCCGGGTAGATCTACAATCTAGTTGGCTGTCGAACTGTCGTAGATCTAGACCTCTAGCTCTCTTCCAATATTCACAACATACTTTACAACATTACCCCACCAACTCATTTTCATGTTGCAGTCCGATTCCAAACTCTAATTGATAGTACTAATTGCTTCAATTTTACATTCAACGTGGCACGATAATCGTCCTGAATATCTAATATTATAGAATAAAGAGCTGAATATACACAAATTGAAGTACAAAGATATCATATGAACTTTTACCGGTACTAACTACTATGAATGAATTAATTTAACTTACGTTATTCGCGGCGGCAAACTCTTGATCCTCGTTCCGCAAATTGTTTTTTTTTCCTGTTTTTACCTAGATAGCTAGCCTCATTGCAGTTGAAACATTTCGAGGAAAAATTAAATGCATCGTGGTGACTCGATCAATTTTGAAGTTGTATTCAATTTTAGTAGATTTCAATATCTGTTAACTATATATTTAGTTGTCAAAATATTAGTCTGCTAAGTATTTGTAATCGCGTACGAACGGCAACGAACCAACGAACTCAAACCAAGTAGAAGGATTGTGTCCGTTCACGTTTCACGCAGCGCAATGGCACCGCTCGAGTGCGCCCGCCGCCATTTTGCGTAGTACAGGAAATTGCCTGCGCATACGTATTGTGTACAAGCTCCTATTGCAATTGGAGGAAGGGACGTCCAGAAACCAGGGTTTTATTGTTAGTTTTGGTGAAAAATATCTTTACATATTTTGTTTATGCCCTTTTCCAAGTCCCATACAGATGTTTGATGACTTGAATATTAGAATAAGAGCGGCAGCTTGGACAATAGGGGAGTTGAAATTTTAGGGTTTTTTTTGCATAAAGACTAAAAGAGCTAGACTATTTGTTAAATATCATTTGTGGTATTAGGCTAGTTTTGTCTCTTTCTGTGATAGAAAGAATATATCAAATTATATAGGCTCTATCTATATAAATCACTCCCACTTTCTCTTTACACACACTCGTAAATTCTCAGTCTTTGTGTTTGGCTTCCCACTCCCCCTCTCTCTATCCCCTTCTCTCCCTCCCTCTCTTTTTCTTTCACACTCCCCCTCTCCCCTTCATTCTCTCTACCCCTTTCTCTACTCCCTCTCTCTTTCTCTCTATCCCCTTCTCTCTCTCCCTCTCTTTTTCTTTCACTCTCCCTTTCTTTCTCTCTATCCCCTTCTCTTTTTCTTTCACTCTCCCCCTCTCTCTTTTTGTCTCTCTCCCCTCTCTCTTTCTCTATCCCTTTGATTCTTGGCACTGCAGAAGTAGGCCCACTGAATATTAATATTATTTCTTTTCTTTCCCTTTGGAGGCTACCATTTAGCTGCCAGATATTATTTTCATCCCATATAGGCATATTAAAGATTTATCTAAGAAGTGTTAAGTAATGACACATTGTGGCAACTATTCACATGTCTTTCCACATAATTGTGAATACTTTCATCTTTATTAAGTTTCTTTTTAACCTTGGCATTGCGCTATGTATTACATGAATGTATACAGTACATATCAAAACACCCATGAACTATTGCAATGGTGGATATGAAGAAAAAAATCCTCAATGGTGTGGAAAAAACGTTCCTCAAGCAAGCAATCATGGCACATTATGTTTATACCGGCACATTTCTTATTCATTTTAACACACAGAGAAATAATCACATGTACATTTGCATTTGACTGACTACAATGAACAAAAGGCAAGATTTTCTCCCTTTTAGCACTCAAAACTTGAACATACTTCATTAAAAAACTAGACATCAACAAGATATAATACATATGAATCAGTATTTCCCTCTCTTTGGTTTGTTCATGAAGCAATGTATGGATTCATGTGATTTCAGTGAAAACTTTTAAAACAGATTTTTACTCTAGATGAAAGTTGCAACTTTCATTTAGCTCAAGCTCTTTCAGTTGGTAAACATGGATACAACCATTGCAACTACAGTTTGAATTCAATAGTGTAGAATAGATGACACTGCACATTGAACAATAAAATCATTGGACAATATTTTATAACAAAACAGGGATCGTTTGCATACACCGTAAACCTCTGTATACAGATTTTCATACAACATAATGAGTCACTTCCTTATCTAATTTGACGAAACAATTTGTTTGTACACACATGTATGTGGCACTATGCCATCACCGAAACATTATCCATTATCAAGAAACATTTGTAAATAGCTTTGGGAACCATAAGTGATCAGAGTCAAGTTAAAAATACAAAATTTAAAGAAAATCCCTTTCCCTGAAACACGTTGACAATAATCCAGTTTTTTTTTTTTAATTTCTTTGATGCCTCTTTCGCAAATTCTAATCTCAAATCTAATTTATGCAATCAGATTCAAACTATACCTAAACCTGTCAGACAGAAGACAGGCTAGTGTCAATAATAGAATCACACAATTCCTTTCTCTCTGGGTAAGCCTAGATGTATAAAACACAGAATAGACCAATAGGGCAAACATCGTAATAAATATCGTATACTATATCCCTGTAGTGCACATTCTGTCATTTCATTGGGAAGGAGAAGATGAAATAGTCTGTTTGAATTAGTATATTTATTTCATCAATGGTGAAATATTATGTAAAAAATACACATAAATAAGATTGACCAATTTTTTACCCTTTTACAGCAGAAATCCTCAAATATTTCAAAATGTATATGTCTTTAAAGATATACATGTACCAGAATAATGGGAGCTTCGCAAAATATTGCCTGGTGTTTTTTGTCTTGATTTGTATTTCAAGTGCTGTGCTTTACTAGGCCATATGAAATCTATATTAATCTACACATATTCATCTGAGGAGTAAGTTTTAGAGGACGTAGGAAGGTTCATGCAGGTAGCTTCTTTAACTGCCATGACTGACAGGTCGTAACTTTCACAATGACCAACTTTGATGAGTAAAATTTCTTGTGTTTTACAACAATTTAAATGTCCAAATTTAAGGTTTAAATTTTGAGTAAATTCCAGTAAATTTCTTACAATGATGCTTGAAAGTCTGACGAATCACGGGAAATTGTGTCACTATTAATACCAGCGCCGCGATGCAACATGTTCATAAGTTCAAGTTAATCTTCAAAGTAACTTGAACCAAGTTTCACCAAGTCAAACAAAGAAAGTGACCTGCTTATGCCCCAATGATTCCCCCCCCCCCCCCCAAAAAAAAAAACACAAAACAGTACAGTATTCTCTGGATATCATGTATTCGATATTATCGGTTTATAATACTTTGCAGCTCTGTGGAATTCAATATTTTTGATAGTTCATAGCCGATGTCATTGAACTCGAGCGAAAACAGTTCACAAACATGGAAATGAATAGATGGGACCGATGTACAAATACACGCTTTAGTCTGTGGCTTTCTGCGTTCGGATTATCATGCAAAACTGTTTATTTTTGCCATGTTTTTAATGAAGTGATCACTATATGAAAGGTTATTCCAGAGCCTCTTTTAAGGCGATTGGTGCAGTTGAAAGCTGCACAATATGGCATTTAGCAGACGAAAGTTGAGCATACACATAGCACGTAGTCGCAGTTCGCTTTCACAACGCTCGTTCTATCCAAGATGGCGCACGGCGGTGCAATTCAGCGGTCTCGGAAAATCCTTCTACTTACTTGGATTTCGATGCAACGAACTCAAACGAACTTGGATTTCGATGACTTCACGAGCCATGTACAATTAACCGTCAACGAAATTTCTGCATTGCCAATTTAAAGCTCGGAATGGATATTTGGTATAGGTGTGTGTGGGGGAGGGGAGGGGGGGGGGGGCTGGTAGCACAACCAGTTTTATTTCCCTGTAAAACCCTAATCTACATAGATCTACATCATAAGCAACAACAAAAATTGGCAAAAATTGCTCTCCCCCCCCCCCCAAAAAAAAGGTTTTACTTGTATGTGCCATTATTTATTATGCCTCAGCCCCACCCCTTTCCCCAATTTTGTAAAGGCTCTATGCCTGTGTAGCTGGTATGTAAAGTGCTCACGTTATTCTCCTCTCTTTATCAACACTCAACTTCTTTATTTTCTCTTATGCCACATGTTCAAACAATCTCAATATAATTTTCCCCACAATAGTTTAGTTCTTGAGATCTACCACCTCGACCTTTCCTCTATAATCTTTTACTGTATGCAACATCAAGTTTAAAGCAAGACCCCCCCCCCCCCCTAAAAAAAAGAAAAGAAAAAAGAAGCTGGTTCATATGTTTAAGGAATAACAAAGTTCTGTTTGTTTAAAGTGATGCTTGCATTTCCATAATTTGATTTAAAAAGTTTGTTTTCACCGGCTTCCTGCCGTAGCAACAAGCAGAATTGACAAAAGACTTAACTCTGTTTCATTGACAATCAGCCATGCATGAAGTCTTTCGTCTATGTCTGATTGTCACCGTATATATGTTATAATTCATAACATAGAGTCAGTAGCGAGTGTGTAAAAACAAATAACAAACAGTCATAAAGAATAAAACACTTTAATAAAAATGATGAATTGTTGTAGGAAAATTTATTTACAACATAAATACAAACTAGATGGAATTCGACTGCGCGCAGTCGAAAATGATGCCTCCGTCATAGAGCAATTTTACAAACCAAAACAGAAGAAATTTTTCAAATTCAAGTTCAATTGTAATCCATTAACAGGTTCTCAGAATATCGTGATTACAAACAATTTCTCATATACATATATGACCCTTTGAACTTTGACCTCATGATCCTAATATCTACTCAGCTCATTGGCTCTGCAAGATATCCAGAGTTAAATAGTAATCCATCTGTCAGTTCTAATGAGAATGCGTTCACAAGCTATTTTTGCATACATAATGAGCCCATGACCTTGGACCTTATGAACCAAGAATCTACACAGTTCATCGGCTCTGCAAGTAACATACATGACCTAAGTTTGGCAGGAATCCATCAATCGGTTCTTGAGATAACGCGATCACAAGCTGTTTTTGCATACATAATGAGCCCTGTGACCTTTGACCTCGTGACCCCAAAATCTAATCAGTTCATTGGCTCTGCAAGATACATACATGACCAAAGTTTGGCAGGAATCCATCTATCGGTTCTTCAGATAACGCGATCACGAGCCGTTTTGCATACATAATGAGCCCTGTGACCTTTGACCTTTGACCTCGTGACCCCAAAATCTAATCAGTTCATCGACTCTACAAGATACATACATGACCAAAGTTTGGCAGGAATCTATCAATCGGTTCTTCAGATAACGCGATCACGAGCTGTTTTTGCATACATAATGAGCCCTGTGACCTTTGACCTTTGACCTCGTGACCCCAAAATCTAATCAGTTCATCGACTTTGCTAGATACATATATGACCAAAGTTTGGTAGGAATCCATCGATCCGTTCTTCAGATAACGTGATCACGAGAACGGGACGTACGTACAGACGTACGTACAGACGTACGGACGGACGGACGGACGGACGGACGGACAACCCGAAAACATAATGCCTCCGGCTACTTCGTAACGGAGGCATAAAAAGGTCTCACATGTCTTTACAGCAGGGATGGATTGTAACGAAGCCAACATGATAGGTACTAACAAAATGAAATATGATAATTAACTAAATTTGTAACAAAAACTAACCAAAAGTAATCAAAATCTGCATATAAACATTTGTTAAGGTAAAGAAAAACAAAATGAAAAGCTCCAACTTTAATCAAATGAGTAGCAGCTATGAAAAATTGCATCAATTTTAAAGAGAGTGTCCAATGATTCATCCTCTATCATATTCAATTTCAAAAATAATACTGGAATCAATCATTTGAAATGAATTGTACAATGCAGTGATTACTTATTATACAAATATAATACATAGCAGTGAGGGCATTAGTAAGAATTACCCACACAAGATACCTTTGGAACAGTCTAACACGCCCAGGGCCATAGCCGAGGGTGTTTGGACTGTTTCTAAAGTACCGACTGTGGGTAATTTCACCACTGATCTAACAAAATGATGTGTATTATTTGTTTTATAAGATGATGTTTTATTTATTTCATAACATGATTTTACTAATGACCGGTCAAGTATTTACTTATGACCGGTCATTAGTAAAATTTCTGCAGTTCGCTCACATACAAGACTGATTGGAATTCCATTGCGATTACTTATCTCGCATGTAGAAAAAAAAGAAGGGTACCAGAGAAGGGTATGTATACAGTTATTTCCTGTGGGGGAGGGGAAGGGGAGTATAGAGATGGGGTAAGGGGAGGAGCTGTTCTTTGAAGTTGTTGAATGGTATTTGTGTTAAAGCCCTACTGTACCACTTGTAGCTACTTGCTCCCTCTATATAGAAAACAATGCCTCATTGGTGACCATTGGTCCCCCATGATCCTCTTGTTCTTATGTTAATTGAGAGCTGAGTTGATGAGATAGCCACCTGTCAGTGACTACCCTGGGTGGTCTAATCCCTCCTAGCCAAACTAGTACAGACGGCCTTTAGATGAGACTTGCCCATCATACATTGCATTCCTGAAGATTCATTACATCTGCTATCAATGGAAAAGATCAGCAGATCAATTTACACTGTGACACCTCTGTCTTTTTTACAAGAGTCCAATGTCCAATGACACGATGAAAACATTTCTAAAAATTCTAGGTAAAGGTGGCAGAAGTATCATCTTGGAGCAGCATAATCCTCATCCTCATCATCGTCCTCATCATCCTCCTCCTCCTCCTCATCGCTCTCTTCCATGTGAACATCGTTGCTTTGTTGGTGAGCCTGTCCATATTGGGTTTCAGACTTTGGTTTCAGGGACTCCACCTGCTGTTCAAGTTTGCTGGTGTCGTACTCCAGCTCCAGACACGCCCTCTCAATCTCAAAGTTCTTGGACACCAAGCTGGCCCAGCTGGGAAAGCAAAGAGGTGCAAGATTATTGAGCATTATAAGATGATGACGTGGATCCTGATTAAATGATTGGTTGAAAGCGTACACGTGACCAGGCATTTATTTTGACCAGTCATTATCCAAATCATGTTATAAAACATCATTTCATATAACAAATAAAACATAATCTTATAAAACAAATAATACACATCACTTTGTTCGGGCATTACTAAAATTACCCACACTCGGTACCTTCAAAACAGTCCAAACACCCTCGGCTATCGACTCGGACGTGTTAGACTGTTCCAAAGGTACCTCGTGTGGGTAATTCTTACTAAAGCCCTCACTGATGTGTAATATTTGTATACTGTCTGCAGGTATACTTCTCAATTTTCCTTAGAAATTTAAAAATAAATGGCTATTTTCAACAACAACAAATTTGCTTTTATTTCAATGTGTTCCTGGCTCTGCTCCATAGTACAATATTACTTTGATAAATCATTACATTCCGTCCAGATCTTTACGCTCTCAAAACCCAGAATTTTGTGTTCTTCCTAAGCTCAGTACTAAGCGATGGGAAAGAACATTTGCTCATGCAAGGCCTTCACTGTGGAATGCTCTCCATCCAGCGATATTGGTTTACAGTAATAATGCAAAATAGAGATGCAGTAGAGGTTATTCATAGAGTAGCTGCACTGTATACAAGGACAGATTATTATCATTAGAAACATAATGCCTTTTAAAGATACTACCGGTATGTCCCTTTTGCAGCCGACATCAAATTCTGTAGAACTTTGCAGGAATTATGAATATGTCATGTATGTCCTATCTGTGAAATTTTAATGTTAGCAGTGTCCTAATATTCAAATTATGCAAGGAAACCTGTTTACTTGCTACACTTCATTGTCAGACACTATTGAGTGACTGACTGGCTTTTTTCCTTCTTTGGTAATAACATACATAAAATGAGCTGTAAAAGATACATGAGCATTTGTTTACATCAATAACCCACTTCTTGTCATGGCCAAAATTAAACTGATTGAATCTTTGTGCAGCATAAAACGTACGACCATTCGGTACAATGGTCTGAAAAAACCAGACTTTTACTTACTGGCTCTATAGCTCCTAAGTCGATTTGACAACTAATAGTCGTTTTTTCCCACTTAAAGACATTTTCAAGCCCCCTTATTTTTATGGAAGTTCTAAATTAGGATTATCTTTCAAATGCCGTTGCAATATAACCTTTTCATTTTTTGTGGCCTGCAAATGGGACAAAGTACCTTTAAGTGGGCATGATACATGGTAATCAAATGTATACAAAGATAATGAGCCAAAGAAAGATGCAAACAGAGTAAGAGTGTGGAAGGAGTCTCAGTGTTCTTTGATCATTTTTGTGTTTGTCAATGTGTTTGTGCTGCTGCCATTGCAACTCTATCTTTGCACATTTTATTACTGATTATATCGGATCCAGTGGTCAAGCAACATGTCTGAAATCATCTTTCCTGTAGAGTATTGGCGACATTGCTTAACATGCTTTCAATTTACATTCCATCTTTTCAAGAATTTGTTATGGAGTCAAGAAATTTCAATGTTTGCTTAGCAATCTAGCATCATTATTTATTATTACAAGCATTACCTTTCTTGCAGCCTTGTGAGTTCTGGTCCTGAAGCAGTCTGAAATTAAAAAAAAAATAATAATTTTGTGAAGTATAATTACAAACATTAATCACATATTTAATTTAGTTCAAGTTCAAGTTTAGTTTATTCAATTCCAATAAAATATACATAACATAATACAATCATGACAGAATAAGAGTATAAGTCGATCAATAATACAAAATAAGGTAAAATTATAAAACTATAAAGTGATACATCAGATGACAACATAAGATAAGAGCATTATTGGAATTGGGTGGCCATAAAAAACCATGTGGATTTGTCGAGACGACCACCCTATTCATAATTCCAAAATGAAATTAGAATGAAATAAAAGATGGTTATGGACATCTGTCCCTAAGTCAATTTCCATATAATAATCTACCCGATTGCATACTTCAACCTTGGACCGAACACTACACTGAATGCTAACGCTAATTCCATACCTAGCCTAAAACCGTATCCAAAACACTATATCTTTGATGAAATAAAACCTGGCACAATTGCTGTCACATGTCAGATCATATTAACACACTCTAGACCTCTATAGTCCTCTCCAATTTTTGTTTTCTTCTTCTTTTTGCTTTCATTTTGTTTTACTGGCCACATACCTGCTTATTTTTCCTCTTCCAGTTGACTTCCTGGATCTGTTTCTTGATGTCCTGTACCTGATGCTGGGCCATTTCCACCATCTTTACTAGGATACTGATTTAAATTAAAACAATGGAAACAAGACTCAATTACCAAACACAGAAATATGCTGATTTGAAATGACGATAATGTTAGATGATGATGGCGACCATAATAATGACAATATTGGTGCAAGTGTGCTTTGCTATTGCAAATTTCAGGACCTTTCGGTTTCATATTAGCTATTGAAAACATTGATTCAAACACAAATTTAGTCATATTTATACCAGAAAAAAAAACATGGAAAGGCATACAGTTTAAGTTGTGTTTTTTGTGTCAGTCATATTCAAATTTTATTTTGAAAGTCTCTGACGTCTAAACTTTTTTCAAATGTGTCTCCACTCCAGAAATAATACAATTCTTGATCAGTAATTATAACTACATCCCACCAGCCCTCTCAAATAACAAAAACAGTTCATCATCTCACTCATTGTGTGACCTCCAGGCGTGACTGCCATAGTTCTGGAGAAGTTCTAGATTGATGACTCGTTCAGCCTGATGTTCCAGCTGGGCCATGGAGTTCTCAACACACTCAGTCCAGGCTGTGATGTCATTCTGACGTCCAATGGGAGGGGGTGGTAACTCGTACCTTTGGGCGTTGGGAAAGGGGAGGCAAAGAGTAGAACATGGTCCATGGATAGAATAAAAGTAATCTCGAAAGTGGTAAACCATGATATTGGATAGACGAGATGACCAAAATAAAAACTTAATTTCACAACTCTGTTCAAATTTCAAAATAAAACAGGGAGATTGGGACACAAGGGGCACTTCCCCTCCACCCCCCTTAAAAAAAAAAACCTATTCCCAATCTGGCATACCTTAAATGCACAAAACTTATTTGCCCCACTTAAAAAGTTTAAGACTTCTTAGGGCACCTAGAAATTGTGATAACTTTTCATTTTCTGGACAGAGACTTCTTAATTGTGCCCCCCCCCTCCTTTTTTTCTTCTTCAAACAGAATCCTTGATTTTTCTCATATTCTACATTACGGTACCTCTTCATGCTTAACATATCCATGGGCTGCCTCATAGCCATCCTCTCAAACTCATTCTTCAGGACTTCAGTAACAAACGGTGTGCTGTCAATGGCTGCCAGATGCTCCAGGTAGTTCTTGGTAGGCCGATATCTCCTGGTCTCCTCCTCAACAAGGGCATATGCCTAGAAGGAGATTAATAGATATAGCTAGATAGATAAAAAGTACTGCATCATCTGAAGCCTTTGAAAGTGAAAAAAGAGGTGTGCAAGCAGGAAGTTGGCAAGAATCAGCAAAGTCCGTCCGTGCATGCACCTTCGTTTGCTTTACTGATCGTTATTACTGTATTACTATTACTGTATAGTTATTATCAAATTGGCAACGCAAAAAACAGTTTCGACGTGTATACCACATGTCTATTTCAGCTGGAACTAACATCATGAACTTGTGTAAAAGTTCAGCGCTTTTAATTGTCATGTAAGTCGCACCATTACTAAAAAAACACCAGGAACCCATGGAAGGTACCCAAATTGCTACCACTATGGTAGCAAAATCTGACATTTCATTCTTATTCTTTGACCAATTTTTAAATGCCTTTTATTTTTAAGAGTTTCAAGCTTCAAGTTTCTCTGGAAGTATGGTAGATCTAGACTATGATACTTATAATATCATTGTTTTTCCGAAAAATACTCCAAAAATAACAAGAAAATTTACACAAAACAGGTAATAAACATAACATTAACAACTTTTAACTCATGATCTTTATTTGGACATTTATTTTTAATGAACATTACTTCATTTTGGGTATGTTTTAGTAGGGTATCTCCACAACGGAGTTACGGGTCATATTTTGGATACCTTACTGAACAAGCGCCCATTTTCCTATATAGGGCTAGGCGGGCTCTCGAGCAGCGACGCCAAAGGCGTCGCGTCGGAGCTCATGGGATTGGGAGCCGGGAGGCGACTATGCGTTTTACACCCTGGCCTGGACCTTTTCCCAATAAATTTCAAGGAACCGACTGGGAAAAGTCTATCCATGACAAGATATTGCGCGCGCACGTAGCTCTTCTGCAATGCTCAACGTACGTCCTATATGTCCAGTGTCGCGGTACGCGGTACATGTACTTTTGTATCGAGACGTACGAGTGAGAGAAAAACAACGAATAACAACAGAAGGAAATAGAGAAAAACAATAAATAATTAAAGAACAGAGAGGAAACAAAGAATGTCATAAGCAGAGAGAGAAAACAAAAACTAACTTGAAAGAAAGAGAGAAATTAGAGAAGGAATTAATCAAAGTAAGGAAAGAGAGAAACCAAATAATATTATGGTTTTTGTGGTTTAATTCCGCCTTCTTCAGGGTTTCAATTTTTGACGTGTAGCCTACTTTCAAACCATTTGCTGATTCGGACCCCCCCCCCCCTAACACACGTGTACACATATCGACACATACACAGACTACACTCGACATAATATGTGTAATGGTAATGTAATACATAAACTGTGATTTAAATATTGCACTCGTACCATTTTCTATTATTGTGGGATCACGTCTTTCATTTTTTAAATTCATGTCATTTGTTTCTAAGACCTAATTTCTCTAATTCTCTTGACCCCTCTCCCTTCATATTTGTTTTCTAAGACCTCCCCCCCCCCCTCATCTCTCTTCATATTTGTTTTCTAAGACCCATTTCTCCCCCGCCCCCCCCCCCCCCCCCCATCTCTATTCATATTTGTTTTCTAAGACCTCTCTCTCTCGACCCACTCTCTCTCTCGTATGTATTTCTCAGACCCCTCTTTCTTTCTCTCTCATTAACCCCCTCTTCATATTTGTTTCTAAGGCCTCTCTCTCTCTCTTCATATTTGTTTCTAAGACCCCCCCCCCCCCCTCTCTTTCTCATTTCTTGATATTTGTTTCTAAGACCTCTCTCTCTCTAGCTCTCAATTCATGATATTTGTTTCTAAGACCCCCTCTCTTTCTCATTTTAAATTCATGATATTTGTTTATAAATAAGACCTCTCTTTCTCTCTTTTTCCATTCATCACTTTGTCTAGTGTAATGTACAGACACATAACATATAAAGGAAATTATACACCAGTTTTACATGAATTCATTTGCACTTTATTTACTGCTTTACATTCATATACTTTTTTTTTTCGTGAAGGTAATCTAATCCTTCAATGTCAGAGAAGTAATACAAAAGATACAGGAGTATGTGTATGCATAAATAGTTATATAAAGAAGAAATATGTAGTAAAAGTTAAAGCAAACAATAGTAGAAATTTGAACAGATAATTTGACAGTGTGTTAAGATTTAGATGCAAGAAATGACTATAAGAAATTTTTATTTGAAAATACATGCACATGTAGATAAAAAGAGATCTGAACATAGGTCTAGGCGGATTCATGGGCGCAGAGGCGTGCACCGCACTTTACTTTGGAGATAACGAACTGTACGATTCGATTTGGAACTGGCGCGCCCGATCGAGGAGCGTAGACTAGACTCATTCAAGCAGTTTCATTGCTATTTACCGGGAAAATGTCCAGGCCAGGGTGTAAAACGCAAAGTCGCAGCCGGGAGTTACTGACAAACATGTGTTACTTAGGTCCCACATATCAGCTTTCATGTACCGTATGGCGTATCCACTGACACCTCGTTCAAGTTCAATGCAAATAGATGACTAATAATATACAAGTAAGAGTAATTCGTAGTACGAACCGCTTCTCTGACCCCTGGTTCATCATATCCTTGGTCAACGTAGGGTAAAGCATCCACTATCACTTCTCCTGCCATGGTTTTTAATTGTCAATTTTAGCTCCGCTTTCAGTAGTCCGAAACTGTAATGCTTTTTGTGATAGATGGCGCTAGACACAAAAACAGCTGTAGATTTATTTTCAGTTCGGTTGCGCTTGTCAACCCGCGCGCTAGCCCAGGCCAGCCGCGTCTCGCCCCCGAGTCCTCGACTCGTGCTCACCTCACCTAGCTAGTTAAGTTCAGCTCAACCAAGAAGTACGTACTAGCGCAGTCGTGTCGTTCGTGATCGTGAGATCGAGCGAGGACTTGAGCTTAAAAAAGCGAACTCAACAACGTACTGTCGAGCTTCAGTTTGGTTTAAGTTATCTTTAGCCAAGAGGTTAGTTTGTCATTTCGGTATTTTTTATATTTCCTTCATGATGATCTTGCCAATTATTCTTGCTTCACCATGCTCACTGAGCTGACTGTCTTCATCATCATTATGCCAAATTGCCAATCATCCAATGCAATGCCATTTAAATTTATTTTGTCTTTTAAATGAGGATTTTTTAAAACTTACTCTTGAGCAAATAACATTTCACATGTTTATAATTTTATTTTACTCTATAGAATCTAGACCTGTCTCAGTGTCTAGCTAAGTTGATTCAGATTAGCCTTAAGGGCTCTCTCGAAATGTTTTTTTAATGATATTATTCGAGAGAGCCTTAAACGGCTCCCATACCCCTGCACGGAGAGGCATGTAAACAAAACTCAAAAGTGGTCCAAAATCACACTTTCGCGCACCCGACCAATATTGGACAGTGGCTTTGATAAATTTTGTCGTAGTTTTGGTCTTAATTAGCGCTTTAATTTCAAAATCGGATCTAAAAATAACAAAATAAGAGCAATTTTCTTACCAGACCGATACAGCTCAGCTCCCTTTTCACGTGTACCGTGTGAATTCACGATGTCTACACAATGGTGATGACCTCTGACTAGCACTTCGTAAATGTGCTGCTTCCGTATAATGCGCTGAATAACACTCATACAGCGCATTATACGGAAGCAGCACAATTTACCCACAATTACGGAAGTGCCAGTCAGAGGTCATCACCATTGTGTAGACATCGTGAATTCACACGGTACACGTGAAAAGGGAGCTGAGCTGTATCGGTCTGGTAAGAAAATTGCTCTTATTTTGTTATTTTTAGATCCGATTTTGAAATTAAAGCGCTAATTAAGACCAAAACTACGACAAAATTTATCAAAGCCACTGTCCAATATTGGTCGGGTGCGCGAAAGTGTGATTTTGGACCACTTTTGAGTTTTGTTTACATGCCTCTCCGTGCAGGGGTATGGAAGCCGTTTAAGGCTCTCTCGAATAATATCATTAAAAAAACATTTCGAGAGAGCCCTTAAGGCTAATTCAGATCAGTATTTCACTAAAGTTTTAAAGTTTGAACAATTCTCTTTTTCGTCAATTAAGGTACAACCTGGAAATTTATTTTGAGATGTTTGTTGATTTTTCTATTTTATGTGTGTGCAATTTCATATCTGCGTCAGTTATGTGTGAAGTGCCACACCTGTTTAAAGCATGACATGTCAAAATCTCTGTGGTGTGACGTAAATCGTAATATTATTACGTATTGAATTTGCCATTGAACTTAAGTTGCGCTTAAGTTAAGTAGGCCCTCTCTCACTTAAATTCGAAGCCACTCGAGCGGATCAGCCCATGAGAGCACGTAAACTCACTGTACAGCTCTCAATGCGCAAAGTTCTTTGTGCACCTTTCAGTGACCACCAATCGGTTTGCTTCCAATGCCCTGTGTACAGAGTTTAACAGTTCCGCATTGAGGTACACCACATGCGCAATATAAGCAACAGCTCATTGCATGTGCATAAATCTCTTCTCGCAAATACCTTGCACACACTCGCACTTGGAAAAACTAACATCAAACGATAGAATCCATAAAAATATTTCACAAATTATACAAAATCAGTCAAATTTACTGTTTTAGAATAAGGTACAGTTTTTATGCCCTAGGGCTGCTAAAACTCGATTTTAACAGGAATTGTCCGGGAAAAATAAATAGGCTTTCATAAATGATGCTCGAACAATCTTGGTATCATTGTATGGGGAATGAGGTAAATAACGCCATGATTTCATTTCTGAACTTCATAGGGGACGGGCTTTCGGTGAATTGGGTAGAAAGAATTTGACAATGGTCCGATAACAGAACGATATCATAGCGAATCCTCGTCGGCTGCTATGGTACCATCGGACAGCTGTGCCCATGCGCTGCTGAACGAGGCATAACGTGCGATCGGAACCATGGGCATGGCTAAGCAAACCATTGTGTACAGGGAGGTCTAAATCCCTCGGTCCTTGCCAAACTATGGCAAAAAGACTTTAAAGTTAAAGATCAGTTATGGTCATGCGATTGCATTGTGAAAGAAACATTGTGGAATCGATCAGAAAAGGTTGATCATCTAGCATAAGTATTAGTGTGTACAGCAAGGTTCTGGAATCATCAAAATGATAAGAAATTTGGCCCAGTCTTGGTAAAGTTACAAGCACTGTACACAGAAAGATGTATATGGGACTATGCGACACATGTGCGATATCTATCAGGTCCAAATAGATTTGTATGATCACGTACAGTATTAGTCGAAACATATTCTTTCACATTATTGGTAATAAGAGCTTCCATTTCATTTTTTGAGAGTGGGGCGTTTCCAAAACTGGTCTTTACCTTTAAAAAGAATTAAAATATGTCTACCTTCATTACCACAGTACCAGGACTTACATGTATGTACAATAGGCCTGTTTACTAATGATATGCGAGTGACGTCATAATCCCTCGCACCCTAGCGATTGTTACTACGTAGGGCAAGCTTTGCGTGGTGCGGCACGGTCGCCACATTGTTTTTCCATGCCCGCTACGCTATACACATACAAAGCCATTGCTAGCGACCGCGACGTTTTTTCACCCTAATTTCTACAATGGCATCGCCTTCGACATCGAGTTGTAGTTCCAGCAAGCCGTTTTCGTAGTGGACAGTGAAGGAGCTCACCGATTATTTAAGAAAGAGAGGAGTTACGACATCAGGGTACAACAAACAGAAACTAGTTCAACTTGCGACTGCTGTGGCCGATATCGCTTTGCCCCAAGACCCGGACCTTGCGAGCTTCGACTCCGCACGGTCGCTGCGGGAGAAGTTGGAGCGTGCGGGGTGCTCGTTCGACGACCCAATGAAAATCACCGGCTACACCGAGAACTTTGAAAGTATACCAGATTTCGGATTATACGACATTTTCAACTACCTGATAGTAAATAGAACTGACTACAACAGAAAGAAACTCAAAGCATATAATATGTCGATTCCAAAGTCCTTTCTTCCACAATTCTTAATCCATATTTTACACTTCTCCAGGTTCGTCTTTGGTTTGGGGAACGGGATGAAAAACACACCATTATTATGGGGTCTGTCTGCGTACCGTGAATCGCTGTTACACGTGCCGTAACAGCAATGCTTACCTCCCATTTTTGCGATATTTCGTCGGATTTCGGAAAATAAAATCGAAGATTTGTCATGTACAACTGAGAAAAACTATATTTATTTTAATTATACCCTAAGGTTGGAAAACAAACAGTTTTAAACGAAGTTTATTAGGACGATGATCAGCCTTTTTTTCCTCGCATTCCCCACATCGCCGTATACAAAGTGTGTGTAGCAGGGCCGTAGCAGACACTGCGCTCGGTTTGTTTGCCAGAGCTTACAACCGTGTGCAAATTTAAAGGTCCGTGAATACATTAGTAAACAGGCCTATTCAATTAACTTTGATTAGATACAAATCCTTGAAATTTATGGTAAAACACCACTCACCAGTCTACCTAATGTGTATTTGCTATCTATCTATCTAAAGTATCTTCTCCTGGTTCGGAGGTTGATTGCAACATCTCTCCATTTCACTCTATCTTCTGCCATTCTGGTGCACTCTTGCAGTTTTAGTCCACTCCAGTTCTTGACATTCTCTTCCCAGTTGATTCTGGGTCTCCCTCTAGGTCTACTTCCTTCCACTCTAGCTTTGGTGCCTTTTAACATGGCCAAAGTATTTGATTTTTCTCTCCTTAACTAATCCTACTAGTGCAATTTGTTTACGTCCTGCCATGTGCAATATCTCTTTGTTGGTCTCCAGGATATTTTCATCATTCTTCTGTAGATCTACATTTCAAAAGATGTTATTCTATTTTCCATGGCCTTGTTTATTGTCCATGTTCCTGCTCTATACAATAGGACAGACCATACATAACAGTTTACTCGTCTCAACCTAAGCGCAAATTTCACCTTTCTATTTGTGAATAATCCTTTATTTGCAGACCACTACAAAGGATCACAGTCATCATCTGGTCATCACATAAAGCTCACCATGGCAATACCAGACAGTACTCTTGGTGGTAATGGATTCCAATTTGCCATAGACAGGGGCGGCACCTTCACAGACATCTACTGCAAGTGCCCCACTGGCAAGGAGATTGTAATGAAGCTTCTGTCTGTGGATCCCGCCAACTACTCTGATGCTCCCATGGAGGGTATACGTAGGATTCTTGAACAGGTGTGTAAACCAAAGTGTCTATTTAACTAATTGAAACAAGTGTAGATCATAAAAGCTCACAGCAAGGTTAAATGTTAAATTACAAGTTTGAATCTGCCATGTTGATATGTTTAGTTTTTAGTTTTAAGAAAATTTAAGAAGGATAGAAAGAAGACTAATTAAAAATTATTTTACAAAGCACATTATATTTCTTTGTTGAAACTGATAGTCGAAATTGTTATGGTGTATAATGAGACAGGTACAATGTATAGGGCAGGGGCGGATCCAGAGGAGGTGGGCCTCTGGGCCGGGAAGTTGTCCTAGGGGGTAGTTGTCCTAGAGGATGGTTGTCCTTGGGGGGGGGGGGAATTGTCCTAGGGGGTTGTTGTCCTAGGGTGGTTATCCAGGGGGTAAACTATGACCTTCTGCACATGGAAATACCGGAATGGTGTCAAATTCCTTTTGAGAGCCCACTTCTACGTGTCTTTAAGTCTACCAGTATACACTACATTTTTATACAAATTCCTTTCACTAGGAACTTGTAGGAAGTCTCTGTTGATTATGCAACAACACATAAATGTAAATGAAATGCATTGATAAATTACTTCACAACTTAAAATTCTAGAGTATATTGGCCAGCCCCAGCATTGTCAGTGCCACAATGTTGCTATGCTATTGAAATTGGTCAAACCTCATAATGCCAATGCTGTCACATGCATCACTGACAGGCATGATTGCTAGCCCGTCTCCCAATTCTTTCTTTGTGTGCAGTGGCCATGTAGACAGACATCTAGCCAAATAGCTTTCATAACTTGGCCTGGAATCAAATCTAAGATATTAAAACAAATTCCTCTGGACAATTTCATAACATCCTCCTCTTGAATTATCTCTCTTTAACACTTTCCTCCAGGAAACTGGAATCTCCATGCCTCAAGGTCAGCCCTTGGACACATCCATCATCAGTTGGATCAGGATGGGAACCACAGTGGCTACCAATGCCCTCTTGGAGCGCAAGGGGGAGAGAATGGCACTGGTCATCACCAAAGGCTTCCGAGACCTGCTTCACATAGGCAACCAAGCTCGCCCCAAGATATTTGATCTGGTAGGCCGAGTTGCTTGCCATTTCTACTAGATTCAGCAGTTGTATATATTAGAAAAGCCGCAAAAATTAGCGTGCATGTGAAGTGAAGTGTATAGAATACTATGGTAATTTCAATTTTATAAAAAATTCACTCATTTGCATATTTAACCCTTACTGTACTGGGGGGGGGGGCCTGGGAGGCCCCCCTTGTCATTTTCGGAGATTGCGCAGCAACCGCTCAGAATTTTGAATTGTCGTTTCATGACTTTTTTCCCTCAAGTCTTACGCACATTTTGATACCATTTTCGTCGAAATCGGATATACCTGTAAGGTGTTACATAACAATTAGTACATGTGTATGCGCATGTCATCAAAAAAGTGCTATAATTGCATATATTCATGTACAAGCAGAAATGTGAAGCTACATGTATGAATTGATATCAAATTGCTTTTATAAGTTTCTCAAAGTAACTTGATGTATTTTAGAACAAAAGAATACATTAGAAATAAAACAATAGATATAATAAGAAATAAAAAACAATAAAATACATAAGAAAATAAATAGTTAAAAATCGCATCAAATTTGTATAAATTATCATTATAAATTACTTCAAATAACTTTTTTGTGATAGAAAAGAAGTTTCATATGAATAATGAATGAGTAACAACATTCAAAAAGTGGAGTCTGACAATTTTTGTAAGGATTCTAGTTCCCTATATATATTTCCGGATTTGATATTCATGAATGCGTATTCATAATTTATGCAAATTAACCTATGGATTTTCAAATATCATAAAAATAATGAAACCTCATGAATTTGAGATGAAGGAAACATTTATTCAATACATTTTCAAGATTCTTTACACAAGTCTACGGACAAATATGTAGAGTTTTCTGTAAAATCCATAAAATTAGCATTTTGCATAATTAATTAGGGCATAACGACAAAAATTTGCATATTAGCAAAAAACTAATTATACCATCTTGTTCCTTACGTAAATATCTACAAACATGCAAATTTTCGCATTAATCAGACATTCAACAGCCGAGATCATAGGGGGGGGGGGGGCCTCCCCCCCAGTCAGAGAGTGCTCGAAATAGCCCAGTACAGTAAGGGTTAAGGTATTTTATGCAAATATGGTCATTAAATCACATTTTTACCCATAAATCATATATTATTCACATTTAAGCATTCTTTTTCACTACATATATTCGTTAGACCATTTGGAATAATAATACAACAACAAAAATTGGAAGAGCCAGGTATTCCTTATGTTATCTCTTGTTTTGATAATTTCTTATGTAGGCCTATATCATTGTTTTTTTAACTAATGTATTTTATTGCTTTTGTTGTTTTATTTCATTTCTAACTACAAATCGACTACTTTGTCCACAAAACAAACACCTAAACTTTAAACAAGACCAAATAACCAATGTTTTATCTCTTTTTAGGAAAAATTATATTTCCATATGTTTTGTACACAAATCACAAAAATGAGCGATTTTCAGGCACATGACTTTCTAACTACGGTATACATCCGATTTTCAAAAAAATTGTTTTAAAAGATGCATAAGACTAAAAAAAAGGTCATGAAAAGAAAACTTTATATCCGTGCGGGTCAAATTGACCCCCCCCCCCCCCCCCCCGGTTAAAATAGGGTTTAGAGATAATATGCTACAGGTGATTAAACCTGTTGATATGAATGTACCATATGTCACTCCTAATTCAAGGAAGAAAGGCCCATAAATTAAAGGGATAGTTGAGTTCTGTTTTCAGACCGCAAATGCCTTCAAAGTATACTCTTATTCTTATCTATGATATTTCTACTGCCCTTTTAGAACCTAATATTGCCATGAAGGTCATTTTAAACCCCATAATGTGTGAAATTTAGCCAATACGATCTTACCAATTCAGCTCCACTTTCCAAAAGATACGGTGACCGTTTAGGTACGAAAAAGCGCTATTTCGTTTTTTCAATGGTTTTTTTCAAATTATCTATTATTTGTGGTGGTACACAAGTATTAAAAATCGTTATATTTATGGATATTTCAGCCGTCTCTGAACCGATTTTGATCAAACAAAGATGATTTTGTCATTTAAATTGTATGTTCTTTCAAATTTGACACTCAGTCTTTCATTATCTCACAAGAATTTTTTTTGTGTGTAGTGCCCTCTGCAACAGAACTCAACTATCCCTTTAAACCCAAATTTATTTAACAGGGCTAAATGCTGTTTCAGTAACAGAACATACAGGTATTTATCGTTGAAGTGCTTAGTGACAACTTGTTTTAATCACCTGCTGTGAGTTAATGCACTTAACATCGATGCAAATTTACGGGGGCTCTTTTGGCCATTTCAGGGGCAAATTTGCCCTTAGCCCCATGTATTTTTTTTTACTGCAATCAATTGCTGGAAAGCTGGACACAACTCAAACATTACTCAATTTTGCTTTAGACTCAAACAATGTACTGCTTAAATTTACAGTATTAAATGACACTTGTATACTGAAGAAAACAAGTTTACGACGAAAAAGCGCTATTTCGTTTTTTCAATGGTTTTTTTCAAATTATCTATTATTTGTGGTGGTACACAAGTATTAAAAATCGTTATATTTATGGATATTTCAGCCGTCTCTGAACCGATTTTGATCAAACAAAGATGATTTTGTCATTTAAATTGTATGTTCTTTCAAATTTGACACTCAGTCTTTCATTATCTCACAAGAATTTTTTTTGTGTGTAGTGCCCTCTGCAACAGAACTCAGCTATCCCTTTAAACCCAAATTTATTTAACAGGGCTAAATGCTGTTTCATTAACAGAACATACAGGTATTTATTGTTGAAGTGCTTAGTGACAACTTGTTTTAATCACCTGCTGTGAGTTAATGCACTTAACATTGTACAAGATATACACATAACTATGTGTATTACTGGTACTTATATTAAGGAAATTTGGGAACTAGAAGTTTGCACGAGTGCTAGTCAAGCCTAGTTCCATTCTTTGGCAAGATCTTCTTTTGAATATATGCACATAAACTAATATGTTTTGAATTTACATGTTACAAGGCTTAAAAGGTCTGAAACATGGAATGCCATTCACTTGAAAATTTGACGGTTGATCGTAAACTAAATCTTAAGTAGAACAATGTACAATCGATGAGGGAAAAAAATAATATTTATTTTTTGGGGGCTACTTTTCAAGCTTGCCTGCATAAAAATAACACTCTAAAATTTGTTTTGCATTGAACTCGATGCAAATTTACGGGGGCTCTTTTCTGATTTTCGGGGGCTCTTTTGGGCATTTCAGGGGCAAATTTGCCCTTAGCCCCATGTATTTTTTTTTACTGCAATCAATTGCTGGAAAGCTGGACACAACTCAAACATTACTCAATTTTGCTTTAGACTCAAACAATGTACTGCTTAAATTTACAGTATTAAATGACACTTGTATACTGAAGAAAACAAGTTTAGGTCTATATCTGATCTGACCCTAAGGGGAATTGACTTTGTTACAGTTTTAGAATATATATATATATATTGCTAATTTCATGGATGCTTCTTTTTTCTCTCAAAAAATATAACAATGAACTATTTCATAATGAAGTCATCCTTTTCCTATAATGATTATGGCTTTTCAGGAGATTGTTTTCCCAGAGGTACTGTATGAGGAGGTGATTGAGGTGAAGGAGAGAATGATTCTCCAACAAGACAAATGTGGTCTACCCGTCCAAGACAGTGCACACACCTTCACAAGTAGCACCTCAGAAAAGGTAAACTTATTCACCCTGTTTGCTTTAATAGTAATAAACAGAACGAGCAGGAATATCAGTATCCAAGCAACAATAAATAATGTAGATGTTAAAAAACATTAGGTTGACAGTGACTGAAATTTAAAAATCTAAATTGTAGTGAAGTTTGCACAACTTAAAGTGGAAGAGTTACCGGTAGGCTAAATAACAAAAATAACATGTTTCTCGTCCGGACTTTTAAAAAAAAGGAGGAGGCAGGGCATTACTATTTACTATTTTTTTCAAAGATGGCTGCTTTGCTAATTAGGCCTTTAAAAAAAGATGTTGTATTGCCAAAACATGGGTCGGTCGGTCAGATTTTTTTTTTTTAATCTTTTTTTGTTGTTCTCCCTCCCTTTTTGTCATTTGGCCTTATTTTATGTTTCCATCTAATTAAAAACAAAAAAAATGTCCACCTTTTAAAACAACAAAACAAATTTTGGTTTGTCAAAAACCATTTCATTGCACGTGTCATTAGATGGGTACCAGTAGGAAGGAATTCCTTGAATGCTTACAACCCAACATCATGTTGAATCCATGACAGGTGAAGTAAAGGGTCTTTATTGAACCTACATGTGGAATAAACAGTGACATTGTTATGTTATGAATTAGAAAGTAGAAACTTGAGTATTTTGTTTAACTATTGAGTGTTAAATTATATTAACTTAACTCTATTTATCTATCCACAAATCTTATTAAGTTGATAGAGTGGGATCCTGTGGACAAAGTATCACTCAGGGCAGACTTGCAGAAACTACTGGATAAGGGTATCAGAAGCCTGGCTGTGGTTCTCATGCACTCCTACATGTAAGAGCAAACATATCAACATTATTTTTTCCTTTCAAGCTTAACTACTGCAGTTGTCAACATGCATAAAGAATAAAGAAATACTTGTTGATGAGCACTAAGTATTCTACTTTCAAATTCAGTTAGACCTGGCTCTGGGTTTAACATCATATTTAACAAAGGAAAACTAAAAACCTCAATATATAGTTTCCTTTGTTAAAGGTACTACATGTATGTCCCATTTGCAGGCCAAAACAAATTAAAAGGTTAAATTCCAATGGCATTCGAAACATAGTACTAATTTAGAACTACCCTCAAAACAAAAGGGCCTAAAAATGTCTTTTTGTGGGAAAATAAACAAACGTTAGTTGTCGAATCAAATTTGGCAAGCGTTTTCGTTTAATTAAATAGTCTGATTTTCAACCACTGTACCGAATGGTCATACGTTTTGTGCTGCGCAAAGATTCAATCAGTTCAATTTTGGCCATTACAAGAAGTGGGTTATTGATGTAGACAAATGCCCATGTACCCTTTACAGCTCATTTTATGTATGTTATTATTAAAGAAAAAAAGAAGTTAGTCAGTCACTCAATAGTGTCTGACAGTGAAGTCTAGAAAGTAAACGGGTTTCCTTGCATAATTTGAAAACTAGGACACTGCTAAAGGTCAAATTTTGACATATTCATAATTCATGCAAAGTTCTACAGAAATTGATGTTGGCTGCAAAAGGAATACACTACCTTTAAACCTGATTTTGGACGAAAGCTTAAACCCAGTGTTTGGTTTAAATTTTGATAGAATACATAAATGTGGGATCTCTATAGTACAGCTTTGACCTTAGAGTATCTTTGATTGCAGTGTTTAGCCCATACATTGTACATGAAGTTGTTTCATTTTATGATTCACCTTAAAAGTTTTATTTTAATTGAAGTCGACATGTACTTTAAGTTATACAGGTGCATAAAACTTTGCACCTTTATCAGGGCTTCACACTAACTTTTTATTACTTTTTTTTTTTTTGGGGGGGGGAGGGGTGTACGAACTGCAATTTGGGGGCCTATGATTGAGCCCTATGCAAAAAATCTGAAAATTTGGGGGGTCCGGTTTTAGATTGTGGGCTCCCATATAATGTGTCTCGGCCACTATTGGTGTCGAGCCCTGTTTGGACCCATTCGTCCTGTGTTAAAATATTATTTAAATGAGTACATAATTCATCAGCAGAAAAGATACATGTGAATGGCAGAGTGACTGGCATTTTACCTTCATTTGGTGCCTTATCAGCAGAAAACCAACATAGCAAACAAGAGTGAACTCTGCTCCCTTGTTTGTAGAGCATGATCATAGATAATCCAGGGCTCTATTAATACAAACATTAGAAGTTAGAGTCAACTATATAATTGATTGGACATATTTCGAAGTATATTGAGGGTACATGGGGCCCTATGGGGGCATTTTGATCTACTTTGAGGTCAGGTCAGCATTCAATTGGTATATTCTTATAAATTTGTTTGTTCAAACTGTCTAACAAATGGTGCATACTAAATATCATTGCTTCTGAGAAAGCAAGTATTATGATCACATAATGTACAGTTCATATATGAAGCATATTATGTCATATTGTTGGACAGTTTTTAAATAAATTTTATACTAGGGCTTCAAAAATGTATATTTATGTTTCCTTTTCTTTATCAACACTCACATAGATGTAGCACATAATCCCAGTATATATAAATGTATATTTTTTTTTACATTAGTCACAGACTAGGCCTATATTACTTTATTTTTCAACCTTGGACTAACATTTGAAGGTCATTGATTAACAGATGGTTCAAATAAATCAATGTAGATTGTAGAAAGCTAAAAAGCTAATTTACCAGTGTGCACCATACACACTATATATAGTCCGAAATACAAACCCAGATGAAAAAGATCTGTACGTGTTTCTGTAGAGTTCACACACAAAAAACTGTTACATAGTTTAATGAATGCAAGTCAGTTCTACATGTTTTTAAAGAGGCAATTCGTTTTCCATAAATAAATGTAATCAAACAGTCTTGATTGAGGAGAACACACTATTAAAAAATTATTTATCAAATACATCTTTAAAGACTTTCAATTCAATGTCTTTAAAAAAATGGTATTAAAAACAATCGTCAATTGCATCATTTTTTTGAAATGTGCAAAATTTATCTATAGGAAGTAATAAGCATTGTAGGTTATTTATTTATTCAAAAGAACAATCTACTAAAATGATGATGAGAAATAAGGCCCCCCAAAATAAATCCTTTGGTTGTCCTCCACTCCCGCTTGTCATTTTCGGCCCGCTCATATTTTTAATTTTGTTTTGTTTTTTTGGAGCAATTTTAAAAGCCTTACATACCATTTTGCAAGGATCAAAATGCTTCCCGTCGCCAGTTTGGTCTTTTCCGTACGCAATTCTGTATTTATTAACTGGCCATTTTTATTTTTCCATGTCAAAATGCTGTTCATTCAAATCAGGTTCTGAGCATTCTTAAACTCATTTTAAAAGGTGCTTTATTTTAAAGCCAAAAATACTTTATGTGTTGGTATTGATATTCATTGTGCATATGTTTAAAAAGGTGATATTAAACTACTAGTCTTTTACCATATCAAAGTGGTTTATTGACTTTGTTTGTTTAAATGCTTGACATCCCAATGATTTATGATTTATTTATTTTTTATGGAAAAAAGAAATTTAAAAAAGGGGAAAAAAAATAATTTAAAGAAAGTCACACACAAACAAAATCAACCCGCCCGCCCCTACTCCATAAAAGCAATCGAGGACAACCAAAGGATTTTTGTTGTTGGCCTAATGGTGATAAGTTTATAAGTATCATACACGGAAACAAAGATATACATTCCTTTTTTTTACGGTTCATCCTTCCAGGTTTGAAGCTCATGAGAAGGAGGTTGGAGAGTTAGCCCTGTCAATGGGTTTTACTCATGTCTCCCTTTCTGGTTCCATCATGCCCATGGTCCGCATTGTACCAAGAGGCTTTACAGGTGAGCGCTCTACCTCTTTCAAAAGTTCTTTTTTTTCCCCAAAAATGTTTATCTTCCATTTTACAAGGTCTGATGGTCACAATACATTCAATTCAATTCAATTTATTTCACATCTCTTTAAAAACACATCAAAATATAAACAAACAAATCAGTATAAATTAAACAATATAAATATAAAAACATTCATTGACATGGTACTGTGAAGGATGAAGGGTGGTGGATGCAAATTGGAAATAGATATTTACATATATATGACTAAAAACCATTAATTGAGTCAATTTGACTGAAGTCCTAAATTGTAGCAATACAACATCTTATTATCTTACAATAATTCATTTATACCACAAATGATGAATCTTTTCATTTTAATGAAAGAATCACAATTACTGCAGCGTCCACATTTCAGTTAGTGCTAAATTTAGATCTTATAAGCCTAATGTAAATTTGACGGGAACTCTAAATATGTTCTCTCTTTTATTTAGTTTGATTCAACAAAGAGCCTTCTAAACAGGATGGCATCCCATTGGTCCAAGACTCCAGGGGCCAGTTTCTCGAAATTGTCATAAAATTAATTTCGTGGACATCTCATAGAAATGTGTGTTAATTCTATAACACACGTTTCAATGGGATGTCTAAGAAGTTAAACTTAATAATAATGAACGTTATTTGTATAGCGCATATCACCAACACAAAGAAAGTCCCTATGCGCTTAGAAAAGAAGAAAAAGGGCGGAATAGAAATGAACATTTATGCCTGATACATGAAAATAATTAATTACAACAACAATAATGATACATAATTCCTATTTAGCTTACATGTAATAGGGTAATTTAGGTAATACAAATTTAAACATGAAAATTAAATAAAATAAAATTAAATATTAAATATGTACATGATACTATAACCAAAGAAGTCACTAAACAGCTGGAACAAAATTAACAATTTACAAAAAGATAGGTCTTCAACAGAGTCTTAAATGATGGTTTAGAGAAACTGCCCCCAGTAGTTCTATGTCATCTATTTAGAGCCAGCCCAGGCAGAAGGGCATTGATTCATATACTGTAGCATAGAGTTAATGCCCTTTTGGCTCCAAACAAACGATATGCAGATTCCTAAAGGCCTCGCAGTCAAGAAATGTTTTGTTAGTGTAGGATCGGTGTACCAAAGGAATAGTCAATTGTATGCAAAGTAACCCCAAACAGAACATAACCGGTAATCAGAAAAGGATTATGTTATTGTAAGACCGATAGTGCAAAGGACTTAGGATTGGTGATTGTAAAGACACCCATTTGAATCTATTGAGACATCACCAGATATGCACTTTTGTCATCTCGAAGTTCAGTTCATATCTGTAATCATATATTGCCACTTTGTCTGGGACAGCTTAATCCTTGCACACTCTAGAACTCCTGTTCATACATGATAGCATTAATTGTCTTACTGCAGCCTGTGCGGATGCCTACCTGACCCCATGCATCAAGTCGTACCTGACCAGCTTCTCTGCAGGATTCAAAGACCACCTCAAAGACACCAAGGTTCTTTTCATGCAGTCAGATGGAGGCCTCACACCAATGGACAAGTAAGTTCCCTAAACTCTTTCTGAATTCTGGCATATGAAATATTTTCTCTCTTTATATATATCTTCAAATGACTCTGTCCAAACATCAGACCCAATGCCAATGCTTATTTCTGTAGCCCTCCTGCATCTAATGTATGTTAATTATGCATTCAATATATTTGTTTAATTTCGTTTATTATCTGTATAAAATTTTATACACTTAAAATATTGTATCAAATCATATTATGTTCATGAAAATGTATGATGAAAAAAAAGGAAAAAAGATGCAGAAACCAATAAATCAAATCAAATCAAATCAAATAAAAACTTCACAAGAGTGCTGAGGTTCTCTTTGCCTTCTTCATTCCAGGTTTAATGGATCGCGAGCTATCCTGTCAGGGCCTGCTGGTGGGGTAGTTGGTTATGCTCTCACCACGTACAATAGATTCTCCAATCTACCCGTCATTGGGTTTGACATGGGAGGTAAGGTTCACAATTATAGCTGGTGGGGTAAAATGGAATGCCCTCAATTCCGTCAATATTTATTTTTTTATTTTGTATTTATTAAAATATCTTTATACAGGATAATATGTTCAGGTATCAGGTATTCTGTTTTTCAACATGGTCCTGTTAACATTAAAAAGCAATAACATATGGAATGTATAACAGAGTTTTAAAATACAATCATTTAACTGCATAAATTGACTTTAAATTAAAAAAATATTAAAAAATCAGAAAGGTAAGTATCATTAGACATAACATACAACTGTATTATACTTATAGTTAGATTTTGAAATAGGACAAATTACAATATGGTAGATATATATATTTACAAAATAAAATTAAAAATAGAACTTCTTATAAATCAATTTAAAAGTTTTAATTGTTGTATAAAGTGGGGAATGCCATTCCATCGTTTAGCACAGGAAAATTTAAAGGCTTCTTTGAAAATTGAGAGGTGGACTTCAGGTGGGACTACATTGAGGCTATCATTATGTCAATCACAAAACATTTTGATATCATTACAAAGCTGTGGAGGGGCTAGACCATGTATACATTTAAACATTTGTGTGGCAAAAGGGGATCCAACTTGCATGTACCTGTCAGTGGATTTGACATGGGAGGTTAGGGTTCATTAACTTCATTTAAATGATTTAAATCTCTTGAATATTCAGTGATACACCATGATTAATGTGCTTAGCAATCTAGGGTGCCATTACAAGAAGTTATTTTGAGATCTGAATATACCCTTTGGTTACCAAGCCTGAGATAACTTGGAGCCAAGTACAAATATATGCTTAATGCGCACACAAATGTCTCCAACAGATTAAATGTCTTCATACACATTGTAATAGTGAATGAAGTCGTAAATTTTGTTTTGACTCAAATTTAGTGTTGTATTGTAGATTGATTGCTAATATTCGGAAATGCACAATATACCGTGTATTAGGAATATAACAAAAGATCTTGAAAGAATGCATGACTTCTTTTAAGTAGTCAACTTGGCTACCTGTCTTTCCCTACAAAAACGTGTTTTAGTGACTACCTGCATAAAAAGACCGCATTTTCTGTTTCCATTGAATATTATTTCTCACTGGAACATATATCTCAAGGAACCTGTACATAAGCTCACCTGCCTACATATGAAGAAAACTTTACTTGTCACCCCTGAGCTGTTTCCATAACAGGTTTCACTGCATAAGCAAAACAAAGTTTTAATTGCTGTGCATCTCTGGATAATTTGTTACAACCTATTGTTATCTAGTGAGACGAAACTCAGTTATTGCTTTGTAATTTTGATACACTTCGTTGTATGTATTTACTGTTCCCTTTTCCAATTAATATTGATAATTGTATGCTATCGATTTTTTTTCTTCTTCTCTTTTCCCCATTATTTAAGTATTTTTTTATGTGTATAAACGTGCAATGTCCTCAGTATCATCATGATTTCAATTGTTAACAGTCTGTATCTGGCAATGTATCGTGTGTCATTTATAACATGGACCTTGTGGCAGATATTTAGCCATGTGCTAAACAAGTTATCCAATATATTCTACTACATGCTAATGGCAGGAAGGAAACCATTGTTTGTTTATGTTTCAGGTACATCAACCGATGTGAGCCGGTATGCTGGGGAGTATGAACATGTGTTTGAGACTACAACAGCTGGTGTGACTATACAAGCACCCCAGGTACATGTACATTTCATGGCTTATTCTGGTCAATAGACCTGGGACCTGCTTCACAAAATTTGTCATCAGTGACAAATGATAGTTTTTGTGATAAGCTAGTGAAATCTCTGCTTCTGATTGGTTATCAGCAGATTTGTCATTGATTTTTGTCATTTGTCATTGAAAAATGGCTTTGTGAAACGGGTCCCTGGGTCCATCTTCATAAACCCTTACTAAGCCTTGTTGTCAACTATATTTACTATAGCCGATGTAATATACTGTTGCATTAACATATTCAAATATATGGATGTTTCTTTCCTGGGGACCTAGTAACGAGTCATCCATTAACCATTTATTAATGAATGAGCTACTATACTTGGAATCCAGTCTGCATACATTAGTTGTTGCTATGTCAGGCAAGCCTTCAGGTTTTCAAGAACAACCTTTGTTTAAAGAGTATGCATAAAATGTTAGTTTACCGGCTTATTAATTGACAACCAGCTAATTAGTAAGTTTTTATGAATACGGGCCCCGGCTAGTAATTTATTTCAACTTCTGCATGTTTCTCTCCAGAAGCCATGGTCACCAACTATTTGATTCACCATCTTTGCATAATGGCCACTCAATGAATGGAATTATTCACCTTGCATACTTTACAGTGTCATTTTTGCTTTGTTGGTCAAATTTCTGGCAAGCTTTTCAGTTGTCAATAGAACCTTGTGTTAAAAAAGTATGCATGAAGTTAGGTCTATTACCCAATTAAATGCCCACTGGACAAAGCTCATCATCCTAATAAGTCATCAGCAAAGAAATTGTCAATGTTTGATTCGTATTTACACATACACACCATGATTTAGCTTTTGATATCACTGCAGTTAGTGATGTAACCCATTGAAATGATTCACTAGGTAACCCCCCCCCCCTACACACACACACATACACATTCTCAAACTTGCTCATTAACTTTTCAATCTCGTAAGATATACCCTGACCATAATATCAGTTTTCAACCAATCGCGAAGAGCACACAGCAGAATTAATGAATGGGCATGACGTAGTCCCAAACTTTCTCACACAGACTTGGTAGATTAAAGTACGCACACACAAGTTTGAGCAGCCCATCGCACCACATACAGCCGAGTACCGTACCGGCATAGAGTGAGAAGGTTGATTGATTTTAAGACAGTGGTACGGTGCGAGTGTAATGCATGGTGATTAAAATACCAAGTGCATATTCCAATTGTTTACAAGGGTTACAAAAGAGTAAGAGACTTTTGAAAAATGAGAACTTTCCCACTTGCTGTTGCGAGAAGTGGAATCACAGAGTGATTGTTGCAAGCGCTGCTACATAATAAGCTGTGTATAGCATGCTTAGTGAGTGTGGCATAGGAGGGGGAGTGGCCAAGCAAATGGCATTGGCGATCGAGATGGCGCAAGAATAATTTTATGCTGATATTATCGCGCTCCGTTCGTATGTTCGTGTGTTGATAAATTTGTGATAATATGCAATTTGCAAAAATTAAACCCTTACCGAAAAAAGAGCTTATACAGTAATCATACAGAGGATATGTCAATCAATCCATCTAAAATATACCAAGGGCCTTCATCTTGCAATTTTCAATAGAAATCAGACATTTTATTGAGAACTTGATTTAGCTTGAACATTTTTTTGTTGTTGAAATAGTACAAAATCCTTTTGGAAAAAAAAATATATTCATAAATTTTCAAAAGTAAGCCAGAGTCCTGGTTAAAACCCCATAAGTGTATATTAGAAACAAATGATTTATGTTGTAAATTGAAAATGATTTCATCTCCTCTCGTCATACATTTTTCAGTAGTACAATTTTCCTTTGTTTGTGTAATCATTGCATGATTGCCATATTTCCAGCTTATAATTTGACATCATATTGTTCCTTTCTCACGGCACCTCCCATCTCTCTGCTCACATGCACTATCAGCTTGATATCAACACAGTAGCTGCGGGAGGAGGCTCAAGGCTGTTCTTCCGCTCTGGGATGTTTGTTGTTGGACCGGAGTCAGCTGGTGCCCACCCTGGTCCAACATGCTACAGAAAAGGTCAGTGCTTCAAACTGCCCCTCAGTGGTATATCATGTTTACTATTCACCATGTAATGAAGTTTTCATGTATATGTATGTATTTTTTTGTTATGCAGGGCCCCCAGTATAACAGTATTTTAACTACTGATGGGGCTACCCTGTTGAAATAAAACGAAATACATAAATAAATAAATAGGTGTAGTTCCTTGGGTCAAGTGGGTTTAGCTTCACGTTTTCTATTGATGATTTAAAACTGGTGTAAGGGTACAGACCTTCTTCTAAACACCAAAAAGACAAAAATAATGGTTTTCGATAGAGATTGTGATAACACTGACTTCACGGTAGCTGGAAATAAGATTGAAGTAGTAAATCGGTTTGAGTACTTGGGTTCAATTATCACTAACAAAGGAGGGAGCACCACAGAGATAAGAAGGATGGCAATGGCAAGATCAACAGTACAGAATATGTCCCACATCTGGAAGAGCCAAGGCCTATCTCTCAGTCTGAAGGTTCGTCTGCTTCAAGCAACTTCTTTCTCTATTGCTACTTACGGAAGTGAGTCCTGGGCCATGACAAAGAATTACAGAAAGAGAGCCTTTGAAATGTGGTGCTACAGGAGGCTGTTGCAGGTGTCATGGAAAGATAAAAAGACAAATGTGTGGGTCCTGGAAAAGATTGGAACAGACTTGAACATCAGAAGGGGAATCATGGAAAGAAAACTTAACTATTTTGGGCACATTGTTAGGAAATCTGAAGGTATTGAGAAGCAAATACTGCAAGGAGCAGTCGAAGGAAAACGGGGTAGAGGTCGTCCACCAATATCTTGGACTGATGATATCAAGAAAGTGTCTGGACAAGGAATTAAAGGTGCAACACAAATGGCAGGTTAAAGAGTTGCATGGCGTGCTCTCGTGAAGTTATTTTCCCACCTTAAGACGTTTTCAAGCCCCCCTTATTCTAGGGAAGTTCTAAATTAGTATCATCTTTCGAATGCCATTGGAATTTAACTTTTTCATTTTTTGGCCTGCAAATGGGACATAGTACCTTTAATGAGGAAGATTTTTAGCGCCTATATCCATATTAAAGTACCTTTTTTCTTACAGGTGGACCTTTGAGTGTGACGGATGCCAACTTGTTCCTAGGACGTCTTCTACCAGAATACTTTCCAAAGATCTTTGGTAAAGAGGAGAATCAACCTCTTGATAAGGATGCGTCTATGCAAGCCTTTATGGAACTAACAGCTCAGGTGATTAGGCCGGTTCCCCTTGATGATCATTCAAGAAGAACCTTCTAAACTTCAACTATAACTCATTGAATATATACATATAGGTGTACACAAGAGAGCTCATGGACAGGCGCGGATCCAGGATTTCTTAGGGAGAGGCCCAAATTTGTAATCAATTTGAAATTTAGTGTGCTGAAATTTAAAAATCGTGCTGGTCGATATTTGGCTCAGTGGGGGGGGGGGGGGGGGGGTACTAATTTTTCTTTTTTTTTTTTTGCCCCCGCAAATTTAAAAATCGCGTCGGCCGATATATTATGTTCAGTGGGGGGGGGGGGATGGCACTCAACACCCCCCCCCCCCCCCCTCCTTGAAAAAACAAAAAAAGGTTAATTTCTGGTCACAACTTTCTTTTTAACCGGGGGGGGGGGGCATTTTTTAATTTGTTTGGCCAGGGGGGGGGGGGGGCAAGGCCCACTTGCCCCCCCCCCCTCCCTGGATCTGCGCCTACTCATGGAAAGGTTGGATCTGGAAAAAACTTTGGTGGAGGTGGTAAAGAGAAGTAGATTGAGATGGAATGGTCATGTGTTGAGAAGAGAAGATGATAAACCTGTGAAAAGAGTGTGGGATCTGGAAGTGGATGGCATGGAAAGATATGGTGAAGAAAGAAAGCAAGTGAGGTTGGTGTGAATGAGGAGGATGCTCGAGACAAAGAAGAAGAGGGAGGGAGTGTGATTGGAGCACAAAGTGAAAGGTCATTAACCCCTTGTAAGAGGCAAAATGCTGACTCTAATATTAAAGTGATGATGATGATAATTTGCATTCATGACTGATAGCTGAATGTAATTGAATTGAAGATATACATACATTGCGGGTAATCTCCTACACAAACCGAATTACTCACTGGACTAAACGCTATGTCTAACTCTAATGCCTATTAAACTTAACCGATTTGCAACCATATTTCTAGCCCTGTACCTATGACAAAATCAAAGCAAAAGCATTTATTGGTTTGACTTGTAAAAACCTGGGTTTGGCATAATTCAAGCAAATGCTTTATAAATGGCAGTCACAACTGTATGTTGTACTAAATTTCCTTTGAAAATATTTATTTATTTATAGTTTTCTTATTTTCTTATTTGATTCAATTTTTGGATAAATGATAATGACTCACCGCATATAAGAATAGAAACATGAAGAAGGGGGCATACAATATATGTCTTTGAGCACAAGATGCTTTTATTTTTAGGTGAATGAGTTTTTAGCGGGTCAAGAGGGAAACAGCAGAACTGACCCTATGACCTCAGATGAAGTTGCTATGGGGTTCATTCGTGTTGCTAACGAAGCTATGTGCCGTCCAATCAGAGCCCTTACACAGGTAAGACTCCATGTATTTTCTCTCATTTTCTGTCTTTCAAAGTATTGAACTGTGATGTATGCGCCATTTAGCATATAGACCTGGGCTGGTGTTCAATTCAATACTTAGAATAAGTAAGAAATTTACTAAGTAAATTGCTAAGCTACAAACTTTACTTATCTTGTATTCAAATCGCATTTTGACTTTTACAATTAACGTATCGCAATAAATGCGAACTTATATAATTGTGCGCAGGTTACAATACTGCGTAATAGAAAAAAGCATATGCCTGCCAATCAAGGCCTCCAAATAATTGGCTTAGTCTGGTAAGCAGCTGTCTTAAATTAAGGGTAAAAAGGCTTACCGGTAGCCAAAAGTTTGAACTGAGTATGCTTGGTAAGTATTTTATCTAAGCCGAATACTAAATAAAAAGCTTAAATTTTGTACTTAAGTATGGAATTGAATACCGGCCCTGAGCCCTGTATTATAAAGAGTTGCAATTAATATTGGGATTGATCCTTCAGTGGCTTCCAAACTCTTATCTCTTTAGTCCAGAGCCCGGCCCCTCCACTCATTGTTATTTAGGGTACGCATATGCCTGTTCCCTCCTTTTGAAAACACCCCCTAAGTCCGGTGTGTAAAGTCTGTTTTGTGTATGTACGAGCTGAAGTGGGGGGGGGGGCGGGGTCCAGAGTTGCAATGGACATCAAGCTGTAATCGATTTCAATGAATTCCCAGCTAATTATTTGACGGGACCCAGCAATTCCCTATTGTATGATGGCGGCTACACATTAGGCTTCAATGCCTTAGCAGCAATCAAGAACTTTCAGGCATATAAATGCATGGGACAGCCTTATCTTGTGCTGTTCGCTGTTTACTGTGATATGAATCATTTTGGTTGAACATACTAATTGGTACAGAGTAATAAATGAATGAGCAGTGTAGGGCACCCTGGGGTGTCTGTGAATTCCTAATTGGGTCCCATATATCTGATGGGGATGGAAGATGATGCTTCCAGATGTAGATAAATGTATTTGATTGATAACTAACCAATAACAGAAATTGCTCAATCACATTTGTGTTTGCACTTGTATCTTCTTATCTCCTTCATTGTGTATGTCTTGTGTTGTTGTGTAATTCCATATCCCATAACTAGGCCAAAGGTCATGACACATCCCATCATGTGCTAGCCTGTTTTGGGGGCGCTGGAGGTCAGCACGCTTGTGCAATAGCCCGATCTCTGGGTATGTCAACGGTCTTTATACACAGGTATGCACTGCATGGAGTGAACCCCTGAAGGGTTCCAATAGATCTATGTTGATAGGTATTTACAAAGGTATGTCATCAGTTTCTTAGCATTGAAAGCAAAGGTACATGTATGCTTTATGAATGCTAGAAGGGTGTGGTAACATATCATATTCACAAAATGCTGTCTGTTTTGTCAAAGCCTACCCGTACTTTGGATACGTATAGTAAGATAATTTTTTAATTTTTTACAGGTACCTTTTATCTATCCATATCGTAAGAATATTAGGTTTTGTTGTTTTTTATGGGGTTGACACAACATATTTCACAGGAACATGTCATCTGATTAATAAATGGAAGAATTGTTTTTGGTGGCTTTCTCAACTTTGAAAATGTTTAATGAAAAAAACAAAGTGTAAAAGGAGACTGTAATAGATTTTTATTCAGATTGCATTACATGTATTGTATTGTATTGTATTTATTAAACTTCATTGATGTACATGTATATGTGCATTTAACTGCTCTTATAAATGAAGAAAACAAATTGTAAAATTGTAAACTTAATATCTTCACAATTAGTTATTCACTGCTTGCCTGCAACCTCAGTTAAATGCCCTCCATGTTTCAAGCTGATAAAATATCATATTGTTTGGTGGTTCAATTTCTGTGTTTTTCTTAATCATAACAAAAATAATGACAATAATATATACAGTGTAAGATAATAGAAACTCCTAAGATGTTTGAAAACAAAATTGTAAGGCATAGTCCCAAAAGTATACACCATTCACAAAAGTCAAATACATTACAGAATAAGAACAAAACAAAAAGCAAACAAGGGGGGTGTTCACAAAGATCCTAAGTTGAACTTAACTCTAGGTTGGACAATGGAGAGCCATTTGTAGCCTTAAAATAAAATGTGTTCAAAAGCAAAAAATCAATTATTTTAGACTTTTTATCAATTCCACATCAAGAACATGAAATCTCCTTGATAATAGAATATATGAATGATGATTTGAATCAACATTTTATGCCTTTTAAAATAACTTTTAACAAATATTTTCATAGATGCTAATGGCTTTTCATAAATGTTAAGTCCAACTTAGAGGTAAGTTCAACTTAGGATCTTTGTGAAACACCCCCAAGATCTACACATTCTAGCATCTAGGATGTGCAAGCAGGCCCAAAGCATTGCTGGCAGTGAGATCCTAGAGAATCGTAGAGGAAAGAAGATGTTTCATAGGTAGGTATTGGTCAGTCCGTACTGCCTGTCAGTCCTCTGCTTAGCTTGTACAGTGCATGCTGTAGTGACTATTGCCTTGGAACCAATTTCTCACACAAACCAACAGCTAAACTGCAACCCGAGACCCAATCTAACCCAATTTAATCAAGCCTAAAACCCAATCGCAGCCAAAGGAGTAACTCTCTATCTTTGGCTAACAACTATAAAAGAGAAGCAAATATTGCTGAGCACCATTGTTCGAATACTGCTTCCATACACCTGCTTTGACAATGGCTCTCGATTAAACAGGAATATACCATGGATTTACTTTAAAGGCATCGTTTAACAATGTTAAATCTGAGATGCACGGCCCTACGTGTTATCAGTGTCTGTGATATGGTGTAATATTGAAACCCTAAACAAATTGGGCTTCAAAATGATCAAGAAGTGACTCAAAAAAGTAAAAATCTTTGAGTGACCGGTTTTACCATACTCGTTTTCCCCAATAGACTAGTGTAAACGGTTTTCAAAATTTGTAATTCCGATCATAAATATCTTGATAATCAGACAGGCGATCGGCTTGTAAAAGTCATGGAGTTTCTGAATGACCTAAAGGTTTACAATTATCATTGCAGCATGAGTTAAATCCAGGATTTTGTTTCAGAATCTGAGACAAAGTTAACGGATCTCTTTAAATATCGCAAAGCAATCTATGATCTGTGCCATGGGTAGGCCATCTACATTTACATTGGTAAAAACATCAAGAAAGTACTACATAATAAACAATAACTGGCAAAAGTACTGTAAAGTTGTATCTTGAGTGCAAAAATAATTGTGTGGTAGTAAAAGCAACAACCCGATGGCATAACCGCACCGATTCTGCATTTCTATTGCAATTTTATTGACTCTAAATGATTTAGGAAATGTAAAGATCATTACTTCACAATTATCATGTTTAGTAATTGTCTCTGTAGTGCTCTTCAATGTTTTGGTAGTCATCTTGATCCTATTTTGTCTGGTATAATTTGTGGCTTGTTTACCAGTTTAATCTGCATCTGCAAAGAAATGGATTTGATATTGCACTGCTTTAGAATGCTACTGAAATTAAAAAAAAAACAAAAAAACAGCGCACAATGATGTGGATTGAGATAATGAGCTTTGCAAGATGGCAATGGTAATTGTGAGGATGTGAATTCTGGAAAGTTTATGAAACCGATAGGACCATATTTTCAAATATGATTTTCATGTAGTTGGAACTAATGGAAGAGATGGTTTTGCGAATCTTTATTACAAGTATGAGCCTTGCCTTTGTCCTTTTTTATTTTAACATGTATGTTCTTTCCTATTTTTATTTGACTTATGATTTTGTCCCAAATGGAAACCCTGTGTCCTTTTGTTTTAATACTTTCATACAGCTAATTTAGGAGGCAAGAGTCTAATATTGCGTAATCACGACTTGATTATTAGCTTTTCTGTTTATCCTTCCTTTTCTACCAATCTACCATGTGTCTATCTCCTCTAGGTCTTATGTTTATTAGACCCCGTTCTCACTCACTTCGTTGGAGCGCTCTGGAGCGCTCTAACTAAGACCCACTCCTCAGGAGCGGTTCTTAGGTGAGTGAGAACGCTCAAAGTGGTCCAGGAAGCGGACTTCTGGACCGCTCCAGAAGTCCACCTTCCGAGGTGGTCTTGAGGAGCGGGTCTTATTAAGAGCGCTCCAGAGCGCTCTAATGTGCAATGTGAACGGAAGGCATACTTTGAACGGAAGTGAGCTAGTGACCTTCGGTGCGAAACATGTAGTACGGTACATACGATTTGGATTCCGCGCACGAAAAAATTGACCCGCCTACCTGAGCTGCCATAGCAACAAGACCGCTTTGACTCGTGGAGCGGTTTGAGCCATAAAAACTGCTCGGAGTGTGAACGCTCGCAAACCGTTCCTCAAGACCCGTTCCTCTGGAGCGGTCTGGAGCGGTCTAACTAAGACCACTTTCAAAGTGAGTGAGAACGGGGTCTTACACTCTCCTTTTTGTCACTGTGTCTCCCTCCCCCTCCCTTGATCCCTTCTCCCCTCTCCCTCCCTCCATCACTCCCCCTCTCCTTCCCTCCCACTCCCCCTCCACCCATCACTCCTTCACTCCCCCTCTCCCTCCCTCCATCACTCCTTCACTCCCCCTCTCCTTCCCTCCCACTCTCCCTTCACCCATCCCTCCTTCAATCCCTTTCTTTCTCCTTATGGCCACACTATTAATTCACAAATTCAATCTTCTTCTTCTCTGTGCAGGTACTCAGGTATCCTCTCTGCCTATGGTATGGCCCTGGCCGATGTCGTCTATGACACACAGGAGCCCTGTGCAGATTCTTATGAGCAGGCAGCATTCAAGCATATTGATGAGAGAATAGAGGTGCTGACACAGCGCTGCATTGAGGAGCTTACCAAAGAGGGCTTTTCAAGGTATTTGCAGAAGAAACAAGAACATCTCCATTCTATCATAATAAGGCAAATTAATAATGTTATTACATCGTTGAAAATTTCAATATATCATTCAAAGAACACTTCTAGAGTCTCTAGAACTACCTGGGCTCTAAACTCCATTTTTATAGGCACAATATCCATTTTCAACTTTTTCACAAAAAAATCTGTTGCAACAAGCAAATTATAAATATATTTACTAAAGAATCCCTGTTAATACATGTACATGTGTATAGAGATAAAATAGTCTTTTAAAGAATGATTTAACAGGAATAACCCCAACAAGTCATGCAGGAAAATATGACATTAATATATTTAAGGGGGAAGTCCACGCGGATAATATCTTGGTTGTAATAAAAGCAGAAAAATGAGAGAAACATGTAAGTCAAAGTTTGAGCAGTTTCCAATTAAAAATATTTAATATGGCTTCAGTGAAACACAAAGTGGCAACACTGACGTATCTTGCAAGCTCCTCTCCAATATGCTCTTTACAGACAATTTCAGAAACTTTCATTTTCTTAGTTATCGATGAAGGAATATCATTGTTTCACACAGGGGTTGTATTAAAAACATAATTGCAAAAATAATATTTAGGGTGAATATATGATTGAAATTTTCTTCAGGGAAAATATAAAATGTTGACGTTTTTTAGTACAGGGCAAATTGGAGGAGGCCTCGCTAGAAAATTATGTCACATAGTTGCCAATTTGTGTTTGATTGATCACACCTTAAAAATTCATAAACCAACTTCATATCAGAGTTGAATTTCCCTTTAAAATTTCTAAAAATGTGAGTTATTTCAAATTTGTATCCAAATTTTGTATAATTAATATTTTCTTTACTATCTCCTTTACTATTTCCTTTGCTACCCCCTGTGGATAGAGACCACATAGAGACTGAACCATTCCTGCACATGCGCTATGACAGAACAGACTGTGCTCTCATGTGTTCTGCTGCCTCCTTCCCTGTGACAGGCTCTACGAGTTGTCATGGCGATTTCCTAGCATCCTTCATGGCAAGGTACAACAGGGAGTTTGGCTTTGTCATCCCGGAGAGGAGGATCTGTGTGGATGATATCCGCGTCCGAGGAGTGGGCAAGACGTTCATCCCTCTAGACGCTAAGAAGAAGTCCTCCGGAGCTCCGCCAAGGGTAGAAAAGGTAATGTTTATACGTGGCGGCTATGCAGAACTTCAAGGTTTTACATGCTCTATAGTTTCTTCTCTTTGTAGATAAACTTGAGTTTTGGTAAAAAAGGAAAAAGAATTCTTACAGAATCAAACAAAACTTACACTAAATGTTTAAGATAACAAAAAAATGTCATTTGCCAAACAATTTTGGTAGAAAATGTATAATTGCTGAGTAATGAGCATAGAAAGATAAGGAAATCAAGGTGTCGGGCCCCGACGCCATTTGTGTAGTCCCATATACATCTTTCTGTGTACAGTGCTTGTTACTTTACCAAGACTGGGCCAAATTTATTATGATTTTGATGACTCCAGAACCTTGCAGTACATACCAATACTTACATGCTACATGATCAACTTTTTCTGATCCATTCCACACCTTTTCTTTCACAATGCAATCACATGACCAGAACTCGACTTTATCTTTAAAGTGTCCTAGCCATGGGCAGGTCCATACCTCAGTTCCATCTTGTTCATCCTGTCTCCATTCATCTCGGTCTGATGCCTTTTCCATTACGTTTGAGAAACATACCACCAGAAAGAAACATGGTAGTGTGTTATTTAGAGGAATGCATTAAGGGTTGATGGAAAGCTTTGAATAACAGGGAAACCCCTTATTTATATATTTGTAGAATGCACTCTGTGATATCAGGTCCAGAGTATACATTTTAAATGTCAAGTGAAAAGTTAGAGCCATTTGTTGCAAGGATAATTCGAAGACTGTTGATAGAGAAATTGGGAATGTAAGGTTATCTCCCACTTAGCTCCAAACCATTTTTGAAAAAAATCTTTGAATTCAGTTATTTTCGATTCCATACGTCTTCCATCAGATGACCAAATGTTACTTTGAAGAGGGATTGCTGGACACGGCTATCTATCTTCTCGACGACCTGTCAAGTGATAACACCATCAAGGGGCCCGCTATCTTGATTGAGAAGAACAGTACGATCCTGGTAGAAAACAATTGTGTTGCCACCATCACAGAGAATGGGGATGTTAAGATACAGGTAAGGCCAAAAGATAGCTGAATTATGATGTGGCAAGTGTCAACATGGCTGTATTATAATATTATCGTAATTCTTGATTCTACAAAGATAAGCTGGAAGATATACAGTATAACAGGTTTAATCAATGATAAATTTTGAAGATGCCTCCATTTCAACGATAAAACTCTTTTGGGCACAGGGTAGCACTCTAGATATGCTTTATTGTCGCATATTAAAGGAAATGCAGGAGTGAAGCAATTTGCACAATGGACTTGAAATCAAATATATTTGGTGTGGAACCAATTTTGTGTATCAAGCTAGTGCCAAAGGATATATTCCAGCATCTGTATGCTACGATTTAAAACTTACTACTTACTTAATTTACTACATGTACATTACATACATAGCCATGCAGTACTATATTATTTATAGATACATGTACAATAGTTATGTATCTTCATTACCTGCACAAGTTCCTAGATTTTGAGCCTAATATGTGCAATATCATTAAACAAAAATTAGCCTTTGCATATCACATAATAAAAGATATGTTGTGGTCCAGTGGATAAGTCTCTGGACTATGAACCACAAAGTACAGGGTGTGAATCCCTGTCACAACACTAACGTCATTTGGCAGGACGATAATCTATATTTACCACACTCCACCCAGGTGAGGTAAATGGGTACCTGGTAGGATTATAATAATACTAATATTTCTTGTTTACCCAGGGTAGCCTCATTGGTATTCAAGCTGTTCTCTTTGAGGCCCTACAATCATATCATTACTCCGGCTAAAGGATTATTCCTTGAAATGCACTGTGCGCTGATAACAGCTGCCAGAGCTAAAGCTAGGGTAATAATTTCCAAAGCTCTTTGGAAGCGCATAATGAAATTATATCACAATGTGTTATGCGCTATACAGGAACAGAATATCATTATTATTTCTCATTGTTCAATCAGGTTGACAGTGGTAATATCAAGGTGATTGGTACAGACCTTGATGCCATCCAGCTCTCCATCTTCTCTCACCGGTTCATGAGTACTGCAGAACAGATGGGTAGGGTACTCCAGAGAACATCCATCTCAACCAACATCAAGGTAGGCTTCTCAACATCCTCTTATGTCTTTCATGGTTTCAGAGTTCATGGAAAGAAGAAGAAAGTAATGAATAATTAAAATAGAAAAAAATTCAAGCAACCGATGTGATTGAAAATGTACTGTGCAAGAATATTTTGTGTGTTTTATGTACCGGTATATTGTTTTCTATTCTGTACTGCATCTGTAATGCAGATGGAAAGAAAATTTCCACTACAGTCAAACCTGTCTGTAGCAACCTCCCAAGGGAGGCACAAAAAGTGGTCTTTGTAGACAGGTTCCTTTACTACATGTTTTAATGAGAAATCATTTTCAATGGAAACATTTGGTCTTTGTAGCAGGTGGTCAGTAAAGCAGGTTTGACTGTATTTGTGGACAATGAAATTTATCGAAGTTATTATGAGTGGACATGTATAATTGGCTTGTTAAACGTAAAGAGAATTAGAGAATAAAGAGTAAGGAAGATCAAGAGGAAAGGAGTAGAGGAGGAGGAAGAAGAAGAGTACATTTTGTTTCAAGAATTTTGTTAAGCTTTTTTTTTTTAAATTTCAAATAAATATGACACCATTTGACTTCATAGGCAGGATCTGCCACCCACACTTTGGAAGGGATGACATATTGTTCAAGATGTATACACTTAAAAACTTGCTTCTAACAGTTTATCATTTGCAGAGTCTTCATCAAGTAGTTAAGCAAATCAATCAAGTGTTGGGATAAAGCAATCACTGCCAGATGAATTCTTCTTTCCCCTTCAATTGAAGGATCATGGTAGAGAATTAATTTCCTTTCTATTGTCTTCTTTTTGTGTAGGAGCGGCTTGATTTCTCCTGCGCCATGTTTGGTGATGACGGAGGTCTGGTTGCCAATGCACCCCACATTCCAGTTCATCTTGGTGCTATGCAGAAGACTGTACAATACCAGGTATTTCACAACAACAATCAAAGATACATGTTTACAAACACAATATCGAGTTGTTACATTGCATCGTAAATTATTTACAAACAGAATATCGAGTTGTTACATTGCATCGTAAATTCTTTACAAACAGAATATCGAGTTGTTACATTGCATCGTAAATTCTTTACAAACAGAATATTGATTTGTTACATTGCATTGTAAATTAATTTATATGTTTATAAACAAAATATTGATGTACATCAATGAAGTTTAATAAATGCAATACATTATTATCTCTATAAGGCTTCTAAGTGGTACAATAAATCAGTGTATTCAACATCTTTAGTGCAGTACCCGGATGACTGATCAATATTGTTTTTGTATTGCTCAGTCATCCGGGAACTTTAACTATCGATATCGATATCATTGCTATATCACACGAAAACAAAGCCATATTTACAGAGGACGACGGATAGTCAACCTGTTTGAAATGTCTAGCCACTCTCGGCACTCATCCTCTCCAAGCGCTATAGTTCTCCTTAAATTATAAGCTAAGAAAGATAACCAACAGTCTTTTTCAAGACTACACAGACAGTCCTTTTCAGGACTACACACCCTCAAGAAAGATTACAGAGAATCGTTTTCAGGACTCCTCAATTCTCTCTCTCTCTCACATGATGCACCCGCAAGCCTACTGTATATCTACATCACCATGCAAGCCGATACTTACAAGCAGCATCTAGTATGGATATGTAGCGGCGAACCCCCTGCAAAAAAACCCCTGCATTTTTGTATGTATAAATCAATGGCAAAAAAAACTCTGTGCCACAAATCGTATTTTGTGCTGCCTGGTGGCAAATTTGTTCATCCAATCAAGTTTTTACAAAGTTAGAATAAAATATGACGTCACGAGTACAGCCCGTACAGCTTTTGGCAACCCTCTCCTCGCGAGAACCTTGAAACGATGGCGAGGTTTCACAGCACCATTTTGTAAAATTAAAAAAGATATCCAGTGTATTAACTCTTTGTTTGCTTTGTTCGCCGATTTGCACGGACGTAGGCGTGCCAACTTCGCATTTTTGCACAGATGTATACGAGTCAATTAGACATTCATAATACCGCTCGCAGTGTGTAGCCACGCGTTGCGTTTACTATTGTTTACATTGTATACATCGCACACTTTCCGGTAAACTGTTTTTCTTCATAGTGTTACATTCGAAATTACCGTGTATTTAGCGGTTTTCTTTGGATTTTTTTTACTGATGTTACGATGGCACCTGCTGGAAAACGTCAACGTGTGTTTAGTGTAGAGGAGGCTCGAGATCTTGTTACTATGGAAGCATGGAGCATGGACTCTGATTCCGACGAATCGAGCAGTGACGAAGACTCTAGTGATAAAAGTGTTCCCTGAGAGTAGACTGATAGAATAAGAATGAATAAAAATTAATGAAAGAGCTAGAGATGACAGCAAGAAAGAGAGTAGACTGATAGAATAAGAATGAATAAAAAAAAATGAAAGAAGGAGATAGAGATGACAGCAAGAAAGAGAGTAGACAGTGATAGAATAAGAATGAATAAAAATAATGAAAGAAAGAGATAGAGATGACAGCAAGAAAGAGAGTAGACTGATAGAATAAGAATGAATAAAAATTAATGAAAGAGCTAGAGATGACAGCAAGAAAGAGAGTAGACAGTGATAGAATAAGAATGAATAAAACTAATGAAAGAAAGATGTATCCTGTCTTGCCGTCATCTTTATATCTTTCTTTTATTATCTTTATTCATTCTTATGCTATCAGTGTTTACTCTCTTTCTTTCCGTCATCTCTATCTTATTATTATTATCATTTTCCTATCTATATGTACCCTATGTCTTGCCGTCATCTGTATATCTTTTTCTTATTATCTTTATTCATTATTATGCTATGAGTGTAATACTCTCTTTCTTGCCGTCATCTCTATCTCATTATTATTATCATTTTCCTATCTATATGTACCCTATGTCTTGCCGTCATCTCTATATCTTTCTCTTATTATCTTTATTCATTCTTATGCTATCAGTGTTTACTCTCTTTCTTTCCGTCATCTCTATCTTATTATTATTATCATTTTCCTATCTATAATTATGTACCCTATGTCTTGCCGTCATCTCTATATCTTTCTCTTATTATCTTTATTCATTCTTATGCTATCAGTGTTTACTCTCTTTCTTGCCGTCATCTCTATCTTATTATTATTATCATTTTCCTATCTATATGTACCCTATGTCTTGCCGTCATCTGTATATCTTTCTCTTATTATCTTTATTCATTCTTATGCTATCAGTGTTTACTCTCTTTCTTGCCGTCATCTCTATCTTATTATTATTATTATTTTCCTATCAATATGTATCCTATGTCTTGCCGTCATCTCTATATATTTCTCTTATTATCTTTATTCATTCTTGTGCTATCAGTGTTTACTCTCTTTCTTTCCGTCATCTCTATCTTTTTATTATTATCATTTTCCTATCTATATGTACCCTATGTCTTGCCGTCATCTCTATATCTTTCTCTTATTATCTTTATTCATTCTTATGCTATCAGTGTTTACTCTCTTTCTTTCCGTCATCTCTATCTTATTATTATTATCATTTTCCTATCTATATGTACCCTATGTCTTGCCGTCATCTCTATATCTTTCTCTTATTATCTTTATTCATTCTTATGCTATCAGTGTTTACTCTCTTTCTTTCCGTCATCTCTATCTCATTATTATTGTTATTTTCGTATCAATATGTATCCTGTCTTGCCGTCATCTTTATCTCTTTCTCTTATAATCTTTATTCACAGTAAAGTCCTTTCATTTCATATCACTATTTCTCTCTCATAATGTCTCTCACGTCCGTTCTCCATATTTTATTCATTGCATACTCCACTCGTCAATCATTTCTGATAATAAGCTCTCTCACAATAAAGTAAATGGAAAACAATGCAATATAGTTTATATTTTAAGATTGATTCATTCTTTCTTTGTATATCTATGGCTGTGATAAATGTACTTGAAATCAATTTTATTGAGGGGTAAAGAAGGTGAGAGAACAGATGCGGTGAACATTCATAATGAGACATTTCAATAAGATGCTGATTATGTCATGTATATCACATATAATATATTATGCCTATACCATTTTTACATGCTCATACCAGTGGGCAAAATCAATAACATTCTCTTATTTCTTATTGACTTATCATGGCACAACAAAGAAAAACATCCCACGACGTCCCTTTTCATGCCCCGCTAAACCGGACATTGACAATAACCTGGGGTAATAGGGATTTCAATGGGCAGATTAGCCCATTGTCAAGGGTGGCTGAGCGGGGTACTTTCAAGTCTCTCCCTATTGAACTTCTTTTCTTCAACAACCTAAATACTAACCTTCTGAATTGTTAGAATACTTGAGCAAGGTATGTAAAGAAAGGTAAGAAGTCCACCTTTCTAATAGATTCGATTTGAAGATGTCTTATCATTGCTAAATAAGAAATTCTAGAGGGATAAAAAACTGCCGTAAATAAGAAAAATTAAACATTATATAATTATGATTATTATAAAAATGATAATTCAAAATATAACAAATGACGGTTCATCGAAAAGCACGTTTTCCGGTCTACAACTTTGCTGCACAATATTTTTCATCATGATCATCCAGTGAAGAGTTATAGCCTCTTGATTCAGCAGAGTCAATAAAGATTCCCTCGAAATGTGTGACCCTAAAAGAATGTGGCACAGGGGGGTTTTTTAAGTGGCGCATAAAGAGTTAAGGAGGAACTTTTACTGGTTGAGTAATGCCTAACAAGTATAATTGAACTAAATTTGATATTTACTGCGCATCTCATTACCCTAAGTGTCATGGTTTGCCGCGCCATATCTAAACACTAATAAACCACCGGGGGGGGGGGGGGGGGGGGGGTGCCGAATGCGCCTCTAGTCTGTTTTTCTTTTCAATTTCAGTTTCAAGTCATTTTTTCTCCAAGGATCAAACAATAAGAAAAATTCCATTTTATGCAATCTATGTCGTGGAGGGGCTGTAAAGTGAATCAAAGTTTGTTGTTGATAGTCCCCAGATTTAAGATTAAAGGGATCCGGTAACTTTGTCTTTGATCCTTTAAAAAAATTCCTTGATTCAGCTCATGCTGCAATGATAATTATAAACCTTTAGGTCAGTCAGGATTCTCCGAACCCCATGACTTTTACAAGCCGATCGCCTGTCTGATTATCAAGATATTTATGATTGAAAATCGCAATCAAATTTTGCTTTTGCAAAACGGTTTTCATAACACTACAGTCTATTGGGGAGAACGAGTATGGGAAAACCGGTCACTCAAAGGTTTTTACTTTTTTGAGGCACTTCTTGATCATTTTTAATCACAATTTTCTTAGGGTTTTAATATAACACCATATCACAGACACTGATATCACGTAGGGCCGTGCATCTCAGATTTAACATTGTTAAACGATCCCTTTAAAGGAGCTCTTCTGTCATTTGTTTGTTGTATGATGTGTAGATGGAAGCATTGGGAGATGATCTGAAGGAAGGAGATGTGATCCTGTCCAATCACCCTGCAGCAGGTGGCAGCCATCTTCCTGATCTCACTGTCATCACTCCGGTAAGCTAGGAAGCAACTCTTACTTTTGCTTAATTTTTTGTTTAATTCTTAGTTTGTTTTGGGGTTGTTCTTTGTTAATTGTTTGCTATTTTTGTGAGTGTCATTTTATTTCTCTGTGTACGTTCTTGAAGATGTGCCAGTTTTTCCTCATTGAGAAGGCATATGCATATGTTGATTTGAATAAACTATAGTATCAATTATTTTCTTCAAAGAGGTTAGTAATATTCTCTCAGAGTTTTTCCTGTTAATTCTACTTGTATGCTTGACAACATTATCTTCAACAGGAATAAGAGTTCAAAAAGGAGAAGAGCTCTCTAAAAAAAAATCTGGTTATAAAATCTCGCTTCTATGTTGGATTTTATATTTGTAGTAAGAATGTACGGTTAGAATTATTTATTCATGTCATTTTAATAAACAGTGCCTTACAAAAAAATTTGGATTGCAGGAAAAGTTTTAGGCATTGAAGTTGAAGCTCATTTTTGTCTATGTTTGATTATTTGTAGGTATTTTACCCTGGCCAGCCAAGACCTGTGTTCTATGTGGCCAGCAGAGGGCATCATGCTGATATAGGGGGTGCCTCTCCAGGCTCTATGCCTCCATTCTCCAAGACAATCTTTGAAGAAGGAGCCGTCTTTTTCTCCTTCAAACTCGTCAAAGAAAATGTCTTCCAAGAAGAAGGTATGTCAGCTTAGCGGACATAAACAGGTTTATAGCAAGAAACATGGGTAAAGTTATGCTGAACTTAATAACCAATGTGAATTATCATCAACGGGCTTCGGCCTGGCATATCTTTACGTGCCAGCTAATTATCACAGAGAGGAATGAGATCCTGTGAAAATGCAGGAAGTATGGATTATTTACATTATTTCATCATCACCTTGTATGCATGCAAATGGAAGATGCACATCGAATACATGCTAGGAAGTGGAGATAGTGCACAAATTGTGTAGACTCTAGAAGTCCCATGATCATTGTGATCAATAACTGCATTTAATGCAATATTAGGAAGATGATGATGATGATTCGCAACATTTTCCTGTCTGCCATATTCATATAGACATGTATGTTCAAGTTCCAGAAATGCTTACTACATGTATAATCTTAAATACAAATGTAATAAACATAATTCATTAAATTTGTTTGAATTCCAGCCGTCACCGCAGAGTTGATGAAGCCTGCTCAATACCCAGGATGCACTGGAACAAGGAATCTCCATGACAACCTAAGTGACCTTCGAGCACAGGTGGCAGCCAACCACAAGGTAGTGCCTATTGTTATTATCCTTTTAGTTTGTTTTCATGTAGAATATATGTTGCTGTTCATTCTTTATACATTCTACATACCGGTATATGCTTTCCCTCAGGGCATTGTGTCAATCAAATAACTCATCGACTACGACATGAAGCCCAAGATTGAATCACATCTTCGATAAATAACCACTACAATATCCATATATATGAGGTATGGTCATGAGTCAGGAGCTATTATATAGACTGATCATCTCATCTCAGAAAAAAAAAGATTGAATAAAATTCAGCATATTCACATTGATACCTTCTTTGACTTTTCCTCAGGGTATCGTCTTGATCAAACAACTCATAGACTACTACACCTTACCTGTGGTCCAAGCTTACATGAGGCACATCCAGAATAACGCTGAGATAGCAGTCAGAGACATGCTGAAGGAGATTGGTCAGAAGGCACTCAGAGAGACCGGTCAGACCCGTCTCGCTGCCTTGGACCATCTGGATGATGGCACAGAGATTGCTCTCAAGGTGGACATCGATGTTGAAAAGGTCAGTTTTACTACAAATTAGTTATTTTGGTTAGCATCAATCTCAAAACATGTACACTGTATGTATCTTGCTAAGTTAATGAACTGAGTGGATTTTGGGGGTCATGAGGTCAAAGGTCAGAGGTCATTTGGCTCATTATGTATGCAAATATAGCTTGTGAACCATTCTCAATCTCATTTGAACTGACGGATGGATTGCTATCAAACTCAGAGCCAATGAGCTGATTACCGGTAGATTTTAGGGTCATGAGGTCAAAGATCAAAGGGTCATTCATGTACATGTATATGACAAGAAAGCTTGTAATCATGATACTTGAATTTTAAAAATTGCTTCTGTTTTGGTTTGTAAAATTGCTCTATGGCAAGGGCATCATTTTTTACTGCTGCAGTCGAACATCCATCTAGTTTAAATATGTGTGTGTTTTCACTCCAATACATGTACATATGCAAGCACATCATGGCTTACAATTTAAGCTACCCCAAATTACTTTTAAGTATTGGTTTTCATTCATGCTTTGCATTCTAATATTTTCAGGGCACTGCAACATTTGACTTCAGTGGTTCAGGGCCTGAGGTGTATGGAAACCTGAATGCGCCCTCTGCTGTTTGTCTGTCTGCAGTCATCTACTGTCTACGATGCATGGTGGGACATGATATACCACTCAATCAGGTACGCAAACCACACCCCGTATTTCCTCCATCTTGTCAGGGAAAATTTAGGAGTGAAAGCCTCTTTTCCAATTTATTTTGTGGGATGCATTCTCATGGCTCCCAGCCATCTAAGAAATCCTGCAAAATAAATTCCATTTTTTTTTCTCAGTCAGGTGACTGAAAAAATTATTAGAATAAAACCATGTGATCTTTTTTTTCTACTGGTACTTGACCACTTGACAGCGTGCCACATACATCTATGTGTTCCTGCTCTTGCATGACTGCGCGTACCACGTACATGTACGTGCTTAGGGCATTGCATTTTCAAGACCGTAGCACTGCATAGTGCCTAGCCCTACTGTGTAATTAGCACTGCAATGATGGTATACAGGTCTTGAACAGTAGATGGCGCTCTTCAAAAAAAAATCTGGCTTTTTTTTTGTGTGTGTGTGTGTATAGTTTTTGTACAGTACCGAAATGCTGTAGCACAGGGGGTATGAACGCATTTTAAGCCAATAGCAGTTAAGCGTTTAAAATTACCATTTCTTACCATCATATCTTCCAAAGGGTTGCCTGAAGCCTATCAAGATCATCATTCCAGAGGGCTGCATTCTCAATCCTACCCACAATGCCGCAGTCATCGGTGGTAATGTAGAAACATCGCAGAGGATGGTAGATGTCATACTCAAAGCCTTCCAAGTCTGTGCTGCTTCACAGGTATTATATACACCTAACAATGAGTGACTTTGAGATTGGTAAAAGCTCCACCATTTTAGCTCTAGGTGATTTGAGGCGAATGTTTCATTTTGTGAAAAGATCTTCCAAATGGAAAATTAGAAATGAAGTAATCGATGGAGAAACAAAAGATTCATGTATCATATTTCAGTTTTTGTTCAACTAAAATTCAACGTATGACACTGATACTTTTTTTAATGGATTGTTAAGCCCCAGATTTAAGTTGATTGTCGTATCGAAATCCCTCTTTGCTAAGTTTGAGCAGAAGTTAAATACAGAATACAGTGTTAACCAACCAATAATGGACCATAATACAATATACTAAGCTCTAAATTTCACCTTGTGTATCAATTTTTGCCCTTGTTAACAACAGGGAACCATGAACAACTTCACATTGGGCGACGAAGATGTAGGATACTATGAGACAATAGCAGGAGGTGCTGGTGCCGTAAGTTTGTTGTTGTTTTATGTTGATGTCTTACCGGTAATGAGAATTTTGAGTTCTGGTTTAGGTGAAAAATCCTTTGTGAGCTTTCTTATTCTTCGTACATGTATGTCATTTTAGAAGAAATTCTCCATATGTGAAATGTGACGAGAAACACAGGAGCCTGAATGCAAGTTCTATTTACAGTTCAATATATGCTGAGTTCAGCAACTCTCAATACAATTACATTTGAAATTCATGTCCTTTTGATTAATTAGAAAACTTTACTATCAGGAAAGTTTTTGGGGAGAGAAACAATCTTGGGATGGGTGACTTAAACATGCTTGTGATTGGTCTATGGTGAACTGTCTATCAGGGTTGCTATCATGGGGAGTGGCAATGGAGAGTGTCAGTGACTTGGGTTGGGCCTATCAGTCAGTTCTTGGAATGTGGTTCCTTGAAGTTAACTCTCTGGGGTGGTCATTAATGGTCAAATGTTTTTAATAAAAAGATAATTGGGACAGTGTCTAGGAATAATGGGGTACTGTCTAGGGATAATAGGGTTCTGTTTTAGATCATGGAAGTGGGGGGGGGGGGGGGTGAATGGCTGAAGGGAGACAGGTAGAAATGCATGTACATGTACTACTTAACATTAAATCAAATGTCAATTCAATTTAAACAATATATCTTATTCCTTTAATCATTTCATAGTAGATGATTAATCATGGACTTGAAATGAAATGATACAAAATAGTCCATTTTAGCTGATATTTTGACTGTTCTCTTATTTTTTCATTTCAGGGTCCCACATGGGAAGGCAGGAGTGGTGTACACGTTCATATGACCAATACTCGCATCACTGATCCAGAGATCTTTGAAAGAAGGTAGGCTAATTACTTGTACTAGCTGCTACATTATCTCAATCATAAACCATATCTTTTCTAGGTCTTTGTAATACCTAGACGTATTTGGTTCTTTGAGAGGGGTTGTTGTAGTTTGTTTGTCATAAATTGTTTTAGGGTTGCTCACCTGTTCTAAAGGAGGATTCTTGTTACCAGATGGGTTTCCTCGCTTTGTTTAGATGTTACTCGTGTGTATATAGAATCCATGTATACATTTTCCCATCAGTATTTTTTGTTTCCCTATCTGGATTTCTGAGTGTACCAACTAACAAATTTGTCCTCACAAAATATTGTGCTCATTCAAAAAAGAAATCAATCTTTTATATACCAATGAGAATGTCAGAATAAAGAAATTTATAACACCTTTTTTAACAGTTATTGTTCTTGTTTCTGAATTATCAATTCAAACCTCAAAAAAGAATCCTGTAATTTGTAATTTATTTGATAATTGTATTGATGTTATTTTCTGATTTTAATTTGTATACAACAGATATCCTGTTGTATTGAAGCAGTTCCAGCTCAACCCAAACACAGGAGGAGCCGGTCGATTCCGAGGAGGTGACGGGGTCATTCGTGAGGTCCTTTTTAGACGACCTTTGACCATCTCACTCTTGAGTGAGCGTAGGTCGTTCAGACCGTATGGAATGAAAGGTAGAGGAAATATTTCAATTTGCTCTAGCATTCATTGCAAGAGAATTAAACATTTGGAGACAAAATTTACTGTTATCTTAGTAATGGTAATGATAGATACCCAGAGTAGCCTCATCAGTATTTGTATTATTCTCCCAGAGGGTCCTTCAATGATATTATTACCCTGACTTAGCCTGGCTACCAGTGACCTTCACAACAAGTTTTTAATTGCCTACACATTTTTTCAATGACAAACTGGGTTCTTGTAATAGCAATAGTTGATATGACTGAGGGCAAAAGGTAGGATGCCTGATCCTTTCATAATAATAATGATAATAGTAGAGTCATGTCTTGTGCTCCATTATTGTTACCCCGGCTTTAGCACGTCTGCCATTACAGTGCTCAAGCATTTAAAAGAATGTATTCCTGCCGGGTATCCATTTACCTCACATGGGTGTAGTGTGGCAAATGCAGATTAATGTCTTGCCAAAGGACATTAGTGGTGCGACCAGGATTTGAGCCTCATACCTTGTGATTCACAGTCTGGAGACTAATCCACTGGACCTCTCTATCCCGTGCTGCTGATCATATATTACTCATCCAATGAATAAATTAACTAATTTTACAAATTCTAAAGCCTTCGAAGAGCAGTTTCATGAGTGCAAGCTAGAAGTTGACATGAATTGTTCTTCATCTGATTGTAGGTGGGTGTGAAGGAAGACGAGGCAGGAATCACTACATCTTTGCCAATGGTCATACCATCAACCTTGGAGGCAAGAATACCATTAAGACCAATCCTGGGGTGAGTGCATACATGTACATTATCTATTCTTAGCGGGGAATAATGACCGGATCACCCCACCCCACTCCCTCTTGCATTAAGCTTTTCTATGCCACCGAGGATGTGTAGCGATGGCAATTGTCACATGAAGAATATGTTATGATCTAGTTCAGTTTTTAGAATGGATAACTGTAATAAAAAAGGACAGCTAGGTATGTCTCTTTCTCAGAAAATGTTTAGTAATTGCACCTGTCATTTTGTGATCTTGTTCAGCTTGTAGGTATACCTGTAGTGTCACTGTAACTACCAATCTTTATTTACTTGAATCCACTGTCTGAGAATTTTTTTGGGAGATAATGAGCAAATCAAACAAACAATGACATGTAGATGGCAGCAAGGTGATGTCGTTTGTTCTATTTTATTTTATCTTTTTATTGTAGCTTTTATAGTATTGCAGACACATGATGTGATTCACTACATACGCTGAATGGGAGTCTATCTTAGTAATTCTCCTTAACATTTTTAAATCTCTTTCTTTTCTTATCTCAATCATTTTTCAATCCTTTCTCACTCCTTCTAACATTTCCTGTCCTCATCTCACGCTTCGTTCTCTTTTCACTTTCTTACTTATACTCTCTCTATTTCTTTTTTGCCCCCCCCCCCCCTTACTACAACTTTTTCTTTGAACAATACCTTTCCTTTTTTTCCTCTTTTTTATATTATTTCTCTCTCTCTCTCTCTTTCTCTGTCTGTCTGTCTCTCTCCCTCCCTCCCTCCCTCTTTCTCGCGTGCTCGCTCTCTCTCTCTCTCTCTCTCTCTCTGTCACTGTCTCTCTCTCTCTCTCTCTCTCTGTGTCTCTCTCTTATAGGATGTTCTGAAGATCTGTACTCCTGGTGGAGGTGGCTATGGATCCCCCGAGGAGTATGAAGATGATGAGGGCAGCGAGAGACCTCGGAAGCGATCTCGCAAGGATGACGATCCCAATAGTCACTTCCTAGAGCGTGGAAGCGTCTATGCCTACAGACTTGCCCAAGAACAAGTCTAATTAATACCAACATGTGTTAATTACTTTGCTTGTTGTTTATCAGTTGTGTGTTTTGTGGACAGAGCACACAGAAGTGCTGATACTATTAAACTAGCATTTATGGTGTGGGGGGAAAAATGTAACCTGTTCAATACCCCAAGAATTTATAAGAACCAAGACTAGCGGCTTTGGGTAACAATTATATATTTTTCATTCTTTTAAGTATCATGGATAATGATATTGTCAAGATTCAAGATTAAAATTGTATTGTCCATTCATAATTATACAGAAATTTGCTTTCCATTGGTGTTATATACAATGTAAACATATCAGGGATAAACATGATATTGTATGCCGAGAGCCTGAAGGGTCTTAAGTTGGAGGGAAATCCAACCCAAATAGACAACTACTCTATTAAAAGGAAGCGGAAAAATCAGAGAAGCAAACTGATGAAAGTTTCAATTCAATCTGACTAAATATAAGAAAGTTACGAATCATATGTGTAATCACTATAGGTATGGGCACTTCAAATTGGCTGAAGCGGTAATGTCAATGTGATGTAGTGCCGGACTATTTTCCCATATGTTCTAACATATAAAATGACTAAAATTTAAATTTGACTAAAATTCATTACTTAGGAGGGTCTATTCTTTTTAGAGGATAATAATATGCTATCTATAATTTATTTTGAGAAGTGCCCCAAGAGAAAAGGAACTTATGAACAAAACAGAAATTAATGATATTTTTGTACACAGCGTATGGGAGAGTTATCCAGTTCCTACGTCACAACCCACTGACCGAGCTACCAATTTGAGATTCACATAGACTTAGTGATCTCATATTTCAAACATTCATAACTTGCTTTCTATTGGTCCGATTCATTTCAAACTTTTGCCATTCTGTTTCGGTTATATACCTGCTTTCAAACAAATCAACTTATTACAAGGGTTAAATTGCTCTTTAATCCTGAACTAGAATGAGTCGTAGGCTACCCTTCCAGCTCCCAGCAGACGGTACCTGACTAGAACAGTATTCTGAGTCTTTTATGAATGTATTCATACATAAATAGCAAAGTGATAATACCGCAACTTCCCCTGATCAAAAAGAAGAAGAGAGAGACAGATAGAGAGTAAGAAAGAGAAAGAGAGAGAGAAAAGGCAGAAAGAGAGAGAGAGGGTAGAAATGGATCGGGAGCTGCAAAGACATGTACATATATTCTACTCAAAAGTCAGTGCAATCATTTCAGATCAGAGAGACTATTTTTTTAGCAAATTTTTTGTGCAAATGCAATATACCATAGTCATAACGAATATGATTGTTAGCAGTGGAGCATATACCAGCATACTATTGTTCTTTTATCAATTATTTCTTCAGATTATCGTTTACATGTGCAATAACATGCATGTATTTGGGTTAAAATTATAACGTTATGAGGTAGACATGATGGAAAATAGCAATGTATGTGAATTTAATGTTATTGATTTTTCATCATTGTAAGTATTAAGATGGCCTAGAAATTTTAATGTTTATCACGGCAAGCACTCTTTTCCACTGTGCACTGCCTTATTTGAATATTAACATGCAAAATTAGTTTGCAACTTTTATTTCTTGAATTTTAGTGGTTAAATCATACCTGGACTAGATGTCGCCTATTAATCCTTTCTGTTTTCTAATAAACTTGAGGTTGAGGGAACTTTTTATTGTCAATTGATGAAGAAAGGTGGTTTGACAGTTATGGATGTCATGTATTCAAATATCAATGGTCACACGGCAATTTACTCACAAGTGTTATATTATGTTGATTAATGCAGATAATAATAATTTTTACATTCCTGTTCAGATCTGCCTCTTTCAATGACAACAACAGCCAGAGAAAATATGTATTTTCTAAAGTTTGATCAGAAAGTATTATAAATGGGTTACATTAACTATTGTATGTATACTCGAAAGTGTGGCATTTGACAACTCAATCCTTTTATGGATTCACTATGTAATAGGATGCGTTGTTTTTCTCTCATTTATCTTGCATAATTAATGTATTTTTATATGGGCTTCTGGATGTTTCTTTCTTGATTATAGTTATAATTAAATAATACACTAAATTGATCTCATAATAAACATTGTGCATGTTTTCATTGTATTGATGTGTATGTGTGTGCTCAGCTGTAGAATAGTATGAATGATACAAGACGGAATGTAGTGAAGCCTGTTTGGAATCAGAAGGACATTATGATTAACCGGTATGCTCTGGCCTGCATTTCTATGCCCTATAGCTGTTTCATAAAAACTTGATTTGAGAATAAAACTACCACATTTGTATCGCAAATAAATTTTGCTAATGGCGGATATTTCAGTAGCTTATATACCGTACCCACGATTGTATCAATTGAAATGATTAGAAGTTAAATAAAGCGGCTCTGGGCCTAGCTGTTTCATAAAACTTGTTATTCATAAAGAAATGCTAAATCTCTATGACAATTTTGCTCTCAGCCAATCAAATGCAATGATTTCAGTAGCTTATAACTGTTATTGTGACTTAATTGTTATTGATAACAAGTTTTATGAAACGGCCCTGATCATGCTTCTCCAAAGCTGGTAGCCTACAGACGTGACAGTGGTAGAATATAAACCCATGGACACAACAAATTTCAGAGAGGTTCACATGTCCTATCTCTTTCGATACATATACTCACTATAATGAGTGCATGCCATTCTGCTAGAACGGGTGCAGGGTTGGGGATGTAGGTTTTGGTATAGAAGCAGAAAAATGAGAGGAACAGGTCAGTAAAAGTTTGAGCAAAGTCTAACTAAAAAATTAGAAATTAAGTTATGAATCTTCTATGTTTCGATCAATCAAACACAAATTGGCAACACTGACGTATATCTAATTGCGAGTTCCTCTCCAATTTGCTCTGTACAGAAACTTTCATAAACTTGATTCCTTTTCTTTGCTATATTGATATGGAATAAATTTTTCTATACAGGGGTCGGAATATATAAATTTGCAATGATTAGATATGGATGCACGCTGTATGATTTGAAATTTTCTGATTTATTTAGTACAGAGCAAATGGGGGGGAGCTTGCAAGATATGTTCATATACTTTTTTCTTTTGGTATTAAAGAAAATTCTGCCCCTAGCTGCCCCCTAATCCTGGAGATCTAGCTCCTTTCTTATTGTTAATATGGATAGTAAGGCATAATATGTTACTCAGTTATCAATTTAATTGTCCTTTGAAATAAATTTTTTTCATACATAGGATCAATCTTGAAACTGTTCGAGAATATTATATTCCCAGATCTAAATTTCAAGAATTCATGCAAGCGCAGCTGGCCATATATCTACCTACGTGTACTTATATTGGGGCGGCAGCGCCCACGTGTACTATTTAGAACGTACAGTAAAATTGTTGTACACAAGCTGAATGCGCGTGCATCTTCAAATGAGACAGCTGTCGTCGATTGCTGGAAATTGTACAGACGTAAGCTTAATTTTTACCTCTATTATGCTGTGTTTGAAAAGAAAATGTTGATTATTAAATGAGTGAATGGATATCACTGAGTTTAAGCAAGATTGTTGCATGTACGTTTCATTTTAGAGTGGTTTGTGTTGCAACTAGTCGTAAACTGTTTTGGCTGCCCTTGCACCGACACACAAAAACTGAGCATGCAGCCTCCCCAAACTCTGGGCGTCATCTACCGTACCTCGGTATCGCGATATGACTTGTCGAACTTTCGCACCCAGGCCCAACACCGCGCCGCGCCGCTCTGTTTTAGTGTTGAAAAAGATTACATCATCCACTTACTTTCATTTCGTTGCATCATATTTCCGGCTTTAATAATTAATAGGTTAGATCTACATCTCATTAATCAATGATGATAAAGATGTATGATTTATTTTGATCATCAGGATCATGTCTAAATGGGTAAATAAAGGGTATGAATCTGGGTGGATTCTGAATTGACATGGCTTGCATCATCTTCAAAATTTCAATTGATTGAACAAGAATCAAATTAAAAAGTTTTTATAATTATTTCACCAGTTTTGTTAAAAGCCAAAGTAAGTTTCTTTAAAACATATTAGTCTACAGGCTCTATTCAACTAAAGCCTGATTCACCTGCTCTTTCATATGACGCCTCATTTTTTTAGTATCACCTTCAGGATATCACAAAGAATAAGAGTTTGGATGATTTGGATCTTGAATTGAAAAAAAAAAATTGACCAATTTTGCATGGTCGCGCAATGCACGTAGACTGCATAGGGATGCATGCAATCTGTATGGGAAGAATTTTAGCACACAACATCGGGTGCGCGATCAGACAACCTAGTATTAGTTTGAGAGACGCTGCTACCTGCTGTAAGTTGCCAATCCAATCAATCATTTTGAACATGTACCTGCTTACTTCTGCTCGGTCAGATTTGAGCAAACACCATTGTATTTGGAATAGTATTTATTATTTGATTTCACAGGCTTCATACAGGTGAATTGACAAACTTGAGTGAGAATGGATGCCAGTCTGACCTCGAAGGATATCCGTCAAACTTTCATTGACTTCCATGTGAAGCTGAATGATCTGCCTCATGACTTCTGGAGGTCATCTTCCGTTATCCCTCTGGATGACCCTACCCTCCTCTTCGCCAATGCGGGTATGAACCAGGTGAGGCCTTGGTTTTATTCTTTCCCTCAAGTTCTCCAGTTTATAATGATGACAAAGAAAAAAATCTTACAGATATATATAGAAATAGAATATGACTAATATGTACTGCATGTTATTGACTACTAAACATGCAATCCAAAATTGAAAGTGATTTACTTTTGGGGAAGGCATCCATGACAGTAGATGAATACATCTATCTCAGCCACTCTTGAGATCATTAAACTGGGTTCCTTTGAAACAAAGAATAATTTTTAAATTACTCTTTGTTTGTATTCAAAATATTCAATAATCAAGCTCCACAATATTTAGATACCTGTTTGAATTTATATACACCTGCCAGGGCATTGAGGTCAGCCAGTGATCCTCTCCGTCTCACATATTCAGTTACCCGCACATTAGCCGGTGATAGGACATTTACTGTATCTGCTTCAAAATGTTGGAATGATCTGCCTCTTAGAATCTGGCAGTCTCCATCAGTTAATATAACCTTCAGAAAGGCGCCTTAAAAACACTTTTTTTTTTTGCAGTTTGAGTTGTAAGACTGTTTTTCCTAATTATATGTATTTCTGTAATTTTTATTTTCATTCACTTTAGCACTTTGGGCCTTATGAGAAAAGCGTGGTATAAGTAGTAATAATAATAATGCAGAATTTTATGTACAGCACAGTTTGGAACATGCACATGTGCTCTTCTTGGGATACACACACAAAATGTTTGTTATGGGTTGTGTATTATTTTCTTATAACTAGTAACCAGTTAGTTACCATGGGTTGAGAATAGCTGATGTAGGTCAATGTCTTGTGAAAGGATTACTGTGCAGTTACAGGGTTCCAAACCACATGCCATGATATCCATAGCATGCTGACTTATCCACTGAATGAAAACATTCTTCCAAGATCTGAGTAACGGATAGGATTGTGAATAACTGTACGAATGAGAAGGAAGTGATGAGTGTTTTATTATTGCAATCACTTTAGATAATTTGTATTTTATAGCCTTATTTGTAAAATGGGCCGAGTCTATCATTACATTTTTTTTTACTGATCTTCAAAGATATCGTAGACTGTAATAGTGACTTGGGATATTTGGTCAGTGGTGTTTACGACCAAAAGCACATGTATCATTGAATAAATGGTTGCTATCATGAAATATATATATTTGCTTAAAGCTAAAGACCAGTTATGGTCATGCGATTGCATTGTGAAAGAAACATTGTGAAATTGATCAGAAAAGGTTGATCATCTAGCATAGATGTACTGCAAGGTTCTGGAATCATCAAAATGATTAGAAATTTGGCCAAGTCTTCATAAAGTTAGAATCACTGTACACAGAAAGATGTATATGGGACTACACACACGTGCGCGACACGTGCATTTGTATCTCTCAACAGGCGAGAAATACACTAATTTACCAAATATATCAATTAGTTGGCGGTTTCCCGTCAACATTTTTATCATCATGTATTATTCAAAACATATTCTTTCACATGATTGGTAATAAGAGCTTGCATTACATTTTTTTAAATTGGGGCGTTTCCAATACTGGTCTTTACCTTTAATACCAGTAACTCTAATTGGCAGATTGATCATGGATCCTGTGCCAAATTAGAGAATAGTGTGTCTGGTGCTATGATGATCTGCTATCTGCAATTAGGCCAAACATAACATACATTTTTATATCTTTTCCACCAGTTCAAGCCTATCTTCCAAGGAACAGTAGACCCTAACAGTGACCTTGGACGATTGGCCCGTGCTGTGAACAGCCAGAAGTGCATCCGTGCCGGTGGCAAGCACAATGACTTGGACGATGTAGGCAAGGATGTCTACCATCACACTTTCTTTGAGATGTTGGGCACCTGGTCATTTGGTGATTACTTCAAGGTGAGATGAGGTCACAGACAGCAATCTTTATACAGTAGCCTTCTATTGGATGAGCAGTAAATGAGTTCTGGTTCTCAGCAGACAAAACACACTGCAGCTGAGAACTCGGGGGAGGGGGGGGGGAATGTTTGAGTGACAGGAAAGCTAATGTTTTTATATTAAAAATCTAAAAAGCTTCTATGAAGTAAGAGTAGTTTCTAGGCTGCTATTTGAAGATTTGTAACAAAAACTAATATATTTACAATCTGATGAGGCAGTAATGCTTTTACAGTAGTTGGTCAAAAATAGTGCTGTAGCCGAACCGCCGAACCGAACGGAAGTTCGCCGAACATGGCACTTCCGAACCGAACCGAACCGAACCGAACACAAAGGCCTGGTTCGGACGTTCGGCAGAAAAATGTAAACGTTTTTGCAAGCTAATAAACTTGTCATTTTTGTACCTAATTTTCATGTCATGATTGCTCATTTTATATTTACTTTTTCCCCATTTTCTGTCTTTGTGATTTATGCCTATCCAGTGGTGGGCGCGACTTCACTGGCGCCATTTAAATCCCAAATCCTGACCACGCTACGTCGCGATCGCAAGCCATAAACAAGAATACATGTGGCATGTGCATGATCAAAACAAGTTCAGCTCAAACCCATTCAAATTAATATTTTGATTGTAACAATATCGGACAAATTTTACAATATAAATAATGAAATAAATATTCAATTCAGTATGGTATTTATTTATTCAGGAAAAATAGGGATTTTATATTTTTCCTATTGAAAATAAAATCTTATAAAAAACGGTTATTGACGAGCCTGAATTCTCTATTCAAGATGGCAGCTTTCATGACTCTAACATTAGACAACAACCGTCTCGGAAAATCTTTAAAAAATATCATTTATTGACAAATTGAAAACATGATTCTTTTAAAATTGAAAATAAAACACGATTCAAGACGGAAATACGAATGTAAGTAGTATTTTTCTTCACAAATAATTACGCTTAGAGCAGTTTTTTAATGTGAAATTCGTGCTGGTCGGTGGCAGTGTGCAGAAGTCCTCCGTGCTGGTCGGGCCCGGCAGGCCGGGCGGCCCGCCCAGTGCCGACCGCCGTGGCTATAACGCTGCTTGCTATTACATTACCGAACCCCGAACCGAACCAAGTTCGGGTGAAATATTGCCGAACTCTGCCGAACCGAACCGAACACGAACATAGCGTCTGACTTACAGCACTAGTCAAAAAGCAATTGTAACAATGATATTTAAAATTGATAGCTGTTAGTTAAACAAATAATTTGTTTGTTTTGTGTCCTTTAACACATTATATAATCGTTTTATTTTCTCGGTCGGATGAAAGTAACTGCAATCAGTGGCATCGTCTTTACAGTGGTAATATGAGCCCCAGCACTTTGCTTAACAAGAGTTGATAATTCAATATAGTCATGGAAATACTGTGAGCAAACTATGGATATTTTATTTACTTCATGATACAGATTTTCAATCGAATGTCAAACTATGTAGATTTGACTAATCAAAGTGATAGCTATTATGACTTTTCCATCTTGCATATCCCGATTGTAATCTTTCTTTGGAACTCTTAGAAAGAGTCTTGTGAGATGTCCTGGAAGCTGCTGACCGAGGTTTACAAGCTCCCTGCAGAGAGGATGTACATCACATACTTTGGAGGAGACCCTGAAGCAGGACTAGAGCCAGACCTGGAATGCAAACAAATCTGGCTTGACTTGGGGTAAGTACTGAAGCGGTTGGATTAACCAGAAAGGCACCCACAGGAGTTTGTTTTCATAATGAATCGAGTGTAACATGTATAATATGTAATATGTGTAATTTTGTATCTTTAAACACACAGATAAGTAAGTATGCATAGGGTCGTGATAAACCTACCATGTTCTAGCCTCATGACCAAGAGGAAAGCCAAGAACCAATTTCCAGGAGAACATCAAATCTTTTCTGGAAAAACCCTGCAAGAGTGCACTAGAATGGCAGAGAAGAGATATGAATGGAAAAATGTTGGAATGAACCTTCCAGCAGGGAGAAGATACCATGATAGCTAGATAGTTAATGAAGAATAATGAACACATGATAGGAAAACCAAGTTGTCCCCCTTAAGCCCATAAAATATAACATTTACTGCTTAAATTGATTCAATCCCCCCCCCCCCTCTCTCTCTTTCTGCCGCTCTCTGTATCTTTCTGTCTCTTTTTCTCACTCTTTATCTGTCTTTCTCCCTCTGTCTGTCATCTGACTACCTCTCTTTTCCTCTCTTGCTGTCCTCTTGTTCCCTTGCTCTTCCTCTCTCTCTCTCTCTCTCTATCTCATCTTCCCTTCTACTTACTACAGCATTCCTGAAGAGCGTGTGATGCCGTTTGGCATGAAGGACAACTTCTGGGAGATGGGTGAGGTAGGACCTTGCGGGCCTTGTACTGAGATCCACTTTGATCGTATTGGAGACCGTGATGCTCGCGCCATGGTCAACATGGATGTCCCTGACGTGCTGGAGATCTGGAACCTTGTATTCACGCAGTTCAACAGGTAGTTCATGATGTTTACGTATACTTTGTTATACCTAAAGAAAACAAAACAGCAGTGTTCCCACTTGCTTGTCCTGCCCTAAGTTAGAACGTGCAACCATAGATCACAACAGTGTTAAAGACCTTCTGCTACATCCTATGATCTCCCACGCTGTGGGTTGTCCTCAATCATGCTTGTATAAAAAAAAAAAAGTCCACAAAATACTAAAGATTTTTAATTATCAGTAGACTGTTAATTTCAAAACTACAGTAAAAATTGCTTCCAGCTGCAGTGTATTCTGTATATTTCTCAAAGGGTATTTTGTCCTATTCAATATACATCACTTCTGAAATGAGGATTAGAAGAATGTTAATTTGATAAACGTAATAAATACCTGCAATCTTCTTTAGTTTTGTTTGGTGTAAGAATTGAAAAGACTTGAAAATGCTTAACTTTTTACTTTTAGATGCATGTGCAATCTAATGAAAAGCTTGCAAGTGTCATGTGAGCGGAAATATTGAGCATGAAACTGTCACCAACACGGATCAATATTAATCGTATTTACTTTGTATTGCATTTATTTGAATTTTTTATGATGTAAATTCCACTCAATTCAACTGTTGAGCTGCCATGTGGTTTTTAATAAATACCATTTCAAATCCAACCCTCTGTTTGTGACAGAGAATCTGATGGGGAGCTGAAGGTTCTACCAAAGAAGTGCGTTGACACAGGCATGGGTCTGGAGAGGATTACCTCAGTCATCCAGGGCAAGTCATCCAACTACGATACTGATCTCTTCCAGCCAATCTTTGATGCCATCCAGAAGGTGAGTGCTGGCTGGCGGCAGTTCTACCTGCATGAACAAATGGACACCATGGGGGTGTTTCACAAAGATCCTTAGTCGAACTTAACTCTTAAGTTGGACTTGACAATTATGGAGAGCCATTTGTAGCCTTAAAATAAAATTTCTTCAAAAGCGAAAATTCAAGTATTTTAGACTTTTTATACATTCCACATCAAGAACATGAATTCTCCTTGGCATTAGACGATATGAATGATTTGTATCAACATTTTATGCCTTTTAAAATAACTTTACAAAATATTTTCATAGATGCTAACATCTTTCCATAATTGTTAGGTTCAACTTAAAGATAAGTTCAACTTGGGATCTTTGTGAAACACCCCCCATAAGGCTTATTCTCATATTCAGCTGGTGCTCATGGGTTTGTTTTTTTGTGTACTAAATTGATGGCAAGTAGGGATGGAAAAAGCTGCGCACAACAAAGGTTTCACATGTGCTTGCTTATCTGTGTGTTATGAGATACAAAAATGTGAAGTGCAGTATGCTTTAAAAAAACCACCCACAGTTCACCACAGCATATGAGAACAAGCCGTATGTTGCATGGCAATTGCAGCTTGTACCGACAGCTGATCTTTGTTATGTAATAGTATGTTTCACTGATAACGTTCTTTATTACACTTCCGAGCTCCATTCACTTTACCTTTTAAGGTTTGTCTATTAGGAAAATAGTCAAATATTGAAATAGAGAAAAGATAGAGAGAGATGTAATATTGCTCTCTTGCTTTGTTCAGGCAACTGGAGTGCGTCCATACACAGGGAACGTTGGAGCAGATGATGTTGATGGTATAGACATGGCTTACAGGGTAGTGGCTGATCATATATAGTATAATTTGTGTTCTCTTACTTTGTTCAGGCGACTGGAGTGCGTCCATACACAGGGAACGTTGATGCATGTGATGTTGACGGTATAGACATGGCTTACAGGGAAGTGGCTGATCAAATCGTATCATATAATATAATTTGTGTTCTCTTACTTTGTTCAGGCGACTGGAGTGCGTCCATACACTGGGAATGTTGGAGCAGATGATGTTGATGGTATAGACATGGCTTACAGGGTAGTGGCTGATCATATCCGCACATTGACCATAGCTCTCTCGGATGGAGGCAGGCCAGATAATGTTGGAAGAGGGTCAGTCCTTTAAATGCATTTTCTAGCCTTCATTTGTTCTTATTACAGTCAATGGTTGGCAATACCATACACGCCATACAGTAAAATTACCTACAGTTTTGTTCTTTTTAACAACACATTTGATACATAACTCACAAAAGATTGAATTAGTTTAGAAGATGGAATATACAAAATAAAAAACCTTTTTGACACAGATATTTATGTCTTGCATGAAATATCTGTGAACACTTCTATGTCAGATTTTACATATGAATTAATGAACCAAACCACTTTATGAAGACCTTTTTAGATTAAATCAACTGAAATCTCTTGTAATAAATAAAAGTTCCGAAAAAAAGAAACAAGGATTATTTCTTGTCTAAATTTCAATGATGTCAGAGGTATCACTGATCAATACTACATGCCTAGTGCTCCAACACTTAGTGGTGTAATGTTTGTCTATCACTCATTTTCTTTGCAGTTATGTTTTAAGGAGAATCCTGCGTCGTGCTGTCCGCTTTGCCACAGAGAAGCTGAATGCCAAGCAGGGTCTCTTTGCTTCTCTTGTCACAATCGTACAGGATAACCTGGTGAGGAATAGTACAATATTTGGTTTCTTAAAGTCCATCTGCACTAGTTTGACCAGGAGGGATTAGACTCCCTGCAGGGTCACTGACAGGTGGTTGTCTCATCAAATCAGCTCTCGATTAACATAGAAAAAGGGGACCATGGGGACCAATGGTCACTGATTAGGCACTGTTTGCTATATAAAAGGTGCAAGTAGCTATAAGTAGTGCAGTGGGGCTTTAATTTTCATAATTATTATCATTATATTAATATCATGGGACTTAAAAGCAATTAAGATTTCATTTCATTTTATGTATTGCCAGTTTTTGCCACTCTAGAAAACATGTTCAGACATTTATACAATACTTGTCTACAAGGCAAGGCATATTAGGGTACCCCCCCCCCCCCTCTTCTTTACTGTTGCTTACTGTTTCAAAGTATTTATCCTGTAACATCAATTCTCCCAAAACTGCTGCCGGCAGCAAGATAATCAATAAACTAAAGGTTGAGTGAGATATTTATTTCGGTGTAATGAATGTAAAATTAGAACATTTTTTTTCTAGACTTTTCGTCGCCAATTAAATGACAGGAGTTATGCATCGTTAAGCTAGCTTTAAAAAAGCCTTTTGAAGTGTTGAATATGATTGGTAATATCGAAAATAATATCGCTAGTGACATTCGTTTGTCTCGCAATATATGGTCAACAAGGGATCTAAACGATCACAACGTTTCGTGTGCCGCTGCTACAATATATTTTATCACCTGACAGGAGTTATGCATCGTTAAACTAGCTTTTAAAAAGCCTTTTGAAGTGTTGAATATGATTGGTAATATCGAAAATAATATCGCTAGTGACATTCGTTTGTCTCGCAATGTATGGTCAACAAGGGATCTAAACGATCACAACTTTTCGTGTGCCGCTGCTACAATATATTTTATCACCTGATGAAGTATCGCAGCAGCACCCGAAAAGTCGTGATCTTTTAGATCTCTTGTTGACCATACATTGCGAGACAAACGAATGTCACTAGCGATATTATTTTCAATACTATATCCGCAATGAGTAATATATGTAGCATTAAGATAGGTAATGTTACAATACTTTTGACCCTTTTAGGGTGAAGCCTTCCCAGAGATCATGAAAGATCCTCAGATCGTGATGGACGTCTTAAATGAAGAAGAGGCACAGTTCCTCAAGACTCTCAACAGAGGGCGTCGTGTGCTCGAGAAGACCATCTCGCGGCTTAGCCCTGATTGCAAAGTTCTGCCAGGTAGGGAATTGTGAAGGTTTATAATTAGTCAAACATTTTTTGTTTTTCTTGAATAAATGAATTGCAGATCTCTATCATGGAGGAACTTTGACATTTCTTGGTACATTGACTGTAATCATTATCAGATTAGTGATAAAATGGAACCCTCTGTGAAATATCTGGCAAATTTTGAAACTCATATAGGATAATGGCCAATTTATTGAAGTATGTTAGCCAAAATGATGTTGAAAACGAGGGAGCCATTTCTTTTTTCACGCACCACACTTGCTTAAAACTTGGGAAACAGCAAACAACATATCATACACTTAAGTGGAAATGTTGTCCAATTTTCACAAATGGAAAAAGGATTGTGATAAGTCCACATGATACCATTGCTTTGGACATTCTGAGTCAGTATCTCGTCAAGGAATTCAAAATTGTGTGCTTTTTCTCCTGGAGATTAACCTTTAGATTAACTTTTTCACTCTGTTGGCACACAGGTCGAGCAGCATGGCTACTGTACGACACCTACGGGTTCCCTGTAGATCTCACAGGGCTCATGGTGGAAGAGAAAGGGATGTCTGTTGACTGTGCAGCTTATGAAGAGGCCAAGAAGGCGGCGCAGGTAGGTACCGAAGAAGAGACCACTGTGGTATCTAGGTGAATGTCACCTTCACCTATAGATATGTGTACTGAGAATAGACCTTCGTCGTATTAGTGAAGGTGACATTAAAAATGTTTTTCATTAAACAAATTATACAAAAAACTATACTTCAAGATGAAAATGATTCCTGGTGTTCTTGTTGGTTTTTCTGCCATGTATTTAAGTGGTATCTTCAAATTGAAATGCATTTATTAACGTCATGTTACAATGTTTATGAGTTTATTGCAATACCGTTTACACCTTATAAACGGAATTAGGGGTGACATTTTTTTCAGATATATCATAATTTCACATCTTTCTCTTTCTCCTTTGGCTTATACTTGTTGATAAGTGTTTGCTGCTGATGTTGAATCTTGCTCTAGGCTTGCCAAATATACTTTTTGTCTGCAGGCTGCTTTCAATTTATGCTGTTATTTGAAAGACTTACAGGTTGATGTAGCAGTGTGATATCTTACTTAGATATAAAGAAGTGAATAAATTGAAATTGAAATTGATTCTGTTTATTGCAATAAAAGAACATGCAGCTGGGAAGCTAAAATTATTCAATTTACAAAGTCAATATACAATACAATAAACGATCAAAATATGAATGACTAAAACGGACGACTATAAATCATGCATAATGAATAACTAGGCGTTGTGGCGTGCGCCTGTAATCCAGCTAAAAAGTGGAAGTTACAAACTGATTCAGCCGAGGACGCAGGTTTGAAACTGAGTCACGTCTTTCGGATGGTGACGTTTAAAGGTCGGTCCCAGACGTAAATAATCATATCTGATTGATACACGTCTGTAAAAACCCAATACACACACACACACGGTATAATGAATAAGTTTGTAAACTGGGGGGGGGGGGGGGTGTTGTACCAAGACTAAGATCAACTTAAGTTGGACTTGAACTATGATAGGCCGTTCATGCCACAAGTTCCTCTAACCATTCCTGGATTTGGTTTCTCAAGGGACGTACAAGTCGTGGTCACAAATATACAGAATTAACAGTGGCATGAATGGCCTGCCACTATTTAATCCCAACTTGAGTTGGTCTTAGTTTCTGTGAAACACCCCAGGTCTTTTAGAGTCTGTCAATGGCGGTTAACTGATTGCTTGGTCTTTGTGTTGTTTCTGCTCAGCTTCTATCTCAAGGTAAGGGCTCTGGTGTGGATGATACCATCGGTCTGGATGTCCATGCCATCAATGAATTACAGGAGAAGAGAAAGGTGCCTCCAACCAACGACTCCGCCAAGTACAAGTACGAAAGCAACGATGGCTCATACAGTAGGTCACTCCTCATGAATTGCTTTACCTCCATTGTTGAAAGACTGGAGAGAAATCCCACTTACTCTAAGGGATAGCAACAATATTACGTAGTCAAGGAAATTAGATATGTTCATTTCTATTGAAAAAATTGTCACAATGATTTACACAAAATTTATTTAAAGGGACTTGGTAACATTGTTCAGATGAGAGAAAATGGTGCTAAGCTGGTGACTTCAATGCTAGATGTACAATGTTGGAGCGCCTTGAGGACCTTGCAAGGTCGATACGTGCGCTATATAAGAATCCAATATTATTATTATTAATTAAATATAATCTGAAAGTTTGAGTGAAAATGGACTATTATTTATGATAAAAATTGGGAAAAACTGATCTGATCGATTATGTGTTAGGTGAATGTTATGTTACTCGTCACAAAGCAATAAATTGGCTCTATATAACATTCCAGACATTTAAGTGTTGAAAGATTTTTTAAGGCCTGTCTTCAAGGAAAAACGGTTGGGGAAAATTCAAAAATGGTTGGGAGAATTTACTGTTAATCACTGTTAAAGGGTGTTGCACCGTGACGCCGTCAAAGAAAACCATAAATATCTTTGTAGTTTGAGAATTTTCTCAGGATTTTTTGCCTGTTAGAGGGTAAGTTCAGTAGAAGGAATATATTAAGTAACATTTCATACAAAAATTACACATTTTTTTCATCAACCTTCAACAATCTTACCGAGTCACTTTAACAGGCTCTCTTTGTCACCCTCCCTATCTGCCTGTTTCTTTCGTTCATGCACGCTTCACCTCTCTTCACCTCTCCCGCTTTTGTTTTCATCCCTCTATCTCTCTACTTTCTTCTGTTTCTCCCATTTCCATTTTCCCAGCTCTCTGTCTCTGTTCATGTATCTCTCTCTTCATACAGCTTGCTTATCATAACCGTGAAGAGGAGAGATTGAAAGTTGTCAGAATTTGTATTACATTGGTCATTCCTTTGGGAACATCTCTCTTTCTTTACTCCATGTAATCATGTCTGATTCTTTTTTCTTTCCTTTTTTAAAATGTATTGTAGCTTTTGAGTCGACAGTGGGTACAGTGATAGGCCTGAGGAAGGACAGGCAGTTTGTAGAGGAGGTCAACCATGGGGAAGATTGTGGAGTACTCCTAGACCAGACCTCTTTCTACGCAGAGTCTGGAGGACAGATCTTTGACGAGGGCTTCATGGAGAAAGAAGGAGACAAGGTAAGGAATTGCCCCAAATAAATGGCACTTTGCAGGGTAGAATAATACTTAACTGTCATGGAAGATGAAGTCATTGGCCAAAGAAAGTGACAATTCCAGGGTAGTAATAACAAGTTTAGCATTCCTTTATCTATCTGCTCTTTCATTTAAATGTTGTGGCTGATATGACTTGAGATCTTATTGGAACCCTTTATGAGGTTCATCTGATTGTTACAGATAACTTTTGTTTTATTTACCCGTTAAGATTTTCATATACATAGCCTTCTGTAGTTAAGTTTCCAAGTCTTGTAAAGTAAATTGATTTGAACATGTATTAAATAATTGATTCTTATTAAATTTGGGGAAAATTTCTTCTAAATTTGCTTGACTTATGCCAATAAGGATCAACGTCCTCAGAAACCGGTGTGTTGGCTCAGTCAGTAGAGCGTCCGCCTCAAAACAGGGAGGTCGTGGGTTCGAACCCCGGCCGCGTCATACCAAGAGACGTTAAAAGACGGGAGTTGCTGCTACCTTGTTTGAAGTTCAACGATAAGGGATAGAGCAATGTCGATCTGGTGCTGCTCAGTGGCTGCCAGGCTCACAATCAATTGGGCGAAAAGAATTTCCATTTTCGGTTTAACTTAATAAAATTTGGAGTGGAGTTTAAAAGATTATTATTTATTATTGTTACCACATTGACTTGATGATTATGATGATCGTTGCGATGGAAAAAACCAAAGAAAGAGGATTTGACCACAATGGGATTTGAGTTTGAATGGGTATAACTAAAATATTTGTTGATGAAACATTGCATCTTCTCTCTGTCACCCCATAGGATGTAGAGTTCCGTGTAACCAACGTGCAGGTCAAAGGTGGCTACACACTTCACATTGGAAAGGTGTCTGCTGTAGGAGACACAACCAAAATCAGAGTTGGAGACAAGCTGAATCTCTACATTGATGAGGTATAGCAATGGAACAATTGCTTAAAGATAAAGACCAGTTATGGTCATGCGATTGCATTGTGAAAGAAACGTTGTGGAATCGATCAGAAAAGGTTGATCATCTAAGCATATAAGTATTGGTGTGTACTGCAAGGTTCTGGAATCATCAAAATGATAAGAAATTTGGCCCAGTCTTGATAAAGTCACAAGCACTGTACACAGAAGGATGTATATCGGACTACACAAACACGTGGCAGAAAAATCTGTCCCGATTTTTATGATGTTACATGCCATATTTAGAACATGAAGGCATTTGAAGAGCCATGCTTTTCAGAGAACATGTTTTATCTGATCTTCTTCCACCCTTGCGTAATAACAATAATAACGCTCATAAATTATTTTTCACCTCTTCCCAGAACTCAACCTTCTCTTTAAGACTGGTTAGCCTTATTGATACGATGTGTAAATGCAGTGTGATTGAATGTAGATTTTCTTCTGTGTATCACCAGGGTGCCATAAACAGTTGTAGTTATTTTAGAATCATGCTTTATTGAAACCATTATCTGTAGGGAATGTCCAGAGTTCAGCCTTTGAAACAACTTTCCTGCAGTAGGATGACTTAATATCACTCAATACTTTGTACCTGAGGTCCAGTCTACAGACCTGATAATTACCTGATTTAAATCGGTTTTCCTTTTTGGGTTGTTTTTTTTTTCTTCCTGATTTTAACCCTATTTTCCCTCATTTCCCAAATTTGTCCAAAATTTTCTTATTCAAAAGTAGGGGAATGTTGTTAGATGCCATTTTTTTAAATGTGAATCCTTTTTTTTTTTTTTTTTACTCAAAGGGGGGGGGGGGGGTGGTTTAGTGCTTACTTTCACCCCTGAGTCTATGATCTGGGTGAATGGATCAGTACCCTTTTCGACGAGACAACAAAAGTTGTGAAAAGGCCAAATTTGTATTATGTATTCAATCACGTTTTTTGTTGGCCGAGTTTTGTTAAGGGTTTGCTTTAGGTCAAAATAGTTTTCTTGAATGTTTGTAATTTCGGTATCTGTAAAGTCAGTGAAATCAATAGCAGGAACAACAAGAGGAACAAACATATTATGAATCACCCATAAGTTCATTAATGATCCTCAAGTTCTTTATTTTCTAACCTTGAAAGGTGAGAAGAAGACCTGTAATGAGCAACCACACTGGGACTCATGTCTTGAACTTTGCCCTCCGCAAGGTGCTGGGTGAGGCTGATCAGCGAGGCTCACTGGTGGCGCCAGACAGGCTACGATTCGACTTCAGTGCAAAGGTGAGTACAACATTAAAGGTAATACAAAGTTTTGGTATGGGGTCATGAATTGGTTCATGAATTGGTTCATGAATTGGAAGCATATGCGATCCTACAATATTCAGTGATCGTTGTCGCAGTTGAAATCGAGTCTAAAGTTATGAAATTATAAATAATACACTCTTTTTGTTTTATAGCTCCCTCTCAAGGCCAAGATATTAATTAAGCTATAAAACTTTGTTTCTTGACTAAAATCAACCATTTTGCAATTCTTGTTTGGAAGTTATATATTACATCTACATATTCTGAGATTTGGTAGGCCATAGGCGCTATTTGAAATTCATCAAAATTTACCGGGAGCACCGGTAAATTTTTATATTCAAATTTTCTCGAAAGCAGAAGTGTTTTAGAGGCTAAATTTTCTAGCGCTTATAATAAATCCACAGGGGCATCCAAATATATCCAAATTGTAAAGAATCACTATCCACCCACTTTTCAAAATTTCGCAAAACTTTGTATTACCTTTAATTTCATTATTTCATTTTGTGTTATTATCAGGACCCAGTTTTAGGCCTGTTCCCACATATATATATATATATATATATATAGTTTGTTGATATCACATGTTATCATCATCGATATTGTCAATGCCATCATTGTTGTTTTCGTCATCAATTTTTGATTCTCATTATTCTTGCAGGGAGCCATGAAGACAGAGCAGATTAAGAATGCAGAAGAGATTGCCAATCAGGTCATCTCTAAGAAAGAAACGGTCTATGCCAGGGTCACACCTCTCGTCGAGGCCAAGGCCATCCAAGGGTTACGTGCTATATTTGATGAGGTAGGTCTTGTTTCATCCCTCCAGGTTATGGGATCGCTGTAACGGATTAATACAAGGTTCACAGCTATCAAGGTAATCAAGGAAAAAATGGGAAATGTCATTCCCCTTTTTGACAGTCAGTGACAAGTCAGGGAATTGGAAAAACTACTCAAATTAAAAAATAAGGGAATTTAGTTGGTCTTCAAATTCTATATCTCAACTAATACAACTCTGCCTGTCTGCAATTTGAATGCTTCAGATAAATGTCCTCATAAGAGACAATAATTGTTTCTCATATTTCAGACGTATCCTGATCCAGTCAGAGTGCTCTCCGTTGGTATACCTGTAGAAGATATGACCTCTGACCCCGCTGGGCCTGGAGGTACCGTCACATCGGTGGAGTTCTGTGGTGGAACGTAAGTCAATCTGCTTCACCTCTATGTTCCCAGACACTTATTGTTCAACGCCCAAAGATCTTAAGACTGTAGCACAGTCTGTGTGCATGCAAAGTTCCCAAATTCTAATGTTTCTACTCTTGAGAAGGTTAAGTTCTGTTAAGGTGGGGGGGGGGGGGGTGGGGGAATATTTCATGAGCTACAGTTAACAACTAAATTATACATGCCCTTTCCAAGTTTTGCAAGTTCTTTAAGTATGTGAGGGGAAAAAAGATATTTCTAGATTCATGTTTCTTGGGAATGTGACATATTAAAGCTTACATCTAAAAGTATTCAACAAAGGCCCTAATTCAACCAGTCCACCTTTCATTCTTGAGTTACAAAAAACACAAACATACATCAGATTTACAAGGAGTTTGAATAATTCAGTTGTTAACTGTATCTCATGGCAGTCATACCAATGGTGGTCAATGGCATAATATCAGTATCATGAAAAGAATACCTCTTGAAATTCCTTAATTTCCTAGATATTATTAGAGAGAGTTTGAAACTGTAGACCAAATTTTGAATGCATGTGTGTGTGTTTGTGTGTGAAGTCAATTATACCAGTATCCGTGTGTAATGTGTTTCACTGTGTGTGATTTACAGCAGTATTGAGTCGGTTATCTACGCTGTAAGGACAGAGGTGAAACCTTTTCCGACAAGTTTCTTTTCTCAAACCATTCACCTAGCCAGTACTCTTGATGCATGTTCCTGTTGTTGTCTGTTTCAGCCATGTACGCAATGCTGGTGACATAGGAACCTTTGTGATTTCATCCGAGGAAGCCATCGCCAAGGGAATCCGAAGGATAGTAGCCATCACTGGGCCAGATGCTGATAAGGTAAGTCTAGGACTAACCATAGTTTTACATATTTTGATTGGCACATTAAATTCATGCTCTGTTCACAATATGATACAGCGTACTTCAAAAGAAGGAACAATTTGCACAATATCTACTTCTTTTGTTCCATTTCAAATATATATTAACATTTTCAAATTTACAACATCCATGTATTGATAAGTTCCAAGTCAATGTATTTCCATGATAATTACATTATATATTTTTACTATTTGAATGTAAGTTTTTAGTACATATTTTCATGGAATATTTTCCCAGGTAATAAAAAAATAATAAAACAGTGATAGCAGTGTTTATATTTGGCATGTCAAGATCCTATGCCTTTGATTGTTCAAAACTGCAGACATGAAATTCACTACTGACTGCTGGGCAGTATAGCCAAAGATATTGACCGGGCATAGTTCTACTTGCCGTACAATGCAAGGATGGAATACATGTGTGCACTTCTTCTTCTTCTTCTTCTTCTTCCTTTTGAGTACCGTACAGACCTCTTTACAGAGTATTATCGTACTATACTGGGGTGTGTGCAGGTGGACCACTACACCGGGGTTTCTTTAAATTTCACCACATTTTCAAATACAGTTTGATCAGGACATTTTTTTCAAAATATCCCTTTTTGAGAATCCATAGGTTGGATCCAGCTTATAAAAGAAATATTGACTGCTGAATTGTTCGGTCATGGTTTAAACTATTGCTCCTCGGTGATCTTGAGATTGCACTGTGCCCCTCAACTTTGTTTTGGGGCACAGTACAGTTTTGAGATTGTCTCAGGCTATAATTCTAACTGTGCCCCCCGATGCATTCAATAATTGTATAATATACGTTTCTATATTCAGAATTGGGGGCGGGGGAGGGACAAAAACACATTCTGCTCTCAGTTCTTGAGCAGAAATTGAGATGGTTCTCAAAGTATTGGAACAATATAAACAACATGGATGGCCCTATCTTAAGGATATCTTGTGTTTGTGTATTTCAGGCCAACGTGCGTGCGGAGGGTCTAGAGAAGCAGGTAGAGGCCCTGGCCACCAAGATCCAAGCCAAGGGAGCTAACATGATGCAGAAGATACTCTCAAAGGCTGTCTATGAACTTGGAAATGTAAGTTATCAAATGTTTTCGGTGCAGATCATGCCAGGAAGTGGCCACGCTTGGCCATTGTTTTCAATCTCATGAAGTTATCTAGCGTGCACAGCCATTGTGACACACCTAGTTACAGTTGTTTCAAATTACTATTTCATGTTTCTCCCCATATTGTCTCCCCATATTATTTCTCAGACATTAGTAAAACACTTGTTAATCTGTCCATAACAACACAGTTCTAAATTTAGGAGTGTTTGTGAAACGGAGAAATCACTGTGGCAACAATTTCAGAAAGAATTTCATTTTAGTTTATGCATACTGTGGAATGCAGAGGCCATGCTCCATGCTTTGTGCACATTTATTAATAAAGTACATTTTCTTCTTTACATAGATATTAATCATATGCTTATATAAGGAAAGTTTTGTATAAACTTACAGTTTCTGATTTACATGTGTTATTTCTCCCTGTCCTCATGCTATACTTGTCGGATTAAAAATAGTGTATCCCTTTTACAGCCAACATCAAATTCTGTTGAACTTTACAGGAATTATAAATATGTCACGTATGTCCTATGAAATCCATGAAATTTAAACGTTAGCAGTGTCCTAGTATTCAAATTATGCAAGGAAACCTGTTTACTTTCTAGACTTCACTGTCAGACACTATTGAGTGACTGACTGATTTCTTTTTTCTTTGGTAATAACATACATAAAATGAGCTGTAAAGGGTACATGAGCATTTGTCTATATAAATAACCCACTTCTTGTAATGGCCAAAGTTAAACTGATTGAATCTTTGCGCAGCACAAAATCGTACAACCATTCGGTACAAGGGTCTGAAAATCAGACTATTTAATTAAATTTGATTCGACAACTAAAAGTCGTTATTTCCCAACAAAAGGACATTTTCAAGTCCTGTTGTTTTGAGGGAGGGAAGTTAAAAATTAGTATTATCTGTCAAATGATGTTGGATTTTAACTTTTTTAATTTTTGAGGCCTGCAAATGGGACATAGTACCTTTAACTCATCTTTCATCTCTCTCTCTCTGTCTCTCTCTGTCTCTCTCTCTCTGTCTCTCTCACTCTCTTTTTGTCTCTCAATCTTTCTGTCTCTGTATCTCTATCTCAAATTGAAATGAATTGGGTCTCTCTCTATCATCCTGTAGGATCTGAATGTAGCTATTGTTCCTCAGTGGAGGAAAGACACAATGCGCAACAGGCTCAAAGAGCTGAAGAAGTGCCTTGATGACATGGATAAAGCAAAGAAGGCTGAAGTCATGCAGAAAGTAAGTTTGTTTACACTTGAACAGTACTGGTTCGTTGGTGTGGTTGGTAGTGATGTCAACTGTTTCAGGATTGAAATGAAGCTTGGAGTAGACTCCATATCTCGTTAGCTCAAGCAGTAGTCTTTGAACTGGGAGATCCCGTAGTCAGTCCATTGGTGCTCTGATGTGAAGCCTTGGTCACTCTGATGAACTGGGAGATCCCTTAGTCAGTCCATTGGTGCTCTGATGTGAAGCATTGGTCACTCTGATGAACTGGGAGATCCCCTAGTCAGTCCATTGGTGCTCTGATGTGAAGCATTGGTCACTCTGATGAACTGGGAGATCCCCTAGTCAGTCCATTGGTGCTCTGATGTGAAGCGTTGGTCACTCTGATGAACTAGGAGATCCCTTAGTCAGTCCATTGGTGCTCTGATGTGAAGCATTGGTCACTCTGATGAACTGGGAGATCCCCTAGTCAGTCCATTGGTGCTCTGATGTGAAGCATTGGTCACTCTGATGAACTGGGAGATCCCCTAGTCAGTCCATTGGTGCTCTGATGTGAAGCATTGGTCACTCTGATGAACTGGGAGATCCCCTAGTCAGTCCATTGGTGCTCTGATGTGAAGCATTGGTCACACTGATGAACTGGGAGATCCCCTAGTCAGTCCATTGGTGCTCTGATGTGAAGCATTGGTCACTCTGAATATGATTTACCTCCAGGAATTGTGGGTCCCCGAATCACCATCCCCCTAGAGATAAAATGAATATTAACCAGTTGTTGATCAGTAAAGAAGAGAATCCAGAAGAGGAAATAAAAGTCATCTCTGATCATAAGACACTCTTCCAATGTAGTTCTGTAAATTCTTCAGAAACCCTGTTATACCGTCTTCTACCTTATTGTTATTTAGCTTGAAAGGGATCCAGTAACTTTGTCTACGATTCTGAAACAAAATCCTGGTTTTAGCTCATGCTGCAATGATAATTATAAACCTTTAGGTCAGTCAGGAACCCCATGACTTTTACAAGCCGATCGCCTGTCTGATTATCAAGATATTTATGATTGGAATTACAAATTTTAAAAACGGTTTTCATACGGTTTTACACTACAGACTATTGGGGAAAACGAGTATGGTAAAACCAGTCATTCAAAGATTTTTACTTTTTTGAGGCACTTCTTGATTCTTTTGAAGCGCAATTTTTTTAGGGCTTCAATATTACACCATATCACAGACACTGATAGGACCGTGCATCTCAGTTTTAACATTGTTAAACGATGCCTTTAAAAATCTTAGATTTTTCATGTATTAGTGCCTTTTTGTTTGCATAGAGGAGGATGATGATGTCTTAAACATCTGTCAAACGACCCTACCGACAGAAAATTAATTTTTCCTGTGATCAACTCTCTTCCATCAGACCAAGGAGGCGGCTAACGAGATAATTGCCAGCAACCCTGATGTACCCTTCTTGGTGGCCCGTCTAGAGGCTGGCTCCAACTCTAAAGCCTTGGATGCTGCTCTCAAGGAGTTCAAGAGCAAGTCACCCAAGACCTCTGCCATGCTCTTCAGTGTGGACCAGGAAGCCAACAAGATTGTCTGCCTGGCACAAGTACCTAAGGTAACTAACCATGGGCCTCTTCAACCCACTTGAGACAGTGACAGTTTCATCTTTCATGCATTTTAAGAGGGTTTTATCAAGGAATGTTTCTTGGATTGTGAACTTTGATACCATGGAACAGTGTTATTATATAGAACAAAAATTCAATAAATTTTGTACAACCATAATTTATTGCAAAAGAAGCTCAAGTTGAGGAATCCTTCAATTAGATAATTATTATTTTGGCACATGTTCACGCTCATACTCTTATACATTTTACAGGAACCCTTAATCGAAATGAACAACCAGTAATTATTCACAGTGATGGCCCCAAATCCTATGTCTTATTAACAGCTTAATCATTGATCTTACTTCTTTGTATTAAATGGTGGCTTCATTATGTTTACTCCAACAGGATGCTGTCGGCAAGGGACTAAAGGCCAACGAATGGGTGCAGGAAGTAGCAGGCATCATGGGAGGAAAGGGCGGAGGTCGTGACGTGTCCGCACAGGCCACAGGAGACCAAATAGGAGTTGTGGACCTGGCCGTGGAGATGGCACAACAGTTTGCTCAACTTAAACTAAGCAGTTAAGGCTAACAGTGATTTGTATTTTTCTTTCTTCATGTAAATCTATTATAGTTATAATGTTATTTTAATGGCTAAGTTTAGTTATTGCAAGTGCTGGGAAATACAATGAGAATCTACTCTTCTATTTGCTGAAGGCAATTTCTATAAAAAAACAAGGATATTAAATATAGATTTTACCTTCGAATAAATGACTACATGATATGAGTGAATGTAAAAAACCTTTATTTAAATCCCAAATACAGATGATACTTGTGAAGTTGCAACATCTGTTTAAATTTCAGGTATCTGCAATAACCTGAAATTTTTGAGATTGATGTCTGGCACTTGCAATTAGTTTACATTGGCTAAAGATTGCATGCATATTAAGTACCGGTATATGAGACTGATATGTGGAATGCATGAGAAACCATAGAGTGCCCTCATGTATCCTAGTCAGAGTTCATATAGAAGGAATGTCCTGTGAGAATCTGAATAGCCTACTTTTTTAGGAGGTTACATCTATGTAGAGTGGACCACAAAAAAGGGCTTTCGTAATACCTTTTTTGAAGTGATACATTATTGTTTTACAAAAATAAGTGCCCCACACATGTGCAGCAATTGGTGTAGCGCTTTGTAACTGCAAGGAAAAGGCGCTATGTCAAATACTGTTTGGATTAGATTGGAAACGATATGGGACCAAGGTTTCCAACAATTTCACCCATAAAGCCTTGTTAAAGGTAATACAAACTTTTGGTAATATTTCAACAGGATTGGATTATGAAATTTAAAATTTGCATTTTTATTGTGAAACCTAGTGTTGGAATAAGCAACTTTGAAAAAATTAGTCTGTAAAACGCTAAGGATTTTGAGGAATTAAAATATCAAATTTATCGGTGCTCCAGACAAATTTCAAATAGCGCCTACGGCCAAACAACGGCAGCTGCAACCATGAAAGTCTCGGAATAAGCAGTTCTGATATATAGTTTCCAACCGGTAATAGAAAATTGATTGATTTTAGTCAAGAAACATTGTTTTGAAGCTTCAAAGTAACATCAATCTTGAGAGGGAGCTATACAACATAAATATTTTATTATTCACAGTTGCATCTCTTGGACTTGATTTCAACCGCGACAACGATCATCAAATGTTGTAGGATTCATTCAATAGGTTCATTTGAACCAAATTCATGACCCCATACCAAAACTTTGTATTACCTTTAAGATACGAAGCTGTAACCACAATAATTTTGTGGTAGTGGTGACGGAAGTAGAACACGCTTGTTTCAGGTGCTCCATTCTCTTTCATAGTCTGTAGGTCCCCTAGTTGTGTATGTACAAACATATATTCTCTGCTTTTGTTAGTTGTTCCACCCAAAACAAGCATAAAGTGTCAAGCCAAGATTTAAGAGAATTGGGTCTGTGCATTAGTTTATTTGATGGGGTAATGATATATGTATGATATACCAGTATAGCTTGTGTTTGTTTTATTTTGTTTTCTTTTAACTTAATTATCAAATTTTTCTTTAGTCATGTAATGCAAACTAATCACGGCTAAATTTTGCAAGAAATTGAATATATTGGTATTCAAAAATTGTTGAATACAGGAAGTAGTACTGATTAAGGATCTGAATAGTTGTGTGATCAAAATCAAAATGCAGGGTTATTTTTGATCTTTCCATGGAGGAGAAATTCCCTCTTGGTTTTAATCAGAAACAGTTGTACAACCGTCTTAAGACATACATCACTCCAGTACGTTGGCTATTTCAGGATCTTTCCAATCAAATGATAACTTTATGTGGAATGCCTCACAATGTTAATGTTACCTCATGATCTTCCTATTCACACTCGGTCAATTCTTTGACATCTGGTGCATTGAAAAGGCTGCATGTTTCATATGTGCATGAGCAGAGATGGATTTCCACCAGCTATACAGCTATGAATTGTTGGATAGTTTGATGTAATAAAGAATCCACATATCTGAGCTTGACTACCATTGAAGATGTAGTTGTCTTTTCTTGCCGCACATGCTCAAAGTAATATGAACACCCCTCGTGTGGATACAGGGTGTCGCAAAAGGTATTCAATGTTGAAATCATAAAGTAGAATTAATTAAATTGTTATGTTTAACTACATGATAAAAATGTTGTGACAAGGCAAAGTTATTGTTGTGTTTGATGAACCATGAAGAACAATTTTGATCTATTCTTTGAACTTGGCCCACATGTTGATTACCGGTAATCCTTTTAGCTTCATTCATGTAGGAACGTTTCTTGTAAAAACAATACATGAGTAGTATGAGTATGTATGAGTAATGATTTAGGTCAAATATTTACAGGATTAATAGTGAAAATAGTTGATTTGAGCTGTGATATGCAAGGCTATGTTTCTACAGTAACAGATGGGTTTACCTTATAAAATAGGGTGAACAAATATTAAGCTAGCCTTATTTTCTTAATTGTCATGCAACTTAAGTATGAATGTATCATCCAGAATTCCAGACTAACATGGGAACATAAATTAAAGGATGTGGTTTAACTTTAGATGTACATATTCCAATTCATTGTACGTGTATTAAGTCTATTTCAAAGGTACTGCTAAACATCTTTTAGGCAAATATATCATGTATTAAATAATTTACATTGAGGTTCAGGATTACATTCAAGGTCTAAGAGTGTTTACATGTTGACTAAATGGGTGGGTTTTTAAGATTAAAATTGGCTGTTCATGTATTCCTCTGTAGTGTTTCACAGAGCAGTTAAGGACATTAATTTTGTGTAATTGGTATAAAGAAACCTAACCCTTAATTCTTTGTATAAGCGGTTAATTTTACTAAATCGCCAAAATATATTTACAGCGATATTCAATGAAAACAACTTTGGTGATGTTCCAGCATGAAATTGAAACTGGAACTAAAGAGGCTTTCAATAATAATTTGTATGTGAACTAGAGGAACACAATTTTCAAATTAGATGTGATTATGTCAATGATGAGAAATTATTGAATGGTAATTGTAAATTGACATGGAACAGATCTTTATGAAGGTGTATGGTAATGCCATTGATGTAAGTGATAATCAAATCATCATTCTTGCATTTTCAGCTGAAAAATTGAAATGTAAACATGCTCAAATGTAATAACAAAACAAAAAAATATTAATTCCCAAGAAAGCATACTGTTTTGTTTTGCTTTTGTGTATTCTGTTGCAATACAACTTTTATTAGGCGTCATTCCATTAACATATATCATGTCTTTAGTGAATTCGACTCATCTGGTATTCAGAATAAACTGACAAATTTATAAGATAACTACAATGTTCTGAGTGTTGTTTTTTTGTATGCAGTGGCATGTATGTTTGTATGTTGTTTTGTTCGTTCTGTTTAACTTATGTTTCAAGATTTCCAATTCCAATATTATTGAAAAGACTATTCCTTGGTAGATAAGAGGTCGGATCTCCTGTGGAATATGCAAGATGCTTATGGTGAAAACACACCTCAAAGTTAAACTTGTAATAGGGATAGGGGAATGTAATAATGCATGTATGTATTATTGTACATCTAATTTTATCTTGTTTTGTTTATCTTTGAACACTGATGTTTGTGAGAGAAATTTTTATGTCTTCAATGAAGATTTTTTTTGTCATAATGCAATTAATGTTTTTCTTTGCATGGCCGGGGCAAGGCTAATCTTTCAGTGTAACTCCCCCCCCCCCCCCCCCCCCCCCCCCCCCTCCCCATAGCCATTAAAGTTCACTAATCTATAAATCTCAGTTTATAGAAGCAGTCTTTATTAAATGAATATTTCATGTCAATTAACAATGGATAAACCATACTATAAATAGGGAATTCGAATTTGTTGTTTATTCTATAGGAGTAGTATTTCTCTAGGTAGAATATAGGGCAAATGGTAAAAGAAAACATAGTGTAAGAGCAAATTATTTCACATTGAAAATCGTAGCCACTGTTCATTTCAAAGGCCTATTATCTGAAACTTTTTGTTAGAGTGAAGGTCCGTTTGGTAAATGATACTCCCCAATAACCAAGTTCCAAGTACTAAGCTATTTCAAATTTCTGGCTGACGTGTTCCCTAGTAATCTGTCTTGCCTCATGTTTTTCACCACACCTTATAATGAACCTCGTCGTTCTTTCTCATTAATCACCAATGACACGTCAGAAATATTGTTGAACCCATTTTTCTGGTTCGCTGTACCCAATAGTACATGGAACCCCTCTTCTTGAAGCGATTGTACTTTTTTTTTCCGTCTGATTGTTTTACGGACACGGGGTGACAATGACCGAACCAATCTACCCCTTTATGGAACATACCATTAAACTTCGCCTGAGCACAACGTTGGCAAAAGCCTGATCCGGGTTAGTCCATTCAACCGAATAGGGAGAGAGTAACATTTAAATTGATACAAAAACATACATTGGATTCGGAGGGACTGTGTAATTGTTCACCTTGTGAAAATGAATCGACCCGATCTTCGAGATATAGGGTTATTTCATTTTTCCGCGGGGGACTGATTGTCACAGAGAGGTTGCCCGTGAAGGCAGATATAAAAAGTGCAATAGTCCGTTCCATGCGATTAGCCATGGTTGTTGTGGTTGTCTCGGTCTCCGGCTCTATTCTTAGTTTGTGTCAGTCTGGGGGTATGCTTGGTTTGTTGAGGGGTTGACTTTTTTACAGTCACGCAAATGAAAATCGATGAACTATTCCCCGCTCCGTGATCGTCTAAGGCGAAGTGAACTGTGAACTGCGTCGCCGATGAAACCAGTACCGTATGAATGCTGATTTTTTTTATTTTTATTTTTTTTGGGGGGGGGGGGGGAGGGGGGTATTGGTTAACCGAGCTCAATTTCATATGAGAGCGATATCATGATATAAAGAATAAAAAAGACATACGAGGTTCACTTTTTCATACTTTTATATTTCCAATATTCTCCTAAAGATGAAAAGAGTAGATCTACCTGTAATACGACTGAGGTATAGCCGTAGGCCGCCTATATGGGTTGTGTAGCATTTCAAGAATAATCTTTACATTGCATCTATCACAACAGGAAAAAAAAATTGTGAATACTCGAGGAATTATGTGCAGCTCTTTCTGAGTTGTATTTGGCCTTTATTACCTTTATTACCTTTCCGACGAGAGGGTTCCAGAATAGGATTGTACAAAATAACTGATGGAAATTACAGAAGGGTAATATTCTTTTTATCTGGATCACTTCCCTTATTCATCCTATTTGACACTTTTTCGGGGACTTGTTACATTCCAAAACCATATTGCACGCATCCAGAACGTCCACAAAAGTTTCAGGTGATTCCATTCTCCTTGTCAAGGGGGTGTTGATGTATTTTCCTCCTGTATATAAACTGGACGATTCCACTTTCGCATCAATTTGTTGTTATGGTTGCAGTCACTTCCTATTATTGATTCAGTTTAATATTATTACACAAAGTCTGTGATGAGTTATCCGTTTGAATTATAATGGAATATAGTAATTACAAACTCAACCTTGCCTATTTCCCTATCCTGTCTATCAAATATTATTCGATTGTAATTGAAAGAACAAGACTTCCCCTCCATTTCCTTATTTGCAGCGATACTTATTACAACTTCATTCATACAGTGCATGCAGTCGCAAAGCCGGGGCAGTTGCCCCTGGACCCCTTTGTAAACTCGGACAATAGGTCTATATTGTCAAGTACGCAATGTAGATTATCGTCCTATATCAGCATAATTTTTTTTTTCGTCACAGCAAATGTTTTCCTCTTACTCCTGAATAACGATTACCCCCCCCCCCCTCCCTACAAACACAAATACACACACACGCACTCACACATAAACACGAAACTGCCTTTTTAGGGAAAATGCCTAATTGCGATGGGGGGGGGGGGGGGGGGTCATCGCAATCGATACTGAAGGGTATACTAAATGTGAGGTTTTGACTCCTCGTTAATCTCCGCGGTTTCTATAGGCTTCCGCTAAACTACCGCAGAGTGCCCCTCCAAACGAACCCTCTTGTGCGGTCTCGTTTGCGCCCCACCAATGAACCCCCAATCGGCCTATGCGGTCTTCCCTGTCGAGGTGTATGCCCCCACTCTCGTGCAGTCACCGTGTCTGTCGACCATAAGACAATTTGACTTGTGGGACTTGTCTACAGTTCATTGCCCTTAATTTGTTTGTCAAGAGACAACTCGTGTTCGATAGTCCTTTGTTTTGACTGAGGTAGAAAGAGGATATTACACGGATTGAAATAATTTCGATATTTTGGACGTCTCAATTTCGCTAGAGGATATTACACGTACGGATTGAAATAATTTCGCAATTTTGGACGTGTCAATTTCGCTTACCGGTATGTGATCGGTTCCCCTTTGATAAACATGCAGCTAGGATGGCTTTTTAAATATTAATGAATAAAATATACACATTGTAGATGTTCATGCTATTAAAGACAAATTTATCGATACCGGGCCTATTTAAAGCCCAATGCATGGAAATTGCATGTCATACAGAAAAATGCACATCGATTTACTTTTCTTTCCTGAACACGCTTAAAGTTGGATTAACTTCCCTACTATTTCACAATGGAACAACCAGCTAACACCAGAACTTACTCAAGGGGGAAAAAAGGGGGGGGGGGACAAATTATCCGCATTGTCGGGTATGATTCGATCGGACCCCCCCCCCCCCCCCCCCCCCCCCCCCTCACATGGTGCAACCGTATAGCCAAATGTAGAAGAGTATTATTGTTTTATAGTAGTTTTAATTTTAAAAAGCTCAACTTTAAGGCTGACTCAAGTGAGTATATTCTTCCACCCCAATAATTATCTGCTTGCAGACTACATGTTAGAAACACCCATAGCTAAACGGCATCTGAGTATATAGTCACTCTCTGTTTACAGTACTGTTGTTCACGGAAAAGACGATAGGTGCAACATGGGGGGAGTCAGAATAATAATGATGAAGCGATCACCAACGCTGAAAAATAATAACAGAAACCCAACGGTTAAAATAATGGTTATTCAATTTGTCTACGTTTATATCGTATAAATACGACATGCTTCACGACTATTAATATTTAGCAAGTTCCCAATGATAGTAACATCACGTGAGTCCACCTCGGCATAATTATTGTTGACACCCCTTCTTTAGAGTGGTTGCGGTCCGTGTTCAATCATTCATTCCTTCATTCATCTCAGGGAGTGGCCTTCATTGATTAGGACTCAGTCGTGTTTCACCTCGTCACGGTGTAGATCCAAAAACGATAATCGGATATGAGATTATTACACGGATGAAAAGAACATTGACATTGTTGAAAAGTACAATAAGGGGTCAAAATACGGGCTTGGCATCAGACAGAAGTACAAGGGCCATATCCATTCAGTCACTCATTATCTCCGTGTTGTGTTTCGGTATTCCTAATTATTATTCGACATTGAATTATTATCCTCAAGGTTATTCAGGGAAGAGGGGGGGGGGGGGGGAACTATCTGACATAGAACCATTAATGAAAAGGAAAGTCCTTTATTTTAATCAATCCTGCAAAATCTTTCTGTTGAGTATTTTCGATGGCCTTTCCCGACCTTGCCAATGACTTTTATCTCCCAGTGTAAAAACATTGCACACTGTCTCGTCAAAATCAAAAGGGGCACTCTGAGGGGCGGCGGTGCGTCTTCCTTAAAGGCGGGGGGGGGGGGGGGCAACAATAAAAAATGGAACTTTCTGGAAAAGGGGCACCTACAAAGGGAAACCGCAAAGCGAAAATATACTTTTTGTAGGCATTGGTATTAACCCCTTCATTGTAATTACGTTATCAAGGATAATTTCAATATTGATTTTGAATCACTCTGAAACTCATCAAGTGCAGGTAGCCTACATACCGGGTACAGGCATACTTATTTTCAATTTTGCAAGGTAGTGAAGCAAGCGAGCCAATAAATGACATCTTTGATATGTTTTGAAAAGCGAGTTATTTTTTAATCAACGCACTAGATAAGGTATAATAACGTAATGTATGCGGGAATCCCACCGCCAAATCTTCATGAAAATGCATGAGAATATTCGGATATCTCGTTGCCCGAAATTATCCCGTTTGTAATTGTTGCAAACTAGTGAAGTGAATGAGTGGTTATACATTATATGAAATATATTCGGGCACTTTGCTGACAAATAATTTGTTGGCCTTCGAATATTTGCACCCCCCCCCTTGAGCGCCAGGGGGAGGGGGGCATCTCCTCAAAAAGGTAAAATTAACGTGTTTTACACGTTTTTTTTTTCCAGGGGGGGGGGGGCCTGGCTTCCCTCCCGCCCAATGATGCATAGGCCAGGCGCGGATCCAGGATTTCTTAGGGGTGGGGCCCAATTTTTTTCTTTTTGCACCCGAAAATTTGAAAATCGCGCCGGCCGAAAATGCACTCAGTGGGGGGGGGGGGGGGGGGGGGGCCTCGGAAATGTGAAAAATTGAGGGAGGGGGGATGGGTGAGGGGAGGGGTTACCGGTAGCCCAAGTAGGTCAAGGTTGAATTGAGGGAAAGTTAGAAAGAAAAAAGAAACAACTTTCGAGTTCGTGCGATTACCGGTAAAACTAGGTTCTAGGTTCGAAATCTGCCGTAGGGAGTTGGAGGGGTGGGGAGGGGTTGGGTGGAGGGGGGGGGGGGGGCTTGGAGGCAAAAATGTTGGTGCTGCTCCCTGTGAATTCAAAAAGAAGGACAACTAAAAACTACTACTACTACTACTAATAATAATACTAAGCCTACTATATTACTTCTTTAACTCACTGGCATACTGATGGGGGGATAGATGCCCCCTTTCCCCCAATACAATTAAAACGTGGTTTATTTCTAATTACCAAATTAGTACTATATAGCCTCATGAGTAATTAACATTGGGGGCGGGGAGGCTCATGTATTCTCTCCCCTATAATAAAAAACACACACACTTTCCCATCACCTCACAATATTTCCACGATATGCGCGTATAACTATATAAAATCCTCCATTGATAGTTTACTCCTTTTTATATACTCCTTCACTCACCTGATTTGTTTTCGAGGGGGGGGGGTGGCTTTTAGGAGGGCGAAAATGCGTTCCCCCACCCCACTTTTTCGTTTGGGGGCGAGCACCCCCTGCCCCCTCCCCAATTTCCGGCGCCTATGACTATACTACTACTACTTCTGCTTCTACTACTACTACTACTACTACTACTACTACTACTACTATTACTACTACTACCAGGGGCACTTTCTGGAAAAAAGGGCATTCACCTTCAAAGGGAAATCTCGAAGCGAAAATATACCTTTTTTTTATAGATATTGGTATATATCCCTACATTACATTATCAGGGATGATTTCAATATTTGTTTCACTTCATATACCATACAAGTTAAGCATCATGCTTTACAGTTTGGTGTAATGGTCTGAAAATTATTTGCGAGCGAGGAAAAATTATACTAGATTTGAGAGGTCTCAGTGCGAAAAATTACGTCTTCTAAAGAGGAAAAAACCTAATCCTGATGGGGTTATGAACACATTCTCATGACGGAAGACTGAAAAAACTTTTGATAAAGTTACATAAGTATATCATCTATAAATGCGTGCGAGCGTAATTAGCGTTCTTTGGGGGAAATTGCTCTCAGTCAGTCGCTTGAAATTAGGGGCGCGTTCAAGTGAGAGGAAAATGGGACACTTATCACAAAAGAAAAGGAGCATGTGTCAAAGTACAAGAGTAATTTCGGAGGTGAAAATGGTGCACTTCTTAGTAGTAGCTGTCTGTCGCGAAGGGCCCTCACCAGGGATGGAAAAAGTCAGTCATGAGCCTGAAAAAATAAATGAATGGGCAATCAGATTTTGATAGGGGCATTTATTAGAGGTGAAAAGGGGCATTCGGGTGATAGTTCCCTTATTAAAAAGGAAATGATGGGCACGTTTCATTGTTAGAGGTGAAAAGAGGCACTTATCGCACCTAGCTGAAAGGGGGCAATGACCAGATATCAAAAAGGACACTTAAATGAATAAAAATGGGGCACAGATAATAAAGGAAATGGTGCATTAGTTGAAAGAAAATGGGCAGCGATCAGATTTTAAAGGGGAATTTATCGGAGGTGAACTTGGGGCACTTATCTGAAGTGGAAAGGAGTAACTTCCCGAACCTGAAAAGGTCATTTACCCGAGAAGGGGCACTTTTGAGAAGGGGCTCTATTTTAATGGGGCACTTATCATTAGGAACATGGGCACGTATATAGAAAGGAAAAGGGGCACATGTGAAAATATGAGGTGCACTTATCCGAGTTAAAGTAAAAGAGGCACCTCTAAGATTTGGGGCACTTATCACAAGTGAAAAGAGGCACTTCTCGTACCTGAAACGGGCACTTACTAGAGATTAAAAAGGGCACTTATGAGAATGAAAAAATGGACACTTATTGCATTTTGCAAAGGAAAACCGGGGAACTTGTTGAAGGAAAATATAAATTTGAAAACTGGGCCCCATTTCACAAAACTTGTCATCAGTTTTTGTTATAAGCTACTGAAATCATTGCTTCTGATTGGTTATCAGCAGATTTGTCACTGATTTGTCATTGAAAAAAGGATTTGTGAAACGGGTCCCAGGGGCCGAGACGCGCACGCTGCCGCTATATTCATAGGGCATGCATGCACTGTACGCGACGTACGTACGTCGTACGCCTGTCTTTATTTTTGTGTATATATATGGCACGCACTCTTTCACCATCCTTCTTTCGTCGTGGCTCTCCTCACCAGAAGACAGGTATGACTTCGTCAACTTTTTAAAGCTAATCTACTTTGATTTCAAAGTGGCTTTTATTTCTGAATAAATTGGAAATATCATATCAATAGATATGTAAGCTTATTAATTGTGGATCGTATGGTGAGAAGGAGATATTTGTGGATTCAGTTGACTTAAGCGGCGGGTGAATGTGCGTGTGAATGCAGCAAACGTGTGCACACGTGTCAACGTCAATTAAACAGTGAAGTGGCATTAGGTATCATGTGAGCTGTGTGGCTTTATTGCAGAATACCCTACCATATTAGTCTTCATATATTTGGCTGAGATATAGATTTCTGTTTCTGTTCTGATCCTGGTCCTGATCCTCAAGAGGGATATAAAGATGACCAATAAGAACGTTATCGTCAGAGAGAGAGTGTTGGTTGCTTCTACTGTTCTAGAACATTTTAGAATTGAGTCGCATCACATTGCAGTTGTGGGGAGGGACTATGATTATATTACCCCCTTGCCCTTGGATGGGGGTTGTGATTGTGATTGTGATTTTATTGTTTGCGATAACGGTGATACAGGTAGACTATTGAAGAACTATAATGCAAGTGTTCATAGACTATTCTTTTGCCTTTTGGTGGATGAAAAGTTTGGATTTTAAGCTGTTTACTTTTATGCATCATTGCAGCGTTGAATTTGGTGTGTTCATCTCTAGAGTCTAATTTGTGACCAATTTAGATGTCTCTCCTGAAGAGATTTCATGCAAAATTTGTGTTAGGTCTAGATCTATTCTATATTGATGAGCACTGATTTTGTCCTTGTTTCTCTTGTTTCTTGTCTGTTATGGCTATTTAGTAGATGAATTAGGGTAGCGCGCCCGGTATTCGGTCAATTCCCAGTATTCGGTCAGACAGCCGTTTCAACAGCTGTAACAATTAAAAAATAATTAATGAGCCGCGAAACTTGCACAAATCAGGCAGCTGAACAACTTTTCTTAACTCTCAAAATTAAATCAGATTTAGGGCCCCGGAAAGATCTCCAACTTAGCTCGAAATTGGTCAGTGTCGCACCACTTTCTGCACTTCCGCGTTCTGTTAGCACATGCGCTAACATGCATAGCCATATGTAGAAGTCTATTGCGAAACAACTTCGTGTGCTATCGCAATGAATTTAGTATGTGTGTGAAGAGGAGCTCTTCCGTGTTCGCTCCATCGCAGCGAATTTGCAAATGACGCACTTGCCGATGTGCAAGAGGTATTTATACGATACCCTTGCCATGCGGTATCGCTCGTCCAGTATTCGGTCAACGCATTGACAATCAGTGCTTTATCGCGCAATTGTGTAAAAATAGCGCGCAAATACGCTTCGCTCCTTTGCAACGGAGATTCCACGCACAAATCGCGTGACCGAATTCTAGTCGGCGCGACCGAATTCTGGGCAGAAAAATGCTCCGTCTTCTTTCGAAAATATTTTTCTTATCATCATTCTTTATTTTAAGTGACTATTAAATCCTGTTAGAGGAATATTTTTCTGTTCTTTTGATGGGTAGATTGCAAAATAAAAGAGGTAAGAATTCAAAATATTAGTGATTTCCCCTTAAGTGACCGAATACTGGGCACTCTACCCTACTTGAATTCTGAGTGCTATTTCTGTAACGCAAAAATTCCAGCCGGAGAATAAATAATCAGACCTTTCTACGATCTAGTCGCACACATATTTGTATAAATGTACCTTGCTCGCTAAAGTTAACGCCACGCTGTGTGTCTTCAGACCTAATCCTGAAACGTGAATTAAAAGGCGTGTTGTGGCGACATTTTTTTCGAAATGATAGTAGAGGTCTAGACGTTTAGACTAATTTAATTTTGACCTGGACTAGATCTACAACTCCTCTGGGCATCCCGGCCCTCACTTGGAATTATAGTTTGAAGAAGTCTTTGATGGGAAAAAAAAGTGATTCTTCGTCCTAACCCCACGATTCATCCATGTTTATCGTCCGTTCAACATGGCGAAGAGCAAATGCGGTAGCGGCGCAGCAGATTTGAATATTCATGCTGTAGAGCGCCGTTCACTCGAAATTGCTGAATATGCATGAATCGATGAAAAAGAGTCCTTCTAAACCTCTTGCATATTCAGCAATTTCGAGCGAACAGCTCTCTTCATCATGAATATTCGTTTTTTTTCTGTGCCGCTACCGCGCATGTGACAGTTGGTGACACGTTAAAGCTTAATTATGAAATAGCAGCAAATAATTAATTTCATTGATATTGGAAAAATACTTTCAAATGTTAAACAACAAATTATTGTCAATCCTGGCAGAGTGCAGTTTTGTATTCATACTATAGCATACATTTCTTGATAATTACACTGCCACTAGCAGGCGAGTGCTTGAATCTCTAAGGCAAAAATTGCAACTCTACCCCCTTCCCCCCCCCCCCCCCCCCAAAAAAAAAATTGCAATTAAGAGTCTCACTCCATTTAGGACTAGGAAGGGAGTGAATCTATTTATTATAATTAAAGCCATTGCTGGGGCTGTCCGCAACCAAGAATATGGCCAAAAAAAATTATGTTCAGGCATTTGTATGATGATCCACTCAGCTCGCTTTGAGTAATTCAGTGAAGAAAACTCTTCGTTCCCTATATGAAGATGTCTGAAAATGCCTGATTCATTTCTCCTTAAAGGTATCGGAGAATGCAAATATAAGATTACCCTCAAACTAATCTGCATAGTGCTTTGTTGTCGGCCGATTTAAGATATGAAATGACATGCGGTTTGCCTGTGCATCGGTTCTTTGAAATCTTTTTAAACATGTTTTTCTGTAACCTATTGAAATTCATCATAGTAAATATAGTAATTATTTCATTCTCTTTGGATTAACAGATGGCTACTAAGACAAGGATACATTGTGAAGCAGAACCAAGATGTTTGCCTACTTGGTAAGTGTTCAAAAAATTGAAGCTCTTCTATAGTCTACAACATACAGATACGGGCTGGAACAGGCTCGGTCAGTTTAAGAGGGACTTTCAAATGTGCCGACAGGAATAGAAAATGCTCTTTTTAAAGCAAAAATATCATTGCAACTATGCTCTTACATTCATGTTCATGTATATGTTCAGAGATATAACCTTTCTGTACAATATTATTAGCAAAAAGAATTTCAGTGCAGGTAATGTGAGTATGTGATACATTTTCAAGCCATGTTTCTGCCACATCATGCGACCTGTTCAGTGGTTGCTTGGCGTCCAAACAATGGCTGAGAGTAAAAACAATCCGGTCCTAGAAGCAATACTACCCGTGCTGTCTGACAGCCATGTAGTCTTGTGCCGACAGACCAGATACAGTATCTTAATTTAAAAATAATGGGTGCATTTTCACCTACATGTATGTGGTTAAATCGCTTTGGTAAGATTAATATCTTCAGTGACATATCAGGGGCTGCAGGGCTAGAGTTGGGATTAGGTGCACGAACTCCTAGGAAGTGCATAAAGACTTTGCCAAGTATGCGATACGAGTGGGGTATGAATGGAAAGATCACTATCGTAGTAACCCATATTAATTCTAGATAGATTTTAGTGCACATCTGACTAGACTTGTTACTGTGTGAGTGCTACCGCATGACACTTTCTAATAAACTGCCAAATGATTTTTCTCTCCAGGCATATAGTGACCTTTGGCCCCCTTCATGATCCAAGCGATGAGATGCAAGCAATCATCGTCTGGGATATCAAGACGGCAGGGAGTCGAGAAGAAAGGTTTCTTGTGCGATAATGCCCTCTAATTGGCCAGTGTTCAAGTGAGTAGCATAGCCCTCTTATCCTTGTCATAAATTTTCACAATCCTGTGATTTTTGCCTCTTCACACATGTGATTTACTTTTTATTATGTTCAATCTTCTTCTTCTTAATTTTTGTAGCCACATATTGTCATTGTTTTTCTCATTGTGCTGCGAGGTACTTTCACTAGTACTGCCTATATTGTTCACTTAACTAGAATCCACCCTATTGCCCTCTATAGTAAAAACATAGCGGTAGATTCACGCATAGTGACTAGCTCAAACAATAAAGGTGCAGCAGGTCTAACAATTTTCCTGTAAATTATTATAATTTCAATGTAGGCAATGCGATACATTTTTAAGCCATATTTCTGACACATCATGTGACCTGTTCAGTGGTTACTTGGTTCCCAAACAAATGGCTGAGAGTAAAAACAATCCGGTCCTAGAAGCAATACTACCCGTGCTGTCTGACAGCCATGTAGTCTTGTGCCGACAGACCAGATACAGTATCTTTATTTGAAAATAATGGCTGCATTTTCAACTATAAGTATGTGGTTAAATCGCTTTGGTAAGATTATTATCTTTAGTGACATATCAGGGGCTGCAGGGCTAGAGTTGGGATTAGGCGCACAAACTCCTAGGAAGTGCACAATGACTTTGCTAAATACGCGATATGAGTGGGGTATGACTGGAAAGATCACTGTATTCCATAGACTTTAGAGCACATCTGACTAGACTTGTTACTGAGTGCTACCACAGACACTTTCTAATAAACTAAATGATTTTTCTCTCCCAGGCACATAGTGAGTGACCTCTGGCGACCTTCATGATACAAGTGATGAGATGCAAGCAATCATCGTCTGGGATAGCAAGGCCAGTGTTCCAAGTGAGTAGCAGTGTCCTTCTATCCTTGCCAATTATTTTCATGATCCTCTGATTTTTGCCTTTAATTTTTTGATTCCTCAAATATTGTTTTTCCTGTGGCATTTCTTAAACAACTATTGAATTCTTTTCTAAGTTATAATAGTTACCTCTTTCAATGTTTTTTCATAGTTCACTTTGTTGATGATATCTTGGTATGATCTTGATATTCACCAAGTAGTGTGTATAATGGCATATTTATTGTTCTCACATATTAAAATAATTGATTCTAGGATAATAATGGTAGCAACATCCATGTAGAGCATTTCAATGATGATCCACCTAGCTCGCTTCGAGATTTTCGGTGAAGAAAACTCTTCGTTCCCTATTTATGAAGACTCTGAGAATGCTCTCTCACATGTATGCATTTTAATACAAAATCTCAGTAATGGAAGAGGTGGTCTGGTCACCCCTCTTGAGAGGAACGAACCATTTCTTCTTTATTATTCTAATCCATCTTCTGAAATCTTTGATTTTTGGAACCCAGCTTCCAGTATTGGAGATATCTTTTTCCTTCATCTGATTTTCCTTCGGGAGAACTCCTTGTGAGGGAAGAAATGCTTTCCGATAGAGCAAACAGATGCAGTGGGACTGGTCACAGTACAGGTCTATATGGCAATCCTTTACAAGTAAGTCTTCTCCCCTCTCTTTATAAAATTTGTTTATTTCATATCATTTTAGTGTGTGTGTTTGGGTTTTGGTTTTGCACTGAAAATTGGAGACAATAGCAATGATGAGTACTCACTTGCCGCTCTCAATGCTTTACTAGCATGTGTGGACAAAAAAGTGTTTCAATCCTGGTTTTAACTGAGCTATTGTTTCAATCCTACCATTGAGCAGGATTCTGCAGATACAGTTCTATGATAGTAGAGCAAGCATTAATGGTGTGTTTTGTGCGATAACAAATTCTTGCAAATTAGTTTTAAGTCTTGGATGTTTTAAAACTCGTCCATTGAACATGTGCTTCATTTCCTATTTCTACAAATTCTCATGTAGCTTTGTGACATTGGTAACCTGGCAGAGATGAGAGATAAGACGTGGTATTCTTCCATCCGATGCAGACTCTGGAGAACTGATGGGACTGTCAGTTTCCTGCTCCTTGTCCTGTTCATGGTAAGTTCATATGTTGTCTGTTTTGCTCTGAAAAAAACTGGAGACAATAGCAATGATGAGTACTCACTTGCCGCTCTCAATGCTTTACTAGCATGTGTGGACAAAAAAGTGTTTCAATCCTGGTTTTACCTGAGCTATTGTTCCAATCCTACCATTGAGCAGCATTCTGCAAATACAATTATATGATTGTACAGCAAGCGTTGCATGTTGCGTTTCTGCGCTTAAAGTCTTGCTAATGATTTAAGTATTGAATGTTTTAAAACGGCAATTTCATTCGCTTTCAATAACAATGTTCTTTGATGGCCACTAATTGAACATGTGCTTTATTTCCTATTACTCAAACTGTAGCTGTGTGATATTTGTAACCTGCCGGAGATGAGAGATAAGGCGTGGTATTCTGCCATTCGATGCAGACTGGAGATTTGATGGGCCTGTCAGTTCCTGATTTCTCATCCTGTTCATGGTAAGTTTACATGTCTGTTTTGGGCGGTAAGGACGCTAACCCTGTTTTACAGTATATGAGTTGATCTCTTTGTCATTCTAAGCAGAACATTAAAAGAGTTAACCTTGAAATAACTCTACATCTTGCAAGATCCCTGAAGTTACAAATCCCCAAACAAATTTTTGCAAACAATGACATAGTTCAGCTTTTTTTTCTAGGCCATGCTTCAGTCTACTTTATCCATTTAAAAAGGTCATGCTATTATGATTAAATCGATCTACCTTGAGCTAGAAGCTCTGTAAGATTAGGTAAAAAATTGTTTGTGATCGCCTCCCCCCCCCCCCCCCTCCCATAAATGTCCTGTGTGACCATCTTTTGACAAGTTATTGCCTAGGATCCAAGCTAGACACACCTCGACCGCGTCACTCTTTATCATTTGTCTTGGCAAGCACAATTGTGACATTGGGTTGTGTGTAGTTTTTGACGAGGAGAGCATTTCAATGATGATCCACCTAGCTCGCTTCGAGTTTCTCGATGAAGAAAACTCTTCGTTCCCTATTTATGAAGACTCTGAGAATGCTCTCCAACACCTGGCAATAAGTACAAGGCCAGCTGCTCTGTACATACAATTAGAACTGTACTTGCTGTGAATAGTGATTTTACTCACTCTTGCAATAACCCCACCCACCTTTTTTTTCTTCTCTTCTACAGTGTTCTTCACATCAGAAATCATCATCAGTGCTGGCCGAAATAGGTAACTAATACAATATAATGTATTGATGAACTATTCATTATCGGTTGGGGGGTGGGGGGATTGTTTTGCGTCATTTGAAAAATATTGCTTTTCAAGGGTTCCATAAATTGAATAACGTCTAGTTCTTGATCTTTTTCACCAAGTAGTTTGTATTGGCATATTTATTATTCACACATACTTGATTCTAGTAAAATAATTGTGGTAACATTATACGTGTTATGGTAACAACATCCATGTAGAGCATTTCAATGATGATCCACCTAGCTCGCTTCGAGATTTTCGGTGAAGAAAACTCTTCGTTCCCTATTTATGAAGACTCTGAGAATGCTCTCACATGTATGTATGCATTTTAATACAAAATCTCAGTAATAGAAGAAGTGGGTTGCCATGGCAATTATCTCTCTTGAGATGAATGAACAATTTCTTAATTCATCTTCTGAACTCTTTTTGTTACCCAGCTTCCAGCATAGGAGATTTGTGATGAAATTGCTGTTGGGAGATGGAGGCACCTCGTTTTGACGAGACTGGTGTAGGTAAGATATCCACTACAAAAGGCATTCATTCAAGCTATTTTTATTGTGTGAAACTTTGAAATCTGTACTAGTTCATGTTCAAGGCTAGCAAACTCAACGCTGTTTTGGATTATCCCACAACTTGATGTTGAAGGAATGTAGAATACACCTTATTGATTACATGAACTGATCTGTGATTAATTGCATGTATTTGCTACAAAAGATAATGAATTATTCAACATGGTGAGTAATGAAAGCTAAGCTGAGATTTTGGCCCAATATATGCCTGGGACATTGAGCATTTTTAGACCATATTATGATGATTGTTTGCTTACACAGACCTGTTCTGAATTATCAGTGTTGATTAACAAGCAACTGAATATGGTTTAGCATTACATCGGTGTTTGTACTAGGATTCCATAAAATTGATTTGACCAAGATAGGTAATGATGACCAAGTAAAAAGATACTTATTAAGTCTTTGTAATACAACATTGTAATGAAGATTATTTGAAAACCATACTTTTTAAAGTAACTGGGACATTGCAATAGTTCTTATGCATGTGTTTGACTACTTTTCTCTACTTTCTACAGGAAATCAGAGAGATGTCCCTCTTAGAGTAGTGGTAAGTTGAAATATATGAACAGTCGGCATTATAAATTGTGCTTCAAATATATCGTCCTTGTTTTCACGAAGTGACGGTAGTGAGGAAAATCGTAACGCAAAGTGAATGCAATTTTTTTCACTACCGTCACTTTGTGAAAACAGCGACGATATGTGTGATTTTTTTTAGCAATTTATTTATTTTTCAGTTTGTAGGTCACAACAATACAAATTCGTTCAGTTTAGGTTTGTCATGTTATTAAAATTTAAGATGTAAATAAAGCACAAAGGCAATGTTGAGCTTGAGCAATCAATGATGCTAATTTACAAGCATATGTCTGACTGTAGGTGACAGACACCATAGGATACTGAGGTTGCTCCAAGCTTTAACATGAAACCTGCCGTGGCAGATACATTTTTAAACATTCTCAACATGAATTGTAATTCATTTTCCCTCCCTTTCTCTAGATCTCTTGGCCCTCTGCAGTAGCCCAAATGGATAGTCCACTTCACGGCTGTAAGATTCTCGCTGCCTACATGTGGAGTCTTCTGGACATATTGAGGTATGTATGACACCTAGTTTGTTGAGTGTTTCTCAAAATCTGACATTTTATTCACACGCCAAGTTGGCAAGGACAGTATTGTTTGATCCTTTGTTTTGTATTGTTTTTTTTCAAGTCGGGCTAATGAATGAATGATTCTTCTGAAAACTACTGGTCTGATTGGAAGTGTTTGAAAATCATTATAGTGGCAGAATAAGGTTTTGCAATCTATGATGCTAATTTACAAGCATATGTCTGACTGTTTGTGACAGACACCATAGGATGCTGAGGTTGCTCCAAGCTGCCTTGGCCATTCAAAATCAATCAAGTCTATCATCATGGTAACATTTGCATCATTTTCTTCCCCTTCCAGGAGCATTCCTTCTAGTTGCCCCATTTTTCCATTTTGGATTAGTAACCTCTTCAAGATTCCTTTCAGACCCCATCATGAAATACTGAGGTAAGTAGTATTGATCAGCCTATAATAGTTAATATTTGTTAGTTGCCTGTCCTATATTCCTGCGCCAAATTAACCAAAAAAGACTTGGAAGAGCATCAACTTTTCTTAAATATTGAATTATTGGCAATCAGAAGGGCATTTGTTGAAAAAATAAATAATCATCCTTCAACGTACAATTTGATAGTTGATCAATGTTCATAGCTTATTCATTTGCTTTGAAATGGTATGTGCTGAGATAATGTTGCCATACACGTAAGAACAATTTTGATGGCCATGGAGGACAATCACTTCATTATCAATACAAATGAGCTGTGATGATAATACTTGTCTCGTTCGTATGATGTCTTCATATGATTATTACTTTTATGTAATCTGAGCTCATAACCATTGCGTAGAGACCTTCCTTTCCCCTCAAATATTGGAAGACCTTTTCAGGGGATAATTTAAGAATTGAACTGATTTTCATTACTTCTCTTTCAAAATGTCTCCTGATTTGAATATTAATGCAACTACATGTATTTTTGCATAATCAACTTCAGGGCAATATCCCAATGTGTATCCCATTTAATTCATGTTTGGTTTATTTGAAACGCCTTTCAAAATTTAATAGACAAGGCTTTTGAAATTGCCTTGAAATGATTTACGTATTTCTTTGTGTGTTTAGTGTGCGTTCCTCCTCTTGACTTCTTGTCCTAACTATGTATTCTCAGGTATGCCGTCACTCGTTGCTGGTATGATCTAGAATGAAATTGGAGCCAGATGATCAGTTTCTGAAGGTATGTGAATTTAACTTGACTTTCATATGTGAAAATAATTCATTGGAAGGAATTTTCAGAACTAAAACCCCAGTTGCACCACCGAGACTAACGCTAGATTGACTTGCAGACTGAGCAAAAATTTACATTACCCAAAATAGCAAAAATACAGATTAAATGGTTGGTATAGAGTGATATGTGACTACGAAGCTAACATTATCGTCATGTATGGATAACTCCAATCTTTAAAGTGCCGTTTTCCATTGAAATCAATATCGTAGCACAAGTGGGATAAGGATAACATTGGTTTGTTTCTGTGATGAACTACATACCGCCCCAGGCCGACTAAACCATGGTGGATTGGTTATATATTTCTGAGAAATGTGCGGAATTGAAATCATATGCTGTAGGGTTAATGTCTTGTAGATATCGCAAAAAGGCTTTGTGTAGTCCTACTTGCTGATGCTCATGTGGGTCAATGCTGAGATGAGGATCTTATGGTGGAGATGTTTCATAGATTCCTTATTGGTATAGACACCAACCACAAATTTGTGAGCATGAAATTGTAGTGAATCAAGTACGTTTCAATGGGATCAAACGTAAGTGTCTATTACGTCATGTGCACTTGAAGTAATGTGCGTTTTTTTTGTCTTTCAGGCCACTTTCACAAAGGGATTTTACCCGACTCTTTTGACATCTGTTCATGTTGAGGGAAATGAGATGTCCTATACTACAAAGGTGTGTATGAAAGTGTTTTGAAATTCTTTATATCATCTGTTTGGAACCAGAAGGATGTCAACTCTGTTAATTGATTCGAGTCCAGAGACTTTTGGCTCCAATCAGATAATATTGTGTTTAAAGGATTTAGATTAATTAGTTTAGAAAGTGTGCTTAGTATTGTACGGTGCTGAACTTATGACTGAAACAGCAATGATGGCTATATTTCTGTGATGACCTTTATACCGCCCCAGTCCGACCTAAACCGTGGCGGATTGGTTCTTGTGTCTGAGAAATATCTAGTCACCAATTCTCGCTACCCTAAATAGGTACGAAAATCTCGAAATTCGCGAGACGAGGTAATTTTCACTCTCTCGGGTCGTCACTACAACTTCCGGTATAGAGTCCCATCCCAAGTCACGGCTTCATCCACCCCCATTTTTCAGGGTTCTTACGCTTGGAATCATGAGCCCAGCACTGTGCAGCCTCACAAAAGAAAACCATCGTCACTGATGTCAAAAGACGCAAAAAACAACGAATGAAATGTTCAAATAAACGTTGAAATATTTGCGAAAAAAAAACAAGACCGAGCAGACGACATATTCGGTGCATACACGTTGTGTGGTGACGGCGTTTTACGTTTGCGCTATCGCGCCGCCTGCACAGGAAGCTGTAATGTCGAAAAGCTATCCCATAATGCAATGCGCGTTTTCAGGATTTTCCCCGGATCTCGGCAGAATCGCTATTTGGGGTAGCGAGAATTCTCATGTCAAACTTTCCACACTCAAAGTAAGTCGCATTGATGTAAGAGAAAGTATGCAGTAAGGAGATGTTCGCACTTGTATGTACTATGTGATGTCCATCAATGTCATTGCACATGTTTTTTCTTGTATGTAGAAGCTAATTGTATAAAAACGATGAGAACATAAAGGGGGGGGGGGGGAGGGGGTCTAAAAAAAATGAAACCTATCTTTCTTCTATCAAGTCTTCAAAAAAATATCTTTTGTTTATTTTCTTTCTGGTCTCCCATTATTTGCCCATACAGGAGCCCTGAAGACTCGTTCTTGACATGAAAGTACAACTGGAATTGCACAAATGGTTGTGTAGTCTATGGAATCTGCCACACGCCTACGCTATCTCTTATACTAGATGGCACTACACGAATTAAAAGATGTCTTCTATGATTCTAGGATTAAAAATCTGAAGAAAAAAGTTACATATTACTGTGGAGTGATTTTAGCAAAGTCCTTCCTTCGTGAGAAGGGGGGGGGGGGGGAATACATTCTTAGATGCCATTGACACTCCTGTACGGAAAGTGCCCAAAATATTTTATTACAGAAACAAAAGATCAATGTCTTGATGGTATTTTCTTGTTGGTGGTGGAGATATGTGTGGTATTCTCTGGAATCTAAGTTTTGTTGTGATGTTTATGAGCAAAGATAGTGGATTTTGAAGTAGTGTGAAAAATGTGAGGTTGCTATTTGGTGAGCAAGTTTCAAAATTGGGTTGTGTGCACAGTTTGTTTTGGCCCAACCTGGATGGATGCTATTCATCATGCTCTCTGTCTTACTATTTTTACCATGTGGTCTTTCAAGACGCCAAAAGATGTAAAATTGTAAACCCTGAAATGGGATAGGAGTAACGCCCTTCTGGCCCATGTACGATATGTTGGCCCTGCAAATGGATAGTTTTGTCCAGGGTTTTAGACATTGAGCCGTGTCCAAATGGCAACCCAAGTCGTGTGACGAGAGTGTCGTAAGAAGTGAGGTCTTGGGGGCATAAATCGTATGGTAACTATAAGGTAATGCACCCTTACACATCGCACATATTTCCAAATTACAGTGGAATCTCGGGACCATAAAAATTGCCTTTAAAGTGCCTCTGTAACATTGTTGAAGGTTGATATATAATGTTACTTACTATATTCCTTCTACTGTACTGACCCTCTGACATGCAAAAAATTCTCAAACTATGAAGATATCTACGGTTTTCTTTGAAGGCGTCAATCTATGAAACCCTCTCTAACAGTGATTAACGGTAAATTCTCCCAACCATTTTTGAATTTTCCAAACCCATTTTTCCATGAAAAAAAAGACATAAAACATCTGTCAACATGTCTGGAATGGAATGTGGAGTCACATTTACATTCACCTAAAATGTAATGAAATTGTAATAATATAGTTGGGAGAATTAAGGAATCGATCAGATCAGTTTTTCCCAATTTGTACCATGAATAATGGTCCATTTTCACTCAAATTTTCAGATTATCTTTAATTGTACATCTAGCATTGAAGTCACTACCTTAGCACCACCATCTCTCATCTGAACAATGTTGCCAAATCCCTTTAATATAGCAGGGTAAAGAATATAAATAACTGGGACCAGCAAGATCACCTTGTAAGGGATACCTCACTATTGAACATTAACAAGAAAACAATTTGACCTGATCATTTTTTAATCAAAAATCCTTTATTTGTCAAATTTCTAAAGAAATATATATATATATATATAGACTCTATATAGATTAGTCAACGGCGCATGGATTACACCACTAACATTGAGGAAATCACGAACTGAATCTCGTTGAAGCACACCCTACTATGGAAATACTGCCTGGTTGACAACCTATGGCTCTGGCAAGTGGTCTACTGCAAAAAAAAAAAAAAAAATGACTTGTCCTATAACCAAATCCTATTAGAATATAAAGGAACTAAACCTACAGTATAGTGATACAAAAAACAGACAATGTTATATTAATACACATGCAAACACAAAACAATAGTAAATCAAAAGGTATAAAACAATTATAAAATGAGGCATAATCTCAAATGACCTTGACAAATTGTTATAAAGAAATAACATTATTTTACATGTGGAATTCAAATACACATACATATCATACTCTTAAATTGTAAAACGTAAACCCTCGCACTACTTTTGTGCGTACTCGTAATATTTGTATCTTTTATTTTAATGATGATATCCGGTAAAGAACTTAAGCCCCACTGTCCTACTTGTAGCTACTTGCTCCCTCTATATAGAAAACTTCCCAAATCGGTGCCTGTTGGTCCCCCATGATACTCCATTTCTTATGTTATTTGAGAGCTGAGTTGATGAGATAGCCATCTGTCAGTGACCTCGCTGTGTGGTCTAATCCCTCCTAGCCACAATAGTGTTGATAAGTTTTAAAGCCTTTGTTCTCCTTCCTTAAAATTCATTCATAAAAAAATCATTGACAAAAGTCACAACGCAAACAGTGGAATGCCAAAAAGGAAAATTTAGGGCAAGTCTTGCTTCTTGGTACTACGTAGACATGTATATATTTGATGACTATAAAAATACACGCCCTATATTACAGCTTGATTAGACCAACTATCAAATACTTTGGATGTCTCATAAATGCCTCAATATTTGGTAATTTAAAGGACAACACAATAAAAAAACACAATTATAATGTATAACATACATGAATTTCATTATATGTTTGTAGATGTCACATTCAAAATGAAAACTTCTATCCACAGGATTATTACGATCAAAATGAGCAGACGAACACTACGTTGCAAGTTTGATAATTGTCAAACATCGAACATTTCTTGCATTGGTAGTCGAAAAGCCTTCCTTCAATAAAAACAAAATTATATTAAATTTGTCAAAGAAATGTTCATTGAACATAATTATTCAAACACTAAGATACTCCCTTATACCGTTTACAAAATGTAAACTTCTTAATAATGCTTCCACAAGTAAAGGTTTAATCTATGTGCAGAATCACCATCATTCTACACATTACTTTCTACAATTCACTGGATATATCAGAAATAGTTCGTTCTAGTTTGGACTTCGCCCCGTCTTTCCCTGTTACCAACATAATTACAACGTTCAGTTACAATTGTCATTGTCCTAATGACAAGTCTGTAGATTCCTGAATTCTTGACTCTCACTAGGATCTCTTGATATCCATCGTCGGCAGGTGCCTCAACTACACGAATGTCATCCATTATTAATAATAATAATAATAATACATAACATTTATTAGGCGCTTAATACTGATGTTTCTAAGCGCACAGTGTTCTGATTAAGAGAAGACTATAACCCGTAGAATTAAATTAGAAGAAAAAGCAAAAATACAAAAGTAACATAGATAAGGTAAGAAAAACAGTGGCAATCAACTAAATAAAGACAAATATGGTGCGCACCTCCATTGACCGACGCACAACTGCAATTTACAATTTGAAAAGATAGGTTTTGAGTAGAGATTTGAATTGAGATACAGAGGGGGCGCAGTGAATAAAGGCGGGCAGTTTGTTCCAGAGAGCGGGGGCAATAACTGAAAAGGCGCGGTCACCATACCGGGTGTTAGTGCGGGGTCCAGGTGTTAACAGTAATGTGGAAGATGAACGAAGTGTTCGTGACGACGTACGGGAACGTAAGGATATGAGATCGGAAAGGTAAGAGGGGGCTAAGCCATTGATAGCTTTGTAGCACAGGAGAAGAATTTTGAAGGATATGCGGTGGTGAATTTTAAGCCAATGTAGTGAGTTCAATATTGGAGTTATGTGCTCTGATTTACGCGAGAGAGTCACAAGCCGAGCAGCGCTATTCTGTACCCTTTGAAGTGGGACTAGATGTGACTGAGGGAGGCCAGAAAGAGAAGAATTACAGTAATCGATATGGGTCGAGACAAAAGCATGGACTAATTTTGAGGTTGTGGGTCGGTCAAGTAGCCTCCTGATTCTACTGATCTTATATATACCAAAGGAAGCAGACTTACAAATATTACTAATGTGTTGTTTGAAAGTAAGATTGCTGTCAATATTTAAACCAAGGTCATGCACAGAAGCACAACAACTGAGAGAGCCATCACTCATAACAAGATCAGGAAAGGGGTCTGAGTTCCGAAATTTAGAAGTAATATGAATCCTTTCAGATTTTGAATCATTAAGGCAGAGACAGTTTTGAAAAGACCAGGTTTTGATTTCATTGAGGCAACTGGTGAGTTTGTTCGCGGCTACTGTCCTGCTGTTTGGGTGAAGAGTTACATAAATCTGGGTGTCGTCTGCATACATAGTGTGTTGAATATTCTGATGAAGGTTAATAACATTTGAGAGAGGGCTGGTGTAAAGAATAAACAGGAGGGGGCCGACCACGGAACCCTGAGGAACGCCGCAGATGAGGGGAAATGATTCCGAGTTGGTGTCATTGATGATCACCTTCTGAGTTTGGTGCATGAGATAGGAGCGAATCCATTGAAGTACGGTGCCGGTGATGGAGAAGTCGTTCTCTAAGCGATGGAGTAACAGGTCGTGGTTGATAGTGTCAAATGCGGCAGTGTAATCAAGCAAGATGAGGACAGCTTCATTACCCTTATCTACAGCTAGAAGTAGGTCATTTAGGACCTTGACAGTTGCAGTCTCAGTAGAATGATGATTCCGATAGGCAGATTGGTGGATTGGAAACAAACCGAGATTGTCAATGTGGGCTTTCAGCTGTAGTGACACAATACGTTCCAAAACCTTCCCAAGGAATGGCAGGTTTGCGATGGGCCTGTATTAATTCTGAGGCGGGTGGAGAGGTAGAGATGTTTGCGTGAATCGGTGGTAAATCGGTGTCAACATTTATAGAGTTCTTCTTGGGACATCAAGGTACCAAACAAAGACAAGTGCAAGGTGAAATAATTAAAAAATGAAATTCTTTCCTTTCAAAAATCAAATCAATTTTCATCAAAAATTCTTCTTCTTTGGTGTTTACAGTACTTACCGGTATGATACATGATTCACAAGACATTGAAGCTATGAAATCTAACCACATGTTACATAGTTGAAAGACGGGCTTCTCTCTTTATCAAGCCCTCCTAAGTCAAATTAAATCATTACTTTACAAGGCCCTAAGGGCGAAAATTTGTTTCATCATCATTTCTTATATTTTTTGTGTGTATTTTCTCAAACTTCGAACAGAACTGTAGACCTGTCTCTTCCTCTCTCTCATATACATGTGTATATACACATTGTGACATCATTATGGCCTTATCATGTTCCATCAAGACCTTAACAAGCTAATTGTTTATTTCCAGAGTCCAGGTACAGCCAATTCGAAGGGGGAAATGGTGGTCTTCTTGAGAAGAAAAAAAGAAGGTCTGTTTGTTCGCCTTTTTTTTTAGAGGCAGGATGCTATCAAAATTGTGTATGTACATGTATCTAAATTTTAAAATTGTGCGTTTTGGAAACAAGATACCATTGAGAACTTAGACGTGATAGGAATATACTCTGCACACTATTCATAATAAATCTTTGATGACATGATTACCAAACATACAAATTCACTTCAAAAATATACTATGCACATGATGAGTATTCATAAGAAATGGAAAAGTGGAATTGCTGCCCTTGAAATGCGACTGTCATGGAAAGACATTGGTCCATTATCTATGTATGAGAATCTAACATCAAGCTAGGTTCAAACAATTAATCCTTACCTAGTTTTACACCGTGACTTGAATCAAGATGTTAAGTGTTTGTATTCACATGTACAAAACTACATACTCTTTTAAAAAAATACAGTACCACCAAACACTACATAGTTTAATTGAAATTTACTGGGTGATTTTCAATCTTATCAAGGCCAGCGAAAGGATCATCATATGTAGCATGCACAATGCACTCAGTTAACCCTATTACTAATTGTAGCTTAATAGTATAAGTTCCACTTGGCATGTGTGCTAAACAAAGGTTTAAAGGTAAAGACCAGTATTGGAAACGCCCCAATTTCAAAAAATGAAATGGAAGCTCTCATTACCAATCATGTGAAAGAATATGTTTTGACTAATACATGATGATAACAAATTTGGCGGGAAACCGCCTACTAATTCATATATTTGGTAAATTTGTTTCTCTCATGGTCTGTGAGAGATATAGGGTAGTCCCATATACATCTTTCTGTGTATAGTGCTTGTAACTTTACGAAGAATGGGCCAAATTTCTTATTGTTTTGATGATTCCAGAACCTTGCAGATGCTAGATGATCAACCTTTTCTGATCGATCCCACAACGTTTCTTTCACAATGTAATCGCATGACCATAACTGGTCTTTACCTTTAATCAAGTCCAACCGAGCTAAGGGCTCATTCACATTTGACACAAAAAACAGCTGTAATTTACAGCAGGTTTTTTATTTAATAGATGTACATGAATAGCAGGTGCGACATATAAAAGTAGCTGCGCGCGAGAAGGTCCTACATCTATCCGCTTATCTGAGTGCTAGATACAAAATTAAACGAAGTGAACAATTTTCCTGAGAAATAAAATTTGAAAATAAACTATCAGCATTTTCCCCCAAGCACATACATATTTATAAATGGACATGTAAAAATCAAGAGTCAGATTTACCTGCAATACATGAAACAAGAATATTTCTGACAAAAATGTTACAAAGCACTTTTTTCAAAGACTTTTACAGACACACATTAATGATTTACAAATTTAATTTAGAATAAGTTGAATATATAGTACCTTTCAACATGACATGTAATGGAAGCTTATATCTAAACACCAATCAGACCTACACCAGATCAAACAAAAATCCCCACCACCAAACTGTCCTGTGGAGGGCAGTGTGTTGGTGTGAGTGCACTGGGAAATAAACCCTGTTTCGGTTTAAACTTGGTTAGCAGTATACCACCCATGGTGCAGGGCGGGGGGGGGGGGGGGGGGGGGGGGGGGGGGGGGGGGGGCGCTCAAACTTGGTTAGCAGTATACCATCCATGGTGCAGGGAGCGCTCATTTCTTTGCTTGGCGGTCTCTGTGTCTGAGGAGAGCTTGACGTATGACTGCTACGGTAAAGTCAGCATCATCCTTAGTGATACACATGGGTGGCTTGATACGGAATACCTGAGAGAGAGAGAGAGAGAGATAGGAGGGGAGAAAGGAATATGATTTAATAACTGCTGTACATGCATTTACAACTTTATAAATTTGATTTGATTTGATTTGACATGCTTTATTCCTTCTAAAAGGAATAGAACCTAAAAGGTGAATTAAGATTCTTTTAAAGAGGGACAAGATATAAGGGTCTGGCCTCTGCCAGTAACTTACTGCTTTAATGACAGGAATGAAGGAAAGCGGACGGGAGAATGATCAAATGAGGGCTTTATAATGACTATCCCTAGTTTTCAAACCTTGTTTTGTTTAGATTCGACAAGGTTTATTTTATCTAAAAACTAATAGTAGCTACAAAGGTGAGTACACCCTTTCACGGTTACAAGAGTGCGCATGCTCCGACATGGGCGCCATTTTACTTTTATTCTATGCAGCATGCAAAGCGCATGTGATATGATGGGAGTGGGCAGCACAGGCACTGACGCAACAATACATGCGCATCTGAAAACACGCAATGTTTACTCACAAATTAAAATGGCAACCTTAACCATGAAGGGGTGTATTGAGATCCTTTTAGACTGTAAATAAGGAGGTCTGGCCTTCTGTTGGTAACTGGCTGTGCAATGTTACAAACACAGCACAACCCAGTTAATTTTGTCTTGGTTCTGCTTTGTTTTCCTGGTTACAATTGACCTCTCATGCAGAAAAACCAATATGTCAAGGCGATATTCCTATACCAAAGCAACAAACTTTCAGCACCCACAAAAATCTTATCTCTACCTGTTGTTCGACCCCAAGTTACGTACAGTTTTTGCCACACCACTATTAAATTACTTACACTAACAGAAGAGGCCCCAACAAATTTCCAATAAAGTACAGAACAAGCCTAAATCATAAATTGTTTATGTTTACTACTAGATGTATTGATAGTGAGAAAACAGCTCAGTGATGATACATCTATAATGAATGGAAGAAATGAAAAGTGTAGATAGACAGTAGAGTACAGTACAGGCTATCAACGAATAAAATGTCACATCTGGTGACTACAAAATAAAAGAGATTCATAATGATCATAAAAGAGCTCAATGATATAATGAACAGTAAAAAGTACAGAACAGGCTAAAAATAATAATGGAATACATGATTTAAGGCAGATTCATAATGGCATGCAACTGTTGAAACAATGTAACAACTTGATGATGAAATAATGAATAGTAAAAGTAATATAAGAATACAATACCTGTCCATAGAAACCTCCTTTGCCTATAAGCAGTCCCATCTCCTTTGTGTCTTCCCATATGTCTAACATTTCATCTGCAGGGAGGGGTGCTCTCGTTTCCTAGCAAATAAAAATGCCATATGATACAAATACAAATTGGATGGTCTTGTGGGGGATATCAGTATACAGTGCGTCCCAGAAGAAAACGAAACCGAGAATTATCGATGTTTTATCATAACTTAATCACATTTATAATTAATAAATGAAATATATTTGGAAAGCTTAGATCCTCCTCTTTCATTTGATGCAACTCATTATGATGCATATTTCACGCATGAGTGATAAAAATCAATTTGAAGAGAGGAAACCAAAAAGTCGTTTGGCGGGCGGTATCTGAATTTCAAAGAGAAAATCACATTTCTAGAAAGTTGGGTTTCTGCCCTTTCATATGACACCTCAATCAGGAAAAATGAGCAAGGAATGACAAAGTTCTATCATCTATCACAAAGATTGAGGCTGTGAAATTGTTTGGTTTTACAGTGTGTATGAACATGCTTAGTGATTAATTTCTCACCTTATCTGCAACCATTTCCATTCCGATCATGAGGCCTTTACCTCTGACATCACCAACGACCTCAAACTCATCCCGGAGTTTTGCTAACTCGAGGAGGAGGTGGGTTCCAACGTTTTCTGAGTTAGCCTGGAGTCCTTCATTTTCAATCACCTATAACAATTTAAAAAAAAAAAAATGGGATCATATAATAATACTAAAAGCCCACTAAAAGTAATTCAAAAATGTTGTGATTGAGGAGGAGGATAATAACATTTGTGGCTTCCTTGAATAGCAGTCAAATTTTAAGGCCCCCTTTGATCTTGGCCGGCCGCGAATATATTTGCATGCATGTCAAGTGAAGTGTATAGAATACTATGGTACATGTAATTGCAATTTTTTTTTGAAAAATTCACTCATTTGCATTTTTATGGTAATTTATGAAAATAATTTAAAATTAATAAAATTCAAATTTTTACCCATAAAATCATATTTTCATATTTAAACATTAGTTTTCACTACATATGTTCTTTAGACCATTTGGGATAATAATACAACAACAAAATTGGAAGAGCCAGGCTATTCCTTATGTTAGCTATTGTTTTGATAATTTCTTATGTATTTTATGTGTTTTCAACTTATGTATTTTAATGATTTTGTTGTTTTATTCATTTTCATGTATAATTCAACTATTTTGACCCCCAAAATAAACACCTCAACTATAAACTGGACCAATTAACCAATGTATTATCTCTTTTTTAGAAAAATGAGATGTCCATATGTTTTGTACAAAAATCACGAAATTATGATTTTCGGGCTGACATGCAACGACAAACAGTCATGTGACTTTGTAACAGTAGGTCCGATTAAAAAAAAATTGTTTCAAAAGATGCGCAATTAAGACTCAGAAGAAAAAAGTCATATCATTTCAGCGAAAGATTCTTTTGCGTTAAAAATTATCGCAAAAAATGTAGAGGGGAGGCTTCTAAAGCCCTCCCCCCCCCCCCAGGCTAAATAGGGTTAAGACCAAGAATCTGTCATCTTGGAGTGATTCAGAGTCATTTAGGCTGTGTGGCAGCCGTTACTGTACTGACTACACAAGCACTTTGTCTAGACAATATGCATACCTCTAGTACAGCAGAGCCTACAGCACATGATAGTGGGTTTCCTCCATATGTGTTGAAGTGAAGGGCTTCTTTCATAGTAGCAGCAATTTCTGCAAATACAAATTACAGACAAATTATCTAAACATGTTTCCATTTTCTTCATATTCTGCACACGAAAAATCCACTAAAATTATTTGAAAATGTTTGCTTCTATAATTTGTATGTCAAAATATACTATTTTTTGAATGTATGCTGCCATGGATAATATAAAAAGTCAGAAAGTGCATGCACCACAGATTTTCTAAATAGTTTCAAAGATCATACCTTAATTTAACATGAAATTGCCAAATAAAGAGAGAGATATGGACATGTTTCACCCAGTACATGTACTTGTTTTTAGTGTACTATAGATTATGATTCCTGCCCATGCAATATATGTATGCATTCAAGGAGCATATATACCGGTACAATTAAATTATTCATTTCTGACATTTATGCAGGGTATCACATTTTCACCAATAGTGATGGTCTTCCATATGGCCCTGTTTGCTAACAACAAAATGCAATAACAATCATGAATATAAGCTCATTTAGTAACAGAACAAAAAACAGTGAAAATAAGTACTGTATACAAATGTATACACATTCTGTGGTATCCTCTTATTAAATGTGTACCGGTATATTTAAAACAAAATACTGTTGCATATTTGTAATATTTTATAGCATGAAAAGACAGTGATCCCTTATAAATTAGGTTAAATGTAATCATTTATTCTTTAAACTTCTTTATCAAAAAAAAAATTAAAAAATAGCCTCATATAGTTCCAGAAGCTAAAATGTAAAAAGTATATATGCAGGGCTTATATTTCTCCTGGCTCAATTTATTCATAGTCCTGTAACATATCCAAATAAGACAAATGCAACTGTGTCTCCAATATGCATACAAGTAAATTCAGTTAATATCATGGCTTGAATCATTCTTCAAATATTACAATGAGAATCAACATCACATTTGATGGGGGGGGGGGGAGGCATAAAAAGAGCATATCAATACCTCTACACTATGGGAAACTAAAGATTGTTGGATACTAAATGGGAATATGAGGGAGCATTTAGTAGAAAATAAAAATCATTATTAAAGTCATCTTAGGGGCAATATAGACAAAAGTCCAACTTTTTTACATACCGGTTGTTGTCACAACAGCACCCAAAGGAAATCCATTTCCAATTCCTTTTGCCATGGTCACTGCAGATCAAATGAAAGATGGTTGACTATGTGAACTTTAATGTGATAAAGAAACAACTTTTTAGGGCCAAATAAAGAAAACAAACATGTTTAGCATCCTGCCTTTTTGAAAAATAGGAAGGAGTAGGTCCTTTTCTTCCCCCCTCCAAATGGCCGCTGAAATTGGGCGCTTGGTACGTTTTCCCTGACAGCCGCCAGCAAAATTCAGAAATAAATCATTTTAGCAGTGTGTTTTTCATGTATTTTTATTCTTTAAAAATTTTTTTTTAAAATAAATGAATGAGGCAACCCCCAAAAAGGAAGCGGGCAGGGACGCTAAACATGAATTTTTTTTTTAATTGGCCCAATGTTTGCTGGGTTTGTATTCAAACACAATTGATTTGATTATTGAGAACTTTCTCATGGTTCACATATCCAAAAAGTTTGCTTTCCATCAGCATGCTATCACATGCCTGCATTGAAAGAAATCACATATAGTGTTCATACATTTATTAGCAATTTATTTGCAAAGAACCTCTATATACAGGGGTGATAGTGAGTACTAAAAAAATATAGGTTTTTTTTCCCCTCCACCACGCCCCCCTTGAGTATAAAAGTATAATATCTAACAACATTCCCCCCTTTAGAGTAAGAAAATTGGGAAAAAATTGGGGAAAATAGAGAAAATAAGGGAAAAATCAGGAAAAATAGGGATAAAATCAGGGGGGTGGGGGGGGGGGGGGGGAGTTGGAGAAAAAAATCGGGGAAACCGCTTTACATCGGGCAATTATCAGGCCTGTGTGTAAAAACATATTATAGAGCAACAAGAAAATTAATTTGCCTATAATAACAATTACAACTATTGCAGGTACGTATGGAAATTCAATTTACCTATATCACATGCATGAACGTAATAGGCAAACAGACAAAGATTTCCTTTTTACCTAACAATGTGTTCATCAAACATATATCCAATGCAACAGCTATTGCACTTTTTTTCTTTCTTTTCTTCCACCCTTTTTATATCAAATGCACAAATATCTGTAGTAGTAATAGTCACAATAATTTTGGAATTGGTGGAGACATACACTTTTATAATGAAGCTCGTACAGTTCTCCTTTCCCTTCATATAAACAAAAGGATTGACTTTCATAGGGTCACCAACTTCTTCATCCCTTGTCCTGTTCCTTAAAGTGCCCATTCAAAGAAAATCACAAATATGGCAAATAACGTATCACCATAGAAACTGGTAAGCTAACAGATGGCCATCGTACAAGTTTTAGGTCAACTACATATCGGGTGATTTATACAAATACAAATGAAACCACCTCCATAGCATCGGGGATATCCGAGAGGTTCGCCAGAAAAATAATGATGTTTTAATGCCGTCACAATATGAACCAATCCTGCCCAAGCAGACAACATCCCATAAAGAATGAACATAATTGCAATGCTATTATTTCTCAAATTATAAAGAGTTTATTGTATATAAATGTGATGGAATTTTACACCATTCAAAAAGGGATATGAAACAGATTCTGATAACTAAATTCTTTTGTTTGTAAATACACAGGATAGGGGTTAATAAATAATCAAAGAAACCACACTTTCAAATTTAAAACTCCCCCGGAATGATAGCATGGACGGATTTTGTTCCCTCTTGAAATGCTGAACATACCGCGGTGTATGCAGCTGAAAAAACAATGGCGTCTTATTTTGTTTACAAGCGACGGATTCCTTTATTTTGTTATTGCTGCATTTTTCATCAAAATAAAACCATATGCGCGGGGTTTAGAGTGAGGCAATAAACATCTAGCATGACGGCAGTGAAGTAATAAAAATAACTGAAGAGAAGATGACAAAACAGGCACTGAAAATGTGTGAGATGTCATGGGACATCGTCTGCTTGTGCAAATCATGTTCAACATGTGACGTCACACATCTCAGCAGCGATCAGAGAGCTTTTCAGGTGCTATGCCAGGGCTGTATTTAAGCGTTTTGTAATTGATAATAATCATTAATTTAAAAGTTTCCAAGCGATGAACTTTGATAACCTTGTCCAATCAAAGTTCACCTTTGCAATATTGACAATAAAGTTAGTTTTTAAAATCAATGAACTTTCTCCTTAATGCTATCAGTACTTACCTATATCAGGCATAACCCCATGGCTCTCAAAGCCCCAGAAGTGGCTGCCAAGGCGACCAAACCCGGTCTGAACCTCATCTGAGATGCAGACCCCGCCCTTCTCCCTGGTCAGTTTGTACATCTCAGCCAGGAGTCCTCGGGGATACTGAACTGTACCTCCCACACCCTAGGGAAAGGGTCAGGGGTCAACATGATCATGATAACAGCTAGTGTATGGTAAAACCATGTGATTGCCAACATTTCTAATAATCCCCATGCATGTTCATCGTTTCCATCACAATCATCCTTTCAATATTAATAATACTCAGTTTTTATGTAGTTTTTCCAAACTTGGAAATTATTACCCTGGCTTTAGCTGTGCTGCCATTATGGCGCTCTAGCATTTCAAAGAATTCTTCCTGCCAGGTACCCATTTACATCACCTGGGTTGAGTGTGGCAAATGTAGATCGTCATTACCAACACAAACACCATCTAAATCAAGCTTATCATTATCGATCACTACAATCACAGCATCACCAATCAAAGAATCTGACATTTTGCTTTATATAGCCACTAGCCAGTGCATTAGACCACCGAGTAGATGAAAGCACCAATCTTAACTACACCATAGCACTGAAACGGCACTACTTAAGATTCAGACGGATTTACTTCAAGCCATTGACAGTCAGAAAGGAGTAATGATGGTCCTGCTTGACTTGTCTGCTGCGTTTGACACAGTGGACCATAACATTCTGCTGAATCGTCTTGAAGACCATTTTGGTATTACAGGTCTCGCTCTCAAGCTTATCCATTCATACCTTGAAAACCGGAACAGCCATGTTCTAATCTCTGGTCAGCTTTCGAAAGCTTGTAGATTGCCACATGGAATTCCACAAGGTTCTGTCATCGGACCCTTGTTTTTCACCCTTTACATTCGTCCCATTGGTGATATTCTTTGGGCTCATGGAGTATTCTTTCATATGTATGCAGATGACATTCAGATCTACGTGATGTTTGACCCAACTGATCCAGTGGCAATTGATGCTGCGCTCGGCAGACTCAGTAGTTGTATCACTGAAATTCAGTGTTGGATGAATGCGAACAAGCTCAAACTCAACGAAGGCAAGACAGAATTCTTTGTCTCTGCTTCACCGCATCATCGGTCATCCCATCTAATGAATGATGTCAAACTGATGATTGGTGAGAAATCCTTCCCACCATGTAAGTCCATCCGCAATCTGGGAGTAACACTTGAACCATCTGTGAACTTAAGTCTTCATGTTAACCTTCTCAGCAGAAGCATCAAGAACCACCTACGTAACCTGTGGAGGGTGAGGCGGTTTATTGATCAGTCAACATGCCACGCTGCGGCGAGGGCTCTCATCCTTTCCAGACTAGACTACTGCAACAGTCTCTTCAGTGTTCTCAGCCAGAGGGACCTTGATCGTCTTCAGAGACTCCAAAACTCAGCGGCAAGGCTTGTCTTTTCTGCTCCTCTTCGGACTCACATAACACCACTTCGACTTGAACTCCATTGGCTGCCTGTACGACAGAGAATAGCTTTTAAGATCCTACTACTGGTCTACAAGTCTCTCAACCACCGATGTCCCCCGTACATAGCTGACTGCTTGGTTCGTCGTCCTCGAGTCCGAAATACCCGCTCATCATCATCCATCTGGCTCACTCAGTGTCTCTCTAAGAAACGTGCTGGTGAATTGTCTTTTCCATCGGTTGGTGCAAAACTGTGGAACCAACTACCTACTGCTGTGCAGACGGCCTCATCTGTTGACCAGTTCAAGAAACTACTCAAGTCACATCTTTTCTGCTAGAAATTACTTTATTACCAGCCTACATATACTTTGCTGATCTCTGAGAAGTGTCTAACTTTTGTTTTTAAGTGGCCAAAACATTGTCGAGCATGTGTGCAGCGCTTTGAAACTGCAAGGAAAAGGCGCTATATCAAATATCTTTTGGATTGGATTGGATTAACTACATCCATACTTCTCATACACTCTTGTTTGTGAACATAGATCGGACTCAAATTCACTTTCATTAGAATGAATATCATGGTTTTTACACTAAATCATGGGAACCGGTTAAAACAAATTATCTACTGGAGAACTGCTCTTATTAATTAATGTTTATATGTATTCAATTTTACTGATATTATCTGCATAATTGTATTGATAATTGTAATTATTATAATCTTAATTTTTAATCTTGTATATATACATGTGCAATTCAGCCTATTGCTACAAACCATGTTGTCTAATAAGCCATATTTTAATTGAAAACATTTTTTAACTGAATTGAATTAAATTAAACTAGATGGATCTTCGACTGCGCGCAGAAATTCAAGTTTGATTGCAACCCATTAGCAGGTTCTCAGAATATCGTGATTACCAGCTATTTTTCATATACACGTATGACCCTTAATTTGATCTTGGACCTCATGACCCTAAAATCCAATCAGTTCATTGGCTCTGCAAGATACATACATGTCCAGAGTTTGATAGTAATCCATCCGTTTGTTCTATTGACAATGCGTTCTCAAGCTATTTTTGCATACATAATGAGCCTTGTGACCTTTTACCTTTGACCTCATGACCCCAAAATCCAATCAGTACATTGGCTCTGCAAGATACATAGATGACCCAAGTTTGGCAGTAATTCTACTACTTTGTAGCAGAGGCATAACAATATATATATCATCACCATCATCTCACACCCCACACTGAAGGAAAACTTGTATGTATAATCCATTCAAAGAAATCACTCACTTATCCATTGGTTCTGTTATTAAATGCATACTTCTAGTCCCAAATCAACAATTAAATGATATGACGTTTCTTTAATACCTGAATTCCCTCTGCGAAAAAGCCGGCAATTTTCTTTGCCGTGGAGTACCTGAGCACATCTGCATATTGTTCTAGGTAGAGATCCTTTGCCATGCATTCTCCTGTACAGTCACAGTCACGGTTGGTCTAAGAGCAAAAAAAAAAAAAAGTGTGCGTGTTCATTTGTGCAGAGCACACATTTAATTAGGTTTTTACAGCTGCGTATCATCGGATATGATTATTTAAGTCTGGGGGCCGACCTCTAATGTTACCATCCAAAAGTGTGACCCAGTTTTGAATTGGTCTTTCAGAATTAGTATGTATAGGGGGAGTCAGAGGGCTGCGCGTACATCTCCTGTGTAACCTACAGTACTTCATCAATTTTGAACTCCAATGCAAATATGTTAACAGGTGAAATATTTTTCATCTCCCCAAGCATCCTCTGGAACATCAGTTAGTATTTAGGATTCATGTTGTTCCTGGTCAAAAAGTAATACAAAGCTTGCCTGAACAGTTCTTATCATTAGACCGTATGAAATACATGTATGCTCTGGTGACAATTCCCATGTGGTTGATTTCTAATACAGGTTGAAATTCCTAACAACCACCCCATGCAGACACAACAATTATACCCTCAATGTCGAATCCAAACCCTCAACAAAACTATAACCCAATCGGTAATCAAGGTCCAACTTAAAGAGAGGGTTGAGTTTTGGTAAAGATTTAAAAAAACTGGCAGGCTTCCCCATTCTTGCTATTTTGCTTTGAAAGAACATCTCATTAGAAATGTCTCCCTGAAATGCATTCTCCTCTTCAAGTGTCTAGCTCACCTGATCCAAAATATGATGAAAAGTGTATGAAAATTTGGAGCAGTCTGTCATGCCACACGCATGGAGTCCAACGTATACATCTGTGCACATGAGTTTCAGTAGGCTGGAGTCAATGCCTTAAATTTTGGACGATTCAAAACCTCACAGTATAAACAAATCCTTATGGACTACATACAAATACTCAACCTTACCCAAATGCTTCAAGACATTATCTTTCGCAGCATAGTCCCTTGAACATACTGTAACAAACCTATATCTTGAAACTAAATCTTACATGAAATAAAGCCAAGTGCAAATGCAGGGAATAATTTTCCTCAAATTTTTTGATTAGCAATTTCAGCCGATGGATAAATATTTCAAATGAAATTCTGTACATTTCTATGGAAGAAAACTGCTACACAAAAGATATTTTGTATAGCAGTCATGCAAAAATGCATAGCAAATTGCGATGCGATACCAGGAAAATTATTCCCTGAAATGTCTCTCCCCCAAAAACACAAATGTGGGGCGGATCAATATCCCTTTGGGTGATGAGCTCACCTGTACAGGGGAATCGCGGCAGTTCTTTCCTCCCCAGAGTCCCCTGTAAACGTCTGGGTTCATGGTGTTCCTAATCCCGAAGCCGAATGGTGTCGGATAGATCCAACTACTCATGGCTGTCAAACCAAGAAGATTTGGGCTTGCCCCATGGTATGCATTCCTGGTAGAGAATTCAGAGGAATAGATAGATATAGATAATCAAATTTATTCCATTCATCATAAAAAACATTTAGATACAATAACATACAAAATCACAAAGATATATAGTCAAAATAAACATACATTACAAAAGATAATCGTACAATATATATATACATCATAAAGGTGATCTGGACAAAAAAAAGAGTATTCATCAGAATGAGGAGACAGCTAGAAAGGAAATACCTTATTGGTGCTACCACCTACACAAAACTGAAAATTTGAAATTAGGATAAGAAGAGAGTATAACAAGACCAGATTGAAGATTTACAGAATAAGTACATTGTACAAGCAAAATATTAACAAAACAAAAAAAATCCAAAAGAATTGTTTTTGTTTCTTACATTGACAAAGACAAAGACAGCAAACAAAACAACCAAACTAAAACACTAAAAAAAAAATTTGTTTTAAATTATTAAAAAAAAACCCTGATCAAACATTGCTAATATATCTACTGAGTAATAAGGTTTTATATCTCCTTTTAAAGACATTTAGTGATGGACTAGTTTTAATATACTGGTAAACCGTTCCAGATTTTGGGCCCTTTGAAAAAAATACAATGAAAAAAAACCTGATTGCAAACATCTCTGGTAAAAATATAAAAGTCATGGATTATATAGCTGGTTTATAGCCGTTTCGTCTACAACTAGTTTGCCACTAGCCACATGGTCTCATAACCATTTGGTCCAATGACCACTTAGGCCAATAGTCTAATTTCCATTTTGTCTAATCTTTAATCAGTTTACTACCGATTTGGTCTATCCCACATTTGGTCTATTTGCCAGTTGGTCTAATTCCTAGTTTGTCCAATGCCCATTTCATCTACCATCTAATAAGGTCTAATAATCATTTGATGATAATTATTATTTATAATTAAATGATATTTAGACCATATGGATAGTCGACAAAATGGCAAATCATATAGCTAACATCCACACAATGTTACTTCATCCTTCAACGTTGAACTTCGTTTTCTCTCCCAAGTTTGTCAAAATTGTTATTAAAGGTAATGCAAAGTTTTGGTAAATTTTGAAAATTGGCTGGATAGTGAATCTTTACAATTTTTATATATTTGGATGCCCATGTGGATGTATTATAAGCACCAGAAAATTTAGCCCCTAAAACACTTCTGCTTCCGAGAAAAATTGAATATCAAAATTTACCGGTGCTCCCGGTAAATTTTGATAAATATCAAATAGCGCCTACGGCCAAACAATGGTAGCTGCGACCATGAAAATCTCAGAAGATGTAGCTGTGATATATAATTTGCAAACGGGAATAGCCAATCGGTCGATTTTAGTCAAGAAACATTGTACTATAGCTAAATTGATATTTTGACCTTGAGAGGGAGCTATACAACATGAATAGCTTATTATTTACAATTTCATTACTTTAGACTCGATTTCAACAGCGACAATGATTACTGAATATTGTAAGATCAAATATGCTTCCAAAATGTTCATTTGAAACAAATTCATGACCCCATACCAAAACTCTGTATTACCTTTAAGGGAAAACATAAATCATCTATAAGGAAAACCAACCTCTTCTTCACGTAATGACATTGACTAAAACTCTACTACTAATAAGGACAAATAGGCTCTTTATTTCATAAAATAAACAAAACACCAACTACAACTGAAAGATGAAAGTCCTAAAGAGATATACTAAGTGTTATAAGATACAAATGTTTCTCTCAGATATACTTAAAGAGGTGTTTCAGCTTCCAAACAATTCACCAATCTGCATGGCTATTCTTTTTTTTTTATTGTGTGCTTGAATATACATTTTCACACAAGATCTAATCTTAATATTATTTAGAGGCCTTTTAGGAAGTCTATTTGATTCTTAGTTTGAATATATATCTCACAGAGTTCTGATTTTCTCTTTCATCTGGTTAAAGATCATATGGGAATGCCCAGCTTTTTTAAAAAAAGAAATCGTACCTGGTAATAAAAATCAACAAACGATCACAATTATTATAACATCATTATTGCTATACTTCATTGAGGGGAGGTTAAAGGGTATATTGTGTTCAAAGTCAGAATTCAAATGTTGGGTCCTCTGTGCAGGGTCTTTGGCCAAAATCAAACATACCTGAAACTGATGACATCATAAGAACCAGTGTGCATGCGAGCCATCTGCATAGCCATATCGTTAGCATCAGTTCCGCTGTTGACGAAGTATATCACCTGGAGAGAAATATTCAAGGAGCTTGCAGTACAAAATTTGAGGCATAATGAATAGTTAGGCACTACTAACATTAGACAGAAATAACCGTCTGATTTGGGTCATTTCTTTAATAAAACTGACATTTGTTGACATTCCCCAATACATACATAATCGGAGGTCTAGTGGAGCCAGACGTAGTCTCAGTGAAACAACGGACGATTAGAGAGACTGAAGTTTTCGGTCTATACTAACATATACAATTCATTCATTTTTGTATTACTTATTAATGTTCAAGCATGAGAGTATCTATAAATTCCGTAAATGGAGCCAACAAATAGCAAAACTTAGTTCACTTTTTTTATTTATTCTTGATTTATTACAATTGGTGGATACAGCAGCAGTTGGCTGACTTACTCAAAATTTACAAATGCATTTAAAAACATATGGAGAGACATTAAATATAACTACATGTACAATTATATACTGTATATGATAATATGAAATAAGACAATTATAGATACTGGACAATATAAACATGAATTGAATAACAGTGAGAACATAAACTCATGGAGAGAAATCACCATAATCATCTGTTATATAATAAGTATTATAAATCTAAGTAGAGAATGTACCAGAATAGGCAAAATCAGGCCTGTTCAAAGGCACAGTGACAATTTGTTGGCTATATGTATGTATACATGTATACTGTAAACCTAGTTTAATTATTTTGCTATTTAATTTTAAAATGTGTTTACCTTGATAGGGGCCTCATTTACAAGCACAAGTTGCTTCTTAGAGGTTGTGACCTATTATTTGTTCTGTATTTATGATCTGTTATGTTTTTTATGATGCCAAATAAACTGAATTAATAATTAGTGACAGATTTCTTCCAGGCGCCTGCTGTGACACCCTATTGGGGCGTTGCAAGAAATGTGCAATCAATTGCAAATCCCCCAAAATCAAGCGTAAGTCTTGCGATTGATTGCAAATTTGCAATTAATCCCGACTCAACTTTCTTGCAACGTCCCATTAGTAAGAGAGAGAAAGAGAGAGAGAGAGGGGGAATGGGGGGAGGGGGGAAGAGAATAAAAGCTAGATCTGGTTACCTTGATTTAATTGTTAAAAATTTAATCCTAACGATAACCTAGGAAATTTAGGAGACTAATGGGGCATTGCAAGAAAGTTGAGTTGCAATCGATTGCAAACTATATCAGTTGCATAGTTTACAACTTGCAATCAATCGCAACTTTCTTGCAAACCCCCCCCCCCCCCCCCCCCCATATATCTTACATGTTTTTAGAGTTACAAGGTTGGTTGGCCATCATCAGTACAGCTTATACAACTCACTCCTAGATCCTTGTCAAATCATTAGTCAAGTGCGGTCACATGTGATTCACGAGACTATCACACGTTTTTTTCATAAAGTGTACAATAGTTTTTTGTTTTTTTTTAAAGTATGCAATGCGCATCAGTGCACAGCTGGATGTCAGTGCTGTGTGTGGGCTTATAGTTGCGTGACCATCCTAGTCAAGCATCCCTCATGTTTGGGGCCCCTGCACTTTTTCCACAGATAGTTTGGATACTACTTAAAATTCATAATGTTATAGAAATATCAAGTTCGTTATTATATGTATAGGTTAATAACATTTTGACATGAAGTTATTATGGTTTGTACATGTATATACCTTATGTTTATATGTTCTTTGTTATTTAGTTATTGTATTTTGAAGGATGCAGAAATAAAATAAAATCAAATCACAGCATTTGAAGCCCCTCTAAAGTGTTGGGAGCCCCAAAAATTTGATGGCAAAAATTTCACTTAATTTGTATCATGATGTAAAAGAGGATGTCATTTAAGACACATTTCTGCTTGGATTTTCAAAGCAAATGTGTTTAAAGTCGATTATTGATGAAAAGAATACAACATTTTGGTTTTCTGCGTACAACAGAAAACCCCAATTATGTATTCTTTTATCAATATTTGTATTGAAACACATCTTTTGGGGGGGAAGTCCTCTTTTACATTATGATACAAATAAATTGAAATTAATTAATTCAAATCAACAATTTGCGAAATTGGGGCTCCCAATAATTTAGAGGGGTTTTAATGCACATAGAGGTACATTGTACATGTTTATATGGCTCTTGGTGTCTACACTTAATAACATCCAAATAATATGTGTGTTAGGAGCTACAATCAGAGCATCAACTCATGTTCTCTACCACATACAGAACATCCTTGTATGCAGCTCGAAACAGACTAATCCATTATGATAAGCTTTCAATGTACTCACATTAAGGTGCTCAGGCAGTTTTGCTCTTAGGTCTTTAGCGTACTGATGTATTGCAGGATGCATGTAGATGTTAGTGGTATGCCACAGGTTGTGCGCTTGTTTTACCAGTGCATCCGTCACATACCTTGGGAAAATAAATCAAACTTGGATATCAAAAAAGAAGATCTCTTAATAAATATTCAGTTTAAAACAGATTACCGGTAGGGCACATCAATATCTTTGTTTTACCTTTCTGTTGGAAATGAAATAAATATGAATATGAATATCAAAGTAAAGTCTCGGACAAGTTTTGTTTTCCATTGGGTATTTGTGACATGAACTGTTATTTTATAAACAAATACCATCTACAGGTGGCCTCCGATCCCCCACCCCCCCCTCCTCCCCTCCCCTCACTCCTCCCCTCCCCTCCCTAACAGGCCTTCCCACTGTACATCAACCCCAAGAGGGAGCACATTCAACAACAAAATAATTACTAACGTACCAGGTAATTTACTTTAAAACATTGTCTGAGGGGTGGTTTTCCAGGGCGTAAGAGGGGAGGATATGGGGTGTTATTGTCTCTATTGCTTGATTTGTGCTCAAGAACTTTGAATAAACTGTAATGAAGTCCCAGACTATTGTCAGATGTTTATGACAACAGCACTGCCAGAGTTGATAAATTAAACCATTGAGGATAGATTCCCTTTCAGAGTTCCTCAAAGAGCATATGCACAACAGATTACGAGCGCACTACATGGATGTCTTTGTTTGCATTCGGTAGTCTTTTATTTGTATTGCACAGCTCCTGTGTATAATCTAATATTCTCTGTCATGCTTGGGTAAGGAAGGATGCAACCAAGTTTTGCGGACCATAGTAGGAGACCAGCCTGCAGGTTCCGGGACCAATCTCTGGGAACAAAGGTTTGAAATTCTATGAAGCACCCACATGCACCCCTGCTCATTTATTCATTTCTTTACAACAGCTTTGTTCAAGATCACAGCCATGCAGTATTCATCTCTCGATCTTTTCTGGTCCACTTGGTCCAACAAACCAAGCACTTAGTAAGTGCAACAAAACAGACTTGATATCTATATTCGTCACAATAGGGGAACAAACATGACAAAATGATATGCCTTGAAGCAGTTGAGCTATAGTGGACATCAGTATCACAAGCTTACTGTACTGTGAAATATCTTGGGTGCTCAGTAATAAAGAAGAAGTATAATAATAACAATATTCTGGTTTAACATTACAGAAATTGTATTATTATCTATATAAGGCTTCCAAGTGGTACAATAAATCAGAGTATTTAATATTTAGCGCACTTCCCAGATGACAGATCAATATTGTATTCATATTGATTTGTCATGCTTCCGGGAACTTCAACTGTCGATACAATATTGCTTGATTTTCGAGGCAAATTTTGTTATTTCGCTAGTCGTCCTGATATAGTTAATAATAATAATATTCTATGGCTATGTTTTTGTGTGATACTAAATAAATATTGCTCTCGCTATGACAATATATTCTTGAATCACACTCAAAGCCATCTAATAACATATAATTATTTACAAATATTATATTATACAGTAGGTTTGCAGTTGCACCATGTGTGAGAGAGAGAGAGAGAGGTTTGAGGAGTCCTGAAAAGGATTCTAACTCGGTAATCTTTCTTGGAGGAGTGTAGTCCTGAAAAAGACTGTTTGTTATCTTTCTTAGCATATAGTTCTCAGGAGAATTATAGCGCTTGGAGAGGATGAGTGGCTCGACGTTTCGAACAGGTTGACTATCCGTCGTCAGGAGTGGAGAATAGCTGGCGTGCGTGCGAGCTTAAGTCACCGGGGTGCGGACGTCAGGGAAAAATAGGTGACCGTGTCGGCTTGAGTCATCGGGGAGTGGGCATGGATGTTCGGCTGGTAAACCTACTGTATATCTACATCACCATGCAAGCCGACACTTACAAGCAGCAAATATTATATTGTTCATATATAGTCAAACTTCAAGCAGTGCAAAAGGACATTGTATTGACGAATCCATGCCTTCACATAGCTATATCTATAGTCCCACCTGCCATAGCGGTGACCTCTCTGAAAGCTCATTCAGAAGTCACAAGGGGGAAATGCCAGAAACTAGCCCATATGAATTAAGGCTATCCTTTTTCCGTTGCCACTTTTCCAGCTTTCCTGTGAAAGGCCTTGACACACATGGCTTATTATACTTATTTTGTACTGATAAAAAGACCCTAAGATACAAAGACTGATTAAACCATTATTGGAAGAGCTTCCAAGGCTCCTGTCAAACAGACAAAAACAAACTAATATTATGTAATCTATGTACAATATATAATTCAGGTCAGTGTAACATCAATCTTGAAGAAAATTACACTAATGGGAGGATCCCTACTGTCTGTGTAATGTGACAATTTAACAACCTGTCACCTTAAAAAGCACCCTGGTGGTGTTGTTTCACATTCAAATGGTTTAATGCATGATCATTAGTGGACTTATTAATGATCCCCCCCCCCCCACCCCAAGTTTGCACACTTCCAAGGAGAAGGGTATTTGATTGCCCCTCGATAGGGTGCAAGGAAACGAGATCATAAATGATTAGTTATTCATACCGTTGTTAACGACAGTATTTTCAGACAGTATTTCACAACAACAAAATAATAACAACAACAACAACAGCAATATGAAACCAGTGTAATGCCCTTCACATTGATACACAAAGATACAACATGTAAGTGGTTTTTATGGCTAATTAGCTACAGAGAAACCTGTACACAAAGACTGCTCAAGAGGGACAAGAAAAGTTTCTTTATGGACAGGTTCATTTAGTACACATGAACAAGTTACAATGGAAAACTTATTCATAGGAAACGGCATCCCTTACAGGGATGCCAGTTAAAATTGATCAGAGGGCCTGAAAATCACCTAAAATTAGCTATTTTGTACACAAAAAAGCCTAAACTATGGTCTGAAAATAAGTCGTCAGGGCCTGAATTCAGGCTATTGCTTGAAAACTGGCATCCCTGCTCTTATACATTGTGTAAGTTATATGCCTCCACCTTAAATTCAGTACAGGAAATGGATGGAAACAAAAAGCCTACAATGAAATGTCAACTGACGACTATGATCTTGACCTACTAGCCCCAAAATGTAATTGGATCTTCTTCCTATAGTAATGCTATCACCATGTTTGAAGCTCATATGTTCTTGACATATTGTGATAACAAGGAACAGGTGGTTGCTATTTTTTTCACCTCCATGTAAAATATTCTTATTTTTGTCACAGCAGTTTCTTTGAGTGGGTTTAATTTACCACATCATACAGTACACATGGGTGGGAAAATGGCATCTAACAGCATTCCCCCCTTTTGATTAAGAAAAATTGGGAAATAATAGGAAGGAATAAAGAAAATAAGGGGAAAATCTGGAAAATCTGTAGTTTTGTTTATTCATCTTTATTCAGGAAGGTATACATATAACATAATAATAAAGATGTGACATAAAACCCAGGACAGAGATTTGTATTACATTAAATGCATCTCATGCAGGGTTGAACAATTACAATACACAAAAACAAAACGGAAAAGAGAACATCATAACGTCAGTGTTTTAAATGAAAACATTAATAATTCCTAACAAAATAACAAAAACAAAAATAATTATTACTTTCTTAGTTAGCAATGCCAAGTGAGCTCAGATAGGCTGTAAAAAACAATATAAACCCACAGAATATACTTTTGAAATATTACTTTTCCCAATTACATAATTATGCCACACCTTACATTTAGGTACCGTCATCATATCTGTCAATATAGTAGCATGCGTAATCACACCACGAGAACCTGTCCCCATAGAGAGAGGGGGAGAAAGAGAGAGAGAGAGAGAGAGAGAGGGGAAGAGAGAGAAAGAAAGAAAGAGGGAAAGGAAGAGAGAGAGAAAGAGGGAGAGGGAGAGAAAGAGGCCTCGCTATTGCAAGTCATACAAATTAGTTAAACCACTTACACTCCCAAGTAATGTTGTGATTGCCAGGTGCGTTCCGACCGGCTGTGAAAAATAACATACGACCCAAACAGTACGGTTTTCAAGATTTCATTTCTCAGTTGTGGATACCTTACTTTGCATTTACATGTTTTCAACATATCTATAAGTCTTTTCTTGTTGTCAGGAGTTATCAAACCTCGGGAACCTATCTCTATACACATTAATTTGGGAGTCCAGCCGGCTTCTGAGATATCATGTGTTAGTCCGGCGTACCTGTCAAGCTTTCTTTGGTGAGCCTGTTGAATGTTGGTTTCAAATGGAATTGTCAACTCAAATACTAGTATTTCCTTTTTTCTAAAATTAATGAAACATAAATCAGGTCTTTGTTGTGTTGGAACAATGGTTGGGGGAACCGTCCCTCCACTGATTGTCTCCCCTTCCACGTCAGCATATACTTGGTGATCACTATCAAGGCCGTTCTGTTTGATGGTCTTTAGCAGATTATGTACAATGTTATTGTGGCGCCACGTGTATCTATTTAACATTTCCTGACAATTATTCAATACGTGATGCAAAGTACCTTTGGCTTGACATAAACTACACAAGTCATTTATTCGCTTACCCCATCTATACAAGTTTTTATTACTCGGCAGACTATCAATCGCTGCATTTATTGCAAATTTCATAACTCCTTGTGGAAGATTGAAGATGATGGACTTCCAGGACAAGTCACAGTTTTCTATTTCTAGTACCTTCATGAATTCACCTTGGACTAGGAGAGGTTCTATTTCATTTTTCCACTTTTTCCTGCTTTCCTCTTTCAGGTTCATTTTGACTGATTTTTTAGTATCTTTCCAATTCGTTTGTAAACTGGTTTGATGAATTTGGTGTGCAACCTGAATTGTAGATGACTTTCTGGTCCAGTTTTCCTCTCTGGCCAGTTGTTGATCTACATGTAGGGCGTGAACTACCATTTCGTCGCCTTTAACTTTCGATCTACTGTAGGCAAGGCAATGACATGTTTGGTAGAGTTCAGAGATAGTGGGAATATTAAGCCCCGCTGGGGCATGAACTACAGCAATATTGGCACCACACCGGGGGATGCCCATCCATTTTTTAATGTATTTGTCTAGAAGTGTATCTAGTTGTCCAAGGTGAGTTGCATGAAGGTCATGTACAGTTAACATATATCTCATAGAGGAGAGAGCATAATCATTAAGAATTCTTAGCTTATACTCGTTTTTTATGTTTACACTATCTATATTCGTGAGGGTACTATCAACCTTATCTCTGATGAAATCATGTTTCTGAAGTCTTCATCCTGAAAGTTATTTGAGATCCGAGAAATTTAATAGGATTATTTTGTACAGATGCAATTTGTTCCCTAGCTAAGCAAAAATCAATAACTGTTGGTTTACCGCCTGAAATTGATAAGGAACGACACTTCTTAGCTTTGACTGTTAAGCCCATACTACTGAGAAGTTTATCTACTTCTTGAACAAGTTTTTGATGATACCTATGAAAATAAGGGGAAAATCTGGAAAATCTGTATAAAATAGGAAGAAGAAAAAACCATTGGATTTAAAAAAAAAAAAAAAAAAAAAAAAATATTGATCGAGGCATGGAGGGGGGGGGGGGGGCACTGGGCCCCCAATGGTTGACTTACGGATGGCAGTGGCCAACGCTGACTGTGACGATTCCTCCAAACAGATCCAGGTACCTTTTGCCTTCTACGTCCCAGAGCCATTGCATCTTGCCTTGATGAAGCATGACAGGGTTGCGGTAGTATGTGAATAGGGCCGGGTTGATGGACTCACTCCGCACCTGCTTGGCTTCCTCATAAGATATACCCTAGAATGTGCAACATAGTGAAAGGTCCATGTAAAATAGTATCAAGGACGGTGGTTTTCAAATTGGCAAAACCTATATTTCTCTTTTTTGTTGTTGCACTATTCCTACAGAGAGCGGCCAGGCAGATATATCTAGTGATTACCGGTATATCTGATTATAATGAAAAGATGAGAAATGCTCATTTTTTTGTGAGGAAAATTTTTTAAAAAAATTTGCAAACACATTTTCCTTTTGATTTTCTTTTATGAATGACAAGAATTTCCATTTTAAGGTGGAACAGAATCGAGATGCAACAACACATATTACAGTGTACGTGTACATAAAAATAAAAATATTTTTAACACATCTAGTTTCATGACACAATTTCTTGAATAGAAACATGGCTGTCATCATTTTAGAGGGGTATGATTATTGATTACCCTCGAACAAGTTGAACTCATTAACACTCCTATGGTTTCTATCACATTCTCACCTCATATTTGTTGGGCTGGAAATCACATGTTGGTAGCTCTGGGCCATCAGCGAGTATCTGTTGCTTAGCAACTCCTAGTGAAGATGGAAGGGGGGAGGGGCGGTCAATAGAAGGAAGGCAGGAAGTATGAGGACAAAGCAATTAGAAACCAACATTCTTTTATTGAGTATTCATCTGATAACAATGACTCTAGAAGTTATAACATATGGTATAGCACCAGAGGATAGCAGCCCCGTATCGCCAGGTGCTGAGGCCGTCACTTCCGGGCATTGCCTGCCGCTGTAGCCCCTCCACCGTGGTTCACAGCCTCTGAGCAACAAATGGTCTTCTTGAAACTTTCCTTGGACAAAATTCCTTTGTGGTAACTGTCAATATTTGAGAAGTTATGCTGATTTTTGTAATTACATGTATTGTATATCAAAGACAAGATAAAGGGATTTAAAGAAATACCTAATAATACAGATTTAAATCCCAAAACAATATGGGATTGTTTAAAAATGTTTATAACAGGTTACTGTATCGAATATGGAACCAGAAAAAATGAAGAGGGGAAGAGAAAAAAGGAAGCACTAAACGGAAACTTGCATTACATTCAGATGCGATTAATGATAAAAATCAATCTTCTATATGAAGAAATTACATGGATGGAGATAGATGATTTAGAAAAGAAATTGAATGGAATTCTTAATCAGGAAAGAGCAGGGTTAATTGTGACATCAAGAATAAGATGGGCAGAACATGGAAAAATGAACTTTGCAATATTTTGCTAGCTTTTCTGGGAGTAGAATAAATGTAAATAAATCTGAAGTTATTAATATTATTTTGCAGGTCTAAAGATATACCAATACATCCTATCCAGGAATAAGGTTTGAGGTGGAGGACCAAGTAATTAAGGCACAAGGTGTATTTCTAGGACAATTATCCCTGGGCAATCAACCCTGACCAATTACAAGCGGGACAACTACCCCCAAGGACAATTCCCCCTCCCTCCCCCCCCCCCCCACGAGGACAATTTTTAGGGGTGAGGGGTAATTGTCCTCAGGGGGTAAATGGCCTAGGGGGTTATTTCAGGGTTTGTCCTTAGGGCTTAATTTTTAAGGATGGGGGTAATTGTTCTCAGGAACTGTATAGCATAGAGATGTACCTGTACATTTTTTTTTTTTTTGTCCCAAAATTTGACCGATTGACATTTCGTTCCTTTTTTAATTGAAAAATATTTAAAAAAGAGAAAAGGGGGGGGGCCGGGGTGGGGGGGGGGGGGGGGTTTCATTCAAAACACACACAAAAAAATGAAGGGGGGGGGTTAACCCCACCCCCCCCCTCCCTGCGTATGGCCTGCATGTAGAATAGATGGAGATATATGTACTTCTTCTTCTACATGTAAGTTCCAACACTAAATAAAGATTTTAAAGCATTCATGTCTTTATTTGTAAATGTGAACACAACTTTAGAATACATTACAAGAGAGCAGAGAAGAACAACACCGTTTCATTACATTTCAAGAAATGTACATTGAAGCTTGATGTTTCATAGTCTATGTTGCATTTTAATAGGTGAATTAGGCCTATGTGGTTTTTAACTTTTTGCTCACTAAGAGTTATAGACCTACATGTAGACCTATGTTGAAATTTGAATATATTCCAGTTTCTGTTCGACTTTTAGTTTGAGAGTGCTTTATGTTGTTCTTATACTTATAATTATCATTCTTATTTTATTGTAGATCTAATTCCTTGTTGTAAGGCATTTGAGATTGTTGTTGATGTCTACTCAAAGGTTTGGATAATAAAAACATAAAAACAAAGAAAAGTTACCATGTAAGGTTCGTCTCTGTGTGCTCTCGTTCTGTGGTCTCTCTCCACTGGTATTGACGCCGGAGCTGCTGGCTTGCGCATTTTCAGAAGAAAGACTCAAACTTCGGCAGGCAATGTTTCTCCCAATATCTGTGGATCTACCTCTGATGAGGCCGGGTAAAAACCGTTGACATAAACGAAGTCTCATGTACGATGATTGCATTTTTACAATCATAACGTGTGGTGTCCTAACTTGACCAAAGACAAATCTCAAACAGAAATCAATCAAAATGTTCGTTGATCCTGGCCGGAATCACGTAGATTATTGGTATCCGAAAAAGGCCAATTTAACGGTGCCAATTTAATGACGACTTTATGAAACTAGCGATTCATTATAGTGTAAAAGGCATGGAGATTGTCGCCGAATGCGAATCCCACTGGTGCGAAAGAGCATTATTCTAAAAACGTATCCGAAGTATATTCATTTTTTTTTACAGGACAAGTTACGTAGTCTCTCATCCAGGGTCATTATTATATTTTTGTTTCTAAATTTTTCCTTTCTTGTTTGCTTCAGTGTTAGAGTATTTTTCGGATTTGTGTTGACCATCGGTCGAGTGCTGTAATAGTAAACAAATCCTGGCTTCATGCACGGTATCAGGGGCGGGGGGGGGGGGGGGGCGTTGGGCGGTGGGGGGGGGGGTGGAGGCGGGGAACGTTTTTTTTTTGGGGGGGGGACACGTCTCCCCTCATTTTTTTTTAAGGGGGATCGTCCCTCCCCCCTCAAAATTTGAAAATGTGCCCCCGAAAAAGGTAGCAAATACTAAAGACTGCAACAAACTTAGGTTCTGGAGGGCCCAAAAGTGCAGCGTGTAGACAAATAAAAATGCAAAAATCTTTTCACTCGGAAGCTACGCTCCCTTGCATAATAACCTTCTAAATGTATAAGTAAATAGGCCTACTGAGCAAAACGAAGTGTGAAAAAAGTTTATTGCTTGTTTTTATACTATAGTTTTGCTAAGAAATGTAATTTTTTAATAAAACCAAAACTTCAAAAATCCGTAAGGGGTAGTCCCTCTCATTCACTATGCTCCCTCGCAATATTGATGGGGGGGGGGGAGCTTTGGGGAAGTCCCCCCCTCAAAAAAAATCATTCAAACGTGGTTTATTTCTAATTCGATACCAGTGATTTACAAATGTTGCTGAAATGGCATTTTCCCTGACTTTCCGGGGCTCTGCCCCCTGGACCTTACGGTCCACTTGCTTCGCTCGGCTTGATCTACCTGATCGTAAATACTTTAGCCAGGACCTGAGTAACATGTAAGAGTGATGGTGATGCGGGTTCTTTTCTGCCCCCCCCCCCCAAACGTTTTTCCTCATTACGCCACTGCTCCCTCGTCCCTCGCATTTTGCCCCCCCCCCCCCGGTCGTGAAAGGAAATCGCCGCCCCTGCACGGTATGCACCATTATCAAATTCGATCTAAACAAAATAATGTCACTGCATCATTCTAAATTCAGTCAGCCTCTTTTGGGCTGCCACGCAAAATAATGTGGAAAACTTTGCGACATTTTAGTCAGGATGTTAAAGCCCGTCTGTACTAGTTTGGCCGGGGGGGGGGTTAGACCACACAGAGTGGTCACTGACAGGTGGCTATCTCATCAACTCAGCTCTCGATTAACATAACAAAAAGTGGATCATGGGTGACCAACGGGCACCGTTTAGGCGTTGTTTTCTCTCCAGAGGGCCAATTAGCTACAAGTAGTACAGTGGGGATTCTAAAAACAGAAATAGCACGTATTAATATTTGTTCTTCTTCTAATTCCGATATTTACTTCAAGCTTGCTAATATCAACATTATTATTTGTATTCCCGATTTCTTTAGATTTCTTTGGATATATTGTTGTTGATTCTTAATTTTAGAAAACGGTCATTATTCATAAGGGTCATCATTCATATTTAATGACCCCGATTCATAATCGAAAATGAGGGTTGCCATCATAATTATGAGAAGAGGGTCGTACTCGCTATAATACAAAATCGGGTCGAAATTCATAGGCCTAAGGGTCCCTATTCATAATACGAAATAAGGGTCGCTATTCATAATACGAGAAGAGGGTTGCTAGTCATAAAAATCACATAGCAAACAAAATGATAAGAAAGGGAAATGTTGGCTGTGGCGTAGCTCTGGGGGGGGGGGGCGACACATGGCCCCGAATATTTGTCGCAAACATTATGAAAATTTACTTTCGTGACAAGACGAGATAGTTTACAAGCAAACCACCTCATCAGGCCCATATAAATAAATATGAATGTCTGACATCTGACTGTCCGAGTCGTCATCATAAGCGTAGAAGGCGAGGGGAAATATTTCATAATGTAGATGTGTTTGTTTTATAATGATCTATCTTGTTTAATGACAATTCACGTCAGCCTTACTCCTCGTTTGTTTTGTTCCCTTTATTGTATTTTTTTATTTTGTTTTGGCTATTTAATGTCATTGACTCTTTATATTTTGTGTGTGAACCTGTATGGATGCATACGTGTATTTGAATAATTAATACGTGTATTTTATCTGTTGCTTAGGATTTATCAGGTCTCGAATTAATTAATATTAACTTTCCTGAACCTGCATGCACATTTGTATTTACATTCCGTTTTTTTTTGTGTTTGTTATGTATTCATCATTATATCCTGCCCCCTTGTTGCTACGAGGAGGGCTAGATATCCCACCCCAATTATAAACAAAAACAAATTCATCACGGCATTTATTTTTATTTATTTTTCGCACTAGACCTTATCAAAACCTTCTGACCCATCACCACAAGGCGTCGCTAGACCTTTTTTCAACGGGACGGAGAGGGGGGGGGGGGGTGTAGAGGCCACCGATTATCGACAAAACTAGCCACCAATATTATTACCGACAAATATACTAATGCCAATGTCCCAATATCAACACATTTCACCCTATAAACACGGGGCTAAGAGCTAAATTAACGTGTCAAAGATCTTGAAAGTTGTATTCATGATGTACGAAAATGGATGAATGATTGCTATCTCAAACTAAATGACGATAAAACAGAATTTCTCTTGTTAGGCTCCAGACAACAACTTTCCAAGATTGTTATAACTCATATACGTGTTGGTTCTGTGCACATTGCTCCTTCAGATAAGGCAAGAAATCTTGGTGTCATTTTCGATACAAGCATGTCTCTTGATGCACATATTTCAAAATGTGTGAAAGCTGCCAATTATCATCTTCGTAATCTTCGCGCTATAAGGAAATTTTTAACCCCCCAAACCACTCAACAATTGATTCATGCTTTTGTAACATCTCATCTCGATAACTGTAACTCTCTCCTTTATGGACTTCCTAAATACCAAATTCACAAACTACAAAAGGTTCAAAACGCAGCTGCCCGCCTTGTCACTAAATCTAAACGATCGACCCATACTACTCAAATACTCAAGAAACTTCACTGGCTTCCAATAGAACAGCGTATCAAATATAAAATTCTACTACTCACCTACCGTTCACTAAATGGATCAGTCCCTGAATATATTTTCTCTCTTTTTAATATCTCTTTAAGTTCTCGTGCAGGTATTCGTTCCTCTAATTCAACAAATTTAACACAATTAAGAACAAAGAGGAGTTGGGGAGACAGAGCTTTTACATCTGCTGCACCCCGGTTATGGAACTCCCTACCCCATTCAATCAAAATGTCAGCCAATCAAAATGTGTTCCAAAAACAATTGAAAACCTATCTAATGTCTGAGTTCCTTAGTTAAGACGTAGTGTATTTCAAAATATGATGTAATTAACGTTGTTGAATTATATTTGATTATGTTAAATTATTTTCGTTCAATGTACTTACCTTGTTAGGCGCCTTGAGTCTCTCTTGGGGTGGATATGTGCGCATTACTTTTTTTTTTCAGTGCGAAAGCTTTGACATTTCATTAAATTGTTAAAGAAAGAAGACGATTCGTTATACCTTTCCCGACTCGTAATCCTATTCTGAATTTAGTTTTCCCCCTCCCACGCGGAGCGCTGAAGCTTTGACATTTCATTAAATTATTAGAGAAAGAAATTCTCAATCGCAGTTCCCGGCCTCTTCCGCTTTGCCTTTTTTTAATTATTAGAGAAAGAAGACGATTCGTTGTAGCGTTCTCGACTCTTAATCCTAGTCTGAATTCAATTCACCCCCCCCTCCTCTCCCGCGCGAAGCGCTGAAGCTTTGACAGTTCATTAAATTATTAGAAAGAGAAGACGATTCGTTGTACAGTTTTCCATTCCTAATCCTTGTCTGAATTCAGTTCCCGGCCTCTTCCGCCTTGCCGTTTTTTTTTATTTATTAGAGAAAGAAGACGATTCGTTGTACCGTTCTTGATTCTTAATCCTAGACTGAATTCAGTTCCCCCCTCCCGCACGAAGCGCTGAAGCTTTGACATTTCATTAAATTATTAGAGAAAGAAGACGATTCGTTGTACCGTTCTCGACTCTTAATCCTAGTCTGCATGAATTCAGTTGCCCCCCTCCTGAGCGAAGCTTTGACATTTCATTAAATTCAACTGGGTTCTTTAATGTACGACTTCGATTCTGGTGTCCTTCCACAGGCTCTAGTCAGCATTTTTAAGAAAAATAGTCAAGTTCATGACCATGCTACACGAAATGCCTCTGCGTTTCACTTACCCCAAGTAAGGACAAAGTTAACTTTTAATACTTTGGTTTTTACTGGACCTAAATTTTGGAACTCTCTAGGCTCTAGCGTTAAGCAATCTGTTAGTCTCTCTTCATTTAAGTGTAAACTTAAGGTTTATCTTCTCGATAAATACTGTGACTCATAGAGTAGTTCATTTTTGTAGTTATTATGGTGCCAAGATATATTATGTATTACTATAAATGTAAATTTTCTTCTTGATATTAATATGTGTCTAACTGAATATTTTCAGATTGTCAACCTCTTATTCCCTCCCCCTGTTGTCTTGTGCCCGTTGTGTGCTGTGCCTATTGTCGATGTCCTGTAGTCTTCTATTATTTCTCATATTTTCTATTTTCTCCCGTCTTGTCTAGTCTCGTCTCTCGTTTTGTTGTTGTTGTTGTGTGTGTGTACACTTCTTGTTTTGTTATACCCCCTTTTCCCTATTGTATTCTTAGGTAGTCACAAATATCTATTCATCATGTTTTATCCGGCTCAGAGGGGACCCTAATAATTACAAGCTCTGCTTTTACCAGGGTCTCCTCGCCTTTCTTTTAGTTAACTTTGTTTTTATCATTGCCATAATTTGTTATTTTGCATT